CCGGATGAAACTCCACGTGGTCAGGGTGGTTCCCAAGCCCAGGGCCAGTGACCGCCAGCGGTGCAGCGCCGTCGGTCTCGAGATGGTGCTGCAGGACCTCGACCAACGTCTCCAGCTTTTTGGAGGGCTTGTTGCGCCAGTCCTCCAAGGTGTTGGGGAGTTCGTACTCGAACTCGTGGTTGCACCCCGGATGGGTGAGCGCACGGCGGATGTTGAGGTAGAACGACTGAAAGAAAATTTTATTAGCATCGTGACACGATGGCCTTGCACGGCCGTCGTCGACGGCCGCGCGTGTATGGAACACCAAAAATTTGGTCAATCCGCGCAAAAGGGCGTGGCATCCTGCGCGGCCGTCGCCGACGGCCACTCTGTGCACCGAGTCCAAAAGTGGAACCTCGCGCAAGGAGCGCTCCCTCCCTGCGCGGCCGTCGCCGACGGCCACAGCGCGCATGGAAATCCACAGCTGCCAAGCCTGGAGCAGCGGCGCCTTCCCGCGGGCTGGAGGAGGCGTGCACAGGGCGGCCGTCGTCGACGGCCGCGCACAATACTCGATGCGAAGAGAAAGATAGTGCTCACCTTCCCCGACGTGTACTTTGCCTGCTTCGCCACCACCCCATCCTCGATCATCTGCTTCGCGATGTCGTCGAGATTGTCCAGCTCGTACTGGTGCAGATCGACGACGAGAGGGAGATGGATATACGGGGGCAGCCCGGAAATGGGTTGTCCCTCGTTGTCGACCGACGCCTGCGTCCGGCGGATGACGGCGCCCTGGAAGCCGTGGCGGATCACCTCGATCCACTGGACAATCTTCTCCCGTTCTTCGCTCTCGTTGATCGTCGCGGCCGCCTTCCCCTTGCCGTGGACGATGTTGAGGATGTGGGTATCTTCCCCCGACGCCTTCAGCACTTTGCGATCCCGTCGTGCCGCCGCCCGAATCTCTCGCTCCATCAGCAACGCGTTGTCGTCGTTCTCGATTGCGAAGGCCAGGAGCTTCAAGAGACGGCCCATGTTCCACAGGTCCTGTAAAGTCATCAGCAGCTGTGAGCGGGTACTGCCTATTCGAGTACTCACCGTCGGGCGCGTCATAACCGGAGTCGCCGTCAGCACGATCCCCATCGCACTAATCTCCATCAGGAACCGTGCCGCGATGTAGGTCCAGTTGAGCGTCCGGATTTCGTGCCCTTCGTCGAGGATGAAAACTCCCCATTTCGTCGCGAACAAGGTCAAGGCGCCGTGGGTGGCGAAGCGGAAGTGCTGCACCGGCACATCCCACCGCGGCGTATTGATCGTCAGAGTCGCCCTGGCGTCGTCCTGCAGCGCCTGTGTCCACGTCAAATGAAAGCCCAACTGACCAGAAAATTGTACTCACCGTGACCGACGCCAGCACAATTCTGTGGCTGGGATCGTGCAGCGACTTCGCGTACACTTCCTGCCACCAGTTCTCCCGCGACTTGAGCTTGTTTAGGTACAGCACGACGTCGAAGTCGCGCTTCAGCAGGTACCGCTTGATCTCGGCCTCCCATTGGGGGATGAGATTGGCGGGCACGGCTATGAGGGACGGTCGCGCGTCGAAGTTCCCGTCGAGCTGCTCGTTCGAGCGCATCTGGCGCTTTCCTGTGCTCAAGTCAGCGCGTGGCCGTCCCCGACGGCCACAGTGCAGTGCTCACCTGCAAGCCCGGGGAACCGTCCGTGCTGCGTGTAATATTCGCGGTACCACTGCCGCAATGCAATGACACCGACCGCTTGCATGGTCTTCCCGACGCCTACAGAATCCATCAGTAACACCGGCTCACCGTTGATCATCTTCAACATCATTTTGAGCATGCCGACGAGTTGGTGCCAGCGCGGCTCCAGGTCCTCGAGGTCCTCCGGCGCCAGCTTGTCGAACTCCTCGCTCCACGGGTCTACGAGCCCCTCCTTCGACTGCTTCTTGCTGAATCCGGGGATCCCCTCCTTCGGAATCCCGAGGGCCTCTAGCAGCTCCTCCCTCGTCATTGTCTTAAATTCTTCGACGCCGTCCTCCCACTCGACTTCGACATCGGGCCCGTCTGGCACCTCGGGCGCGACGCCCTCTTCGTCGTCATTGGGCCCGCATGCCGCGAGCACCTCCTTCAGCTCGTTCTGCATAACGAGGATCTCCGCCGCGGTCGACAATGAGTCGAGCGCCTTGAGCATCGCTCGCGGGAGTGCTGTTATGCCAAGTCAGTTCTGCTGTCGTGCCTGCACGGCGGAGCACTCACTGCGGGCGCGGGTCTTGTCCCCGCGTTCTTTCTTCAGCGCCTCCTGCATCGCCTGCAGCGTCGCCTTCCGCGCCGCCAACTCCGCCACCAGCGCCTCGTCGCCGCCGTACCGCTCCAACTTCGCCATGAGCGTCTTGATGTGGCCGAGGAACAAGCGGAGGTCCTTCTTCGTCGGCGTCTTCTCCGACATCTCTGCGCAGCGTCAGTCTCAACTATGTCCGCAGGTCCGCCACATACCTTTCCACAGCCTGTCTACTTCGGCCCGCTTCTTCTTCATCGCCGTCTGGTCCCGCTTCACCACCTTCCTCCACCTCTCCCAGCAATGGATCAGCAGCACGCTGATGAACTCGTTCGGTCCCTTCTTCGGCATCCGGTTCTCATACAACCCTTCCGGCCCGAGCACTCTGTATATCGTCACCTCATAAAACGCCCACAACACGGCGTCGGTGGCGGACGGCAGCTTTGCATATGTGAGTACTTTTCCGCGCCAGTTCAATCCATACACTCACCGTGCTCGTCTTCATCGCCCGCATTACCGTCAACGGGTCGCGGTTCGCCTCTATCAATATCTCATCCACCCTCGCGTTCACCTTGCACGTACGATACGTATCCGCCACCCATTGGATCCAGGCGTTGCGCCCCTTGCTGTACTCGTCCGTCTGCCTCTTCATGAAGTCGAACTTGTTCTTCGCTTTCGTGTTAAAATACTTTTCCACGAACGCCCTCACCGCCAACACCATGTTCGCGTCCCATCCCTCGGGCGGGTTTTCCTCGGCTTCCGGTGACCACGGCGGGTGATCGGTGCGTACCAGCGTCGCCCAAGTCGGCCAAGACCACAGGTCCTTTTCGGCGGCGTGCAGATCGAGCAGAGCTCCGGGTAGTGTAACAGTAGGCATAGTGAAACTGACTTGTTCGACGAAGGGGGTTGGAACAATGCCAAAACTACCCACTCGACTGATCTTATGTACCGTCGAAACAGTTTCTCGTCTAACGCGTCTCGCGATATCTGATCCCACGAGGCAGGTCATCTGGCCGTCACCGACGGCCGCATGTGGTACAGCTCCCATGCCATGAGGTCGACGTGTTGCAGCATGTACGTACACGGATGGTCGTCCCGGACGGCCGCCCCTGCTCCTCCTCGCTCTGCCATGAGGCATGCGTGCTGCAACGTGCGTGTACAGGCATGGCCGTCGCCGACGGCCGCGCGTGGAGGGCTCCCTTTACCCCGCCTCGTGTGGGAGGGGTGGCTTCCTCGTGGCCTAATTATTATTATGCCTCCGTCCCGTCACCATATCCGGTCGCTGATCCGCTTATCCACCTCGATCAGAAGATCCGATCTCGATCGATATCCCTGAAGACACTTCTCATATTCCTTCACCTCGGTGCAGAACATCCACTTGTTCGCCGCTTCTCGGGACTGCGTCCCGGCGGCTCACAAGTGGATGTTTGAGGATGAAGGAATATGATCCAAACTCGCATTCTGTCCCTCCATCCTTATATGCGCACACACTGATCATCTCTTGGCTCACACCTGTTTTTTCTTTTTTTGTTTTGCGCACAAGCATATTTGGTGAGACAGGTTCCGCACACTGCAACGAAAATGGCCGTCTACGACGGCCACTCATGGCCAGCGTGCTTCGCCCCTCCCGCGCCACCTCGCCTGTGCAGTCATATGTGCCTCTCCGCGCACGGTCGTCCGCGACGGCCGCGCAGGTCAAAGGCCCCTCAGCCAGCGCTAGTGATGGCGCACGTGCCCTACGGTAGGGTGCAGCAACAGTCCCCTTCCCAAAGCGGACACCTGTTCCTGGCCTCAGGTTCAACTCAGACCTGGCACCTCATGCAACTCGAACGGTCGTCTACGACGGCCACTCATGGCCAGCGTGCTTCGCCCCCCCCGCGCCACCTCGCCTGTGCAGCCACCTGTGCCTCTCCGCGCACGGTCGTCCGCGACGGCCGCGCAGGTCAGAGGCCCCTCACCAGCGCTAGTGATGGCGCACGTGCCCTGCGGCACGGTCCGTAGGGTTCGGCAAGGGCCTCCTTCCCAAAGGGGACGCGTACCCCTAGCGTCCGCTCGGGGAACCCCCACCCTAGGGTTGGGGTTGCCCGCCCTCAGCGACCCTACGGCCGGCCTAGGAGGCCTCATAACAGAGGCTGAGGCATTCCTTGGAACGGAGTACTACATCTGCACGTCTTGTGTGCCGAGAGGTACCATCTTCAGAGCACATCTCCAAGCATGTCTAACTCAACCACTGGCATGTACACCCCAAAGGGTCCCACCTTCCACACAAATACAGCATACCTGCAGCTGATCAATATGCAGAGCGAGGCACTTGAGGCAACTTTGGAAACGAGGTTTAGGGCAGTGGAGGCGGCTCTAGGTCGGTTGCTCATCCAACGGCGATTCGAAGGAGGTATGTTGTTATTGTCGCTCGTTCAACGTTCGATGACAGGCTGCTCTATTGTGAGGTTGATCACTACTACTCACTCGGCTGTTAGGCCATGGGTCACAAGCGCATGAGGGGCTCATGCGGTTAGGGCCATATATTTATACTACACAGTAATTCTAGGAGATTCCAGTATGTTCTCCGACATACCTATGTGCTGACTAATATATGTTTCCTGATTGGGAAACCACCAGCCCTAACACTCCCCCTCAATCTGGAAACACCTTACTGTGCTCCCCCCTCAATCCTGGCATCTCCTATGCCATCCAATATATTTTTCCTTTTGACCCTGAATACCCCAAATGTTGTGAGAGCCCTATGCTCGTGACAAGAGAGCCAATGCTACCATCTCGCCAGATCCTTCGACCACGACAACAGAGCCGATGCTCCAGTATTCCCACGGATCCTTCCAATTCGGGAACTCTGTCCCTCGTCCGCGACACACGCGTAACGTTCGGCTCGCCATTTGCACACTGTCTTCAGTTGCACCTGGCTCCAAGGGTTCTCTGCACACTATACTAAATGCCAGTATACCCTGCCGCCATGCTTCACCAACTCCGGCAGTGGCGACCCTGCCTAGTTGCGAAGACTTTCGACTTGACCTGCTCGCGGGGTCCTACCCGTATCACGGTACAGTCTCCTACGCGCCTACGGCCTCGGCGACCTTTCGCGGTACACTCTGTTGCCAGATCGGGCCATATACAAACTATCCCCCGCGGCGTGAATAGTAGGTATGCGCTTGTATTGTGAGGTTGATCACTACTACTCACTCGGCTGTTAGGCCATGGGTCACAAGCGCATGAGGGGCTCATGCGGTTGGGGCCATATATTTATACTACACAGTAATTCTAGGAGATTCCAGTATGTTCTCCGACATACCTATGTGCTGACTAATATATGTTTCCTGATTGGGAAACCACCAGCCCTAACATGCTCAAAGTCCCACAGGCGTGTCGCCTGCCACATGCATTTCAGAGTGACCATGTATCGCGATCAAACATTCAGGGTGAGGCTCCACCACGATATACTTGTTTGCCCTGAACCCGGAGATACATGAATACGTATTCGCGATTCGAAGGCTACCGAGCCTCGCGAAATAGTCTAAAAAAGACAAAAAAATCCATAGAGCTCAAGGTAACTGCTAGTAATACAAACTGTCGTAAAAGTCTACTGGAGATAAGAGTTCTCGCTATAGCGCAAGGCTAGCGAAGCACAAATTTCCTAACAGTAATACACACTGGCCGCACAGCGGCACAGACAGAGTCCGGCATCAGCGCCTCGACGACAGCGCATCGTACTCCGCCAGAGAAATCGCGATGCGGCATATAGGGCACGTTCGGCTCGTCGCCAACCAGCGGCGCAGGCAGCGTTCGTGGAACCTACGAAAAGCAAGTCAATCTCCACCGATCAATCAAAGAAATCGGGGACGTACGCATGCTGGCAAGTCGCCCCGAGCACAGCGAGCTCCTCAACCCGGAACTGCGAGAGGCATATCCCACACTTGTCCACGACGACGCCGAGCAGCGAGAATTTGACCTTGACGGTGCCGTTCTTCAGCACCCTGCGTCGTTCCTCCTCGACGCGCCCTACGAACGGGGATGCCGGGCGCGCGTTTGCATTTGCGGGTGGTGCAACGGGCTGCGCGGGCTCTGAAGTGGAAGGTGACGGAGAGCCGGGACCTAGGACATCCGCCACGAGGAGGTAATCCTTCCCAAAGATCAACACACGCGAAGACGAGTACGAAGTATACCACCCACCTCGTAAGTGCGCCCGTCCCCCGCTTCCTCGTTCTGTTCCGCCAGCCGAGACGCGAGCACGTCCAGATCGGTGATGTTGGAGTATTGGCGCAGTTCGACGCGGGGAGACGCGCTCGGAAGAACGACCACATTTTCCGGGCGCGGATGACCTTTTTCTAAGCATGGCGGTCTCAGCGGCACTGGAGCGGACGACGGCGACGACGCTTCGTGCGGAAGTTGGGGTAGCGGACGGCCAGGGTAGTGGCCCGTCGGTGTAGTCGGCGTAGCTGGGGTGACAGGTGAGCCGAGGGTAGCGTTCGCCGACGAGTACGCCGAGGAGACCCGCTCCATAGCGAGCGGCGAGACGGGCGTAAGGCGCAGCTGGGACCGCGATGAAGAGAAAGGACTTGCTTGCGACGATGAGTGAATCGGGAGAGCGCCCTTTAGGCTTTCGGGGGTGGGCGTGGACAATGACGGACGTTGCGTACGCGTCGGGGAGAAGGCACGGCTCATCGCTGAGAACGGTGTCCGTGGGGTGCTGGGTGAAGGAGCAGAGCTTACTTGGCGCTCCGCATCCTCGCACGTCTGCTCAGGCGTCTTCCAAATCACCGAGGGAGACACGAGCGGCGAGTGCGCAGAGGCCTTCTTGGGCGACGATGGAGGTGGCACCCGCCTGGACTTCTTCTCGCCTAGAACGAGAGGCGGAGGCGGAGCCGCGCGCATCGGAGATCTCTGCGGGAGAGAAGGTCGGCCGGGGGACGTAGGAGAGGTCGGTGACGTGGGGGATATGGGTGATCCGAGCTGCTGCGAGCGACGCACCGGGCGGTTCAAAAACGCTAGGGATGGCGGTGGAAGAGGCTTCTCCCTCGGGTACACAAGGGAACGGGGTGTGTTCGGGGAAGGCACATTCGCAGTGCGCTCGTTGGATGGGCGTGAGCCTGACTCGGAACTGGAGTGGTCATCCTCCGCGATCGATGGGTCGACAACCTCCCAGTCATACAGCTCGCTGCGGGGCCGCAGAGGAGTGATTTCGTGATCTCTGCCCTTTGAGAACAGCCGTCGCACGCCGAAACTCTCTCTGCGCTTGAGAGTGGGCACCGACTTGTGCGAGGACAAGACACTACTCAACGACAGCGTGACACTGCTCGCCCACGGGCTCGAGAAGCCCAGAATGGAGGTAGGGCTGCTAGTCATGGGCGATGACGGCGGCGTCGTAATGTCGAAATCGTCAGAAGGCGACCGTCCCGTCGTCTTCCGCGAGTGGGGGCTCCGGTGCATCGAAATCCCGTGGTCGTTGGCATGTTCGTCCTCGCCATCTTGCGGACACACGGATCCGCAGTGCGAGCAGCACCGCAACCGCGTTCGGGGGGACGGTGGCAAGTTCGGCACTGATGGGCGCGGGGTGGCGAGGGCAGATACGGACTCGGAGGCACGCTGGCGCTCGAACTCCCTCACGACTCTCTGGTCTAGTCCCAGTCCCAGCTCCCGATCCGCTTCCCATCCCTGCGAAGAGTCCAGAGATAAAAACTCGATGCTGGACACGTCTGAGCTTGATTCAGAATCAGCGGCGGAGTTCTGCTCGTGCACGGTCGAGGTTGCGAGCTCGGTAGATGGAGAAACTGGCGGGCTGCGATCGGGCGAGGAGACCACGATGCTGGGCGAAGGGAACACAGCTGGGAAGAAGGGAGAGGGTGAGGAGATTGCCTCTTGAAAGGACGGTGGAGGATAGTCTGGTGGAGACTCGAAGACTGGAGCACGGTCAGTAGAGAGGAAATTGACAGGACGAGAGACGTACCATCGAGAAGGCGATCGCGCGAGGGAGACGAAGCGAGAGGCGGTGGCGCAGGTTTGCGCGGACGGGGAGGGTTCGTCTGCAGCCTCCGCGACGAGGACGGCGGGACGGCGGTAGTGAACCGGGGCTCGTCATCGTCTCTGCGCTCGGGCCTGGGCCTGTCGGCTGCTCTCTTCTTTGGTTTGTGAGGACGCGGAGTGTTCTGCGCCGGCACGGACGTCAGAGCGGGCGGGCCACTAGTGAGCTTGTGAGTAACGCAAGTAGCGACGGGAGAAAGATGCGAAGCCGAAGGCGAATGGAGAGTTGGAGAGGGCATTGTGAGTGACGAGGGGGCATGGAGATGGATGATGGTAAAGACAAGCTCACCGTGCTTCTCCACGAGCTCACCGCGATGCTACCAGCCTGCTTTGCACCACCTCTCCCCGGGCCCACACGTGGTGATCACATCCACCCGAGATCTGTTTTGTAGAACAGCCGTGAACTCGAACCTCAGATAACAAGACTGATTCAAGGCGCCTTCAACTCGCCGTCGTCTGGCGACCGGTCGATGAGGGTACGAAGCTGACTTGTACAAAGTTCGCGTCAAGCTCATCTACATCTACCCAACCTCGTCCTTACGCCTCTGGCGTCTCAAAGAACAGATATTCTACAGTTACAGTCCCAGGCGATGTGCCGGGTACAGTATGATCTTCGTTCTTTGCGTTGTTCGTTTGGATTTTCTAGCGGCTGGTTCGATGCTGCACATGGAAGGGGCCTCGTTGATAACGAACACCATCGGGACGGGTACGCAGACAATATTCTCCGTGGCCAGTTCATTGATCTCCTTCCAGACCACAGCTAGACGAAAATCGCCGCGCAGCTGAGGCCCACTACGCCCAGTAGAAGCGGAACGTGTGGATTCTCACTCGACAACGACGGGAACGCGACGTCGGCTCACGCTGATCCTGAGTCTCTCGCCATCGCCGCTCTCACTCGCCGCCGACATCAAAGCTTCCACTGCGGTTCTCAGCGACTTCACGATTAGTCACAGTCGCGGTTACACTCTCAACCGCAACCTGGTCCTAGTCCTAGCACTCTCCTTGTACTCGGTCACGGTCGTGCAGACTCATCTGAAGGGTCCCGCAAAGGGATGCGAGCCGGCTCTCGAGCGCGCAGTACAAAGTTGCTGTCGCGATCTGTCGTCGCGCTGTCGGTCTCGAGCACTGCGAGCACCATCCGCACTTCGTTCGAACTGCGCGCGATCGTGTGCAGCAGTTGATTGACCCTCTGCAGGGTGATGGAGTACTGTATTGCGGGGCGCGAGGACGAGCGCGGAAGGAGAATATATGCGAAGTGAACATGGTGAGTGCGAGTCGCAACTGGCGCGAACTGGACGGCCTGCGGGAGAACGTGAGGGCGGCGAATACTTTGTACTGGTGTCCTTCCGAAGTATATCACGGACAGCATACTCCTTTACTTCCTCTACTGCGCATTGTCTACCCAGCCGATTCTGCCCTAGTCCGTGAATATTACTGAGGTGAAAAACGCATGAAGATATGTCGCGACTGCGGCGCCGCATACTCCTTTAATTCCTCTACTGCGTATTGTCTACACAGCCGGTTCTGCCCTAGTCCGTGAAATTACAGCGCGCCGAGGTGAAAAACGCATGAAGATATGTCGTCACTGCGGCACACCCGTAAATCTCGAAATAATCCAATGTTTCGTCGCGCTTCTATTACAACACTGTCGACAGAACGCCAAATGAGTGCGTAGAGAATAATGATCGTGCAAACGATGACAGCAGGTTCCAAGTACAAGGTCTAAAATCGTCATCATACCTCTACGGCAGCGAGAGGAAAAGCTCGAGCAATCTCGGGAAGTTGGGCGTGCCAACGCCCGTAACCGGGTCCCAGCCTGGCTCAGCATAGAACCCAACAGTGCCGCAGCCCGGATTCGTGCCAGTCGTAATGTCATTGAACGCTTCCATGCCACGGGACGTGTAGATCTGCGTGAGGGAGAAACACGTCGCTTCGGTGAGCTATCGACGGAATGGAGGAGTCGGGCGTACCGTAGGGTTGATGAAGCCCATCGGGCCCTTTCCGTCAGCGAGGCGGGCATCGTTAACGGCGGAGAGGATGGCGGCTGAGACCGGGGAAGAGCACGACGTTCCGTAGACCAACCAGTATTCACCCTGGAGGGCGATGACATAGTTTGCGCTGCAGGTAAGCATCAGGGTGAGCCTTCACGTCTCAACCCAGTAGTGAGGGAGCATACCCGTTCGCAGCGATGTCGGGGAATGCACGCGACGTGCCGGTCGAGTTCCAGATGTCAGCGGGGTACGGTGGGGGATAGTTCGCGAGGTATGACTCGACTGCTGTCTTCTGGTACGACGGCATGGCGAACACGTTTGACCATCCTCCGCTGGAGTAGATCACTTGCTCGCACGCGCTTTCAGGCTCGAGAACCTATCCGATTGACCTGGGTAGTGAATTAGAGTTCTGCAGCGCGAAAAGACGACGTACCGTGGAATTTGGGTTGACCTGAGTAGCACCGACGCTCGTAATGTACGGGCAGGTCGAGGGGAACGTCGGATTGAACATTGGTGCACCCACGGCCTGGGTACCGTCAGGGTATAGGCAGACATTGTTGTATCCCGCGACACCGTAGTCACCAGATGAATACAGGATTGTCATTCCCATAAGACCGAGCTGTAGAGAGTTCAATTTTTCCAAATTGTACAACAGCATATTCACGGACCTTCGCATACTCAGTGCACTGGCGCTCCATGTAGAAGGGCGTCAAATCGGCTTCATCATATGAGTACGAAGTAGACATGACGTAGGCGGGCGTGACAATGCCACAAGATTCGGGACCTGGGAATACACGTCATCGAAGGCCCCGGCGAGAACTGCAATCGACATCTTTACCTTCGTAACCGCCGCCGTAGGGATCAGGATAAATGCCGTCTTGTGTGGGATCATCACCACCCTCAAATGTGCAGTAAGACGCATCAAGAGCGTCGACCAGGTTATTGAACGAAGCGCCTGTGTACTCAGACCATAAATCGGACATCTAAATAACTGAAAAGACGAGCTAATAACCTTCGACCATGTCTCCCGTTTGATAGAGCGTAACGGTCTGCTCGGGGCCAACCAGCGACATCGAGTACTGAATATCCAGATTTGATTCTCCGTTGTAGTTGAACCCAGTATACTCAGTTTGAACGTAACCTTCGAAGACACGTCAACAAAGGCGAGTTTAGCTAAGGTGAACATAACTTGCCTCCGTCAATAGACACCATGTCCGGTCTCTCGCCAACCTGACTAGGCGAAAAATTGCCGAAGAACATGTCCAGATCTGTCGCAGTATAAGCTTGAGGCGTATACTCAACTAGTGGATGGTCAGTGCAACAACTGAGCAACCGAGCTGTTACACCTACCGATCGCGATCGAATTTTTGTCTGCGGCCTCAGGAGTATACTCGAACTCATACAAGGCGCGCAAGCAAACCGGCGTGATCTGCTCGTCGCACTCTTCAAGCTCTGTCAATATTTGCTATTGGTGATTCAGCTTCAGCAACGCGGGAAAATACAATAAAGGGGATGAAAATAAAACTCACCTGGATCGTACCCGTAGTTTTAGGGAAACTCGCGCCGAAACCGGGCTGGCCAATGCTCTTAGCCGTTTCGGGCCCGCGTTTCTCAAAACGGTGGGTCTCGCGCTTATGCTTGATGTCGAAGTGAAACGTCGGAGTGATGAGCTCGACGTGCTTGGAGACATGCTCTGGCAGATGGTACCTCTCGGCGCACGCGACATGCTCGCGCCCGCTCTCCTCCTCGCCGAATCGGTAGATATAGTACTCCGTTCCGAGGAGCGCCTCAGCCTCTGCGATGGTTACATCAGCCTGGATCCACGAGCCACCCTTGATGAGCCTGATTCGTTCTGCGTCAAGTCCGCTTTCCACCAGCCATGCACGAACGGTGTCGGTGGTCTCCTTGGACGGGCGGAAGGTGTCTGCGACTTGCTTCGCACTCCAGTGCTTGCCGAAATTGGGGGACTCGGGGTGCGAGACGTCTAGTAAATGCGCCTCGAGATTGTCAAGATTAGACTGGGAGAGGCCGATGCGGAGTGGGAGGACGATGGAAGGTTCTGCGCGGCGAACAGGGTGCCAGCCTGCAGGGACGTTCCGGCGGGACTCGTGGATGACGCGAGGAGAGACGGAAGCAGATACCAGGAGAGCAGAGAGTCCGAGGGCTACAAGGGCGAAGAGACGAGTGGTGGGTAACATTTCTCGTACGATGACACCTAGTGAGAGCTCGAACTCACAAGCAGTGTATGAAGCCGTTGTATTTATGCTCCGAGGCACTGTCGCTGTCTCTGACGAGCTTCTTGTTCTTAATAAACCGATGTCGTCCTGACCGCATGGACCAGTCAATTGAGGCTTTGGGACGTGAGAGGATTAGGCACGTACTTACACAACCTGCCTGGAAGGTCGAGAAACACGCGTTCAAAACGGTTTCCAGCCATCTGTCGCAGTGAGATTTCCGATCCGATAGAGCTCGATGATAAGGCGGTAAAAAGGTTGTTCTGCGGCGGATACCCGCCGGCATACATCCGAACGGGACAGCTGATCTCTTAAGGACAACGATGCCCTTCAATAGAATTTCGACCTGCCAGTACGCGGGTCCGCATACGCCTGGTATAGATCTCGCTGTGTAGTTGGTCGTGCCACAATCTGTAGAGTCTCCTCATCAGAAATACCCAGTGGGACAAGTTCGGAGATGGAACGGAAGTAGACCACGTATTTACCTCAGTACAATACTACGCACACCAAATTCGTCCCCTTCAAATCAATCCGGGAGCGTAGGACCATCAATGTAGGTTCCGACTGCCTCAACATCCACAATCTGACATGTGAAGCACGCGACAACACCTGACAAAATACGCTGTGTGAGTGGGTCAGTACTATGCAAGTAGTATATCTAAACATGACGGTGTGAACGATGAGTACGTCGGATCTGTCAGCAGCAGCAAGCCAGACATATGAGATGGCCTCCAGTACGGAACACGGCTAAAAGACGAGATGTACACAGCCCGCAGATGGGCACTGGTCATGTCCCGAACGACGTACAGTTGAACAGGGCCGTGCACCGGTTTAGGAAACTACCGCAGGGATCACTTGTATGAACTGCGAGGAATAAGGCTGAAATTTCGTTCATTCGGCTCCCCTTGTGCAGTAGTCAGCTGTAGCACCAGTATCCTTGAATGCATGATACCTAGGTAAGAGTCGGTCTGAATCAGCTCTGTGGGATGGTTGCGACTGGTAGACGCCGGTAGACTGGAAAGCCCAACACGGATGTGCTTAGCCGCTGTTGGACCCGTGCACCTTTGATAAAGTTTCTCCCCAGAGGCATGGTCGCGATCGCCTTGCTACGCGGTCCTACACAGTGATCGTCTTACTACGTGGTCCTACATGGCACTCTGTGCGTGGGCAGTTCTACCGAGAACTACGTAGAAGAGACGGTTCTACAGGAAGAAAATCACCTTTGCAGATGTAAACCATGTTCTGCGGTTCAAAACTCTGCCTCACTAGAATGTCCATTGGCAAGTACAGCTGAAGAGCTGTGATATAATAACGGGAAGGAGAGGCATCTCGTCTCCAATGGCGATGCGACTGAAGTTTCTGCTCTCACTTTGCTGCACACTGATGGATTAGTCTATTTAGAAACCTCCCCCGCGGAAAAATAAACCCACCTTCCCCCGGAACCGCTGAAGAGAAAAATGCGAAGGAAATACCATCAAAGAAACGTCAATTGGCGCCAACAACGGCGCCAACCATTGACACCGAGTACCGCGCGATGGCGAGCCTGAAGACAGAAGTGGCATGCAGACCGCTGAGATATCGTACGTCGAATATATTATTGCCAGGAACGTACACTCGCCTATTGATTCGAACTGTCTTCTCGCAGGGGAGATCCCAAGGACAGTCGACGTCACGGAGAGGGTATTTCGCGACACTCCGTTCTTCAACTACGTCTTCTTCCCGTCACCCGTGTGTGCATTCTGCAGTTCATGTCCATACCGAACGCCGACGCATTGTACTTGTTCCGTTAAGGACGCCAGAGATCCCCGCGTCTGCAAACTCGGTGCGAGGTTAGTTACCACTATCCAGAACGCCAACTATGTGAGCCAGAAGGAGGCAATCACTGTCGACGGAGGGGACGGTTTCGTCACATTGTGAGCATCAGCTGCACTTACTTCGTTTCGACCAAGCCTGAGGTATTTCTCCGTGCTTGCACAGTGTTTCCCCCCGCAACGGATTGTCACCATGGCGTAAAATATTCCAACGCATGATGCAGACTCTAGCCTTCGTCTTCATCTTTTTGATCACCAAGTTGACCAGCACTGAGGAGCAGCGTCAGGTAAGAGATCTCTGTCGCCCATCCCGTTAGTGTTTGTCGTATTGCTTGGTGCTAAAGGTATTATTCCCTGGTCAGCGAATGAAAGAGACACGTCAGAGGAATAACGCTTTGAGGGGCAGTGTCATCGGAGGCCAGCTTGACGACGTCTTCCTGATAGACATACTCGCCGTTTCTCCGGACAAGCAGAGCCTGGGGTATGGCTGCATGCTGTTGGAAGCGGTCACAAGCCAGTGCACTGTTATCTGTAGATGCTTTTACGAGTACTCACCCGAAGGACAAAGGCGGATGCGCAATGCCGACGCTCATACTTGTACACCAGACCTCAGACCAGGCCGTTCTATGAGAAGTTTGGGTTTGCAGTCGTCGCAGCGTACTCACTAGGGGATAAAAACCCGACGTGGACCAGTCCTCCTGTACAACGGGTCATTGTGCGCGCTGTCTTGATTGAAATGTTTTTGAAAGATTGCTGATTGGAATTGTCAGATGGTGCGTGAACCCACGTTATTGAAGGATGCACGAGGGGAGGAGGTGCAGCCTAAGCGACTCAATAACTAATGCTAGTGGAGGTTGGATCAGGATTGGTGACTACGACGATGCCAATTAAGTTGCAGTACGTCAGTACTAGTATGACATACTCCTACAGTTAAGTATGAACATATTCATGCGTACCAGAACCTCAATACTGTCGAACACGACAAATTGGAAGAAGCAGTTCAAGATGTTAACGGGCATAGTTGAGGAGGGAAGAAATCTGCGTGAATTAAACCACCAGTGATTAGAGTCCTTGCAAGTGTCCTCAAAAGTTCGCTTCAAGAGTTGAAAATTAGGACGTATATTAGACGGCGCGAGAACCGCAACTGATGCGGGAGTCGCATTTGGGTAATGGCATCACGCTGCGGAGGAAATAATGATCATCACACTTGGAATACATCGTGCAACTCATAGCACGCAAATGCGCTACACTTGAACGTCGGCGCCGAGTCATAAGAAGAGCGCCCACAAAGCAGGGGTCGCTGAGCGCCGAGCGTCCGCGCGCCACCGCTGCGCTCTATGCGGTCGAGGACGTTGCGGATGTCGGGGTCAGGTTCAACCGGCGAAACCGACACGACAGCGCCAATCATGGCCAGTGCTTATGGACGATGGAAAAGTGACCACGCACAGCGGCCAAAGATTGCCACTCACTGGGAACTCCATTGACAGGTACCGTCGGAGTCGAAGAGCTATGATATAAGAAGTGGAAGAAGTAAGACCGATGTGTAGCAGGGTGGGCGCATACACATCCAGTAAATCGACAATGGCCAGGACAGAAGTGGTATGCATACCGCTATTGAGATTCCAAGACAGTCGACATCACAGAGAGGGCATTTCCAGATAATCCGTTATTCAACTACGCCTTCCAGCCGCCACCCGTGCGAGCCTTGTCCACTCAACGTCCATACTGAATGCCAACGCATCGTACTTTTTCCGTTACAGGATGCCAGAGATCCCTGCGTCGGCAAACTCAGTGCGAGGTTAGTTACTACCATCCAGCCCACCTCAAGCATTCGTGTATGGACAGAACTTGCGAATATAACATTACGAAGGACCAGACATTGGAATCCTGACGGTGCGTTTTCTGGCCATGTGTCCTTACCAAACGATCGCACACCTTTGTTATCAAGGTTTTGAGGCGTCATGTCCGTACAAGAAAATTGGGCTTGTCTTTTCCTGGGCCGCATTTCGTCGTGCGCGGTGAGTACGAAGTGCTTAGGCTGCCGGGTTAGTTCATGAACATTACGGTTGGACAAAAGTCCTGAAACCTTAGGATCAGAGAAACATATCGGAGGGGAAATGAGACGTCATGTCAGAATAAATCCGAGGGAGAGAAAGATCATCGTACTGTCCGTCGTCATCAGGTTCCCAGCCTGGGATGTAAGGTGTGCGTATTCAACAAAGCTGCAAGAATCTCGATAGCATCGTAAAACAACCAATCCGCGAGTACTGTCGTCTATTCAAAGCCAAGTGTCAAAGGCAGTTACACAGACAGTACATCCGGGACTGTGCGACTTGATGGCGTCGGCGGATTCTAGAGAAGCGAGATGACCCAAAAGTGACATGCAACAGCAAGCTGGCCGGAATGCAACATCGACGGTATTTTAGTACTTGTGTGATCTCAAGAAGACCCTCTTACCTTCGGATCACACTAGTTATGCAGCAGTCTGTATGCATGGCCGCGCCCGGGGTCAGTGACGGTAAGAGAAATGAAAGGAATCTTAACCTGGGAGACTTATCGCCATAAATCGCCGCAAATTACACAAATTAAAGTTATCCCGCCGGCGGAATGTCATTCTGCACTCACCGTCCTCGTCGACCGTCCTCTCATCGTCAACGTCGCTCCCATCACCGTTATTGTCGCACCGCCCCCAACGTCGTCCTTGTTTTGACGTGCGAAGGTAAACTCTTACAACCACTTTTCGTTCCACCCAAGTCCGGACTGCGTCGTCAGACCATACTCGGCGCGACGCACAGCTAGCGACGGTCTCTGCAGCGGCCACCACTTACCACTCATATCATCCTTTTGGGGCGGACGCGACACTCACGGCCGCGATGGCCTCGACATGGCCCACGGTACGACCCTCGTCTCCTCCCGACGATTCCCGCCGACAGAGCGCAGCCTCGCTATCCGCTTCGTCTTATTTGACTGCACCTCAGACATCACCTAGCTCTAGGTCTTCTTCTCGCTCTTCTGACACTCACACCATCAGTCCTGCTGACCCTATCGCTACTCTGCATGCGCTTGCGGTCGGAAAACCCCCAGCTCAGGAGTTGCACATCGTCAGCGTGACCGAGGGCGCCGTTTCGCTCGAACCCGCGGAAGTTGCGTTACGGAAGGTCGGTTCGCGGACGCACCATCCTTCAGAGAGCACCGACTCCACGATTGGTCCCCCACCTCCATCTCCCCCGTCGAGCGTCGACCATGACCACGACAATGCCGGTCCGGTTCCGATCCTGCTACCTCAAAAAGCTGAGCCTTTGAGCCGGCCCGTCACATTCGACGAAGCCATCCAGCAGGGCACTTCCCCTCGCGGCTTTTATCGCGTCTCTTCCTCCTCGTCTTCTCAGGGTGTTCGCTCCGTGCAGAGTGCCGAGGTGCCTCGCACCGGGCCAGCCGCACAGACGTCGCCCGATGGATATCTTCAAGCGTCTACCGCGCAACTCAGACCGTCGAGACGGAATACCACAGGGTCGAGCATGCCGCTATCCTCACCGCCGCTACGGTCGAAGACGATGCACGCGCACACACCGTCTTATGCGCTAGATGACACCGACATCGAAGGAGCTCTCGCTTCAGACATTCAGCAGCAGGCGGAGCAGATCCGGCGGGAGCGGTTGACGAAGCGGGCGAAGGCCCAGCAAGAGGCGGAGAAAGCGAAGGCTCAGCAGGAGGCGGAGCGCGCTCTCACTCGGACGATGTCAATGCGCGGGGGAGATCGACCGTTAGTGGGCAATCTCATCGGCGAGGACCACGTGAATTATGTGCTTATGTACAACATGCTGACAGGAATCCGGATAGCGGTAGGTGCGAGTTGAGCCTCCACATACCTATCTCATCGTCGTGCAGGTGTCTCGATGTCAAGCCAAAATCAGACGGCCGTTGACACCTGAAGATTACACCGCAAAACATAAATTCTCATTTGATATGTGCGTGTATTCGAGCGTTAGCCCAATGGTCGTCTGACCTGTGTGCAGCGTCGGGAACGAGTTGACACCGTCGGCGAAGTACGACTTCAAATTCAAGGATTATGCGCCATGGGTGTTTCGGGAGCTGCGGGAGGATGTCTTCCAGCTGGACCCGGCAGACTACCTGCTGTCACTCACAGCAAAGTACATCCTGTCTGAGCTGGGCTCGCCTGGCAAGTCCGGCTCGTTCTTCTACTTCTCACGCGACTACCGGTTCATCATCAAGACGATACACCACAACGAGCACAAGTTCCTGCGCAGTATCCTCCCGCAGTACTACGAGCATGTGAAGAACAACCCGCACACGCTACTGTCCCGCTTCTACGGTCTCCATCGTGTGAAGCTCCCTCGAGGTCGGAAGATCCATTTCGTCATCATGAACAATCTCTTCCCTGCACATCGTGATATTCACGAGACGTACGACCTCAAGGGTTCCACGGTGGGTCGCGAATATCCTGAGGACAAAGCACGGGAGAATCCTCGCGCGACGCTGAAGGACCTGAACTGGATCAAAAGAGGGAAGGTGCTGGAACTCGGCCCGGAGAAGCGTGCACTTATCACTGAGCAGCTCCGGCGCGATTCGGAGCTGCTCAAGCAGCTGCATGTCATGGACTACAGTCTACTCGTTGGCATCCATAACATGCGTCGTGGCAATCGCGATAATGTTCGCAGCAATATGCTCAAGGTGTTCTCTGTAGGTATTCACTCTTTTATTAATTCAGCTAGTGTATGAAACTTTTTTTTTCAGCCGGAGATGCCGCTCATCCGGCGCAAGCCAACACAGAGTAAGGGCGCGTTGTCGCCAGAGGCGATCGCGCTCCGGCGCATCATGCGACAATCCGATCCCAAGCAGCTGGGCTCGGACACGCTGAATCTACCAGAACAGGACACGGGCGAACGCGCACAATTCATCTTCTATCAGGATGAGGGTGGATTACGCGCCACGGACGAGACAAACGATGATATGGACCAGCTTTATTACCTCGGCGTCATCGACATCCTTACGCCGTACTCAGCCCTAAAGAAATTGGAGCACTTTTGGAAAGGTCTGTCGGCAGACCGGGTCAGTATTTTTTTTGCAAACGATTAGACCAATACCGACAAATTTTTTGTACGTTTGCAGCACAAGATTAGCCCTGTCCCTCCCGTCGAGTATGGGGACCGCTTCTTCTCATTCATGAAGGCGATCATGCGCGGCGGGGAAGGCGGTGGTCGATTCAAGTCCGAATAAGGACATCCTCGTCTCGTCCGGTTGTTCCCAATCTTCTTTATCCTCGTAGGTGTACAGGCTAGGTTCGGACTAAGGTGCATCTCAACTGTGTATTTGACTCCACTATACCCGCATTCTACCATCTTTCGTGACTGTTCTGACGCCATCGTTTGTTCTTTCCCTGTTTGTGGTACTACCACTCCACGTTACACGATCCTCTAATCGTCCAAGCACGCAGCTTCGCACACTCATTTGTCTACCTTCTTTCAGGATCTCATTTGGCATGGACAATTTCATCATCTCCACCTCCATCTCGATCGCATGCACGTTCTTGCTCGTAATAATTTAGAGAAGAGTATACAATGTACTACATGTGCTGATACTTCTGCAAGCGTGAATACATACGCCGACGCTCGTAACGTCGTCTCACTCTGACTCCTCGTGTCGCTCGTCTCGCTGCGCCGCCTTCTTCCTCGCCGCTGTTTGCTAGGTCAGTAACAGGTCTTGCCCCCATGCAGAATCTGTCACTCACTTCGGCGAGTGGCCCGCTTCTTCGCTGCAGCCTTCTTGCCCTCTACTCTCTTCTCGAACTCCTGGTCTTCCTCGCCCTGTCGCTTATGGTCTTCGAGGATTTGCTCGAATTCGTTGAGCTCTGCGTCTGGTTTGTTAGATGACTTATTGGAACGGGCCTACAATATTCGGTCAGCCTTTGAGGGTTTCTATCTCATACGGACGAACCTTGGTGAGAATCTCTTGGAATCGACTATAGACCGCTTCCTCATGAAGCTTGTCGCGGTAGAATTGCAGCCCTTCTATGAGCTTTTTGACTGACCGCTCTGATTTGAAGGGTAATAGCGAAAGGCAGAAAGCAATATCTCGCCATTGTCGTGGATCTTCGGAGAGGTGGAAACGTTGGCAGAGCTTCTCTACGATATTTTCCGCTTGTTTCTCCTGCGGGAAAGGTATAAAAATTAAAAATATATATTGCTGTCAGAAAGAAGCGTACCTTTTCAATGAAGGAGAAAATGTATCGCATAGTACTTTGAAAGACAGGCTCTTCCACAGCATGTGCACCGACAGACAAGTGGCTGATAACTGAAAATCCTAGATCAGAACCAGTATGTCGATAGGCAGCGGTTCGTTCTCGTACCATCTGGCAAGTTGTTATAAATCGCATTCTCCTTGGTCGATAGGTCTTTGAAGAAAAGTTTAGCGAGGTCCGCTATCCGCTCGTCCTCATCTTCAAGACACTTCGCCATTTCACCGAGCTGGCCTTTAACTTTGATCATGCCGTTGAGAATCAGATGCGTCAGCACCATGAGCGTGTTCTTCTTGACGATCAGATCACCGTCGGACAGGCCTTTGTATAATTCGTTACTATTCTCGTCGATAATGCTGTTGAACGACACGGCAACGTCTCCAAGGGCGATGACAATATTACTGCGGATATTGGCGTCCTTGGAGGTCTCAAGGATCTTGAAAAGTAACTGGTGATGCTGGTCACAAAAGCGCGAGCTGACGCAGAGGAACTTGCTGAACGCTAGAGTCGCTGCTGCTCGAAGGGTGCGGTTCTGATCGGGAGGCTCGTCATTCTTATTTGACCGAGAAAGTGGATGATAACTAACCTTGAACTTATGCGGGCTTCCGCAAATATGTACCAACATTGGCCCGTATATTGACAAGAGGGATTCTGATCCATAGAGCAACTCGGTTTCACGAATGGCCGCTATCCGCTCGCCAATCTCGTCCTCCACATTACCAGCGACTTGGTCAAGCTCTTCACGTTCCTTGGATGCCCGCGTGGAACTTCTGCGACCAGCCGCCTGTTTTTCAGCTAGCCAACATAAGCCAAGTGAGTTGAGCCAACATAACAATCCAACGACGGTGATCACCTGCTTCATTCTCGTGCTTCTGTCTCTTCCATTCCCGTTCGACGAGCTCAAGGTAAACGATATGCTTGATAGCGACATGCCCAACTACGAAGAGCAGCTGACTGAGAGCGAAGGCATCTCCAGTATCCTTTTCTTCTTCCAGTTGATCGTGATCGCCGGTATTGTCAGGGTCGACTTCTGCGCCATCCTCCTCCATTGTATCCGGGTCTCGTAGTGGCGGCGTCTTCGCACGATTCTGCTGGCCAAAAGCTCGCTTTGTCAGGTCCTTAATGAGACTATCACAAAAGATATCCGGGCGTTCGCCTAGAGCGTAGACTGTATTGATAGCCTGTTCCGCAAGGCCAAACCACTCTTTCGAACGACAGGGATGTTCAACAGCATCTTGCAGCTTTCGGAAGAGCGGATTCTCCATATCCAGCCTTAACGATTTGTCCATGAGCGACCCTGCAGCAAACATGAGGGAATCATACGATACAGTCGACGTAGTCAGCTCACCTTTGACCTTCTTCGCGCTACCGTTCAGCCGCTGCAAGGCGACGCAAGTGTATCTTGCCAACGTCAAATCTGCCTAGTATATCTCGGTCAAGCGATTTGGGACCGTCCGCGGATAAGATCCTTACCTTGCCTTTACTACCCAAACCCACCTTGACCAGCGTCTCAACATGATCAGCGACGACACTTCGCTTAGCGAGAGCAAGCATGCCAAGAATGATAGCGGCTCCTCGTCTCTGAGGTCCTGGTAGTAGTCTCTCCGAGCCTGCAGATCTTCTTCAGTGACGCGACTTTCTATTATCGCGGATAGAAAACGTACTGTAAACTTGCCACAGCTTCGCAACAACGTCGGAATGTATTTGACTATCGTCCATCATCGTGCGCATCATCTCTTCCAAGCTCGTCAGGTCTGCGAGTGTTGCATCGTACGTCAGTCTGTAAAGTAGTACGAAATCAGAGATCGCCCTACAGTCTAGTCGATAAGGTCCTGGGCTCACTCTATCATATTTTTGGCAATACGATTTACTTGCTGTTTTGGCTCCATGTCGGGGAGAGGATCGAAGTATAGACTCCTGTAGCATTCTAGGAGACGTGAGCGGACTCCCTTGAGCTCCTTGCCGTCTTCCGAAGTCGCACTGTTGTCCTTGGCCCAAATTAAATGCAGCATCTTCTGAATGCCCGCCTGAAAACTCGATGTCATTTGTCACGCTACGTCAAACCCATAACCTGCAAACTGACCTGTGCCCCATCAAATTGGTATTCATACGTCACACGGAAAAACTCAATGGCTTCCAAGACCTCGAGCTTATTCGTGGATGCAAGCAATCGCTCCGCATTCTCCATGCCCTCTTCCACTTGACGAATAAAGTTAAGACCCTCCGCATAGTACTTCTTGCGAAGGCGTAGATGGAGAAGCTGGTTACTCTCGAGGGCGGCAAGTGCCACTTGTTCGTTCGTCAGTGCAGCCATGTCGAGTTCGGATTTTCTTGACCTCTTGCTTTTCTTCGACTTGGGTTTGGGTTTTGGTGTTCGTGAGTTGTCTTCCTCATTGTCCTCTTCCATCTTGACGTCCTGACTTTCCTCTTCGTCCTCATCTACGTCCATACCATCGGACCTATCTTTCTCCTTCTGCCGTCTACGATAGCTCCAGGTGAGTAAAATGGGGCAAATCATTATGATGGGGTACAATGAGAACTAACCGCTTGCTCGACCGCTCCTTCGGAGGGGATTCATCATCGTCATCACTCTGTTCGTCTTCATCGTCATTGGCTTTCTCGGTCTCATCTTCCTCTTCCTCGCCCTCCTCCTCACCTTCATCACGTTCGACGGCTTTCCCGACCACACCCTCGACTTCGTCAAGCTTCTCAGTGGCTTCCTTGTAACGCCCCTCCCATTCCTGGAGACTAAGAAGACCACCGTGCATGAGCCCGTATGGATGCGTGACGATGAGCTTGACCAAGAGCATAACTGCGCCCTTGCGTACACTCGCGGCCTTGTCCTCGAGTGAGTCCACGGCGGCGCGGGTGATCGCGAGCCGCTGCTTGGGAAACTTGACTGGCAGATCGCAGAGGCGGGCGAGCACTGCGAGCACCTTGGTGCGGACGTAGGAGGAGAGGTCGAGCGTGCGCTCTAGCAGCAGCTCGTACAGCCCGTTCAGCTGCTTCTGGACTTGGTGCGTATCCGTTGTCAGGTCCGATGAGAGCGCGAGTTCGCGGATGAGGCTGCCGATGACTTCCACAATCGCCATTCGCATGGGATACGACTGTAGAACAAAGTGAACTTGCGTACGGATGAACGGCAACGCCCACGTACCTCTGAATCTAGGTGTCCGAGCAGCAGACTGATCTGCTTGAGCACAGATCGTGGAGTCAGTTCGGCAAGTCGAATGAGGAACCGCGAAAATGCGCGCGGGCCTTTAGAGTCCTGTGCATTGAAGCTCTTTCCAGCAATTTCTCGCAGGATCTCATCCCCAAGCTGCGCATGGTCGAATTCCTTCGCCAGTACCGTCAAACACTCCGCCATTGGCTCCGACAGATGCTCGTAGTACTGCAGCGACTGCATTATACTGATCTGGGCTGCCAACGCGTGGCCGTGGTGTTTGACCGCGAGACAGATCACCTTATAAACACCTAGCCGGATCGGCTGCACCTTCATGTATTGCTCGCTTTCAGTAATATGATACACGGGTCGTGTAATGCATCTAGGAGAGTGCGTCATGGTCAATGATGGAGGCAGAGAGTGCATGACGTACTGGATGAAGGTATCCCGTTCCGCAGTGGTCAACCAAATCTTCTGCGTCTTTAGTCGTAGCACCTTGCTGATAAGAGCGAGCGTGGCTGGTATCTGGTCCACCCACGTCCATTCCGCTGCACTCTTCTTCGCCGCCGTCCTCGTAGTAGCTGCCTTTCCGCCTCGTCCTCTCCTTGCCTTTAGGGCTGGCGCTGCAGGAGCGGCGTCCTCCTCACCAGAAGCTTTCACTTTCTCCGCCGCAGTGACAAACCAGTTAAGCAGAAAGGCGTACATCTCGAGCGGTGCTTTGTGTGCAGCCACAGTTCGCTGGTCCTCGTGCTCCACATCACGTAGCGTTCCTTCTACCTGCGCCTGGAAGGCGGACGAGATCGAGTCTAGTATCTTGTTCATGAGGGCGCCCTGTAGCGACTCCGCATGCTTGAGCAGGCTGCGATAAGCGTCGAAAACAGCGGGGTCTGTGATCGCTTCCGACGACTCGGCGAGAGCTTCAACCGCCCTTTCAAGAACGTGGGCGACGCCTCGCGGATCCATAGAGGGTATGTCGTGTTCGTTCCGGATTTCATAGTTGCTCAGGTCTTGCTGCGCTTGAAGTTCTTCTTGTAGATCAAAAGTGTCCATGACGAGGACAGTTAGTAAGGAACCTCCGATATGACGATTAAAGCTGTACGATAGGACAATCTGTTATAAAATTGTAAGATCTATGCTTCGTAATCAGTAAACGTTGTAGGCGAGCCGGACGGATGACTAGGAGCACCACCTTGATGGGTGGCCTACAAGGACGACAAATAAAATGATCATAATCCGTAACTCACCTCAAGAAGTTCAGTATAAACAGTCAATTACAGCTGCAGGATTTAAGCCTAGGACGCTGAGAGATGCGGGTTGCAGGAGACTAGGAACGCGTTCAACGTTGACGACGCGTGGGTCACATGAGGTCACATGCCCTCGACACGTACCGTCACTCTGTGACCACGGCCAACTACTCAAGGGGCCGTTGTAAGTTGGTTGTAAGTTTGTCTTTCTTAACCGCCCTCACGTGGACAACCTACCTGCTCGAAATCCTGTTCACTCAGTTTTTTCTCCAAGACGGCTAGTATAGTTTTGTAAGTTGTTGTGCTTAAGTCCTTACAAATATACACTAATCGGTGGCGGACAGCGATTATGGCCACCGTTACAGCCCGAAAACTACCACCAGAACTATGTGATATTATCATCGACAATCTGTGGGGCGATATTTCTGCTCTTGCTGCTTGTGGTCGCACCTGCCGTTCTTGGCTTCCCAGGGCCCGTCGCCATCTCTTCGACGACATCTACGTCCACGGCCACAATATTCAGAGATTTATGGATCTCATAAGGGACAATCCGTCTATCCTCCTCTTGGTCAGATCTCTCACTATGGGTGATCATTTCACTGAGTGGAAGCTGTTGGTGGCGGCGCTATATGCGGTCTTCGTGCACCCCAATCGAGTCAAGATTGTCTGTCTGAAACAGTGGAAGATTCTCGTCGAGGTCAAGGACGCCAAAATTCTGCATTATTTATGGCCATCTGTCCAAATTCTCTCCTTTGTCGACTGCGTATTCGAGATTTCCGTCTTCATGCGGATTTTATGCGCTTGTCCCCAGCTTTCCGCCGTCAATGTTCGAAAAACTAAGATCATCGGAGATTCAGCTCCGCCATCCTTCGCTCCCCCCAAAAGCCTGCGTCTTACGACACTAGACCTCAAGATCGAAGAACCCGTCCCTTACGTTCTGACGTGCTTCCTGACACAACCTTTTGATCTCCAGGTCCACTGGTTGAAGAGTAATTGGTCGAACGTGTCTGCAGAGAAACTCCGAACCGTCCTGAGCCGTGCTGGGACGTCCCTACGACATCTTTCAATCGATGTGTCTGTGGACAACACCCACGAAGCGTCTTCTCATGGCACTTTGGACCTTTCAGTCAACCCGAATCTGGTCTCGCTGCATGTCGAGCAATTTGTCCAGACCACTAGCTTCCGTGTCGCGCGAAGTATACTCGCCGAGGTTCGGAAAATGCACACCCATTTCCGGGAGGTATACTTCAGCGTTGAAGGCTGTGTTAACAGTCTGCAACTGCCGTACTCGCGCCTCGACAAGCAACTAGCCCGCATCGCTGGCTTAATAGAAAGGCGCACGGCGTTGCTAGTCACCTTCATTATTATTAATCCCGAAGACCTCGTCAAATCCCAGGAGTTAGGAGACTTAATCGAGAGTAGTCTGCCAAAGTTGCAAGCTACGCGAGGTCGCCTCAGAATTTTGGCTGTTGATTCTGGGACAGACGTCTGTGGCCGTGCAGTGGTGCTAAAGACGCATTTTGACGGCGATCCGAATGGAAATACTGAGTTCGATGGAAGAGGAGATGGCTTTGGCTCAGGACTGCGTCTCAAAGCTCCTCCTGGCTTTTTCGATTTTGCCGTCAGAATCTGACATCCAAACTACAGTTGTCGGCCCGGGAACCTGTTTCGGGCGTAGAATGATGATCGCCCCACTGGTATTTTCTTCATATTTCATACTGTATTCTCTGGACACGTCTGTATGCACCCGCTCTCCTGCTCTTACAGCCTGCTACTGAGTGCACATTGTATACGCGCACATGCCAATAGACTAACGGTGAGCAAATCTACATCTGGCGTCTCTCCTGCGCTCGCGAGCGTCCCGGGAATTTATCCAGTCTTGTTACGTCCTTCCGTTCAGTTATCCGCAACTCATGTACTGAAGAGTTTCCCGAATGCGTGTAGATGTGCGTAAACGCGGTAGGACTTTAAAATGGTGTAATTCCTGACCCTAGCTGAGCTGGGGGGCTGACGTTGTCCATGTTGCCCCAGCCCTATGCTCCTCCAAAAAAAAAAAAAAAAGAGTTTCCCGAATGAGTGAGCTGCTCCGTACTTAGGCTGTACTTAGGCTATGCGATGCACGCGCAAGCGCAAGCGTTGCTGTGCATTTACTAGTACTGGCATGATTCGCAATCAACGTCGGTATCTCTCAAGCTGTGGAACACAATTTGGGACAGGTAGCGAGCCTAGTTGAGAAACATGCCACGGCGAGGGGGAGCGTCGGAGAAAACTTGGGACGTATGGTAAGTGTATAGTCGTTGAATGACGCTTTGATTACACTCGTCATAGAAAAATAGAAGGGCCCTCTCATTCATGTCATTGCAGCGAATACAAACGATAGAAATCATACACGCGCCAGGAAGTTACACCAGTCGCGGTTCCACGATAAATAGCACGAAAAGCCATTCCTACGCTGACTTGTCTTCAACCGCTCCATGCTCGCCACCTTCCCTGTCCTGCAGTTTTGAAAACACGGCGCTGAACGAGCCCCCTGCACGTCTTCTCGAGCGATACGCATCTCGAGTGGAGGAGCTAGGAACCCGCTTCCGGTCTTCGTTCGTGAACGACGCGAGCTGCCGCAGCGGAGAGGGCGGCGACGCACGAGTACGTTGGCGCTGCACCGTCACGGAACCGAGTGAGGGGCGCAGAGGCCCATCAGACTCCTTCAAAACGGAAGTTGGTGCAAGCCACCTCAAGTTTTTGGCATCCGACGCCTGTGGCGCGCGCGAGACCGCTGGTGGAAGTAGGCTGCGTCCTTCAACTTCGACCTCTTCATTCTCGTCATCTTCTTCGTCGATGCTCACATCCAACAGTGAGCCGAGTGGCGGCGCACGCGCAAGACTGGAGCGCCTGTTTGGCTTGATCTTGGCTGGACTGGGACAATCCCACTCCGTAGAATAGCGCTTTAGCGAGCTCGGTGAATTGGCCACACGAGAGGATGAGAGGGATGATCCAGAAGATGGACGAGGAGGAACGTCTTCTTTAAAAACACGGCGGCGTGCAATAGTCTGGCTCGCCGAAGTCGATGAGTGCGACGACATCGTGCAGACAGTTGAAGATGGTAGTGGTCGGTTGGCTCGTGGAGAGGCGCCGGTTGGTGAAATGGGAGACCGTCTTATATACTTCAGAGGAGCAACATGCACGTGTGAAGTGGCATTGTTCGTCGGCCGGCCGAGGTTTGTGCGCAAAGCCTAAAGCGCCAATACAAATGTGGATGAAGTGACTCACACATGAGATACCGACATTTTAAGTTCGTCGGCTTCGTCGCACCGGCTTGTTTGAAACTGCAACCACATTCCGAGTCCATTTCGAACTTGAAAGATCACGAGCTTTGGTTTATGATACATTCACTGTGTTTTCGCCGTTCTAGTAGGGGGTCTGCTACGAATAGGCTACGCCAGATAGAATACATAGTTTGATGGGTAGCCGAAGTCGCAATGTGAAGATAGGCGGAGTAGGGCAGATAGCGAACATAGCTGTGACCCCCACTGCTATGTCATAAATCTTGATGTGAAAGATGTGTGCTAGCCCACATAGCTTATGCATCGCATTTGGTGCACGATCTCACTTATCTACGACCATCTGCTACGTGAGCTATACTACATCACTGTGCTCCTTTCTATACAGGCTTTCTGGTGTACCTTGCACCAGCTACATTGGCTATTCCACGTAGCGATTTCAAGCTTGACGTACATATAACTAGTGCTAAGTTCAGGCCTCCATCGGCCCAAGCGCATCATCGTGTCCAAGGTCAAGTTCACCTGGCGTACACTACGTGCTGGTTCCGCGCCCTTCCATCCACAGATTCACTGGCCCGTTGACCGCTGTCTAAACATATTTCTGGCGTGCCGTCGCCGTCACCTTAAGAGCGAGGAGTGCTGCGTTGCCTTCTATCTCCATGACATGGTCTCTGCATGCTCTTGGTCTCTCGGGTCATGGCTGAACATGCGATGTGCTCTACAATTCTTGTGTTTGTCCAAAGTTGGGATGCTCCATTGACACCTCTCGTGACAGGTATGTGAGAAACAGACTGCGTCGCAAACCCCATCGGAAGATCGACATGCAAAGTCTATTCTGTTGCAGGTGTGATTAGGTATGCAGTAGGGGATGTGAGCGCATCAGGAGTATCTACTATTAGTATATAATGGAATAGACGGGTGTTGTTGATGGTAGCCATGGAGCATCGCCAATATAGCTGAAGTTTGATATTTCTTGTAGCCTAGGAAGTGTATGCTGTAGCTTCTAGACTGCTAGTGACTACGTGCTGCGCGGCATAGCCAACGTATCACCTTGTTCACTACAGGGGATCGCACAGTGAAAGATACACTTGAAGCTTGGTAACCCAGCTTGGGGGTTGATATGCAGAACTATGCAGCGTAGCCCAGGTCCTAGTTATACCACGTATCCATGGGGGTATCTTGCACCCAGACATAAGGGCAAAAACGCAGTGATTTCACGGGGTTACAAAATTCGTTCATTTTAAGTGTTTAAACGCTTCCGCTCTGTGCTATGCCACAGTATGAGAACAGATTACATGGCACTAAACGACTGGGAAGCGCGTTATAACTGTGGAGGCTTCTCGATACTTCTTTGACACCTTCGGCAACGTGGCAACGCGTGGCACGTGAACGTGACGCGACGCGTCGCGTCAGTGGCTCCGACGGCACGGTGCGCTGCGGAAGCAAGTGCATACGAGTGGGGTGCAGTTTCAAAACCAAGAACCATCTGTGTGCCGCGTATGGCGACTCAGAGAGGCAAAAACAGGTACATTACATCTGCAGGAAGTAGGCACCAAGAAATATCTCCTCGAGGCTCGAACCACTCACCCTGCTAGATCCCGCTCCGGCTTGAACTCGTACATCGGCCAGTCACACAAGATCGTCTATTTCACAAACCTCGGCAGGCGGCGGTAGAGTGCGGGCGGGAGCGGGAACAGGACGGACGTCTGCGAGCGGTACGCCTGGTAGTTCGCCCACGCGGAGCTCGCAGCGAGCCTCGCGACGGGCGTGATGGAGCTGTCATCTTCAGTGTTACTTTCAACCGTCCTGCGCGTCACCGAGCTGTAGTCTTCCTCGGACCCTGGCAGAGGGTGCGAGAGCAGGTAGAACTTGCGCGCTTGCGGCTTCTCCGCAGTTGGGAGGCCAGAAGCGAAGAGGAGCAAGCTGGGTGGAGGGGAGGAGTTAACGGTAAGTGGTAAGAACGTCAGATCAATGAAACGTACGACATGGTGAAAAGCGGGGACACGACCGCACCATACTGTGCAGCCTTGGTAGATGGGCGGAGGCTGCCGTGCAGATTAGGAGTGACGCAGATGAGTCAGATTCCCCACCAGCAGAGCATCCTGACACGTTTACAGATAAGATTCGTCCAGTAATTATAAAAGAAATTTGACACTCACTCGCCAAAATATGACGGATGGCGTGACCACTTCCATAGGCCGACCTACTTGTCACGTAGAATATCAGAATGGTACGAAACATTACGCAAGTACGACATACATTGATCGGTTTGTCCTTCGGACATGAACTACAAGTTGCGCGAGCAAAGAATGAGCAGTCGATAGACACGCATTGGGGAAGTGCGACACTGACCTTACGCATGTCTGCAGAAGTCTCAAAACTCCAACCAATCCACATCAGGAAAAGTCAAATCTGCTTAGCCTCCTTATCTGCCTTAATAAGGAGAAATAAGACAATCCTTCTTCTTATTCCTTCTTATTCTTCCTTATTTTCCTTATAAAGAGGAAAAAGAACAAATAAGGAGAAATAAGCAATAATAAGGTGGGAGATCGCCTTATTTTTCCTTAAATAAGGCAATAAGGAGGTTAAGCAGATTTGACTTTTCCTGATGCAGAAGAAAATGACACCAAGAATGTCGGTCGCCTTGCTCCATGCTGCGTATGATGAAAAATATGTATATGAAGAATAAAAAAGGCCAGAATTGGCGAGAAAATTAAGAGACAGTCGCGCTCATCGCCAACGACGTGACGAGCGCCACCCGACGTGCGGTGTGCGCACAGCGCTCGGACGATGCCGAATAGGCGCCGATATTCTATTTGCCGAGACACGCCAAATGCCAAAACTTGACCTGACCCCATTGGGCGACCTTACTCGTGGCCAGTGCCCATCCGCGGGCTGTGTTTCTTCTTTTAGTTGTGTTCCCTACTGGGGGGGCCATTCATGTCCTGCTTGCTGTTATTGACAGATCCGACGTACTCATCGTTTGCACCGTCATGTTCAGAAGGTGCACAGAGAGTAGACGACCGAACATCCTCGATATTAAATAACCGTCCTTATTCGAACTCGCGTGGACATAAATGCTGAGCTAGACGCATAACTCATTGCGGCCGTCCACGCGTCATGGTAAAACTACCACTTGCGCGGTACTGACCCACTCAGATAGCGTATATTTGTCAGGTATTGTCGCGTGTGCTTCACGTGTCAGGCTGTGGACGTTGAAGCAGTCGGAAGCTACATTGATGATCCTGCGCACCCGGATTGATTTGAAGGGGACGAATTTGGTGTGCGTGGTATTGTACTGAGGTAAGTACGTGGTTTACTCCTGTTCTGTCTCCGAACTTGTCCTACTGGGTATTTTTGATGAGGAGACTCTACAGATGGTGACACGAAGTGGAATACAGTATATTTGAAGATCAGCCGAGTTTCGCGGTTTGAGGTCAAGGCCGGTCTACTTCGTATATTATCAGCTTTTCGAAACACCCCTGCACGCTCGCAGGTCCAACCAAATGGAGTACGTCTAAGCACTCTATTTATATCGCTCTGGGGTAACCACTGATTGCCCGTAAAGCGTTCAACGCGACTCATGGCCTAGGACTGCGCCGAATGGACTAAGGTCTTCTTGTGCGTGAGCCGCTTGGCCTGTTCCTGCGACATGCTTCCAACTACACGGCGAGATCTATACGTGGACCCGCGTACTGGTAGGTCGAAATTCTGTTGAAGGGCATCATTTTCCTTCAGAGATCAGCTGTCCCGTTCGAATGTATGCCGGCGGGTATCCGATCGGAAATATCACTGCGACAGATGGCTGGAAACCGTTTTGAACGCGTGTTTCCCGACCTTTCAGGCAGCACCCGCGGAGACCAACTCAAAGTTACTGCCCCGACAATTGATGAATTTCGTGCTCAGTACAGAGCAACCATTTGCAGATGAAACACAGTTTCTACTTGCCGAAGTAACCAAAACCTTACATTCACTCAGGGATCCAAATCCTGGAGGGTCTCAAGTGCAGGTTGTGTAAGTACGTGCCTAATCCTCTCTCACGTCGCAGAGTCTCAATTGACCGGTCCATGCAGTCAGGACAACATCAGTTTATTAAGAATAGCCGTCATGAAACTGCTCTGAGGAAGACATCAGTTTATTAAGAGTAGCCGTCATGAAACTCGTCAGAGGCAGCGACGGTGCCCCGGAGCATAAATACAACGGGTCTCGTACACTACTTGTCATCGTACGAGGCATGTTGCCCACCACTCGTCTCTTCGCCCTTGTAGCCCTCGGACTCTCTGCTCTCCTGGTATCTGCTTCCGTCTCTCCTCGCGTCATCCACGAATCCCGCCGGAGCGTCCCTGCAGGCTGGCGCCCTGTTCGCCGCGCAGAACCTTCCACCGTCCTCCCACTCCGCATCGGCCTTTCCCAGTCTAATCTTGACAATCTCGAGGCGCTTTTACTAGACGTCTCGCACCCCGAGTCCCCCAATTTCGGCAAGCACTGGAGTGCGAAGCAAGTCGCAGACACCTTCCGCCCGTCTCAGGAGACCATCGACACCGTTCGTGCATGGCTGGTGGAAAGCGGACTTGACGCAGAACGAATCAAGCTCACCAAGGGCGGCTCGTGGATCCAGGCTGATGTGACCATCGCAGAGGCTGAGGTGCTCCTCGGAACGGAGTACTATATCTACCAGTTCGGCGAGGAGGAGGGCGGGCGCGAGCACGTCGCGTGCGCCGAGAGGTACCATCTGCCAGAGCATGTCTCCAAGCACGTCGAGCTCATCACTTCGACGCTTCACTTCGACGTCAAGCATAAGCGCGAGACCCACCGTTTTGAGAAACGCGGGCCCGAAACGGCTAAGAGCATTGGCCAGCCCGGTTTCGGCGCGAGTTTTCCTAAAACTACGGGTACGATCCAGGTGAGTTTCAATTTCATCCCCTTTATTGTATTTTCCCACATCGCTGAAGCTGAATCGCCAACAGCAAATATTTACAGAACTTGAAGAGTGCGATAAGCAGATCACGCCGGATTGCTTGCGCGCCTTGTATGAGTTCGAGTATATTCCCTTGGCCGCGGACAAAAATTCCATCGCGATCGGTAGGTGTAACAGCTCAGTTCCACAGTTGTTGCACTGACCATCCACTAGTTGAGTATACGCCTCAAGCTTATACTGCGGCAGACCTGGACATGTTCTTCGGCAATTTTTCGCCTAGTCAGGTTGGCGAGAGACCGTACATGGTGTCTATTGACGGAGGCAAGTTATGTTCACCTTAGCTAAATTCGCCTTCGTTGACGTGTCTTCGAAGGTTATGTTCAAACTGAGTATACCGGGTTCAACTACAACGGAGAATCGAATCTGGACATTCAGTATTCAATGTCGCTCGTTGGCCCCGAGCAGACCGTTACGCTCTATCAAACGGGAGACATGGTCGAAGGTTATTAGCTCGTCTTTTCAGTCATTTAGATGTCCGATTTATGGTCTGAGTACACAGGCGCTTCGTTGAATAACCTGGTCGACGCTCTTGATGCGTCTTACTGCACATTTGAGGGTGGTGATGATCCCACACAAGACGGCATTTATCCTGATCCCTACGGCGGCGGTTACGAAGGTAAAGGCGACAACCGCAGTTCTCACCGGGGCCTTCGATGACGTGTATTCCCAGGTCCCGAATCTTGTGGCATTGTCACGCCCGCCTACGTCATGTCCACTTCGTACTCATATGATGAAGCCGATTTGACGCCATTCTACATGGAGCGCCAGTGCACTGAGTATGCGAAGGTCCGTGAATATGCTGTTGTACAATTTGGAAAAATTGAACTCTCTACAGCTCGGTCTTATGGGAATGACCATCCTGTATTCATCTGGTGACTACGGTGTCGCGGGATACAACAATACCTGCCTATACCCTAACGGTACCCAGGCCGTGGGTGCACCAATCTTCAGTCCGACGTTCCCCTCGACCTGCCCGTACATTACGAGTGTCGGTGCTACTCAGGTCAACCCAAATTCCACGGTATGTCGTATTTTCGCGCTGTACGGCCGTAGTTCACTACTCAGGTCAACCGGATAGGTTCTCGAGCCTGAAAGCGCGTGCGAGCAAGTGATCTACTCCAGCGGAGGATTCTCAAACGTGTTCGCCATGCCGTCGTACCAGAAGACAGCAGTCGAGTCATACCTCGCGAACTATCCCCCACCGTACCCTGCTGACATCTGGAACTCGACCGGCACGTCGCGTGCATTCCCCGACATCTCTGCGAATGGGTACGGTCCCTCACTACTGGGTTGAGACATGAGGGCTCACACTGATGCTTACCTGCAGTGCAAACTACGTCGTCGCCATCCAGAGCGAATACATGTTGGTCTACGGAACGTCATGCTCTTCCCCGGTCTCAGCCGCCATCCTCTCCGCCGTTAATGACGCTCGCCTTGCTGTCGGAAAGGGCCCGATGGGCTTCATCAACCCTACGGTACGTCCGACTCCTCCATTCCGTCGAAAGCTTACCGAAGCGATGTGTTTCTCCGTCATGCAGATCTACACGTCCCGTGGCATGGAAGCGTTCAATGACATCACGACTGGCACGAATCCGGGCTGCGGCACTGTTGGGTTCTATGCTGAGCGAGGCTGGGACCCGGTTACGGGCCTTGGCACGCCCAACTACCCGAGATTGCTCGAGCTTTTCCTCTCACTGCCGTAGAAGTATGATGACGATTTTAGACCTTGTGCTTGGAACCTGCTGTCGTCGTTCGCACGGTCATTATTCCCACGCGCTCATTTGGCGTTCTGTCGACAGTGTTGTAATGGAAGCGCGACGAAACATTGGATTATTTTGAGATTTACGGGTGTGCCGCAGTGACGACATATCTTCATGCGTTTTTCACCTGGGCGCGCTGTAATATTCACGGACTAGGGCAGAATCGGCCTGGTAGACGATGCGCAGTAGAGGAATTATAGGAGTATGCTATCCGTGATATACTTCGACGTTCGAGCTGCGCGCGACCGTGTGCAGCAGTTGATTGATCCTCTGCCGTTGCAGGGTGATGGAGTACCGGATTGTGGGGCACGAACACGAGCGCGGAAGGAGAGTATATTCGAAGTGAGCATGGTGAGTATCCATCGTAGTCGGCGCGAAGTTGAAAGGTCTGCTAGAGAACGTGAGGGCGGCGAATATTTTACACTGGTGCGGACGGTGCTCGCATTATGAGTGACATAGGTGCAATGTCAAAACCAAGAACCATTTCTGTGACGGCAACTCAGAGAGGCAAATACAGATACATTACATCTGCAGGCAGTGGCCTATGAAGGCACCAAGAAGTATCCCCTCGAGGCTCGAACCACTCATCCCTGCAGATCCCGCTCCGGCTTGAACTCGTACATCGGCCAGTCACACAAGATCGTCTGTTTCACAAACCTCGGCAGGCGGCGGTAGAGTGCGGGAGGGAGCGGGAGCAGGATGGACGTCTGCGAGCGGTACGCCTGGTAGTTCGCCCACGCGGAGCTCGCAGCGAGCCTCGCGACGGGCGTGGTGGAGCTGTCGTCCTCTACGTTACTTTCAACAGTCCTGCGCGTCGCCGAGCTGTGGTCTTCCTCGGATCCTGGCGGAGGGTACGACAGCAGGTAGAACTTGCGCGCTTGCGGCTTCTCCGCAGTCGGAAGGCCAGAAGCGAAGAGGAGCAAGCTGGGTGGAGGGAAGGAGTTTAACGATGAGTCGTTAGAACATCAGATCGATGAAACGTACGACATGGTGAAAAGCGGGGACACGACCGCACCATACTGTGCAGCCTTGGTAGATGGGCTGAGGCTGCCGTGCAGACTAGGAGTGACGCAGATGAGCCAGATTCCCCACCAGCAGAGCATCCTGACACGTTTACAGATAAGATTCGTCCAGTCCTTATAAGAGAAACTTGATACTCACTCGCCAAAATATGACGGATGGCGTGACCACTTCCATAGGCCGACCTACTTGTCATGTAGAATATCAGAAATGTACGAAACAGCACATAAATACGAACGACATACATCGATCGGCTTGTCCTTCGGCGGGTTTGAGGCTTTGTACATGAACTACAAGTTGTGCGAGCAACGAATGAGCGGTTGATAGACGCGCATCGGATAAGTGGGACACTGACCTTATGCAGGTCTGCAGAAGTCTCAAAACTCCAACCAATCCAGAAGAAAATGACGCCAAGAATGTCGGTCGCCTTGCCCCATACCGCATATGATGAACGCTCCGAAAGCGCGGGGGAGTTGAGGATTGTCAGAGGAAGCGAGATCGTCCATACCTAAGAGGGTCAATATAGCATCGGTAGACTGTGAGTCTGAAGGTCGGTTCGTGCTTACCCAAATTATTTGACCTTAGGATAAGTATAACGCACAAATGAGCCATGTTCGCCACAAAGAGGTGGAAATGACTCACCGACCCAGAATCCTGCGGTAACATAATGTCAGCCGAATATGGGTAGGAACAAGGAGTCTGCACATACCGAGGAATTTGAAGAAATGGGAACGTATATCATCAAAACGACTATCGCTCCCATACTTAAGCACTCGGTATAAGAGGAAAGCTGCATTCATTCCCACTACTGTCAGCACGGAGCGGACAAAGTGAGTCATGACGTACTAGCCAGACGGACGGCCCAAACCATTACAAAGACATTCGCGAGAATGTTACGAGCAGAGAAATTGCCACCGAGAAGCCAAGTGAGCAACGCTGCATGTCATTATTCCATCAACAGTATGGATTTGGCCGATGGTGGGAGATACGCACACAATATAAACACATTTGAACCTTCCACAAATGAGCAGTCAACACTGAGTCCTGACTGCTGAACAGAAAAATCACCGAGTACGCACCTCCAGTGAAGTCTGTGATCTTGTCAAACTAGCAGCACGGAGGAAGAATGACGTTAAAAACGGCCGACCTCCCATTAAAAATACAACTTGCTCACCTGGAACGTCCATGCGATAGCGAAGCCTAGGAGCTGATATCCGATGGTGACGAGGAGGCTAATAGAGAGGTAAAAATGGTCAAGGACGAGTATTGGTGTCATGACGAGGACGTTGAAAAGCCGTTAGAACTCGAGAAAAGGGGACAGTTATTGGAGGGGGGAAAGATGAACGTGTGGATTACGGAAACGATGTCGATAGGCATGAGGACTGTGGTGTGTCTATATACATGGCGGTACTGGAGTTGCGGGCGATGGATCGCGGTCAGCCAGAAACCACACGGTCACGTGCAAGCGGCGTGCATCAGCAAAACGCAACTTTTACTTAAAAGGGTACTTAAATGACTTAAATGGACTTATGATCCTTATTTAAGGGTATAAGGTCAAAAAGGGGCCTAATGCATATTACATGAGTGTCTGAAATCAGACTTATGGACACTTATTTGAAGACTTATTGCCTTAAATAAGGGTTGTAAGACCGAAAAGTCAAAATAGCTCTGTAAGAAAAAGTTGGGTTTTGCTGATGTGCGCGTGTCTTTGGAACGCGGTGAAAGTAGAGAGCGAAAGGAAACAGGCACATATACGAATCCATCGTGCATACATGATACAATATTAGCAGAAAGGAAACAGACCGGAAGGTACCGTACGACATACTTCCTATGTCCCGCCGCCATCAGACAGACCCGCCGCCCGGCATATCCCACAACAAAGACGGGGGCAGTACAAAAGCGCGTCCTCGAGCCATCCCTCTCGTCGTCCTCCACACCACACAAACCATTGGATCTTTGGTAGATTTCCAGTTCCCATATCCGACCATTGTCATCTCACCAACACCACGCCACCATCTCCATCACTGCCATCTCAACTCTCCCAGCAGGTTACCACGCCTTGAACGGTTCCGTGACAGCAGTAACATGTGATCGGAATACCATGGAATACACCCACATCATCTGCTCACAAGGGGACAGTCGGTAGTGCGACGTTCACAAGCGATAACCGTGGTGAGGCTGAGCGTTGGGAGTGCAAGCTTCTCGGCCCCAAGACAAGAGGCGTGGGCGTCCATTGACGCGAAGCTGATACCTCCCAGTTGCGCACGTCGTCAGCGGCCGATGTGACGGTGTAGTCGTGCAGCGGGGTGACAGGCATGGGAAGAGCGCGGACGATGTAGCGCACCTTCAGAGACCATCTCCGACTGAAAAGGGACAATTGCCGTTACAGAGCTGCGTGCAGATTATCCCTCGAAGCGACCACACAACGCGGAGACTCATCGCGTTGTGCAGCTAGGTGGCAGGTTCGGTGGGAATGGCCGGACGTTCTCCATCTCCCGCCACCAAGGTGCGGCAACGGCAAGCATCTTGGACGATTCCATTCTCTTTCGTCGTCCATCTGCGAGGATGTAGTTCCCAACGATGGTGGAGATACACCATAGAGGACAGAGGATGAAGATGCGCGGGATGTGTCTCCTCTGCGTTGGTGGATGGATGAGATGCCCAGTGCCCATCTCCATTTTTGCCATCCTCCACCTCACTCGCTCTCCACATTGCAGCCCCTGCCGCTCCTCCGATGGCCGCATGGTGTGTGAACGCGATTGCGCGTGGTTCTCTGCGTCAAAACGGGGAAGCGCTGACAGAGTCGGCACCACGTCTCTGGATGACCACTCCCAGAGTGCACTTTGTCGCTGAAGGAGGTGCGGTTGCCTTGAAGACCGGCTTCCATCGCGTAGTCGCAGTCGGACGCTCGTACGAGCTCTGTCGTTATGTGAGATGCGAGACGAGTAGGCGAGGATCCAGGGAATTCCCATCGTCGTGAGGAGAGTATCTTGGAGGCAGATCTGTGAAGTGGTGGATTCAGGTGAGGTTCGACCAGGAGGCAGGCACTCCTTTTATACACAGGCGGCGGACAATGCAGTCTCAGGAGGGGTTGGCGGCGCCGGGCGACGCCGCCTCTACACTGAAACCTTTGTGCTCGACGAGACAAAGGAAGATCTAAATATGCGCATGCTTTATGGGTGCGTAGACTCACTTCGCGCGTTCCGGATAAAGGCTAATAGGCATTGCAGAGAAGTTATGTAGAATCTGAATGAAGATATAATTGTGTTGACGAACCGCATTCGATCTATATTGAGTGCTTTACCGGTCCCTCAACCGCTATACAACTTGAATATGGTGGGTGCGCTCAGCGACGCAAGAATCCGCTGGCTGTGCACTCCGAGGCGACCACATTCAGCACGGACGACACATACAAATTGTTTCACAAATCTAGGAATATACTTCTCGATGAGACTCACCCACCCGAGTTGCACGCAGAACCCTGAGTAGATCCGCTTGCAAAGAGATATAAGATACAGCCTGAAATAACGACCTACAGAACGTGGCCACTGCCTCCCGTTAAGCAGACGGCGTAGTGACGAAACTACAAGGATAGTTATTTTCGGGAGGGTGCCACGGAGCGAATCCACTAAAAACGGTGGGGCACCGCGTAGTAAGTGTCTGCAGCACAAGACCAATCTCGTTCCGGGTCTCCAAAGTAATATTTGGTCATCATAGCTGTTTTGACGGTATATTGACAGTGATCTGACCGGTGATGTGGGGGTTATGACTACTCCAGATTCCGCCAGAGACTTATCCTGGGTTGATTGCACGATGCAACTCGTTGCTGGGAAGAAAGGCATGGTGTGTTCAGGCTTTGTGAATGTCCGCTGTCATGGTGTAGAACGCCGAGGGAGCTATTCGAGCGTCAAATTCGAGGAGCAAACCTCCCTACCATCGATCACGAATTTTCTCACGTGCTAAGCGCCTCATCTTGCTCTCTTCTCTCACCACTCGCGGCGAGTCCGTCAGCGTGGTGCTCGTCGCGCTCCAAATTCTTCGCCCGTCTATCTAGGTACGCTTTCGCTTTGACGTCCGTGAAATGGGAACGTCCTCGTACTACTAGTCTACTCGGTCTGGCTGAACGCACGGCGATTGCGTGATCTATGGAGTCGGATGGATGGAGATGATGGACAAGGATCTGGTGAGTGATGCTCTAGAGTTTGGAAATGGTGTTCAAGCTTGTGTTTTGGATTTTGTCCGCCAGTTTTTTCCAATTTGCACATGTCCGAGCGCACCAGCGCATAGACAGAGTTTGATGTGGAAATTTCTTTGCGAGCGACACTTTGTACCGTCGACGCTCGTCCTCCTGCGGGACCTTTCGTTGTGAACGCTTGTCACTGCTGACACCGGACGACGTCCTTGCACTCTTTGCAAGCTGATCGGTGGAACATGCAGTCTACATCTCTGGAATCGCAGGATGACAGCTTCTGTTGAATAGACTTTCACGAAGTTTGTGCCCCAGAATACGTGCGTTTTTGAGGTATGTCGTATTCATACATTTTCCGCTTCGAATGGTATCTTCTCCCGCTTGGATAGACAGCCGACGGCCCCCTTCACCAGTGAACGCTCGCCATATGCAGTTGTGTCGCGGTCGGTGTATAGCCAACTATATAGCAATTGCCACACAATTCACATGGTTTGAGTGGACGTGCACATACGCATGAGTACTTTCTACCTTGTCTGGCCGTGCACAAGGTGTGGCATTTGCCAGCGCGGCTTGTATTTTCCGAGTCTGGATTGTCTGCAGTACGTGCAGTACAAAAAGGGGCCTGTTTTCTGGTATATCTTCTCGCCACCTGTAGCAGTTACACCGCTTTCGTCTTTCCTGTCAGGTACAGCATTCGCTATCCACGATAACTCCCCTCGGCATCAAAAGACCTCACAAACGGCAAGTGCTTCTAACTGTGACTTGGGGTATTATTGCCTGGCATGTTCACTTTATGCTTCTGCGCGCGTATATGTCCCTTCCCACTGCTTTCTACTTTATGGCGGCGCTTACTGGACGAAATACAATCCACGGCGAGTGTTTGTAGGAACGCGTCCACGTGATCGCATTTCACGCGTCAAGTCACACCCAGTCACGCGATCCAAGTGTTTCTGGAAGTCACGCTGTCGTGACGTCTATCTACGTTAGTGAACCTCCACACCTTTACACCCTTCAGCCGTTGAGTGCCATGATTTTAAGACCAGCCCCGCATCTGCTATAGGATGCTGCATGATGGATCTATCGATCAGAGTGGATGCCATGGGCATCGCGTTTATACTTCGCAAACTATACTGGCCAATTTGTTATATGCGGCTCAAGCATCAGGTCAGTATCAAATCCGCCTATAATTGAATCTATCCACTATCTCGGTGCTCCGTACCGTCATATGTGCAGACGACTGCAAGCTCCAGATCTGGCGATTGGTGACCTCGCCGAGGACGCTCAGTGCCATGCGCGTTACCTGGCTTCAACTGTCACGTCTACGGCGGGGGCTCCGCGTGCATCGACGAGGTTGTGCATTAATCCAACGGATGCGCCATCGCCTTGACACTCTCAAGAGTCACGTTCGTACAAGCCACAATATTGACTCAATGCTTAATATCATATGAGGATAAGTCCATCCACCGTCTCTGTGCTCCATGTGCTACTACGTGTTAGGGTGCGTACGGACGTGTGTGTGATATCATGATATAGATGCGAAGACAGCGGGAAACGTCAAGAAGCGTAAAATAGCAATGAAAAGCGGAAAACACCCCGGTTCCCGCCGAGGACAACGCTGATGTACTGAAAATGAGACTGGTGCGTCACAATCCACTCGTCCCGCCTTTCCCCTCTGCTCCGCATTATCGGCCCTCCAACCCTAACCCACTCACGAAGCGACGAAGATAGGATGCGTCGAAGGGACCCGGAAGACGCGGACGAACGGCAATGACGCGGACGAATGGCAATGACGCGGATGAATAGCAATGACGCGGATGAATAGCAATGACGTGGACGAGTAGCAATGACGAGGAAGAATGGCAATGACGCGGGGCGAATGGACGAATAGCGATGATGCGGACGAATCGAAAGCGCGAGACAGGTGGCATCGACGATGAATGAGCTCCATTTGAGAGGACAAGGACGGGCGCGCCAAACACGACGCGCACGCCGTGTCCCCTCCACAATAAATTAATGCAACATCTCATGAATCTTTCGCGCTCCGGCTGGGTGGTGACCATCAGCGTCCCCGAGCTCGGTCAGGTCGGACGCCTATAATGGTGGAAGATTTTTGACCGGAAGATAGATTGGCGTAATGATGCGCCCTGACGTCGCAGGGAGCGGAACGGGAGGCATCCTGGGCGCTGGTGGCATCGGCACCACTTGTGCAGGTGCACGGAGGAAGTGAGTAGGGGGTTGCGGGACTTGAGCATGTGCCTGAGCAGACACGTGCGGGGCGTAGGTTTTCATGGTGCCGCTCATACTGAGGTGGGATGCTGGTATTTGGTTTGGGGGCGGTAGATGTTGGTTGTGCGAATGCAAGGGCGGCATGGGCCAGTCGTGCTCTATAAGTTGGACGGACAAAGGGGCGACGCGCTGGTCACGGGCGTTCTGTTGTTTCAGCTTCGTGCACCGCATGAGTATGCCTGGGCCACCGAAACCCCGCGATCGTAGCTGGAATCACCGCTCCGCCACATCCATCACTTATCAGTTGTGTTTTCCAACGTCTCCCTCTTTTCAGAGTGGTGTACGTGCGCAGGCTCCGACCCGGCAACTCCGCTATCTGAGCTTGCTTCTGAGTGGTCAAGATTGAGGCTCACGACATGCGTTGGCCTGGCGTAATTCATCTTCGTCGATCTGTCTCCAATCTCGTATTGTCCACTTATTCGCGCATTGTGCTGACACCCATCCCTGCAATACCCAGCCAGGATAACACGTTTTCCATGCCATTTACGCATGTTCATGTACAGGTGTGCGTTCGAACACACATTGATCCGGGGGGTGATAATCCGTTCTGAACAGAGTACTCACGAGATACCTTAATCCGACCTGAATCGCTCGAGATTCCCGGTCAATATTGAGCGTTGAGCCCATGGTACCAATTATCACTCCTAAAAGACCGATCTCTGGAACGAGGCTTATTCTGTTAACGATGCATCACTCTCATCTCCTGGACCGGTGGCGTGCCGCTACCGTCGTTCGTCACACACCACCGTCGATCTGCATCGTCCTTCTCTCCCAATCCGCTCAGCATATACACGCTCTTCCCTCCTAAGTTTTTGGATTTTCCATACCAGCCGTACGTATAACTACCCGACGGTACATATGTTGACAGCACAAGTACGGTGGGCATGTAGACGTCGTGCTCATCAGCAGCAAGACAGACGCGTTTGAAAGACGTGAAGGACCGAATTTTAGATGGCTCTCCGATCGCCATGGCACCTACTGCGGCTGATATTCATCAAATAATCGCGCGAGCGGCAATCGGATTTCTTGATTTCTTCTGCAGAGATCAGGCTGCAGCGGCTCGCAAATTGGACGTCCGCGTCAGTAAATCTTGTTGTGTCTCTCGTCCACTCTATCTGATCTAATCTGACGGTTCTCGACATTTTCTGCAGTCCACGAGTTGTCCATTTCCCTGCTCTCCCACACGACGACCTTCAGCCTCGTACGCGCCTTCACAACCCATTCTCATATCGAATATGTATTGGACCATTTAGCGGGCATATTAATCTAGAAAAACTGACTACGGACTGCAGGCGAGTCACCGCATCAAGATTCGCGTAGCCTCTCTTTATTAATCGCCTATCTTACCAATGGCGAGCTAGGCTACAAGCTTGCACTTACTAGTTACAGCAGGGGCAAGGTACTAAATCCGACGTATCGGTGTGGCATGATTGACCAGATCGATCTTCTCGGTAGCACGAACCGCTTCCACGTGAATGAGAACCTACGAACGATGCACTGTCCAATTCCCCTAACCTCGAGAAGCTGTGAATTCTTGTCGATTCCTGGCTCCAAGGTTCGCATTGGAAAGGAAGTGCGAGCATGCGTCTTCAAATATCCAAGGTGAACGACACACATCTATATTCATACTCGTTCAAATACTAAGAAGCAAGCGATCATTCTATAGACCTAGAAAGTGTCAACATTAGATCCAGAGATTGCCGCCGAGCCTCAGCGAACGAACAAAATGGTAAACCTTCACGGGCACCGGTTTGCCGCTACGGCCGCGACATGCCTGCTCACTCCTCTATCATGACTCGTGTTCTCTCGCCTTGCCACAGAATGCTGTGAACCGCTAATACGTCTGTGCTAGACAACGAACAATAAAGCTACCAACCTGAGGGTCGCAGCCACGTACTAGCTGTACCCCCGCCGCGAGGCAGATCCGCAGCTCGAACTCTATCTGAAACGTCGGACATAAACCAAAAGCAGAGAACCGCGGAGCTGTGGGCCAAAATCGAGACGACGAGTCTCATGTGTCTCTCGCCAGCCTTGACCACAAATTTTAGATTTCTTTCTATCTCGTGCGTACTACGGCCTTGCATACAATCCCAGACCTGGCAACAACGTCTTGTGGGCCACTGTACCTGAAGCTGCTGCTGGATGATTGCACGGGTGCTTGACTCTTCGCATCTCGTTGTGGAATTGATCGAGACTGGTGCTGCCCCTTCTTTGGCTCTCACAATTCGCGGGGCTCGCGCATCCAGAGCAAGCCAAGTCTATTTTTGAGTCAATCTAGCTTGATGCTAAAATCGGAGTCTACGCAGCTTCCGAGTCGTATCGAACCCCACCTGCGCGAGGTCTTGCGCATATCTTCTCTCGTCCATCGCTCCATACATGTGTGGGCCCGTACGCGTACACAACGTGGTTCCTTGTCCTGTAGAGTAATAGAACGGCTACTGGTGACTGCAACCACGAGTTCACCGGTGGAGGTGCTTTTCGTACCATGTTCGATGTCACATCACGGATTCTCGGACGTAGCGTCGCGCTTCGGCGCCTTCCAGCTCTTGTCGGTCATCTCAGATCGAGTCTGAACTGCGGATGCACGGCGGTGCGCAATACTGAAACGCTCTTGGGGTGCCTCGTGGAGGACGTGCGCTGGCATTCGATGCGAGGTCGAGGTTTGGCATCTTGCTACTGTCTATTGTTTTCCTCACTCGCCTGATGACACACTGGCACAACTGCGGGATAGTGTGGCCAGAGGAAAAAAATTTGCTGCGCTAAACTCGACGAGTTGCACCCAACCCGCCACACCGCTGCTTTCTGTAACATACACGTGTTCCATTTCACATCCTCGTTGTTTCTTCATTGAGAGGAAATAGTTCTCCGATACGAGCGTGAAATCTCGTTCAGACTGTGGCTACCATGCCAGACTAGCTCACCGCAGTTTCCGCGTATAGTAACATCATACTCGTGCGAAATGTAGATTCTCGAGAACGCGTTCTGAAAGTTGACATAGCATCTAGGGGAATGGGTAAGAGACTCCTTGAGCAATTTTGACCACCGATAGCTGCTATTTCTGCAGAAGCGGTTCGTGAGCGAAGACCAATCCTGTAAAAGAGCATTACTATATTACTATGTCGACTCACCATATGTCAAGACCGTGTCCAATCTATTCCTCGAGTCCATGGTCTTCTTGCCAGCGATAGGTTGGAGTGGGAACCCCTCGAATGCCCACGTTCCGAGACATGCCGCAGGATCATAGCAGACTCGACGCAGTAACGACGATTGGTTTTTCTCAATAGCTGCGACGGACAGATGTCCTCGTACGTCGCCAGTATCCAGAAGGCGCATCCGAAGGAGGACACCATGTCCCAGGAGGTTGGATAATAACGCCACGAGACCGCCAGGTTCTAGATGTAAGGAACGCTGGAGGAGATGGTTGAATTCGATAAATTAGATCAGATAAAAGAGATTCAAATAAGTAACGGTCAGAATGATACTGACTAGCCAGAGACACTTTCAGCTTGATGCCCCTGCAGTCGTCACATCAAGACGGATATGAGACTCAGAGTGAGGGACTAGTCGCGTCATTATTTTCCTAATATCACCTACAGTGCGCGTGATACCTGGAAAAATGATGCCAAACGGATACGTCGTGCGATGGGATATGGATTAGGTTAGGACTAAGACGGAGAACGGAGCGAAGAGACGGGAGATTCACTCATACGGAAGGATATTGTGATATTTCTCGTCGTCAAAATCGGTCTGGTTCGAACGCGTTATAAGGACTCTGCACGTCAACATTGGCTAAAAATTCATAAGGAACCACTTTGCAGTCTGATTGAGAGAAAAACAGCACTCATCGAAAAACATAAACTTTACTCAATGGCCTGACCGACGCATATATGCCGGTGCAAAAATTCCGGCCTAGGTACAAACGACCGCAGAAGAGTGTCAGCCTGACCAGACATGAAGAACCCAAGGTGAGACAACGATACCAGATTGCAGATCGACGAGGAGCGGGAAGGGGAAAACGTTCCAGCCCGGTGGGTGTAATGAGCTATGATCTTGTCCACTCCGAAACCAGCTCAGATGGCGGAGCTACCTGGACTGACGCCGCGAGGAACCTAGTCTAGTCACGAAAGCTGCACAAGAGGACCGAAAGAACGGAGTGTCAATATGAGATTGAGGCAAATGGCGGAGGTCAGTATTTCTAGCTTTGATCGCTGAGTTGCGGTGGTCCAGCCGGACTCATGCGGCGCACGAAGCTGAGATGGGGCCCGGCGGAAGGGATACGCTCGTGACCGGCGCGCACCCTCATTGTCCCTCCCGTTTAAAAGGCGAATTGCCACTCACACCCTTTGATTCGCCTCATCACCACCGCGAGTCGGCCCCCAGGTACGAGCTCACCAGTATGAGCACAATTTCTCCAGCCTCTTCGACCGGATGCGGCCTCAATACCCCTCATCTTGTTCCAATTTCTTTGCCACCTATTGACATGGAGGAAGACGATGACGCACCTGATTGGGCGTTACCACCATTACTCCTAACTTCGTCCAACTTCTCTCCGGTCCGAACCATCGGGACCCCTCCGTGGGAGAACGAGCCACCGCAGGAGACATTCGGGGCGGACGAAGACGAGGAGTCGGATAAGCGGGAACCGCTGCTCCTCTTCATACCACTTCTCGATCCCCTAGACCTCGAGATCGTGGGCCTACCGTGATTTTAACTGGCCGCGGCGTCGCTCACCCGCACGCTGGCTGACCAGGTACAGATGCTTTGGCAGTCCCGGGTTGGAAAACGTTCTGACAGCGCCAGAGTCTCGTCTCGACAGTCCGTGGCGCAGATGGTGGGGGTTATTATATCGTTGGGGGAAGGCGCGGTCCTCTCAACTGGTCCATGGTCTCGCGTCGTGGTCATCACACCTGTCAGTCTTCTTCCAGTGAATCTCAGTCGGGTGATAACGGCGCTGGAGAGCCCAGAACGCGGAGGGGAGGGGAGGGTATGGGGAGTGGACTTTGACTTACCACTGATCATGATATTTAACACCTTGTCTTCGGGGCCGGGATCCCCGTGGTGCTTTCTGCTTTCTATTTGCTATCTTCGAATCCCCGCTATTCACATACATACATCATGATGTTCCCCACACGTCGCAGTGCATAGTAGGTTACGGAGCACCGAACTAGCGGAGTATCAGTAGGTGTAAACTAGGCGGACTAGGAAACTCACAGAATGAACTATTGGATCGCAGTTTACATATCGGCTCGAATGACCACAATTCTGCGAAGCCTTGACGCGATGGGGCACCCTCGGATCGATGCAGCATTCTCGGCGTAGGCTCGATGCCTTGTGAAGCTCGTATGCCAACATGCCTTAATGGGACATACACGGCTGTCCTCTCTCAGCAGTTCTGTTTAAATGTTACTATGCACTCAAGCGAGTTGAACCTACCCCGGGATGCCATTGATTCAGGTCACTGCGGCAGTGAGCGCTAAGCGCTTGACCGCCCGTCCTCGGGCATTGCCGGAAGGTCACAGCTAAGCGCCTTCGTCTACTCAAGATAGCATTAGCGACTTGGAGCACAAACAAAATCCTCTGTGGACTGGACTACGGGTATCTGGTGAGAGTTGCGTTCGGGGCTCCAGATTTGCGCACGTTCATTATAACAGGGAATGTCAACACCTTTTCCTCAGAGCTTGGTGGATTACATCTACTCGTGGATGATGACGATGAGGGGGAGCTGCGCGATATCGTTCCCGCAGATTTTCTGCATTCTATTTATCTGAAGTAAGTGTGTTTCCCGCCACGTCAGTCAAAACGGGGGGGTTTTTTTTTTTCGCTGGCGGCACGTAGCATCCCAGGGCAGGAGTGTCTGTTTAACTTGGACCACAGCGGCCTTGATGGTGTAAAATTTATAACACGCTCCGCTTGCACTTTCCTGTTGTTGTTCCCCTAGTGGACCACTTTCGCGCTGGTGTACTCCCTTTTGGTGGCAAGACCTGTTTTCAGCGTTTATACCCGGGCCAGTATCTCTAGTTCGACATTATTTTCTCACACCTGCGCTCTCAGGATCCCCTGCCGATGTTCACGTTCTGCTCGTGCTCCGGCCCTATTCTACGTGTGTGCGCTATTGTCTAAGCTCGTCACCGACAGTGTCTGTGCAGTCCAGTTATCAATACAACTCTCTCCGGGGCGGTCGTGCTTGAACTATGCCCTGTTACACAATTTTCGTCATACTGCTGGATCCAGCTAGTCTACGTAGGCCTCACGCATGCCTGGTCGCCTGAGCTTTCCGCCCCCATTTTCACGCTATACCGAATCAGTTGCCTTCGCTCGTGCTGCACTTGGTCTAATACTGCACAGCTCCCTCAGCGTGAGGATCACGACCTTGCTACTGCTCCCACTTCACCTTCCCTTGATCTCTCCCATAGACCGAGCTTCTCCACCGAAGTATATCCACCGCAGCACCGAGCGCAGCTGCAGCAATTGTCCTGGGTATGTAGACGTGCTTCCTGCATCTTGCCGTCCAGTAGTCTGTCTCATCGACAAGAATGATCCGTACGCGTCACCGCGCATCTTCCGGTACATGATACTTCATGACTTGATGCGGAGAGCACCTCTAAGTAGGGTGCACACGACGGCGGCGACTCGGAGGACGACAGTGCGGAAACGGCGAGGATAATGACCACGCAGTCGTAATTCCAGCCAAGGTTGCAAATCTCGCTTCTGTCGGCGCACTAGCGTGGGACGAGATCACTGGCCGACTGTGCATTGCCGACACGAGAACGGGAGTGGTGTAGGTTCTGACTTTGCGGCGTCGCCGTTGTCACTTGAGTAGGCATGTTTTACTGGTGCCGCTGGGACTGGATGATGTTACTCATTCTCCACTGCTCTAGTTCAAACAGCATTGCGGGAGCGTGTACTTGACCCTGACCTCGGAGTCCCCTCGAGGCCTCGACCAGAGGTGCTCCCGGTAATAAATGTTCTATGAATACTATATGAATACCAACGTAGGACCTACGCTCCTAGAAGGGCTCCACATTCTAGCGCTTTTTACATGCATCCCTTTTTTCCTCTGTGTAAGGGAGTTAAACCGCCACGAAGAACGACCCACCGTGCTGCCTCGATAAGTTGTCCGACGAAATACTTGTCGACCAAGTCTTCATGTCATCGCCATCCTGCGCTTGCGGCTGGTACGTTCTTTGCTTGCTATTCCACCGCTCAATGATTATCCAACGCGGTCGACAGGCCAGCGGGCCCATTTAGCTGTCTGGAAACGGCTCCTTCGTTGGGTCAACGTCACCCTCCCTCCTCTGCCACCGACGTCGAACCACTCGCTCCAGTATATGACCGGCACGGACGCCGAACATCTACTTCTGCACGAAGTCTCCCTGGAAGCACACCAAGCTGAGCTGCATGTACTAGTGGGACTTCGACGCATTCCATGTTCTGTCGATAGCTATCCCGCCAGGAGGGTATTATCTCATTGCGTCAGTTGCCGACAAGATGTGTATGCACTACTCTATCGTTGTCTTTAGTATGGACGACAGGGGAACTGGTGCCGTACCGTACCTCATGCGAAGATGCGGACCATAACGAACGTCTATGATCTGCGGAATACATGACCGTGAGAGGCAAGAAAGGAATATTCGTCGCTTACGTTCACGAGGATACAGGAGACTCGAGAGGGAGTAAGTCTGCCCTTCGCTCTTCGCAGTGGTTTTGAACGCTGAATGTGCCTAATTTCAATGACTCGGACGGAAATGTCGAGAACGAAAACAGCCAAGGGCTGTCAACCGAGTATGAACAGCACTACCTTTCAGAACCTGAACGTCGGCGCGACAGCGGCGCTGCAAACCCGGCGCCAAGGCACCCCTCGAGGTGTGCGCATTCTACGACCCGCTTGCCCTACGCCCACGAACTCGCCGCATACCCGTTGCACCACGCCGGGTGAGGGGGCTCCCGTGGCCGAGCGACGTCGAAGCGCCATCGTGTATTTCGTACACCTGTAGAACCAGCGCGAGGCGCCGCGCATCCTCGAATTCCACTGCTTCTCCGATCCGAGGAGCAGCTCACCCGCAGCCGCGGCGCAGAACCAGTGCAAGCCGTTCCCTGCCGCCAAATTCACGGTGCCGCGCGAGACGGAGGAACTGCAGACTGTGGGCCCTCTTGTGTGGGATGAGACCATCGGCATGCTGACTATCGCCAAGGGGAATGCTATGATGGTGCACGTACTGGACCTCGCTGAATCGCCCACGTGTGAGTGGAATGGGCTCTAATCCGAGTCGTCTCTGGGAGTGCGGTAATGATACTGATATGGTATTCGCAGTCGAAGCAGAGCAAGATCTCTATGTCTTCGAACACCCCAACGTCGACATCTTCGACAGACCATATTCCCGTAAAGCACATGAGACGAGTGATGCAGGGTCAGGGTCTGCAGATGAGGTAGAATAGGAATATGACCAAGGGCCTCCGCGTGGCCTATCAGGTGGTGCAGGTGGGCCAGGGGGGGCAACTATCGAAGCAGGGCGTTCGTACTGGCCAAGCGGGACTGAGCGCGCGGAGTCCTTGCGCGAGCCAGACGCGATAAAAGAAGCGGGTTGTTCCTATTGACCAAGCGCGTTGGACGATCCAGGGTTCTCGCACTGGGCAAACGGGACTAATCACGCCGAATCTTCGCACAGGCCAAGCAGGATGAACGGTGTAAACTGGTTGCCTGAAGAAGAAATGCCTGTGTCAAGTTCAGACCAAATTATGGCACTATGACTACTGTCAGCTGGACTGGGTAAATAATAATGCAGACCTGATGAATAGCGCTGAAGAAATGAAAGGCGCAGGACAGGTGCAAACCAGGTAAACAGCACAGATACGTCGTTGCCAATGGACGTAACCTAATGACAATCGCTTCCACCGCGGAAGCATATTGATGACCATTATCATTGAATCTTCCACTCTTTGTCTTGCTTGCTCGTCGTGCTCTAATATGGCATAGTATTGCTCCTCAATTTATTGTGTAGTTTTGTTGGATGTACGCACTCAGTGGTGTTCATTCCTGGGTATCGATTCCGTCGGCAGGTAGTGGCGTATCGTTCACCTGCGTCGCGAAAGGTTCAGCAAGTCAGAGTCATGCACTGTCGAAGTGATGAGAAGACGCCTTATTACTCGTTTCAGTCTTAAGTCATACATACCACGCGGAAACCCAGCCGTTCAACAAGAATAGGATTGTATTCATTTGGATGAGGTTCTCATTACCCCTGGATGTCGCGGCAAAGCAAAGCGGCCCACGTTGTAGGCCCTCGCCCAAGTACCCACCGCAAGATATTTAAGCTACCAGGAATTCCCCCAAGGGTAGACATCAGGCACGTCGTGTTACTTGGCGATCTCAAACGTTGAAGCTTACCTCCTGTTATAATAATACAACATCCTATCCATCCCCTCCGTGACAAGATCGCTCAGCAGCTCAACATGCTGCAACGTACTCTTCGGAAGAACTTCTTCACTCGAGACCGGCTTACAGACAACCTGCTTGCCCAAACGCGTAGAGATCTCCTTTGCGACGTCCTCCAAGGTGCAGTTCTGCCCGGTCTGCTCGTACCGAGTTGTGGGGCATAGGATCGAGAATGATGAGACGCGCGACTTCGGCGAGATCTTGAGGATCCAGAGAGCCCTGCAGTACTTTAGGGGGTACATAGCAATAAACGTGGAGGCTTCCGGTACTTGATTCAAGTCGAAGTTCTGTATGAGTGAGGTGGGCTGGGAGACGGAATACGGTCGTGATGGCGTTATGTAATCCGACGTGGGACACACCTCAAGGATGGTGTAGCCAAGCCCAGACTCTATCAGGCATTCTTCGACACCGAAAGCAAGTCAGACGGCCGAGACGAGATGGCGATACTATGGCGCGTGTTGTCGGCGGATGTACTTGATGGGTTGAATTCGAAACGCCTCTTCGAAGGTGCTTCGACTTTATGCAAGGCGATCGTGAGTGATCAGAAGCCGTTATCTCAGAGCTTCACATCTCGGACCGTCCAGCAATTCCAGGACGCCCTCGTGTAGGAAAGGTGATATCCAGAGGATGGGGTGACCGGTCCTCATGTCATGCGCTCCCACTGAGTCACTGAAGACTCAGGGGCCAGACACGGATATCCTGAGGAACGAAGGTTGAAGCAGAATGTCAGTCTACCTTTGGGAGACAACTCAGGGGGGCCGTCTACGATCTCTTGCCACCGTCGATCTCGTTTCATTCTGACTGCATCTATCTCTCAGTACCATGACTTCGGCTGGGCGAGCTTTTTGGCAGGCTGTTTCTCTCTTTCCAATCTTCGCGAAGGCAATGCTTACATGGGCGTATCAAATACCGTCTGCACTCGAGTTCTGTCTTGCAGCGTTCTCTAGGTACACGCGTTGATATCGCTAGACAGCTGTCGCTGTTGACTCGAATCCTCAGGAATGTGACCGTCCTGCGCGTGTTATCTGCCGAGCTAACGCTCTCATGTTTGTCTCATGTCATAGTCCTGGACAAGGTTCTCCATTTTGTGCCATATCATCGCATTCCGCTACTTGCCGTGGCGAACTTCTTCCTGGGATAGTAGGATTACGTGCTATTGTCACCAGGATCGATGTCAATTAACGCGGAATCGATCCGCTGGCTCGTGTTGGCTCTCCTATGCGGCGATGTGGATACGAAGCATTCGAAGCTCAGCGTTAGGCACGCCGCTCTGGGTCGTTGCTATCATTCGAATCACTAGCTTACGCGGCCTGGCATGTGCCTCAATGGATGCATTAGCAACATGCATCTAGCTCTTCCGGTGCAACCTAGACCCTTTCAGGAGGCTGAGTGACTCTTCGTAGATGTTTCCTGTTCGGATTCATGCAATGCCAAAGACGGTGGATCAATCGATCATGGCCCAGTCGAATGTGACTCCTTGTGTCAGACATCGATGTCAGTCGCAGTATAGTGGGACTACTGCGGGATCAATCACACGCCTGATCAATCAGCTACGATTAGTCTCTTATGCAGTATGTAGAGCACTCTGCTGATCTAGTGCAGAGATGGTGTTGCAATCCTAGATGTTTTCTTTGGCATCACTAGGATTCCTGCAGTCTTCAGGGTTGAAATCACAATTTCGGGCTTTATGCATTTTTCTTCCGTAACTGCATAGCCACGCTTGCGCCAGCGGTGCCGCCAGCGCTTCTGAGTTGTTGCTCTTTGTGGCTGCATCAGATCTCGATCGAACAACGACGTAGCGCCCGCTGGCGCCGTGGCGTTAAAAGGTTCCTTTTCATTGCGATCATCAGTATGCGATAACTGTTTTTTCTCATTCTGGGTTCGATGGATCCCTTCAAGCAATATCTTAATATCCTGAAAGAAGATGTCGCATGGCACAAATTCGTCGACGATGGCCAGAAATGGCCGCCTAACGTGCGTGACCTACGTGGCGAACTACTCACAGATTCTCGGCGGGTTCCAAGTTGGGTAACGACGGTAAATACATTCCTACTATACTGTCTGGTTTTCCGTTCTCTAAGTGTTCTATATACAGGGTCCCTATCCTCCCATCGATCCTCGAGCGGAACCCCTGCTGGAGGAATTGCAAAACACGTTCAAATCGCATGCAGGCTCACTTGAGGACGTGGCCTTCGATCAGCAATTACAGGGCATGTTCGGGACCCTTCTCAGTGATTGTGCCAGACTGCGGAATGTTATTTCATCCGATAGTCTCTGTGGCAGCGCCAATCCGAAGGAATCATTCCTGATTGTTATGATATGCAATGCGATGTCCTCCGTGACAGCAGATTTTTCCATAGAGTAAGCCTCTCTTGGCAGTGTGCTCTTTTTCGACTGATCATCATGTCCTGTGAAGTGAAAATGTTTTAGTCGCCTTGCCACGCTATCGTGGCGGCGGGCTGAACGTGCCTACCAAATACATGTCCAATGGCATCCAGGTACCACTTTTGATGTCTGTGTTCGCGGAGATCCCCGATGATAACTCCAATGCGGACGGATCTGATGTAATGGCAACCGATGCTGATACTGAGGAGGCTGACTCTGACGCAGAGTCGCACAACCCGGACGCGGAGCAAGGTGAGGACGAACCCCGTGAACCATCCGAACCTCCTCGGCCGGATTCGGTCGCTTCACCTATGTCTATGTCGACATTTCTCTCCCTATGCGAGAAGCCGGTTCTCATAGAGGAAAGCGCTAGTGACTCAGAATCTCCTTATGACCCCCAATCACCGGCGGAGCTGAATGCACACATCCTCGTGTATCCGCCATCTAGAAGACTGCCTAAGCGATGCTCTCTACCATTTCTGTGCGCTGCGGAGGAAGACGACCTACCCCTCGTGATGATGGCAATTCTCTACCAGCGATATGTGTGGAAGATCTCCGAGCCTGTCGTTGGTGTCGGGTTTTCCAAGTATCATACCTCCATTTATTTCTACATCGGATGGTTGGACGGGGATATCCACAAAGAAGGCTCATTAGTGAGGATACATGCATGACTCAACTGCATCCCTATCTTCTACTCATTTATGACTCGTTGCAGCCTCGTGTACATCTTGGTTCCTTAGGGCGAGACGGGTCCCTGGATCTGGCCTCGCTTGATGGGGCATTTGCACTGTGTCGTGCTGTGTTGGCCTTGCAAGGACTAGCGGAGCAAATGTACAGTGCTTCCCGAGCTACGGCGACACAGATAGCGGAGGAAATAAGGGATGATTCCGTCTCTATGTGGCGTCTTGATACAGTTGGATGCGTCAACGTGGTTGAATCAAATCCAGACCAACACGACAGGATTGCAGCGTGGGCACAAGGCCTCACGTATAAAACCTCCGCGGAGATGGCAGAGTAGGTGCCTCCAACATACCTCCCTTCTATCCACCCTAAACCCTGTACATAAGCACGATGGGCCCCAAAGCTACTAGATCAACAAGAAGAAAGGCGAAGTGCGTTTATTTGTTGCTGCGCCACGGCAATTATTGATTTTTGGGACAATTCGTAGAGCTGCAGCTCCCGAAAAATCCACATCTTCCGCCTCTGAAGGCTCTTCCAGGTCAGCGTACTCTAAGGATGCTAATCTGCCGTACGTTCTGCATCAACTTCCGCGATAGACATAGCTGATTGTGCCGTGCAGGGTAATCTCGATTCCGCAGGAGGAGAAGGACAAGTGAGTATCAGTTCGTAGATATCTTTCATTTACTGAGCACCATATCGATGAAGGCAGGATGAGCAGAGTCAAGCCTCAAACTCTCTGTACAACCCGATGTCGTGCTCAACGTGAGCATAATACTACCTACGCGATCTCTATGCTCATCTTAATCCTCAGATTTGCTGGTGAAGCAGCTAAAAAGGGAAACGGTGGACTCGTGTACAACTACCTCTTCAACAGACGCGTTGTTTTGTCTTCAACGTGCAGCAATGCCAAAATGCTGAACTTGTGCGAATCTTTTACCGGAGATGTCTGGCCATTTATTTGGAGCTCACTTGTGAGTAGTGCTGGAACCTCTTTATCATAGGATGCTCATAATAGCCAGGGAGACGTGCCTCGTGTTGATAGATCTCTAGAGCCCTTTAGACGAGAGTTGTTCGAACAGGCACAAGAACAATATGCACGTAAGGCTCCACGAGATGTACCGAAGGAGATCCTTCCACTGTTGGAAAGCAGCTTGTCATTAATTCTCGCTGCCACGAGACGTGCACAGAGGAAAGCGCGTTCAGTGATTCCTCCTTCCGAGTCAGTTTGGCGCCATGATTTCGACGCGCTGATTTTCGACTTCTTCACCAATGCATTGAATGGAACAATCAGCTTGCATGCGAGAAGCCAGGATACTACCGGCGTTACGGATCCTACAAAGGCTCTTCAACTCCCGGAAGATGATAGGCTCATCCCGTCGTATGTTCAATATCATCGTCGACCGACACTTGATCTAACTACATGTACAGCACAGAGCGGACGATATCTTTACCGAGAGCGACGCCATTGAAGAGCTCTTTTGCCCCTAAGGTTTATTCACACATAGCCGAAGGTGTGCCCAAGGATGAAGGACCTTATGGCGAGAGGCTGATGAAATGGGCAAGCGGTGACGGGCAACGCTTCCGAGCCGCATACGGTCAGGAAATCAAAGACCACATGATCGTACAGTCTCAAGCAGCGGCTTGGGTGACGCGCGGCGACGGTCCCAGCAATGCACCCTATCGTGGAAAATGCGATGCTCTCGGGACGCTCTCAGTCGACCTTCCCGTGCGACGCGAGTTGCTGGAATCTGTGCAGTTGGTGGTTACAAGCCAGCCCAAGGAGCCCTATGTAGTGGACAAGTACGAAAGCAAGGTGCCTACGATTTTCTCTCAAACATCTAGCAAAGAATTGACGAGTCAGAAGCACATTCAAACGGAGACTGCGGTGCTAGCGGACACCCAGCGCCAGACGCAGGATTCCATTGACAACTCTTTTCTGACCGCCAATCCTACACCACCGCCCGGGAATATGCCTCCTTTCCATGACGAGTCACCAGAGACTCGAGATTATGCTATTGCTTCCAGTTCTTTCTGTGATACCGACCTTCTGTATGAAAATGCAGAGGAATATCTAGAGTCGAACCTCAAGGTGATTTCCGAACGATACGAAACACTCACGGCAGGTCAGAGGAAGAATGCTAGAATCAAGAATCCGGTATCTATTCTCGAGCTTCCCGTGCTATTCATGGAATACAAGAAGCAGGATACGGACATAGCGAAGGGAACAAATCAGCACAGAATGTATTGCACAGCGGGGGCTACAAACTTGGAAGTAATGGGGCTAGAGGAAATACCTGTCTTCAGCGGACTCACCGATGGCCCAAGGGTTACGCTTGCCACAGCGTGGAGCAGCCATGACGTGAGCTAGATCTAGTTTGATATGGCTGCTGACCAGTTTGCTATCCTTAGATAATAGAGATATTCGAGCGGCACACTCGTACCATAGACATCTCGACGGCACTGGGAGCCTTCCGCTTTGCCAGCATCCTGGCAAGACTTGCCATAATTCATTGTAGGGACCTCGAGAAGCGCTTTGGTAAAGTGTCTAAGGATCTCCTTCGGAAACTCGAGGCTCGTGAATTTGACAATCCTGATAGCAAGTTGCAGTGGAAGCAGCCACCGCCTCCTCGACCTAAGTCACCCAAATCTGGAGAGGCCGGAACGCGGTCCGCACGGGTACCGGAACCAGTCCAGTGATCGGCCGGTAGAGTTCAAGACGAGGCGAAGGAAAGTTGGGGATGAAGAGAACGTTACAATATGCGGGAGCATGGGATCGACCGTAGTACTCCATCTCAATGTTATGGAATCTACTATGCAGACCGCTGAATTGCTGTTGCGGAGCGACATGTATGGATGCTTTTCACAATCTGTTATAGCTCGTGCACCCAAATGTCCAATAGTGGCCTACCGTATCAGTTGTTTCACCCAAGTTCCACCCTGCAACACACGCTGCACGTCAACTCATGAATGTTCCGAGAGTCACGAACGTGCCGACACTGTAACGCAATTGACAGCGGCGGCCGCGGTGGCACCTCTGATGCTCTTGGAAGTTGGCCCTATATGCATCTGAAGTACGAGGACTCGGAGCTCCCGGAAGTTTCCATTCTCTCGTCTGTTGACTGGCAATCTCTGAAAACAAATCTAGCGACATGTATTCTCACATTCTTCCCGTTTCCTATGAGAACAACATGCGGCAGCATGTAAACGAATTCAAACACCCCCCTCCCTCCTGCCAAGCAGCGTACCGACGGTCATCTGAAACTGGCATCAGAAACGACTCGCATACTTGGTGCCGAGGAGGCCTTCCTGGAAGGCATCAAGAGGAATAATCGTCTTTTTAATTGTGATCATATCGCTTTCAGATACCTCGGACTTTCGGTCCAGACTGACACTGGCGCTGGCAACCGACGCCGACGTCGCCTTCAGGGAGAACACCCACGATGGAGGGCGCCGAACCCCCTCGTGGAGCGTCTCATTCTGCACCCAGTCATAATCAACGTTTAGCGAAATGGTCTCACGGGAAACTACAGAGTGTGTAATTGCAAGCGCCTAGATTTCAAGTTTACAATCTGACCACGCAAGGGCCTCAGTGCGTTTCAGCTTTTGCTCCCTGACATACAAATCAGCGTTGTAGCTGATGATGGTACACACTCCCGGAGTCACTCTGTATGGTGCAGACCTTGTCGCCACCCCTGTGCACGCTTTTTACCCGACCCTCTGGCAGCTGTATTCCGTGCCATGGCACCGCTTCTTCTCAGTACTTCTAGGGGCTCCCAAGCTCTCGCTCGTCTACCAGATACGCATGCTGATGTCGTTAGGCAGCCGGACTGTCGGAGTCGAGATGTGCGACGAAAGCGGATAAGACTCCACAGTGCACACACCGTCAAGGTCTACTGGGAGCGCCCAAAGTTGGGAGGAGCTCCTGCGCTTTGGAACTGTGGATGGAAAGCATGCTGCGGATGGATACAGTTATGTGTCGGGACATCGTCATGATTCACGAGGAGATCTATCGGGCGATAAAAATCGAACGGTGACTGCTGCGGAATACGCAAGTGCTTGAATTGCTGATGCCGCCACAGCGGAAACTGATGAATGCCACGCATACAGTCGCGACTGGTCCATCGACAAATCATGTATCTAGGAGGCGAAGGCGATAAAGGTCGATACTAGTGTCAATGGACCGTCGAACAATGGAAAACACAAAGCAAACTAGTTCAAGCCACAGACATAGGCGCCCGACCGTTTTCATTGTGGCGGACGCAGTTAAGCGCCGTGTTGTCCTCTTAAAAACAAGCGCGAGCTCAACATCATGTCAGTCCTTTCTTCCGCACACCACTATGATCATCGATCGTCTCACCATTAATGTGCCTCCCAAGGTCGCTTCCACTCCACAGTGCGTCGACGAAGAGAAGGAGGGTGGCTTACGCTCACCATCCAGCAGCTGTTCCGAAGTTCCCCAAGCCGACGCACCATCCAGCCCCAAGACGGGTGAGAATACACGCCAAGTCACAGTTTCCGCCAACGGAGAATACAGACCTCCATATTCCCCTTCTCATTCCTCGTTCGTCGTCTACCCGCGCAAGGGCACGCTCCGCAAACCGAAGCCACCCCCCGGCGTGCCGTTCGATCCCTACTCCCTCGTTGCCGAGGACACGGACTCTGGCGACCCGCTGCACACGCAGAACAAAACATTATACCTCCAGGACATGCTCGCAGGAGAAGCACGCAGGGCACGTGGTGAGCCTGCGTTCCCAAGTATACATGGAGAAGGGAGCGTCAAGATGCGTGAGGCCGAGCCGGCTTCTGAACCTGTTGTCTGTGAGCCGCCTGAACGGCCACTTCTGCAGGACCCATTTGACGACACGAACAAGGTTGTCGATGTAGCGGTTGAGGATGAGGAAGAGGATGAGGCCACGGCCACTTCCAAGCGCGAGAACTATTCACGTCCACGGCGTTTGGCCACTTGCCCACCATGCATAGAGGTGAGCTGAGACTCAGAGACTTCATCAGAAAATAGAGTGTCCAACGACAGAGTGGGTAACCCATCCATTTCACGTGCGTTGTCTCTTTCGGCTATTGTTTCGAATTTCAATTTCAACTCCTTGTATGTCTACTTCAACTCGAATGCGATTGTATGATCTGTTTACTGCATCTCTAGCTGCACTGCTTTATGCAATGTACACGGTAGCAAAAACTTATGATAGAAGATGATGACTATGATGACTATGGTTGTATGTATAGATTTCAAAGCGCGTTTGATCGCTTAAAAGCTCGAGCACTCAGTCGACATATGCAGGTTGCATGAGACAACGAGGATCGGCAGGAACAGGACAGAACTCAGGGCGAGCGTCTGTCTCTGCATGCGAGGGCGGTTACTGTGCATTGTAGATCACTATCATTACAATATGAAGGTGCTACACTAGATCTCTCGAAATGCATCATGCATTAAACCATTGAGTCCATCGCACTACCATCCCGCCCCATGTCGTATCCCTTTCCATCCGCATTCTTACACTCCGCAAATCTTGATCTTTCGACCGAGATCGCTGCTTGTCTCAAGTGGTGTTCCACGGGCTGAGAAATGTCGATAACGAGCGGATCCATCGCGAACATTGTGGTATGTCCTCCCTGCCGTGCCTCAGATGGACGTATAGTAGGGCCATTTACATCTTCCTCCTGTGAATGCATCGCGTAGCCCATACCAACGCGGACGTTGATGAGCATAAAGGTGATGCCAGACAGCGGCGACATCATGACGCCGATAATGTACTGCACGTTCAACCCGAGTTCGTAGAGTACCATAGAGACAATCAGCAATGCCCTGTGCGAGACGTTAACAGATAGGCATCTGCAAACGAGGGAGCAAACCATACACATCGAAGGCGGCACTTTCGATGAAGACAGACAACGTCCACTAGGCATTCACATCAGCGATATCGATAGCTGAACGAAGAAATGAGCGTACCAACATACACGTGCCCACAACGGGCTCTGACCTATGACTGACACGCCATAGGCGCCAAACAATCAGCACTTAAAACGGGCAGGGATTTATCAATACGGTGACGGAAAATATTGCAGACGGGAACCTGACCACAACAGTACAAGTTGGTGCTACATTGTTGGGCATCAGTTTCCAGCTAATCGTTTATATATTTACCGCCACGTACCATAGACTGCAGACGTAATCTATTGTGACCCACCGTCCAATGCTGGCACCAAATACATTCTGACCCATGTGATATTGTGCATACTGGTAAACAACGACCACGTGACATGCTGACGAAGGGCAGAAATTGTGAGGTAACACATTAGTGCGAATAACGTTTTGCAACCGCGTTGGACTCACCGACATTGACGAGAAATGAACAGACAGGGATAATCATGACATACTTGTTGTGCTTCCAGATGATCCAAAGGCGGTATACCTACATCACTCCAGAAGCAGGATCAGAACAACAACGGATGATTGCTTACAATCACAGCATTCTCGATCGTCAGCGTCGAAACGAGAAACACTATCTCTGCAATTGCCGTCACTGCACCCACGTTCATGTAGAACTCAAGCGGAGATGCACCACCGTCAAAGTACACGAAGGCCATAAACGAGCGGTGTACCAGGAGTATCCAGTGCTTTTCCCGAGGAGTTTTTCAGTTCCACATGTAAGTAGGAGTTTGGGACGGAAAGACTGACCCCAGTAATAGTGATGAAGAGCAATATTCCCGCAATGAATAAAGGCATCTTCCAGATAGACTTGAGCCGCGATGTTCCAACATTCAGCCGGCCTTGACGCCGTACCATGAGGTATGAGGATGTGCAGAAGAAGACAACGAATATCCCGTAGAAAAGCGATACCAGTGGCACAGATGCGAGGTTGGCAGAGACGAGGGGAATGTCGTACATCGTGTAACGAGCCAAACGGAAGGCTAGACGATGTCCTGCAGCGGATTCTGTGCACCCGAGGTATATAAGGTACAGGCATCGAGTGATGCACCGCTTCGTGGGACTCTTCTTCAGTCGAAACCTAGTTTGAATACTCAATGCAGTGGTCTTATTTGTGATGGAAGAAGAGAGTGGCAGTCCGACGGAGATGGTAGGCTGATATCTTCTGTGTCGCTAAGCGCGAAAGATGCGAGATATACGGAGAACCGTGAGGTCGACACCATAACGACGTACAAGCAGCAACTTCAACGACGTTCGTATGTTGAGCCGTGCTTGTTATTATTCCTTATCGTTGCTTATGTGGATCTCGTCCGATGAACGAGAGGTGTCGAACACCAGATATTTGACTGACGTGGGCGGTAATGCGTCAAAAATAGCAGCACCATGTGGGCACTCACTTTCGAAGGTTTGCAAACCAAAACCACGCCACAAACTGTATCATGCCTGAGACGCCTAAGCACTGCCTTCTGCGGTCAGAACTTGCCAGCGATTCAGCCACTGGTTATTCGATTGGAACCAAAGCGGGTATCCTCGCGGATCGTATCTATCTCCAGTCTTGTGACGCAACGACGGAAACCAACAAGGTTGAGCTGCACAACGGGTCACGGTAAACAGCACTAGACTTACTGTATATTATGTGTATATTTTTGATATACTGGTCGCCTCGGAAGTTCACGCATATTAAGTTCGAGTCGCTGACGTGTCGACATTTAGTTGCAATTGTTCAGAATGGGTGAGAAAATGAAGCGCGCGGCAGACGCCGACCGGGAGATCCGAATCTTACACATGACATCACATGTAGATAGCATGCGACGGTCTCGCTAGGCTCATGATCATACAAGAAGGCCAGCCATTCCTTATAATTATAGACGTTTTTCTTGCAATAAATTGATATAATTCAACGGAATAATAGCCGACGAGAAGTCGACACGTCGATACAAATGTCTTCTGGGTCCTCATTAGTAACCGTGAGATCGGGGCAAACAAAATGTTATTCTGGCGCGCCATGCCATCTTGCTCATGACGACGACGCAGCATCCCTTGATTTCGGGGTGTGGCCCGTTTGAACAGGTAGACGGTAACAAGGGGGGAATATAACACAGCGAAGTTGCGCTGGAACTCCCTTTGACATGCTCAGAGCTCAAGAAAATGATTAGCGAGGGAGTAGTGGTAGAAGAGGAGGGTAAGGCAGTCCGAAGACTTGTTGGACACTGCAGGACCAAAAGAGCGCGGCATCGATCGTGATCTGTCGTCTTTGTGTCAGCGAGACCAAGGAGTCCACATTTATAGATGTACGAATACCTGTGCACCCCGTGCAAAGTGGGAAATCGCACGAAAGCTTGGATCACACCGTTTTCGATCGCACCTCAATCAAGGAAACAAAACTCATCGAACACTCCATATCCGATTAAGCATCCCTCCCATTTTGCCAGGCTATCACGCGTCACCGCAAAGGGAACATCCACATGTGGACGAATTAAATCGCACCGCGAATGTGAAATCTAGCCATCGCCTCCGCGAGCACCAAACCTTTCCAATCTGCGCTCCCGTCAAAGCTACGAAGTCCCGCAGAGAGAACACGTTCGGGCACATATAGCCCAAGACCATGATAAGGACGAAGTACCTTGGTTCGATGCCACAGAGCCTCACTACGAATGCTTCGAAGGCTGGGATACAAGCCACTTTCATCGGAGCTGGAAGATATGCAAAATAACCTGCGACCTCCTTCTGTGAGAAATCCAAGAACCCAAAGAGAACCCAGCCATGGCCTAAACTATAACCATTCGGAGAGACTCACATGCATGATGGACTCTGACATCGGCCAGGCATAAGTGAAGCTTCCAAACGGCACCTCATAAGTCATTCGATAGTTGCGCACGAGACTCTGAAGGATTCGTGCTGGCCGAGTAGACGATCGTAAGATCGGTCGCCATCCAACGATACTAACAAAGTCCGTCAGCGGTCTTCAACGAACGCCAAGACTTACTGGGAATAATTGGTCCTCTCGCATTTCAAAAATTTAAGCGTTACTGCCCTACCGAAAGGCACCAGGATTTTGCAGATCGATGTGCCGCCGACGTGACATATGGTAAAAGCGTGATTAGGAAGTGATTCACAGACCATGGACGTTCGAGAGTTATCGAGAATTCGAAAAGAGCCTAAGCAGGATCATGTTGTAGCGACGCTGGACATCCAGACGAAAATTGACACACGGATGAGCGCTTGAGCAGATGCCGACATGGTTCGCAGATCTAAATCTTACACATGACGCTGTCGAGGAACAATGGACAACCGAAACGTGCATATTATCATAGAGCGCCTTCAAAGGCAAACACACCCACTTCGAACTAACATTATCATACCAGTTACATTATGCCCTACTCCCGCCACCCATCAGACTCCCGCGCCGCCCAGCGGCGATCTCTGCAACAAAGGAACGGCGAGAGCACAAAAACCCGTCCTCTGCGAATATTATCCCCGCCCCCCCACCTCCCGAGAGCCAGCAGTACCCGTAACACAGGAGGATGCTGTGCCAACAGCGTCATTGAGCTGATTATCCCCTCCGGCTGCCTCTGCACGCGTGAAGCGCACCTCGTTGACCGAGGACGCCTCCGCCCGTGCATGACTGCCGTCGTCGCTCTCACCGCACAGCCCGACCTGGACGCAGACTTCACGACCGTGCATTCAGCGTCGAGTCGGAACAGACAGCCATCCACACCGCCTTTCCACCCCGTCATCTACCCCCACCAGCATCTTCCCTATGTGCAGGAGGAGACGCTCGCGCCCCTCGGCGCATCGTCAGAGGGTATGGAGCACCGAGTCAAACAAGCCCAGCTAGGTCTTCGTCACCGTCAGCACCGCACACCTACGCCATTAGATGCGCGGGCGGTGCACCTCACAACGGTGGGCAGCGACACCCGCGCGAAGCACCGAGATGGCCGACGACGTTCTCCCCATCTGCGCTGCACACACGCTGCTACCCCGTGGATGGGAAGAACAGGAAATGCGCACTGCCGTGCATCATTGGAGGGCGCGGAGTACCGAGTCAAACAGGCCCAGCTAGGTCATCGTCATCGTCTTCGTTGTCGCCGCGCGCATCTACCCTATTAGATGCGCCGCGTGTAGGCGACAACGCCCGCGCGAAACGCGAAGCACGACGGCGATCGATGAGGTGCTCTCCACGAGGCACCGCCCATCCATCTATCAGCTAGCCAGTGTCATTGATCTCAATGAATAAATCGGCGTGCGTCGCTACCGTTCAGGTGGGAATCGACGGTGGCACCTATGCTCTCCCAAGTGAGGTCTCTCGCCCCACTCAGGTGCCGCGACTCCGCTCGGGCTCTGGATTACGCGGGCGATGCGATAACCAGATGCCCCGAATGCGTTGTCGATGGACACAGGCTCGGGCAGCAAGTGTACGCAGGATAGTGTAGGCGTCCATGACGTGGCAGAGGTGCGCTTGCGACTCAGGGTGGACTCCGGGGCGCTGCGCACCTGGCCGCACAGAAGGTGGAGAGGTCGTCGAGGTAATAATGCCGCACCCAAGCGTCACCAAGGTCGGGTCGGTGTGAACCTCAAGGGGAGGTGAGGTGGGTATGAACCGCCGTACTGGCGCTAGCTGATGTAGATATCCCGGGGGAGCTATTCCTGGGCTGGAGGTGCTGCGAGGAGATTGTGGTGCGGGCAGGGCGTATTTATATGTGGAGAAGGATGGGGAGTGGTAGGAGCTCCGCGGACGATGCATGCACTAGAGGTGCGGAGAGAAACAATGTAGGCCCAAGGAGGTGAGCGGCGTTGATCGTGCGCTAATATCCTTGTGCTTTGTGTCGGACGAACAAACGAAGCCCAGTATGTCCATATGAATCTATGAATGTAAGAATGAATGAATACACGCACGCGCAGCGGTAACAATAGCGCCGAAGACGACTAGCTTTAGCTAGATTGTCACCGCAGAGGCGTTTGGCAATTCCATAATGAAGAGATCCAACGATAGAAGTCTTTCGCCGTGAACACTCTCCGGTGCACTCGGAGAAAGAGATCGGATGACAGCGGCACCACTTTTGAGTCGGCACAGCGTAGGTACATAGTCCCATAAAAATCCGAACTCAAACAAGAATGAGCGCACTACTGGACGCGTCGGGAGCCACCGCGCGTCCGTATAAACTGAGCCAAATTTCGACTTCTAGCGAAATGGAACGCCGACAATTCAGCAGAGAGCCTCAGGGAGCACGTTCAATGTTCGCGAGCAAGCCGATGACAAAGTATTTCTCGGCTGTCAGAATACACATATCCGTGCTAGAGCATGGTCCCCGGTGGAAGAGATAGTGCACTGTCCTTCGGGGCTAAAACACACAACAGGACGAAGATCGCGTCGCGTTTTCTTGGCGCTCCTTTCTACGAGTCAGCACAGAAGCACAGATCAGAAAAAAGGAATGAACGAAAACACGCACACGGCCAATAACCAACAACACGTCCACGCCATCCCACTACACCCGTTCACGCTGATATCACCCCCCACAACGAGAGATTCCAGCGCCTCCAAGCTCATCTTGCGTGTAGTAAAGGAACCGGCCAAAGTCCGCGGCTAGACGTTTGGCGAGGAATTCATGTCGACGAGGGAATATCGAAATTTCGGTCCTCGGCCCTGAGGCCTGAGGCCTGAGATACGAGATACAAGCACAAGAGAGAGTAGCTAGTCGCCGTGGAAGAGCCGATGGTATATATGCCTCGTATGCGCCTCGAGAAAATTTGTTTTGAGCTGCGTCCAGCTAAGATCGCAGTACCAGTCGCGGATGAAAATGACACGGCGGCTACCACAGATCGAAATCTCGGGCATGACGTCACACAGACCGACAATGTACGACCGACATAGACAGCATAGCATACAGAGAACCGCTCATACATGCACCATACAAGTCTTACTATGTCCTCCACGCCGCCCGTTATTCTACCTCATCAGCTCAAATCCCACGCCGCGCTCCTTCCACGGCTCGGACAAAGGAACGGCTCCAGCACAAAAGCCCGCCCTGCGAGCCGTCCCTGCTTCCACAGACACAGCCCAACCAGCACTCCACTACCCCAGCCAGCACTCCAAAGGGGTAGAGCACCGACCCGCTGGAGGTCGGGCTAGTCGCTCGACTCGCCGCCTCTCTCTGCACTCGGACTACCAGCCTGACATTAACGGAGATCCATGCAACTCGAAGTAGATCGCGTCGACGGACGTTCCATTCCGCGAGACGAGCGGCAAGAGCAATTGCAAGTGCATCCCTTCGGTGCATCGGCTCGAGCGCGCGGTGTACCTCCCAGCCGACACTTCACCGTCCTTCCACCCACGTCCCCGGAAACATGACTCCCTATCCGGTTTCGTTGATCCCAGGTGCACAGGCAAGCGCATCCGCTCGAAGCGTCACAGCGCGTGGTGCGCACTGCAGCTCGACACGGTGTCCCGGACACGCTTCGCGTCCAATTGGCGGTACTTGTGCAGCGAGGAAAGTCAATGCGATAACTCGACTCCCCCGCCAGAGGATTAGAATCATCTAGTGGTACCCAAAGAGCCCGTCCGCACCCAATTGCACTCCCATGAAGGGGTTCTTCATCGGTCCCAGTTCCGACCAGGCCTTCGAAGTCCTATGTAGCTATATGGACTCGGACGATTTTATCAGGGCCGACGTGCTCACAGACGAGGGGCAGTCACCATGGGAGACCGCCTTCCACCGGGAGGTACGCCGCCTCGAACGTGATGCGCCACGTTCGTGCTATCTCACGCTTTTGGGCATGGGCAATAACGGTACCCTCGCCCAAAGTGGTGGTGTCGGGACTAGCATGGGTGGACGCACTTCCCGGTCGCGTGTTGTGCCCGAGTGACCGGTGACGGGCGTGGACGAGAGCAGTGGGAATGGGCATACGCAGTAACGGTGCTCTCGATCGAAGTGGCGTCCAGCGTCGGGACTAGAACGGATAGCGCTCGACAAACTTCGCCCGGTTCTCATCCACAGAACCAATGCAAGGGTGGTCGAAAACAGTCGGCCACGTTTGAACATGGCCACACCGCGCGCGACAAATCACAGCCTGCGACAAGTCTACGAAGCTGGGCGCACCGCGGACCGAGTCGGGAAGATCTGCGATTGTGACTGTCATTCGGGTGAAAGGAGGCGATAGTCTCCAGATGTGCCTTCACGTGCGAACACAGGCGTGAAACCAGTGACGGTAACTCCGGAGCGAACGTGCACGGTTCCCGGTAGCGTATGCACGTATCGTGCGCGGGTGACCGGTTACGGCGGTGGATGAGTGGTGGGATTCGAGCTGGGGCGTTCTACAGCTGCTTTTTGAATAGGATTGGCTGGGAGATGGAACGAGGATGGGCTGGGCTCCCTCTTTTATGCAGCTTAGGAGGACAATGCAGGCTCGGGAAGGACAAGGGTAGAAGGGTTGAGCGGCGTTGATCGCGCACCATTATGCCAGTGTCGGGCAGTATGTGAATATATGAACATATATGAATGTATGCACCATGGAACGAGTACACCTTGAGGGTATTGAAAAAAGCTGGCTGAACCATCGGCGACGCCGGAGAACGTCCCGTATTAATGGCCGCGCGCCGACGAGTGAGAGCCCGATGTGAGGTGGCAAGGGTTCGCCCGGACGCAAACGCAATTTCCAACGGCTCGTTTACAGGCTAAAAAAGCAGACGGTCCATAAACGCACATGAGATCGAGATGGCGGTGTACTATCGCCGCAAGTAGACACAACCGCGGACTGGAAACGAACAGACTCGGTGTAATCAGGCTACAGATATTCCAGTATCAGCGGTAGAATCAGTATCAGGAACGAGCCAAGGTTTGCTCGAGGCTTGACGGTGGGAGTTATCTGGAGAATAGAGTCGACCATCGCGAGAAACGAGAACACCAGCCATAGTACACATATCATAGAGGTCTCCCGGCAACGAATCGATAGAAATGATACGGGTTTCTCCTTGCTCGATAAGACTCGCCACGGCTTGCATCCTCGCGCTACGGGGGACAATGTCGAAGCCAAAGGAGGATGAGAACGATTCGGCAGATGCCGAGACAAACACAGATAAAGATCCTACGCATGACGTCACACGATCGAAGGATCCATACAACCGACATAACATAGTAAGAAACAATTGGACAGGTACAATATAACCTATACTTTGTCCTCCTGGCCGCCTATCAATCTGCCACACAAAGACGAAGCCCGCCGCAGCGGCGGCACTTTCCACGACTCAGACAAAGGAACGGCACCAGCACAAAAGCCCGCCTTCTGCGAACGAGCCTTCCATCACCTCGCCTGGTCTCACATATGCAGCCTAGCCAGCTCTCCTCTCCAAGTGCGTGTGCTGACACAGAAGTCCCAGCACCTGCAACCTGAAGGTGGCAAGGGCCTCGGATTTCGCACGACCTGCGCCAATGCCAGCGCGTGTAATGTACCCCCGCATTACCCTATCCCTCGCTCCGACTGTATAACAAGCCCGACCTTGATGCAGACTATGCAACACCCTTCGTGGTTGCTGCAGTCCAGTCCCGCATCCGAGAGGTGGGCAAACAGGCGCATCCTTCCGCAGTGCCCATTAGCGATGTCCCCGCACGCAGGAATCGTATCTGCGTTCGTTGATGCAAGGAGGGCGAGCAAGTTCCCTCTTGGAGCGCGCGGTGTCCCACAGACGAGGCGAGGCACACCCGACCATCCCCACCCGTATTCGTCTACAGGTGAGAGGAGCAAGGAGCAGTGGGAAGTAAGTGCCTCCGGCTCTAGAACGCGGTGTATCTTGACACGGGTCCTCAACGCGCGTCGGACAGCTGTGATAATCCTCTCCATGCTGCACCTGCACAGCCTCAGTTCGTCCACAGTACACGCGGACACCTCAGCCTTGCTCTACTACCTGGAACGCGTAGCCTCTCCCGATTAAACTGCCAATCCATATTCCGATGGAGGTTTCACGGGGAGCGCATACACGGCGCGAGCGTGATGCGCGTTCGTTCCCTATCCAACAGCATCAGTGCCGGACTGACACAGCGGCACCGGCGTCGTAGTTCCCTGCTGCGTATTCAAGTTCTGCACAAGTGACCGGGTACGGCTACGAGCGAGCCTTTAGGGTGGGTGGGAACGGTGAGAGCGGCGACCACGGTGTGAGCTATCCCAGCAACTTCTCCACCCAAGGACGAGGATCAAGACACGGCGTGGCTCGTCCCTCCCGCGTCGGCCAGAGAAGTCTAGGAATGGCGTGCATGGCCATTGCTAAACATCTGCGGAAGCATGCCCGGATGTGAAAGAGTTCTATGTGGGACTTGAACCCTCCCGGGCGGGCACGTCCGAGTCGTAGTTCGCAATGGGCGTGTTTTTGAAGAATGGGTCCAGAGAACATGTCGGCTGGCGGTGAGAGCGGGAGCCTGGGGGCTATTTCCTGGCTTGGGCTGCGGGACGAAGAGCGGAAAGACACGCCGCTTTTGTACCTAGCGGAGGTGGAAGGGCCGGCTGTGGAAGGGATGGAGAATGGGGACAATGCACGCTCGGACGGGACGGACGTGCGAACCACGCAGGTCGGATTCGCATTCGGATGAGGACGAGCGGCGTTGGTCGTGTTATTGTCCCGGATTAGTCCTGCTACTAGTATATGCGTATGTGAATGTATAAAAATATGAATCATGAACGGAAAACGACGTACGTAGTATATACCAAGCAAGTGGCAATGAGAATTGCCTTGCGAAACATGCGGAGATCCTGATTTTCCGCGCAGAGAGAGATTTATTTGCCCATCGTCAACGATTCAACCTTGGCAAAATGGTAAGTAACCCTGAAGACAATCCACGACTTAAAGAGACGAAATACAGCATAGAACTTCCAGGTAAAGAATCAACCCCAAGCCAGAAATTTTGTCGGATAACCGGAGTATCCGGCCAGTGTTCCGCAACCAAAACTTCCTTCAATGCGCGTTGCATCCGACATTTTTGAAATCTGAGACTGCAGTCAATTGCAAGTCGTCACGCGTCACCACTCCGCACACCGTCTCACACTCATAGCATGCACGAAGGTGAACTCCTCAGCATATCCAATCACTTGTTACAGGTGTTAAACAAACACGTCCAGCCCAATATACGACGATTCCAAACCTTACACATCAGTCCAGCTTATTGAGTTCCACGCTGCGAGCAGGCACGTTTCACTCTTTGCCGTCGTCCTCGCGGAAGGCATACTGTCCCATTCCATGCCATCAGCCTTTATCGCCCTATTAGTGATGCACACGCACATCAATATCCCCGGGTCCCGGCTTGGAACCGACTTCGACGGCCGGAATCCCGTCCGCGTCACTAACCATGACTGAGACCTAACCCAACCAAATCATTCCTGACGCTTGCTCACCGAGAGTGGGGCGGGTTGTTGTTGTTGTTGCTCTCCTTGCCAATGACGTCGCGAACATTGGGGAAGTAGTTAAACCCGTCACTAACCATGAATGAGACCTAATGCAACCAAATCATTCCTGACGGTCGCTCACCGGGAGTGCAGCTCGTTGTTGCTGTTGCTGTGGGGGACGTCGAGAACATCCTTGACAACAATGGGGCTGCGATGACCGCCGTCATGAACGCCGTCGGCCGACATAGGGGCGGCACTGAACAAGAATCATCAAAGGCTGTACAGTGGAACAAAAAATATGAAGATAGACTCACGCGACGAACACAGGAATAGCAGCAGAAGCGGCTATGGCAAGAAAGATGGAAGAACGCATGTTGATTCAGAACTCGAGCAAGGTACTTAGGTCGCGAAATCGATGGGTGATCCTGAAGAAACGATTGATTAACGACTGTTGTATACAACGCGAAAGGAGCAAGCCAAGCGAGAACCGAAATCTCGTAAAAATACAAAGATTCATTACAAATCCAAGAGAAGAACTCACTATCAAGTACTTGAACTTGGAAGTTGATCTCGAAAAAACCTGGGGAGCTGGAGAAAGTAGGTGTTCCGTGAGCTCCTTTTATATGTGCTACCCTACAGACGCCTTGTTGAATTCGAAACGTGCAAGGTGAAGTCGAAACAAGGCCCATGCTCGCGAATCACTGTGTGAATATACTGCAAACGCCGATCGGCGAATACACATTTGACCACACACCCCTTAGGGCAATCAGCTTCAACTCGGCCGTTCGCAGAGTTCAGCAACTCGCCTGGTAAGTGCGTTGACTCGCGAGTTCGGTGGAGCTGAGAGACATGTTACAGGATGACGCTACGCGCTCATCGGATCACAGCCATGATATGGTGCCCAGCTTCCTATTTATCCTCAGCGCAATCACTGAAGCACAAACAGGCAAATTCCGAGCACCGAGGAACATGAAGACCGAACGGAATACTGCTCCATCAATGGTGTGCGTCGTATACTAGAGAAATAATGGAGCGACGGCAGACAACGTGAGTCGCCAAACCACCCACGAACTAGCAGTGTCGATGAGAGCAGCACGGGGACACAGGGCACCCAGATAGGGCTGAGGGATCGTACCAGGCGAACGCGAGCTGAAGTGACTCCTCCCGCCAGATTCTTTCTTTTCCTGTCGGACGTCGCGGTTGGTCGATGATATCTGCATGGTTTACAGTGTAAAACAGGATCAACGAACCAACGAAGCCCTGAGAAACAAGGAGACCGAAAGGGGATACTGCTCCATCAACGATTTGCATGCATAGTAGAGAAGTGATGGTACTATCACGTGGGGGGAGTTGCGAAATCCAAAAAATCGGCAACACTGCCGTCGCTGCTTCCACACTTAGTAAATAAATCAGATAAAATTGTAGGACGATACTATACACCAGTAGATGTGTTCTACCAACCCAGGGGTTCAGGCATTCCGGGATTGCTGAATGAGACGTCAAATACCACGTTTGCAACCATGGTAGGTGTACTGATATCAAAGATCTCTCTTGATACTGAGAATGACTGACCCAAGTGATGTTTGGGTGATAGCAACATGTGCTACAGCACTGTGTTCCACCATCCCGATAAGTGTTTTGGACAATCAGACATGCTTCAGCCTGTATTTTGTAACACTCCCGATGAAAAGCGTGACGACGTATAGCCCGATATGGCAGCCGCGTGAGCGCTCCGTCCGCGAGATGAGCGTGACATCTGTGTGACAAAATCAGCAACACCACCCCCCGTCAACACCCACCACCGGCATCTTGCCGTCTCTCCCTCCTCACCACGAGAACATGTAAAAAAATTTGAAAAATGTAGTGTGGAAGTGCACACATCTGCTCATGTAAAAATGAAGACAAAGCATCCCAGAATACAGAAGAGGAAGCCCGAGCGCTCAAAGATCGGTAACTCCCCCCTCATGATAGTAGAGAACAGGAGTCGACAAAGGATCCACCTGGTCTTGTACCCAGATGGTTATCGAACCGTGGAGTTTGGCTTAGCAGCGAGCTCGCGAGCGCTAAGTCAAACTAGTGCTTACTAAGCGAGAGGCTGAAGGCGGAGGAATAGGCGCCGTAAGCGCCAGTCTGTTCCTCCTGCACCTACAGCCTCTCACTCCTTTTCATTCTGGTATTTCCACACGCACGATCTCCACCGATCTGTAATGATGCCGTCCCAAGGACCTCCCCCGAGCGTTGGCGGTAAGGATCTGTCTTCATTTGTTCCCGATGGGTCTGGATCAGGTGGACGCACCGTGGGCCTGCCCAACCCGGCCCAGTTGGCCTTGTTTCAGGAAAACCGGGAGCGGCAGGCCCGGAACGCTGCTAGGGTGGTGCGTAGACAGGGTGGAGAAGATAGCGTCAGCGATGACAAGGAGCTGGGAATGTTGGATGGATCAGATGGTGCATCTCCGGGTCAGTTAGGGCCCATTTGGCATCCAAACATTTGCGTCACGCTAATGTTTGCGTTCATTTCACGCATCCGTCCAAACAGATGCACATAACAGGCTGATCTTGCCGCTGTCACGCCCCATTTCCGGGCAACGGTGTTGACCGACACAGGGAATCGCTGCTCGTCGTTGCCCTCGATGAGCAGGTGGATTTAGATGTCTTGATTCAATGATAGAATATGTAGAATACAACATTCCTTTTTCAATTGTGCTGCTGTATTCTATGTACTGATGGGTGCCACACGACGGTGCTCTTAGATGCTCATGCTTGTTGCCGTCGTTGAGGGCGGCGAGGCGGGAATGTCGGCGGCAGGGGATAACCCAACCCATTAGTCACAGACAGTCACAACCTCGGGTTGGCCGGAACTTTCGGGAATCTCCGGCTTCTGGGTGTTTGCGTTGCGAAAGCATCTGCGTGACACAAATGTTTCGATGCCGAACGGGCCCTTAGACTCCCAGGAACCGTCGGCAACACCTGCAGGCGTGCCTTCGCGACCCAGGACGTCGGAAGATGATACCGATAACCTGCAGTTACTTCGGGACGTAATGAAGATGACTCCAAACTCTCGGGGCATCGCCCTGAAGTTGTGGAATGCAGGTGTTGATAAGCGCAGCGGAACTGGCCCTTAGGCAGAGGCTACTGCAGGAAGTGGAGGCAAGGGTAGTGAGAATGTGCTGATAACCATAGACTCCGAGATCAAAACTGACCTCTTTGCCGGCCGAGTCGTCGAGACGCCTCAGGAACTCTCCGCCCTTCTCAGGAACGGTTTCCACCTTCCGCTCTCCATGTGCACCTCTGAGGTGATGACCAAGATGCACAAGCATCCGGAGCAGGTTAAGTATTGTAAGATGCACGATGGCAAAGGGATCAAAAGGGCGTTGATCGACATTGCCCAATGGCCCGATGAACAGACGCTGAAGCCGGAGGAGTGGCGCGATGCTTGGCGCAACTACTTCGAGATCCTACCAGCTGTTTGCGATGACGAGATTGTCAAGCACTTCTCAGAGCACTACATGTGGCTCTCCGGGCAGAGCGATTTCAACAGGATCTTCTCAGTGATCCTCGCATTCGATATTGATGTGCACTGCAGATATTTCCTCACGAAGAAGACCTTCATCGTCGACTCGAAAAGCTACAATGATCACTTTCTCAAAGTCCGTCTGGAGCACATCGAGAAGGGTACTCCAGGCACGCTTCCTATCCTCACAACTCCCATCGCCAGTTCGTCCCAAACCCCATATCGTACGCCGTCACACTCCCCCGATTCACGTCGCCCGTGCCGCGATGGTGCGGCAGGCTCCACTGCCAAGCCCTTTCGCGACGGCAGAGCATCTGCGTCCACGAGCATGCTCTGCCTCATCTGCGGCGAGAGTGGACATCGGGCCAGTCAGTGTGGGCGATCGACCATGTCGAACGGTAAGCCTGCATTCACCGTCTGGGAGAACAAGAAGCTCCTCGCCATCTCCATGTGCGCGGAGATCTGTCTCACCTGGAATGTCCAGCATGGTTGCATGCCCTGCCGCGGTATGTACTGTCCCGGAAACAGCGGACACATCTGCTCCCTCTGTGGTTCCGACGGTCATGCCGCTGCGGCTAAGCGGTGTCTCGGAGCGTGAGCGTATCATTACCCCTTACGACGCTGATGCCTTCGAGTCTGTTCTTCACACACTTGGCCTCTTTCAGCGTTATCCCTTCTTGCCTCGCAAATTACGTTACAGCTTCCCCATTGGAGATTTCGCTCCGCTCCTTCGCACATTTGCTCCTCTCAATCATTCTTCCGGTGCTGAACACATCAATTTCATTCGCCAGTATATCTCTGAGCAAGTTTCTCTTGGCTGCATGACTGGTCCATACTCGCAGGCTCAGGTTGAGCATATCTTGGGCTCTCACTTCGTATCTTCTCCGCTTGCTGTTGTTCCGAAGGCCGGCTCGAAAAAATTCCGTCTCGTGCAGAATTGCTCATATCAGGACGAGTTTGGAGTCTCAGTGAATAGCCAGATCAACTCGGACAACTTCCCCACCAAATGGGGCACTGCAGCCGAGGTCGCAGAAATCGTGAGTCCCTTCATAATATCATCTCGATCCTTTCTCGGTGTGGGAGGACATGCAGTTCAGATCAATGCCTGGCACGCGGGAGATCTCCATTCGTAATCATTGCCTGATGCACAGGAGGTTGCTGTTCATTCTCCGATTATTGCCCGGCGCACGGGAGATCGCACTGTCAGACCATTGTCCGGTGCGCGGGAGGTCGATGTCATTTGGTACATGCCCAGCGCGTGGGATACCATTTGGTTATTCCCCGCTACTTGTGCGGGTGGCCTCCAGAGCATGTTTACAGCAGACAATGCTAACTTACTCGTCAGATCATCAACGCACCTGCTGGTGTGCAGGCGGCTTGCCTTGACATCAACTCCGCTTTCCGCAATCTTCCCATCAAGCCCGCACACAAGCCATTTCTGGTCATTCAATGTGACCCCAGCGACTTCTACATCGATCACGTTCTTCCATTCGGCGTCTCGTCAGGGACCGGGGTGCAGGGTGAGCCGATGGATGCCATCGTCAACATCCTGGGGGCGCATGACATCAGGCCGTCTCGCAAGTGGGTCGATGACCTTATTACATTCCATTTTCCTGTTTTCTGACTCACTGCCTCTGGTGTCTATGAGTATGCATATGGTCTGGCGGATATCTTCCACATCACTGACCTTCTGGGTGTTCCGTGGCACCAGACGAAATACTCTGACTACGTTTCACAGGCAGTCTATAGCAGTTTTCTGTGGGACCTGGACCAGCGGTCAGTCACCCTGCCCAAGGAGAAGCATTTAAAGTATCTAGCAAAACTCACAGTCTTCATTGCCACCATTGAGTGGGGGCACGTGTCTCAGTGAGACGCTATGTCCATAAATGGCACGCTCTCGCACATCACATTCGTATACCCGCATGGCCATGCATTCCTCACCAACATTTGCAGCTTTATCGCCTCCTTCTCCAACTCTTACGCACTGCAGTTCGCGCCACGTTCTGTCCTCTCCGACATGAAATGGTGGTTCTCCATCCTTAACGTGCCCAACATTGCCCGCTCTCTTGCATCGTGGGGCCCACTGCAGGACCTCGGCATCTGGGTTGATGCTTCCTCATCCTGGGGTATCGGCGTCATTGTTTGTGGCGAATGGAGTGCATGGCACTGGCGTGGACTGATCAATGCATGGAAGGGCGAAGGTCGCGACATTAGCTGGGCCGAGATGGTGGCGGTCGAGCTTGCTGTCCGAATGGTGGAGGTGCTTGGCTACCACGACGCTACCATCCTGGTACGTGGTGACAACAAAGGTGTCGAGGGCGCATTCGCTCGTGGTCGCAGCCACAACTTTCAAGTAAACTCCTCCATTCGTCGTGCGGAGGTTATCACCATGTCGCTGAACATTCTCTTTACTGTACGCTATGTCAACACCAAGGACAACTTGGCGGATCTGGTCTCTCGCGGTGACCCCAGCCCCTTGATGTCTCATTGTCAACCCCCTTTCCAGCTCCCGGAGGAGCTTGCATCCTTCCTTGCTAATGTCTAATACAACTTCATCATCCTCTGCACCCGCACGTGCCAGCGCGTCGTCCCAGTGTGAGCGGTCGAGTGCTGTTCAGGCTGAAACAGCACACATCGGCCCTTTGTCGCGAACACTGGCTCGGCGAAAACCTAGACAGCCCTGCTCCGAGAACAAAGTTGCTCCTTCTCTTTTTCATCCTCACGTCCTAGCGCGCGATCGCCTCGCGCTTTGGACCACGCCTCATGCCGTTCGTTTTCATGCTTCTCTCTCTGCGCAGACCTCATCTGCAGCTTCGGTACAGCTTTTTAATGTCATGCTCTCCTCTCTTGACCCCGGCACTCGAAAGAACTATGGCACTGGTCTGCTGCATTTCACACAATTCTGCGACTGCCTTGCAATCTCAGAAGACCTCCGCATGTCCGCGGCGGAGCCGCTCTTAGCCGCGTTCATTGTGCAATGGAGCAGGAGTGTCGCGCGATCAACCGTGGACACCTGGATGGTGGGTCTGTCCTTCTGGCACGCATTGCACGGTGCCCCATGGCAAGGTGTGAAGATGCTAAAAGTGACCTGCGCGGCCATTTCGAAGACTGCGCCGGCTTTAAAGGAGAAGCATGCGCTGGTCACTGTCGAGCATTTATACGCGTTGCACGCCAATCTCGACTTATCCGACTCGTTCGATGCCGCTGTGTATGCAGTGGCATGCATTGCATTTTGGTGCTGTCATCGGTGTGCGTATGCCATCTGGCCTCCCTCTTTTCTTTCTGCTGACACTCCTGCAGACTTGGTGAGCTAGTCATCCCCTCTGTGGGTGCGTTTGACCCAGTCAAGCACGTCGTGCGCGCGGTGCCCGTTGCTTATCACACACTACCAGGAGGTACTCAGTACACCGTATTCCATGTGCCCTGGATCAAGACGACTAAGCAGCTCAGCGCTGACATCATCGCCACTGAATTTGGCGACCCCAGCTCTGCTGTCATCGCCTTGCGCCATCACCTACAGGCAAACGCCCGTGTGCCTGCGCATGCACCATTCTTCGTGTTCGAAACAAGTGACACCGCGGGTTGGGCACTGATGACGTGCGATTGGTTTCTCAATCATGTCAACGTGGCCTGGGCAGCAGCCGGTTTCGAGCACCTCACCAGACATTGCTTTCGTATCGGTGGTGCGACCGAGCTGTTGCTTCGCGGTACTCATCCGGATGTCGTTGCCACGCAGGGCAGTTGGAAGTCGCGTGCTTTTCTCGAGTACTGGCGGAAGATCGAGTCCATATTACCTCTCTTTATCTCACAATCTTTTACTTTCTCTCGTTTGCAGCTTACTTCCTCTGCGATGGACTCATTCAAGAAGAAATATTCTCTGTAGTTAACTCCTAAATGCTGTGTTTTTGTTGTCTATGCTGTAATGCATGTTGTCGTTCTGATAGGATCTGATCTCTTGCTGCGGAACACTAGCCCTGGGTTGAGGAAGTCGGCGGGCTCGTGTTGAGCCACGACTGTTGTGGGCTGCGCTCCTTGGGTGGTTAGCCATGTTCTCAACGACTTTCCACCACTTCACGCTTGAGTTGGATTCTGCAATTCTCTCCACTCAGGCTCCCCTCACATTTCGCCCCTCCGCTGCCGGTCACCTGCTGACTTCTCGGGCCGTCGCAGTCCTGTGAGGTGCCTATTGCAGCCCGCTCTGAGCTTGAGCCGCCGCCGGAATCTACCTCTCCCCAACCCGCAAGACTAGTAGTCCACATTGCACGGCGAACGTGATATCTTAGTGAGCTGTGCACACTTCACTCTGTAGCTCAGCTACCAAGCACTTAGGAAGTGCACCCTACCACCGCAGATAACACGTCTGGGGCAGTTTGATAGAGCCCTCCTACCTTACAGTTAGCACCCATGAGATGCCCAATGTCACGGTCACTGTGCCTGGCCAAATCTGCGATTTTCAGATTGAGCCTCCTGATCCATTCTAAATTTACACAGACGCTTGATGCGATTTTTTCTAAGTACTCCAGTAGTAATCGTACTGTCAGCTTCATCAACACTCTGTACTACTCAATATGACTGGCAATAACACTTTAAATTCTTCTTGGAACCCGCTTGAGTCACCACAAGCCTGCCATCACTGGTCCTTATTCCCTGATGATGCCGACCTAGATGCAGCCACCGAGGGTGAAGCTGCATCAGAAGATGAGCCAGACGATGATGAAAGGGATCTACAAGAACAGTACATTGAACATGTTGAGCCAGAACTACCGGAAGATGAGCTCAGTGAGGGTGGTGGGGCCGAGCGACAGGAGGAAGGTTGTGAAGATGAGAGAGGTGATGCCGATGTGCTGCTGCAAGATAACGGGGCCACTTTGAAGTGCAGATCAGTCCTGAAGATCCTTGAGTGCATCAGGGAGGAGAATATGACACTGGCAAGGTTCCTTGAGGCATTCAGCTGGGTCAAGGCCAAGAAGCATGGCCTCTGCACAATCTAATTGCCATTCATGAGGCTTCTTGCCCCTCATCCGTGATGCAAAGGCTTGCGTCATGGATGTTCGAGTTGCCGCAGAGTTGTAAGAACTCTTCTCATCCTTCTGTGCACACTGACGAGCAGTCTCCAAGTTAAGATAGGAAGTAGCCTGACGTTGCTCATGTGCACGAGCACGAGGAGTCAGTTGAGAATGTGTATTAGCCATGATTTAATGCTGGGCAGCACGGAGCCGTGACGAAGCTGACAGTACGATTACTACTAGAGTACTTAGAAAAAATCGCATCAAGCGTGTGTGTAAATTTAGAATGGATCGGGAGGCTCAATCTGAAAATCGCAGATTTGGCCAGGCACAGTGACCGTGATATTGGGCATCTCATGGGTGCTAACTGTAAGGTAGGAGGGCTCTATCAAACTGCCCCAGACGTGTTATCTGCGGTGGTAGGGTGCAGTTCGATAACTGTCTGGGTACGAGACCAGATCCACCAGAAGTATCAGGATCGGTGAGAACAAGATGCTGATCACCCAAATGGGCCTAGAGGATCGAACCAGATGGACTGTGAGCTGGAGACTCACTCTGCGGATTAATTTCGTTCCATTCGGACATCGCAATTGGTAGCTGTTATCCTGTAATGTGTTATTCGTGTACATTCACGAAGTAGAAGTGCAACAAACGAATGAACAATAAAATAGCACCCATTCAACCCCGGAGATCCGAAATATCACTTTGAACAATGCCTTCAAACTGCCTCTATAATCGAGCATACATGCGTCCAACAGAGATTGGGTGGGTGCCGACATATGATGCCTGATCGCCGAGTGCGTCCAGTATGTAGATACATTCAGAATACAAAATATCAGCTTGACTTGTGGTCAGCACGTCATCTGAGAGCGAGGAAATCGCAGACGTACGATGCTGGCAGAAAACAGCAGTAAAATAACAGACAACCTTGTGAAGAGGCGAAGAAGATCCGAAAAATTCAGAGAGCAGCAGACCCGATGTAGTCTGAATTCAGTTGCCCACCATGCAAGCGCCGTGAAGGACAACCAAAAGACAAATATCGTCTACCCAACTTGCACCCATGCCTGTCTTGCCTTGTGCATCTTGTTCACCTACGAATCCCACCTCCATGGCGATGTGGAAGGTGGCTGGCCGTGCACGGCCGGTTCTACCCCACGCAACACACCATGACACCTGGACCTCACGTAATACATAGCTAATTAGCTTGCCATGTGGGGTGGGTGTGGCAAGCTAATTAGCTAGCCTTCCCTTATATCCTGACACTGCCAGTAGCATAGTAGATAGCTATCCACTTTCCTAAATAGATACAAGTCCTTCCATCAGCGCTGATAAGTCCGATGACGCAATGGCCGATGACAACGCCGATGGCGATCTGGGCGTATCTCCTGCCAGTGTTCAGTATCCCGCCGAATATCTCTCGCCCCCTGCCATGCCCGCCCCTGCCCTCGCGCCCCGCTGCTGCCGTCGTCCACCACGACGACTATCTACTCCTAAATATGGCAACATGGGGCTACGAGCAGGCTGCTGTATCCCGCCAGCACGTCGGCTGTTCAGCTATCTCCCGCCGCCACCGCGCATGCATGCGTGCGCTTCACCGCCGCTGTCGCACACGATGATGACAACTATCTCCTTCTACATACCTCAAAAATTTCGCTTTTTTCTTTCCTCTTGAATGTAATAGTTTATATAGTCTATTTCTGCAGAATAGATATGTTTGCATCAAGTAAAATTGACATACTAGAAAACAACATAAATCTATTTCACGAGCCTCATATCTTTACTGGGAAAGGCGGTATTGGATATAAAAGAATTCAGAACATTTGCGAAGCCACGGAACTCGTCCACTCTCGGCAACACCATCCGACCGAAGGTACTGCACACATGCACTACGCATGAAAGCTAAGTGCTCGGCAGCACACTAGCTGCAGTGGCAGGGGAGGTAGGCGCGATGGCAGTCGCGGAGGCAGTCGCAGTCGTGGTTGCAGAGGTAGTCGTGGTCGCGGAGGTAGTCGTGGTCGCGGAGGTGGTCGCAGCCGTGGAGGAAGCGGTTCCGGAAGCTGCAGAGGGGGAAGCAGTTCCGGAAGCTGCAGAGGGGTTAGCATTTTCACCTGTCAATGCACGCTGCTTCCTCAGCCCCTTCTTCACCCCCTTGTCAGAGCGCGTCTTGCAAGGCTTCTTCTGAACTGCAATGCCAGAACCGTCAGGAGCAGTGATGACATTGATGAAGTCCCTCAGCGGCTGTCCAGTTCTGGGCTTCTTGCACGCTGTTCCACTATCACGGGCTTGGGTGGTGCACTTTGTGGTGGATGACGTGGAGGATGGCATGCTGGCTATGGGAGAAGAGGTGGTGGTCGGCATGACACCGTCGATGGCATGCGCAACCTCGTCATTTCTGGTAGAAGTAGTCGTAGCCGCGATATTCACTGCCTCAGGATTGGCCATGGGCTGGCTGGATGCATTGGTGGTATTGCTGTCTGCTTGAGCATGGGTGGGTACAACTTCGGATTGCCTTGCGTCATCCGTCTCCTCACTTTCATCGGCACCCGATCCCCACATCTTCTCTTGGAAGTGCTCCTCTTCTCACCATTCAAATTCCTCCTCACCGAGCACCCTGAAGTGCGCTGTTCTGCTCTCCCAGGCATGAAAAAGGACTTAAAGTTCGTTCTTCAAGGTGACATCGCCGGGACTGATGAACTTCAAAAGGGGCCAGTTCTCCACCGTGACACGATGACACACAGTGATTCTGTCATCAAAACCCTTGTACCACATCTTCACGGGGCCCATAGGTGCAATGTCATCTTGACTCCCATCAGTGTACCGGTAAGAATATCCACATATCTGACTCACTGAGCTTCTGATTGATCAATGCGGCCGTCTTCCTCTTCAGTTCGAGTACCTCCTGCACATGGTTCATCACGACCCCTGGATAATACCGGTTAGATTGTGAAGGCATGTATATCACCAAGGTGTTTACCTTCCACCCCTGAGATACCGAATGCCTCCATCTTGATTGCGAAAGTGAGAATGTCCATCTTCGTAGCCATATGAAAAAACTGCGCCAGGCGTTCGTTGCTGTGGTAGACAAATGGTTGGTTGTATTGATCAGTACTTGAATGGACCGCGAAGAGGAGGGTTTCGGTGCCAGTGCATTGACTGAGTGCATCCAGCTAATGCGTGAGGTCAGATCAGCGTAGTGTGCACCAATTTTAGATCAGTGCCATACCTCATTCTGAATACTGTTCAGTGCAGTGCGAGCATCTTGGAATGCATTAAGGGGCATGTTGTGCCTTGCCGTTGCCTTCATATCTCGGAGTTTATCAAGCTCATGCAGGTAGTCTTCTGTAGCAGCCACTTTCTCTGCATGGCTCAAGGTATTCCACTCTCCCGTGATCTCGGTCATGTACGCAGAGACTTTCTTGTGGGGAACACCCTCCGACAGCGCTGAGTCATTCATCAGCCATTCACACAGGTGAGTATCTTTGATTCAACTTGCCTTCATTTTTGCGCTGAACCTCCTTGCGCAAGTATACGTTCCAACGGTTGGCTTTCCTCTTCTTCCACATGAGACGGGTGGCCTGCATAATCTCCTTGTAGTAGTATTCTGTTGTGTGAGAGCCAAACACGTCCCGAAGGCGCTCTGCCTGCTTCGATATCTCATCACGTGCCTCCTGGAGTGCTTGGAAGTATGTCTTCTGATGCTCATCCCTCTTAGCCTTCAGCAGAGCCTTCTCGATTTCCGTCCGCTGAATGATTCTCAGCTTGTATCTGCAACACCAGGAGAATCGTTTTTTTGACACCTTCCATTTCTTGTTGGCAAGGCATTGTAAGCCATCCTCCTGAGAATGCCTAGCCATGAGAGAATGCTCCCCAGAAGCACAGAAGCATATAGAGTACACATCACACGTATCAGAGTGTCAAGGTGCCGTGTTATGTATGTAGTATGTAGTCCGCCGTCACGCAATTTATTTTTAAACATATGCACATGATGCTTTAAACATTGGAGGTTACCTATGTCATGAAAATGACACACTGTGAAGTAGGAGTTCGGAATAACTGAGTACATCTACGAATCCGAACCGTGTCCCATCAAAATCAAAGTCCACAGAAAATGGAGCTCATAAACCACCATGCCTCTCGGAGCCAAGTACGCAACAAACTGGTCAACATTTGGACTTGCCAAGTATGCCTGTGCAATCGTCATCACAGCATTGAGGGTATAACCATGGGAGTAAAGATACTCGTCCGCCAGGGCCCCGAGATGCGTGTTAACCATGGTACACCATTTTTCGTCATTATAGACTACTTTGAGGACACCAGAGAGCGATCGCTCGCAATAGTACTTGATACCAATATCGAGGTCTGCAGCAGACACAGAAGCTGATGTGAGAACGGTGGAAGGAGGTGGGATGGATGCCGATGACACAGGATTAATAGGTGGAACCGTTGCAGTGACAGGTGTGATGGGGACGGGCAATTGAATCGCAGGTGCTGTCGGTCATCTTGCAGTAACAGGTGTTGCTGGTATGTCAAGGATTATCTCCTTGCCAAGGCTTAAGTCTTGGAAAGGCACGCATTATGAATGATAAATTGATGTCGTGCCAATTAAGACACTTACCTGTTATGAGGGTGCGAACTGCATCATCGTCCGAATCTGCATCAGGTGGCTGAGAATGAGAAGAAGCCTGCGTGGGCGCTGAGAAGACATTAGCGTGACTTGAAGCACCAGAAATTGAGAACTTACGCTGAGTGTGAGTGGAAGCCTGTGTGGGCGAATCTTCCTGCAGCGCGTCGAAACTCTCTACTGGTCCTTCGTCTCCCTTGCGTATGTAATACCTCAGTGCATCAGGCAGCTTATTGAAGGACTTGTGCTTCTGATGTTTGAAGCTGCTGATTTGTTCCTCGCACTCGTCCCTTACAACATGTGAGTATGCCTGCGGATTTGGGGGTTAATAATGACACACCATGTTAAGTAGATCCCCGTGTCTCTGCCGGCAATGATGCAGTAATATTTCAACTGTGGGAAGGACTTCATGGCGTACTTGACCAAGTATGAGTGAGACAATGCATCGAGAACGTCAACCATTGACGGAGTGTTGTCGAACACAGGCTGCACACTGAAGACAGCTTGGGCCTGCTGAGCACTGTGGCACACCACGATGATGGGGTATGGCCTTGAGTAGACCCCGCATGCAGTGTTGCGAGGGCTTTGCGCTATCTTGTAAGTGGATCTAGTAATTTTATTGTGTTTGACTTACCATTGTCGAACGATCCCAGAGAGTTTGCTGTCGCCAAGAATGACATACCAGCGTGGAGTACTGGCCATCAGCATGCAATCAATGGAAGAATGCAAGTAGCAGTTGAGATAGGCAGCGAAACGGTGGCGCCAAGTTGATCGACACAGCTTGCGAATCGATCGGCAAGTGAGTGGGTTGTGGCTCACATCGACTTAGTCTGGCAGTCAAATTACATGCTCTCAATGCCGGTCTCTCACAAACTAACTGCGACACACTTTACTTTACTTGCTACAATATATTACACACATAGTCTTCGTGCAATGAAAAACATATATTCTAGTCGAGTTCATTACATTGAGAGATTGCACATGTAGTCAACAAGCCCACCGATATCTCCTTGTAGTTCGTCATCATCCTCATCGACCTCGGCTTCATCACCTTCATGCATACAAAAATCAGTAACTACTGAAGGAGATGAACCCACTGCTGTTACTCCCTCTTGCTGGCCAGGAGACAGCTCGCCTGTAAATCTATCTAATGCATACAACTGCTGAAGACAAGCGAGATGGCGAGCATTGACATTACGACGGCGCTGGCAGAAATCCGCCACAGCCCCATGTATCAAAGCATGCTCCTCGTGGAGCTTCTCTAGCACCGTGTCCAGCATACACTCTTTATCGCGGATCAACGTGTGGAGACGCCGAGCCTCGATGTTGCATCGCTCGACCTCCACATGTGCTTGGGCAATCCGACGAGCCTGTTTCATCGTCTCCCGGACAGCTGGGACAGCTGGCCTGGACCACGGCCTCTTGCGTACATCATCCCGTGTGTCCTTCAAGATATGGAATTCATCAATGAAACTGTAGTGGGACACCTTCGTCCAGTCAAGAGTTGGATGCAGAGGCTGGAGTGCATTTGCGGCGGCATTGTAGACCTTGACAGCATTGCGAATCACCTTGCGACGAACCTGGAGTGACTTGGCAGTATGTGTGCGGACGCGATAGGCTGCTCGAAATAATGAGTCTTTGTGGCTCAACCGCAATATGTCACTTACCGGTATGCGAAAGATTGAGTTTATATAACTCAAATAACCGCTGCACCACCAGCTGCTGGAGATTGTCCAGAGCCCGTAGATACTTCCGTGTCAACATGTACTTGAGTGTCGCGATGTACTGAGTATCAGTCAGCTGCCAGCGATTGGCGATTCCCATGTGGACTTCCATTGCAATGACGTCATGCATGACCTTCGCGTGTCGCTCAGATAGGTATCACCGCTTTGTCTCAAGCTTGCGAGTCTGTGATATGTCTCTAGTGTAGGTGGCAGGCCCGGAAGTGGGCAATATAAATTGATAGTCCGCTGGTGTTGTCGTTATAAAGCTCGTAGAGGCGTTCTCGAGCTGTGCCCTGCAGTAGTTGAGGTCAAATTTGTGTGGAGAAGAATGTAGGTTTAGCACAAACTGAATTGCTCGCAACTCTTGGAGGCCTTCAACATACATGATAGCGTGGATGTCCCACTCCTGCTCGCGACCGAGAGTTCGAAAGTATTCCCGCTCTTCCTGTGACCATTTCGCGAGATCTTTGTGAGTGATCTGAAGAGATTGCAGTGCTTCTTCCAGAGCAGGTGTCTCCGCATTGATGATCTTGAGAGCTTGTACATAATTGTTGTACAGCATCATGCTGAGGTTAGTATACTTTTTCGTATCCCACTGCTGAAAGTATGTATCAATGAAGACGTGATGACGGAATGCCGATGCATAGCGCGTGATCAGTGCAAGGTTGTTCGAGCCACTGAATATCCTCTCCATGGTCTCCAGATCCTCGAGGCCCATTCCTTCGATAACATTCGGATGGTTGGTGAGTTGACAGGGATAATTATGGGAGTAGCCATGGAATGCGTTGACGCAGCAATGGCATTTGCGCTGTGTCCACTCTGATCCGAGCGAGCTGCGTTGTATGGTGCCCTCAAAGGCACAGCCGATGTCGTAGCCTGCAAGTAGCTTGTCACCGAGTACTTCGAGTGCTTTGGCGACAGTCGCGAGTGGATATTTTGCCCTGAAAATGTTAGATGACATGAATCCAATGAGCACAGAGAAACTTACAACTCGCTGCTTCGCACCATGTCCATCACCCACAGGATGAAACCATGTGGACATGCACTTGCAAAGATTCCTGTCTCATTGAAAATCCCCCACATCCGCTTCTTTCATCAGCCGCCGCTGCCTTCCAGTTGTCTGTACAAGGCACGATCACACCGTCGACTGCACCATCGGTTGGATCACCCTCGGCACACCCATCTTCATCAGCATCAAAATCCTCGTCATAGTCGCTTTGGTCATCTTTATCGCCCGATGAACTTGATCGAATGCGTGAGGGCACCTCATCCACGTACTTGTCCACAAATTCTAGCGGTAGATAGTAGTCGCTGTCTGTATAAACTCGAATGTCGCCGCGTGAACAATTGCCGACTTGTGCGATCCTCTTCAGCGAATTGTTACCATCCATGCAAAACATGTGGTCCCATCGACGGTCGGGCTCCCCATCAAGCTGAAATCCAGGATATATCAGTATACTGCAAGGCACTATGGTCATCATACTCACCCGGTATGTGCATGCGGGGCATGCATTTAACACCCACCAGTTGGGTGTGTCGCGGCTGAGCACCAAGAGAACTTGCTTGTCAACCATGCGCCGAATCTCGAGATAGATCTCGAAGGTGTCGGCAATGAGAGTGCGGTAGTATCAGCGGAATGGCATCTAAAAGATCCAAGTTTAGCAAACCTGCATCATCATATTTTTTTGTCTTACCTTATAGTAGTGGCACAGAAGCTTTGCGAAGGCTTCAATGCTGAAAGAGGCTTTGAATAGCCTTAAGCACTGCAGGATTTCCAATGTCTTGAATGAGATAGCCAAAGAGGGGGACAGAGGTGTCATTCTGAGGTAGCCATTGAGTACTAGAGCCTGTGCGACGGACTTCGAGTCCTTGGTGCGAGAGATGGTCACGGAGGAAGCAAGCGAGTGGAAATCGATCACATTGATATCGAAATTGTATGGCGATGGGGGTGCATGTGCATCGGGAGGTTGCACGAAAGGGTAGCACCAGGCTATGTATGCTTCGACGAGGTCAGGGATGAGGGGGCGCCAGTTGTCGTCCATGCGCTGGACTCGCTGACGCCAAGTGCGAGCATCCTTGTACCACCTCGGCCTCCACCTGTTTGAGAGTCAATGAATATCAGTGAATATATGTGTAAGAAGCAAGGGAAGAAATGTACTCAGAGCCAACAATGTCGTGAACGGCATGTACAAAAGATGTATCACCCTGCATGGCCTCGGGGAGATCCTGCCATCCCATATCATCCTCTGCCCCCACTGATGGACCCAAACCTTGCTCTGTCTCTGCTGTGCTGCCATTTGAGAAGGGGTTGTCAATGCCACTTGTATCGGGCATGACAACATCTTCGTGCCGAACCTCAGCAAGAGCGCAGAGACTCTCACTGCCAAGTCCTGCAAACAGAATGAGCTGCCATATAACAGAATGGCCCACTGTCTCACCTGTTATTGATTGAAGATACCGCTCATCGGCCTTCTGTTGTTCCAGGGCAAGGGCCCTTGCACCATACACTGTCTCTCGTCGGTGTCTGACATGTCGGGATGGACCACCTGAAACAGCGAGAGTAGCGGAGCGTACTGTTCATGACAGGCCTTGATGTCGGGAGGCACGCATTCCGCCTCCCATCCCAGTGAGGACGTTCCGAGGAGGGCAGTTGGGGCAGGGAAGGTGGCAGGATGGGAGAGGGCGGGAAGTGCACGTGACGTTGTTGAACATTCACACCGGAGTAACTTGGCAGTAAGAAAACATACCTTAAATACACTCACAGTATGCACAGCAGCTGAGATCTGCATCATACCAGAAAAGAAGAAAGAAAAAGCAAATATTTTGAGGAACGTAGAGGGAGAAGTTGTCGTCATCGTGCGCGACAGCGGCGGCGAAGCGCGCGTGCATGTGCGTGGTGGCGGCGGGAGATAGCCGAACAGCCGATGCGCTGGCGGGATACAGCAGCCTGCTCGTAGCCCCATGTTGCCATATTTAGGAGTAGATAGTCGTTGTGGTGGACGACGACGGCAGTGGGGCGCAGGGGCGGGGGTGGGCATGGCGGGGGGCGGGAGATATCCGGCGGGATACTGAACGCCGGCGGGAGATAGCGCCCAGATCGCCATCGGCATTGTCATCGGCCATTGCATCATCGGACTTATCAGCGCTGATGGAAGGACTTGTATCTATTCAGGGAAGTGGATAGCTATCTACTATGCTACTGGCAGTGTTGGGATATAAGGGAAGGCTAGCTAATTAGCTTGCCACACCCACCCCACATGGCAAGCTAATTAGCTATGTATTACGTGAAGTCCAGGTGCGCCATGAGGTTTCCAAGAGATGACCGCGGCTCAATATGGGTGTTCAGTATCGATACGGGCATTCAAGCGCCCTAACACGTCGCAAATTCCAGGTAACACCGCTGCTACGGTCTTGATGAATCGCAATCCATCCTACACGGATAGGGAAACTCCCTGACACACCAAATGTCTGCGATGCTACTGCTCTGCTCAGGCGCACAGAAGACAGTATGGGAATACAGTGCCCGACAATGGAGTATTCCAGCTGCTCGGCGCGCACTGTCGATTTCTCAACGGATGTCTGTGAACGACCGACGTGCACGAGGCGCATGGCTCGCGGCCGAGGCCAGCGGCACTGAGTGAGCGCATCGAAGGCACACCACCATGCTCGGTGTCCATTTCGGCAAGACTCGCGCGGACGAGAAGACGAGGGGAGACAGCCCCCGGCCATGTCACACAGGACACAGGACGATGCCGGTAGCGATTCGAGTATGGGGAGTTGGTTGTGGTGCCGCCCATTCCTACAACGTATCCCAAGCACGGCCGGTCCGCGCGGTCCACCCTCAGAGTAGCTCAGAGTCACCTGAGCATCGCGTCTCTGGGCATAGGTAGAGGCGGGGTAGGTTGCTGGTGCGTTGTTCGACTGTTGCTCCCGGACCCTGCTAGAGTGAGTCGAGAGGAACTTGAACGCTCAGACCTTAGCCCGCTCGTGAATGTGGACGACGTCGAGATGATCCCCGTGGGATGGTCGCAGGTCTGCTGCCGCTCGGGTGTTCCGAGCATCAGGTGATGAATCACGCGTCGACGTTGCGGTGTCCCCTCGACTTCGTATCATTCGTACTTATCCTGGCCTGCATCCCTACAGTCTGCCCTGCGCATCGCAGATAAAACCTTCCACTACATTAACTTAGTTCACCGTTCAAGCTTCAAGACTGGGTACTTTCTGTTATCTGCATCCGCAGTCCAACGTTTATTTTCACATTACGGTCTGGCTATTAGCACCCCTCCTTGGCCCAGTCTCTCGTCTGAAAATTCCAGCAGGTACATCGTCTGCAGTAGATACCTCCGATTTCTCACCGATATCATTACCAGGGAAGCACAGCCATGGCGATTTCCCCCGTGTATGAAGCCGTGTACCTCCACATCGTGGTACAGACGTCTACGAGTGAGCACCATCTGCATGCTCCGCCTGTCCCAACTGACCCTCGCGAGATCGAGCATCATAGTCACAGGCAAGCGAGACCTCTAATTGTTGTAGAGCCCGGGCACCACCTTGCAGCAGACACTCCTCCACTATCGCATGTCTCTGTCAAGATGATCCGAGCGAAACCACCATCCAGGCTGCAATTTTGCCTCTACGCCGTACACATACCGTCTATGGGTCCGATACCGACTCACCGCGAAACGAGATACGGGAGCCTATATATCGACCATGTACCTGCGTCTCGCAGAACGTTCGTGGAATATCTGGCACATACTGACCCTGAGATGATCATAATGGACGCATCCTCAACGACGCATCGCCCCTATCATGACCGTGGAGCTCAAAGGAAGAGTGCGCGCCGCCGGATCTTCTGGCGTGCTCCGCAGACATGGCGGCCAGACGCGGCTCGTGCTCAATGTTATGTTATGCAGGGCGATGCCCTCTAAGCTTTATCGCGCGACGTCGTGTACGCACGAGATTCTGACGACACTGGCTCTGCTGTTACGCGGCAGCGAAACACGAGCGTCTAGTCGAGTCGTTACGAGACAAGGTCTTAGTCTAAGACACAAGTCCGTTCAAGTGACACTTCTGGCGATGTCCTTGCACTGAAGGTCGATCAGAGTTCGTTCTTATGACTCGTAGTAGCTGTCTGCTACTGACGGTCGATCTTAGTCAAAGGCAAGTGGAAAGCTGGTTTAATGGTAACCAGGTCGAGATGGGGATCCAGCTCGACAAGGTCGTCTATTTATACAAAAGGTATCCGCAGTACTACGCAGTAATGCGGGATCGTTCATTGGCTAGATAAGGTGAAACAATATCTGGGCAGGGTAACGGCGAGGAAGTAATATGTATGAGAAAGCTGAGTAAGGTCGTGAGAGATAATCAGTACTAATGGGGATAACGAGTCGTGTATCAGAACGAGGTAAAGATGAGGCATACATGCACGTCTTGCATGTGCGATAAGAAGAAGGTCCGGAGTTGGATCCGGTGTAACCCCAGACTAGGGGTTCTAGACAGCTGGGTAAAGAATCGGAGGTTGCGCTCCGATGAGTCATGTGTTGGATCACGTGGTCTGGTAACGTAAAGGGAACAAGAAAAAGAAAAGACGTGCCACAAGTGAGGAGCGTTGTAACATCAGCTCCCGTCTAACGTTTCTTGTCCCACAAGAAATATTGTGATCTTCATCGTCGTCGGGGGCAGTCGCGGACGTAATGATCTCCTCCACATCTGTAGCATGTCCGCCGGCTGGTTCGCGATCCTTGTTCGGGGATACTTCCATCCCTGTAGGGATGACTGCGACGCGAAGAAGTGGATGCGGTCGAGAAAGATGGTTGGGACAACGGAGATCGTCCACTGGGTACGTGCGAACGAGGAGGGCGAGGGCGAACGGGAATTGGTTCTGGCGACGAGCGAGGAGTGGATGCGGGTATTCCATTAGTGGTGTATCCGAGGATGTGTCCGATGTCTTCGTCCCCATGCTCCCTCCAAATCTCCTGTGCTGTACGAGTGACCGTACTGCGCATCAATGACCAGACTTGGTCGACTCTGGTTCGGGCTCTACTCGTCCTTTCCTCTGCTGCGATGAGCTCTTGTCTGGCCGTCTGCATCCACTCGACCATTTCTAATGCTCGTTGCATGGAAACCACCGCTTGTCGATCTTGCGGGCGATTTCGTAAGGCGACGAGGATATCTGTGAAGTCGACAGGAACACGGATAGCCGAGACCAGACGTGTGGCAAATTCTTGTTCGTCCGATGCGTGACTAAGTTCGATAGAAGGTGTGGGCGATGAGGCACGGATAAAGGGTGTCTGTGCTCGAGAGGGTACTCCATTGACAAGCGTAGGCGATGCGGGTATGCTCATAATGGTGGAGGCGACTTCAGCGAGTATATTGTGAACAAGGTCGTCTATAGCGGAAGTGGGCATTGATGATATATCGTCTTCTCCTCCTTTTATACCTTTCGGTCGTTAAGGGGATCGCGGTTATCTGTGATGTGAAATAGAATGTCGTGGATCCGGGTAATAATCAAATAGATGAAAATCCATTGGACGATAAAGAGTATTCCCACAGAGATAAGAGCTGCCTGATCAGTTCCAGGCATCGTTCTGATCACCCCAGCCGTTAGCGTGTGGGCTGTCTCGCGTGAAGAGTGTGTGTTCGACAAGTCGTCTGATAAGGATTCGGTGAATGATCCAAAGAAAAGTGAGGGTTGTGCAGTGGAGGACGATTAGGAAGATGATGAGGAAAACCGTCGTGGTAGTCATTCCGGGTTTCTTCTCCTCTACTGGATTCTCCTGGTCCTTTTATATGCATCGAGGATTCGCTTGGCATTCTGTAAATTGTGGGTAGGTTCCCACGAGTTTTCTGCTGAAGAATATCCCTTCCACTTGACTAAGTATCTCAGATGACCTCGGTACGTCTTGTGATTCAGGATGGCTTCGACTTCGTACTCTTCTTCGTTATCAACGACATCAGGTGGTGGGTTCACGTAATTCGGACCATGTATGTCGTTTTCGCGATAAGGAGATAGAAGGGCGGCGTGGAATACGGAATGAACTCACCAGGTCTTCGGGAGTTTGAGACGATAGTTGGCTGGTCCGATGACTTCGACAATTTCGAATGGCCCCTCACGCTTTGGTGCTATCTTGCGCGAGGCGTAATTGACCTTCAGGTTCCTCGAGTCTAGCCAGACCTTCTGTCCTAGTGTAAACTTCGGTGATCCTTGTCTGACTCGGTCCGCCATCTGTTGTCGGGCTAACTCGTGCATGGCTAGTGCTTCTAGTCTTATCTTCTGCAACATGTCAAGCCTGGATTCAACCGATGGAATGTTCGTGGTCGGAAATACGGAAGGGAGTCCCCGTGGTTCATATCCCATCATGATGCGGAATGGGCTCATCTTCCGTGCCGAGTGTTCCCTTGTGTTATGACAAAACTCGAGGTCTGGCAGGCGGTCGGCCCATGTTTCAGGGTTGTTTCCGCAATAGAGTCGAAGATAGATTTCCAGCTCCTGGTTGACTCGCTCTGTTTCTCCGTCCGTCTGAGGGTGATAAGCTGTGCTCATTGATGATCTGATCTGGAGTAGTCGATTTAACTCTTGGAAGACCTTGGATGCGTATTGAGGTCCTCTATCCGAGATGATTCGGTCGGGTAATCCAAATCACGAGTATACTTTGTCATGAAAAATCTTGGCCGTTCCTTCGGCTGTGATCATTTTGAGGCAGGGCGTAAGAATCACCCCCTTCGTAAGGTCATGGTCTACTACGACCATAATTGAATCAAAACCGTTGGAAACGGGGAGGTCGGTAATAAAATCGGTGGTGCAACAGGAAAATGGTAATGCGTGTGGGTCGGCGGGAATTGGTTCCAAAGGAATACGAGTTGGATGAGTATTCGGTTTCATTTGTTGACAGGCGGCACAGCCTTCAACATAATTGTAGACAAATGTATACATGCCAGGCCACCAGAATTCACGACGTAACAGTTCAAGAGTATTGAACTTTCCAGGGTGACCCATGGCAGGGGAGTCGTGATGTAGTCGAACGAGATCACGACGAAGAGTTTCGGATGGTGGAACGTAAATCTTTTCCTTGTAGAGGATGACACCATCGTGAACTTCCCAGTCGGAAAGCGATGATTTCATGGGGAATGGCCCTTTGTGTGCAATCGCTTCGAGGGCTTCGTGAACAATGAGGTCTTTTGCTGCGTGATTCCTGATTTCGTCGAATAGTGTCGGGGAAATGGATCGCACGAATAGTGCGTTGGGTAAAAGAATGCGATCTTCGTTGTCACTTTCACTGTCATCGAGTCCATTACGACGAGAGAGCGCATCAGATTGGATCATCTGAGTGCCAGGGACATGGATGAGGTGAAGATCAAATTGTGATAATTTGAGACTCCATCGTGCCTGTCGGCGGTTTAACTTCTGAGCTGTACGGAAGTACGTGAGGTTCTTGTGATCACTGCGAACTTCGACGGGATGGGGAGAGCCTTCAAGATAATGGCGCCATTCAGTGAGGGCTCGAATGATTCCGAGGAGTTCGCGGTCGTAGATTTCGTAGTTCCGTTCAGCTGGATTGAACGTCTGTGAAATGTAGGCACAAGGATGGAGGTCTCCATTGATATCAGCTTGGCGTAAAACTGCACCCGTAGCAAACTTGGAAGCGTCGGATTCAACAATAAAGGGTTTTGCCTTGTCAGGCAGTAACAGTACTGGGGCGGTACTGAATCGTTGCTTCAATGTGTCGAAAGCTGTCTGACATTCTGTTGTCCATTCAAAAGGTGGAGATCCAGCGGCAGTGCGCGTAAGATTTGTCAATGGTTTGGCAATATCCGAGAAGTTGGCAATAAACTTCCGATAGAAGTTTCCAAACCCTAGGAAAGAGCGAACACCTTTTACCGTGCTTGGTTCAGGCCATTCCGCAATTCCTTTAAGTTTGATAGGGTCCATGCCAATGTAGTTTTCTCGAATGATCATGCCTAGGAATTCGACTTCTTTAACGTCAAAGAAACACTTTTCCGGTTTAAGGAATAAGTCGTTGTCTTTGAGTCATTGGAGTACGCGTCGGGTTCGAACGTGATGTTCTTCCAAATCGTTTGAGAAAATGAGAATATCATCCATGTAAATGACTATCCATCCCTCATCGATCATGTCCTTGAAGAGTGCATTCATCATCATTTGGAAAGTCGCCGGGGAATTGCAGAGTCCAAAGAACATGACCATAGGTTCGAAAAGTCCGCGATTTGTCTTAAATGCACCCTTCCATTGGTCACCATCTTTGATTCTGACATTGTTATATCCGGAGCGTAAATCCATTTTCGTAAAGATCGATGCACCTCTGAATTGATCCATAAGGTCAGAAATGAGCGGAAGAGGATAGGCGTTCTTCACCGTCCCTTCATTCAGGTATTGGTAATCCTGACAGGGATGTAGTGCTCCATCTTTCTTTCCTACAAAGAAAAATGGTGAAGCCATGGGAGATTTCGATGGTCGGATGTATCCTTTTCGCAGATTTTCTTCCAGGAAGTCATCCATCGCTCCTTGTTCTTTGAGCGATAACGGATAGACTTTACAGTCGCGTGGAATAAAATCGGGTTTCAAGTCAATGGCGTGGTCCCAAGGCCTGGTTTCTGGAAAGCGTTCAGCTGCTTTCTTTTCAAAGACGGACTTCAAATCGTGGAGGTAGTTGGGGACCAACTCCTCGACGGTTTTGGGTTTGTCTACAGCTGATGCTTCCTTGTGTGCCTGTTGTGCTAATTCTTGTGATTTACCGGATGGTTTGTAAAAGACCGTATTCTGTGCGTTACAGAATAATGGGGATCGAGTACTGTGTGTCATTCTTCCAATGGCGGGGCCTCTTCGTATGGTGAAGACTGCGGTTTCAGTCTCTTCATTCGTCAAAGGTGACTCCTTCCTGATGGGTTCAAATACCCCAATAACTGGCTCTCCTGCGATATAGGATATAACTAGATCGTCGTCATCGAGCTGATCCATAGGGGGTTCTGATAGTGGGTCATCTGGTTCGGTATCATTCCGCACTGCGGGTAACTCGCCACGCTCAGTGTTATCGGCCACGATTTCTCTGATAGATTCTGAATGCCCAAACGAGGTAGGGGAAGTTTCGGTGGTGATTAACTCTGGGAGTCCACCTTCCTTGAAAATCGAAACTTCTTCATCTGGTGCATCTTCGACGGTGGGTTTCGGTGGCCATTTGGCGTCTTTACCAAACCAAAAGTCACCGGTTTCCCAGTTGATCATCGGATTGAGGCGTTTAAGCCACGGCATGCTGAGAAGTATGTTTTCTTTGCCAATGCCGGTCAAGAGGAAGCGAGTAAGTGTCTTCCTTCCTCCGATTTTCATCATCTTCCAGGTACAATGAGTAATGGTACCCATTTGATTTGGTGTGCCATCTGCATTCATGACTGTAATCGGTTTCGGTAATTCCCATCTGATGAAATCGTTTTCTTCCGCAAAACGAATGTTCATGAACGTTTCGGCTGCACCGGAATCGATCAAGGCTTCTGTTGTAACGTCTTCCTTCTCTCCCAACGAAATATTCACAGTGATTGAATTTCCGCTAGTGTTACAAATAACGAGGGGAGATACGGTAAGATGCGACGGTCCATGCATTACTAGTGGCCGTCGTCTCAAAAACCCAATTGGGTTCGTTCTTCATCAGTCATGTCGTTGAAGACGTTTCGCACATAGGCGATCTGTTCCTCTCTGGTTTCTTCCTTCGATGTCTCCTTCTTCTGTGCGAGGTCTTCTCGCATCTTCTTGATCCATGTGATCGTGTCTGTGTCCAACCCGGGCTGTATCATTCTAGCACGGGTGAAACTTCCAGACTGGGGGTGGAATTGTCTGTCGTTGGCTATATGGCCCTTCTTTCCGCATAGGAAACATAATCCTTCTTTCATTCTCTTCTGTCGCTCGTCCGGGGATAAGCGCGAGATATTGACACGATCAACATCCATCGCGTTTGGATCCCTTGCAGAAGCCGAGTAGTAGGGACGATGGACAGATCGGCCCTTTCCTCGCGTCGTCGTAGTGGCTCCTCGCTTGAAGATCTGAGCAGATCTCCATTGGTTATCAAACCGCGAGGCGTATTCGTACCACTTGTCAAGTGTCTTGGGCATGCTCTCCATCCCATATATCCTTTGTCGGAGTGGGTCGTTAAGTCCCCACTTGAAATACTCGATATTTCCGACATCTTCTAATTTCGCCTTGGATTCAAGCGATCGGAATTCGGCAATGTAGTCGTCCGCAGTACGAGTTCCTTGCTTGATGTTACGCAGCAAGGTACGAGCGGTTTCTTCAATATTTTCATCGCCAAATGCTTTGTTCACACTTGCAATGAAGTCTCTCCAACTCCCATAAGAAAGGAAGTCATCATTGGTGAGTTCCGTTTCTATGAAGCTCTGTGCCCATGATCCTGCTGTTCCTCCTTGCATGTGCGATAGCACGAATGCGATCTTCTGATTGTCCTCCTGGTAGACATGGCTATTTCCGGCCATGTAGTTCTTGCATTGGTTTATAAATTCCCTAAGCTTCGAACGGTCTGAACCGTTGAAGATCTCGGGTTTTCTAAAACCAAGTTCCTTCTGGCTAGCATGGTGACGTCCTTCATCCATGGTAACTGTAGCCATTGGCGGTATGTAATCAGGTACGATTGGTGCAAGAGTCGGTTGGGGTACAGGATTCTGGGCAGGGGGGTTCCAAGGGGCGTCTGGTCTTTCTCCTGGATAGGAGGTCGTTATACCGCTGTCTGCGATGTGCTGGAGCACTATTCCACCAAGATTATGGGGAAGTGTCCTTTCAAATTCCTCTGGGGAGTAGTCGAAGTTGTGATTGTCTGGCCTGATGAATACAGGCCTTCCTCCTATGAAATGTGCGTTTCGTTCTGTGCTCCACTCCGCTTGGGATGGGAGGTGCTCGCGGTATTGCTCTGGAAGAGCGGTCGGGTTGATGTAGTTAAAATCCAGCGTGGATAAATTCTTCTGTGTGGCCTATGTCTACACGTAGACTGCACACCGTCCTTAACTAAGTGGGTTCGTTCGTCGTCGGCTAACAAGCCCGTAGAGTGTCTTCTGTCTTCAAACTGATACACCTATTTGCTGATTGCTCGAGTGATTACCTCAGCCTCCTCGGCCTATTGGTCTCTCGGACAGACCCCTCTCCGAAGATGAGTGATCAGTCTATCCCTTCAGCTACCTCGATTACAGAGTAATCTCAAACGGTGCTTTAGCAATCGAATCGGGTGTATCGTTCAGTCTTCAAGGTTCGGTCCGGTCGGTAGTTCGTTGTTAGACTCTGGGAAGTCACAGAGAGTAATAAGATCTCGACCTAATGTTACGCGGCAGCAAAACACGAGCGTCTAGTCGAGTCGTTACGAGACAAGGTCTTAGTCTAAGACACAAGTCCGTTCAAGTGACACTTCTGGCGATGTCCTTGCACTGAAGGTCGATCAGAGTTCGTTCTTATGACTCGTAGTAGCTGTCTGCTACTGACGGTCGATCTTAGTCAAAGGCAAGTGGAAAGCTGGTTTAATGGTAACCAGGTCGAGATGGGGATCCAGCTCGACAAGGTCATCTATTTATACAAAAGGTATCCGCAGTACTACGCAGTAATGCGGGATCGTTCATTGGCTAGATAAGGTGAAACAATATCTGGGCAGGGTAACGGCGAGGAAGTAATATGTATGAGAAAGCTGAGTAAGGTCGTGAGAGATAATCAGTACTAATGGGGATAACGAGTCGTGTATCAGAACGAGGTAAAGATGAGGCATACATGCACGTCTTGCATGTGCGATAAGAAGAAGGTCCGGAGTTGGATCCGGTGTAACCCCAGACTAGGGGTTCTAGACAGCTGGGTAAAGAATCGGAGGTTGCGCTCCGATGAGTCATGTGTTGGATCACGTGGTCTGGTAACGTAAAGGGAACAAGAAAAAGAAAAGACGCGCCACAAGTGAGGAGCATTGTAACATCTGCTGTATGTTGTGAGCAACTCCGGTGTGTCTTTTCGTGAGTGTGACGTTGCTGCCGTTCAAGTAAGTGATGAAACGTTAACACCTGTCTCACAGCCTGAGATTATTTGTACGAAGCCACGCGTGTCGAATTGGTACTGGTCTGCGGGGAGTTTCGATAAATGTGGGATGGATATTGAGGAGCTTTAGGTCTCAGATGCCGAGGTTCTGGGTGTAGCCAATTTCACGTCGAGTACACCAGTATACACATAGTTAGTCATTGCGTCCGTAGAAAGGAAACCAAAGGGAAACCACATTGGAGGCAGAACCTGGCAGAACCGTGCTCGCGTCTTTTCACACACCATCACGTGCACCCAGCAAAACTGTTATTTTCTCGCTCCTCCCTAGTGTTGCGTGTAAAACTGTCATGTTTAAAACATGTATGTTTTAAACGTGTTTTTAACACGTTAAAAACATGTTAAAAACATGAGGTCCAAATAGCTATGTCAAAAAGGTCAATAAGTCCCATAGGCCCGAATAGGCCCACGCCAGTCCCTAGCGTGTACCAGGATTTGTCACAAGCTCTCATCGATTTACCGTCAGACCTGACGCTCTGTTACAACTTGAAAGCCGCTCTTCCCCTTCATATTTCATGTCCTTTTGTTTGAGTTGAGTAATTGTAACTGTACCATGGAAATACAGGCTCTGCTCTGCTCCAGGCCTATAGGCCATATTTCTAACCACATCAGGGGGCTTTGGATCGAGTTCTGCTCCTCGTTACGGGTGCCGGTGATCGAGGATCCTCAACAAATCTTGAAAATGTCGGACTTGAGTATTCCATCTGCCCACTGTCATTACCCATATGTTTTCTGAGAAGGTTTGGATTGGTACCAACAAGGACTTTGACAAATCCCCTGCCTATGTCAAGGAAGCCTTAGCAGAGGCCCTTTGGCTTCCTGGAGGCGTTGAAATTCTACTGCCAATCCCTTCCATATCCGTCCTCTCTTTTCTCAATGGTGGATGAGCGCACCGCTTCCGTCTTTACTTGGATGAATCCGGCACTCCGAAATCGCATGCAACTTGCGATGATGGTCTCGGAAGCTCAAGTCCGTCAATATTACCGATCTGCAAAGAGGGTGTGTACCGAACAAAAGGTTTGTATACGGAGCCATAATCATTTCATTTCCCAGGTCCGCCCGAACTCCAATCCCAGGCCGAGTGTTCAGTTCTACAATATTGATAGCCTATTGCTTGACGACACCAAAAAGCAGGTAAAAAATGATCCTCACTCCACTACCACTGCTAAAGCCGTCACTCCTGAGGATGGTGATATGGATGATGGGGAGTCCAAGCCTGGCTCGACAAACCTCGGGAATCTGCACTTGAGAAATGCCGCACAAATGTCTTTGTGTTGGAGGAAGGCATTGACCTGTCGCAATCGGATCTTTGTGACATGCTCGTCAGCGATCCTCCGACGCCAAATGTACCGGCACACGAGAACAGGCAGAAAGTCGAAGGTGGTTCGGATAGTCTTCCCGGAGGGAATGGCTCTTCAGATGCAGACTGGGAGTTCCACTGGTAGCGTACGGGGTCGCCAAGTAGAATGGCATTCAGGCGTTCTAAATCGCAGCCTCCAGATACTCCAGATATATACTGAGAAATCTGCCGCCTACAGCGCGCCGAAAAATGTCACGTGACAACATGTTTTAAACGTTAAAAACAGTGTGTCAAATACCTATGGGACCTAGCTTGTTAATAACCTAACGTTAATAACACGCTCTGAGTTTCTTACGCAACACTACTCCTCCCTCCTCTAATTCTTCACTACCACAGCAGACCCATAGCCGCGACGCTCGCCCCGCACAGGACCTTCGACCTTCGACGTCCATCCTCGCGAGCGGGCAAGGTCTGAGTATTCAATCCCTCTCGATCGACTCTAGCAGGGTCCGACAACTCATCGTCGAGCGACGCACCAGCAACGCGCCCCGGGGCCCGCCAATGCTCGAAGACATGTCACCTCACCCATAGCGGCTCAGCAGGCACGGGTTTTGGGAACCCGTCGCAGGGATCGGGCGCCGCGCACACACGTCCCAGCGTCCCAGCGCTATCGGCCCGTACCCGCGCAGGTAAGTAACTAGCGCGGGCAGCGCGCGCATTCCCTTAGGATCGTACAGCTGTGTCACCCGGAGGCATAATTTCCGGAGCTGGCGTCCACCCCGGCCGAAAAGGGGACAGACGCGCTGTAGGAGCGGCGCCTTGCGGGGCTAGGCGTGCCCTGGCCAGGGTAACCCGAGCCCGATGCGCTGCAGCGCGGCCCGCCCACGGTTTCCGTGGGCACGCTGTCCCGTCGCGACAATCCGTGCGTCGGCGCCACCTGTATTGGGGCGTGGGCGCGGGATAATGTCAGCACCCAGAGCGGAGGACGCGCCGAACGCGTGCGCGTCCGCGTGCGGCGCGCTTGCTTGACAGGTGACGCTGCGCACCCCGGGGGCCATGCAACCCGAAGCGCAAGAGTGCAAGAGGGAGCATTGCACCCGCCGCACAACAGCCGTAGCTGGGTGGGGGCGGAAGTCTGCTACTTGCCCGCACGGTGTGCGGCGGGGGTCGGCGTGGTGTAGTGCCGCGCCTGGTGCTAGACGGAGGCTGGGGGGATTTGCGGGTACGAGGCGCGCGGGCGCGGTTTGGTTTATGGTTATGGGGGCGGTGTGTGTGTGGTGTCCTTTAGCGCACTTCGCGGCGTACGGGAAGTTCCTTTCCAGCGTAACTCGATTCAGACTACACTGGGTCTGCTGTGAAATTTTTGGATTTTTTTTGGTCTCCTTTGGGAGGCTTGGTTTTTGGATGTTGGGGAATGTGTGCTGGTGAGTCTCCTGGTGTGTTGCGTGTTGTCGATGCTGACACGTCGTTGATTAGGACGTCTTGCATTTTTCATTAAGCTCGTTCGTCGGTGGTGATGAGTGCAACGTCGAGTTGTATAGTTCGGTGACCTGGGGGTACGCTCAGTGTGCACTTGTTCTGTCGATATGTTGTTTCTGCCTGCTGCAATCACATTCCGTGTCTGATCCTTCTTTAATCTCTTCCACTGCCTTGGTCGTGTGTCGAACGTTTTTTATGTCTCCCTGAGCGGACGTTTTTATGTGTCCTGCATTGCCTGGCCGGTCGGTAAGCAGCACATGGTCCTGCTCTTTGGACGATACACATTGAAGCATGTGCCTAATAGATGATGAGCTGGTCATCGAGACCTCCGCATGAAGGATGCGTTCCACCCCACACACACGTCATCGCGTCTTCGTTCGGCCTTGAGCCGCACGTACTCGGAAGCTGTCCCACTTCTGCGCTCCAGGCCCTAGAGCGCGGATCAAGGCCCTCTGCGCCTGGTTGGACCAGTCGGTACGAGGCATGGCGCGGTTTATGGAAGTGTATGTCGGCAGTTGTCCTTCGCGGTGCGCTGTTTTTTTTTTCCGAGCGTAACTCGATTCAGACCACACCAGGTCTGCTGTGGAAAATTTTCAATTTTGTTTGGTCTCTTCGTGACCTTGGGTTATGTCTCAGTGGATCGGGCCCGTTGGTGAGTGTCTGTGGTTGCCTTGGATGTTGTCGGCGCCGGCACGTCATTGAGCAGGAACTTTTGGGCGATAGGTGCGATGTCGAGTTGTATTGTTCGCTGACTGGGGGCATGTCGTTCCTGCTTGCCGCAATCATATTCCGTAGTTGATCCTTCGCTGGAACTTCTTCTACTGCTTAGTCGCATGTCGACCATTATTTTTATCTTCAGATGTCACCTTGTCATGGTGAGTCGGTTGTTTATATGGCACATTTTTGATCGTGACGTAGTTCATCAGATCTCGAGACGGATGCGACGTCGCCTCGTATATGTGGCGACCCATGTTTCAATTTTATCAGTATGTATTCCGCCTACTGTTATCCACACTACGCTGTCTTCTGCACTCTCAAAATCGCCGTGTTCTAGCACCTGCACCGACCTGACTATTTACCTCCTGCATCCTCCATAATGTTGACCGGATCCTACGGTGAGTGATCGTTGTGCCTTGACGAGACCGAGGTACGTGCATCGACGCAGGTCGCTAGCCGTGCACCGTCCACGCGTAAGGCATCGATCATCAGCGTTAAACGTTAATATAGCAATTCAGTGGAACGTTGCTCGATGTCCATTGGACGCTTCTGTGCCTGGTTCGACGTTCTGTCTTCGTCCTGCTGCCTCGACCAGATCGGACGATGGGTGATCTGTGCTTTGACGAGACTGAGGTGTGTGCGTCGACGCACGTCTCTAATTCTAGCTGGGCACCGCCTACGCATAACGGTCCGATCCTCGGCGTTGACGCTGAACGATGGTATACCACGACATCAGTAGTAGAGGCATCCCGGGAAGAATAGACCATTGCCCGCAGAGCGGAGAGCGGGGCCATGACTAGAGAATACGTGGTGAGAGCTCGTCTGGACGCAAACAAATTTTCCAAGAGTCGGTTAAAGTCCCAAGAGCCCGAGAAGAAAGCGCAGACGGTGAATTGAGTACTACTGTGGCAGAAGGCACGTCGACCTAGCCACGACCAGCGATCGTAAAAAAGTCGATATCAGCGCAAGGCGAACTGGAGGAAATGAACGTACTTTACATTGTAACATGGCTATATATGTGCCAGTAAACCTTACGTATCAGTGGTAGCAGGTATATACTAGCCAAAATCCACTGCTCGACGTTCGACGATGGGTAAGGGGAGAGTCGCGTCGCGAGGAATATCGAGAATTCGGTCCGTGGCGCTGAGATACGAGACTACAAGCACAAGAGACCGTGAATAGGTCGATAGCTGACAGAGCATTAATGTTCATCCTCGTTGAAGAAAGTTTGGACCTGCATGTACAGTATTATCTGAGACACCGCCGACAACAAAACACAGATGTAGATCTTACGCATGACGTCATACGATCGAAATAATGCACCCACATAGCATAGCATATTAGCAAGAAATGCTGCAGGTACATGTACCATACGAGTCATACCATGTCCTCCCCGCCGCCCATCAAACACACTGCACTGATGCGTATGTACTACGGATTAAATCCAACAACGCTATAGCTACGTTCGAGATAAATACGCACTGTTCTGTTTTCCCCGTGCGTCGGATGGTGCCAGTGTCAATGATCAAATATTAATCACCCCGCAGTAACGTCTCGTGCACTAAGCACCATAATACATACCGCCACTTAGGGGAATGCTGCCAGGAGGGGCCGCTTGCAGGCACGGAGGTCACGCACGCGCCCAGAAGTCCATTGTCAACGATGCTCCGTGCACATAAGGTATGAGAGAGAACGAGAACGAAAGAAGAGCCTCCGATTCCCAATAATAAAGCTCACGTCCTCAAACAGGTCCATACGCGAGCCTTATCCATCGCCGCCACGAACACGCCAAATACACAGCTCGAAGGATGTTGCGCGCATTGACACGGGGCACTGGGCCCAAAGAAGGTAGTACCTGGCACGCACAATCCGCGGAGCCCAAACTTGAAAATATGCTGATAGCTCGAGAATTGGCCGATAGAATGAATGAAGGAAGGCGGGGGGAACAGAGAAAGTGAAGGGAAGGGACGCACACCAACCACGCATATCCCAGCCCCCACACACATGCTTGCCAGCTGCAGGAACAGGGATGCCATTGGACTCGGAGCTGACTGCTGAGAAGGACCGTGATCTCGATTGGCTGGTCCAAGGTAAATAGACGGCGCGGTATCGCGTGGCGGATGCTCCTAGGGCGAGATCGAGCGCGAAGGCGTCGGGCGGAGTGTGCGCCGAGGGGTCTCCGTCCATGAGTTATTGACAGCAATATCGGATAGTGGACACTGGTCGAGATTGGACGCGGGGTCCCGGGGAGGTCTCCGTGCATGATGCATGAGCTATTGATGGCAAGATAGCAAGGTGCAGCACATCCCCCGATCGACTGCCACGCTCCTCGACCCCGCTGGCGTCCTCAGAGCGCAGCAACCGTGAAGCTAAGGGACGCGAAGTGGAACGCGAGGGGAGCTTCTCGGTAGGGACGTGGTCATCGCCAGCCAACGACGTGCTCGTGGGTGTTTGAGCTGGGAACCTAGTACTGAGACACCTCGCGGGCGTGTGCTGGCTGTGTGACGCATGAGAGCCGCCAGGCTGGTGGTGATAACGAGGATGGCATGTGGGGACTCGGAGGAGGCCCGATCGATCGGCATCGCGGACCAATCTCTCCCGACAGATCTCATCCCTCGCATGGAACCTCGAAGATTCCGCCATCCCCTCAGCGCACACATGAGCTTTAATCGTCGACGGCGCACGGAGCGAAAACGAGAACGAGAGAGAAGAGCCTACCATTCAACGACGACAAAGAACGCGCACCCGCTTTGGTAACCAATGGCTTAAGTTCCGGAGGAAAGTCTGTTTTTCTTGGCGGACAATGTCCAATGGCTACATCGCTGCACAAGATGCATAGCCAAGTATTTCTGAGTGAGAAACCCTGAAATTTTTCATAAAGTAAAGCACGAGGAAGAAAGCATAATGGATTTTCGTGGGAAATACTGTGATCGTCCAATCAGCAGCAGCTTAGAATCCCAGTTTTTTCTGGAAATTATTCTTTATTCTTTTTTCAAACCATTTTCCGCAAAAAAAACTGGGCTAGGCTTCTTGTGCTGGCAAGTTCTGCGGAAGGCAGCTCGAAGGCGCCTAGGTGCCTCAAGTTTGCCGTGTGGTGTCGGTCATCACATCTACTGCATGCAAACCTTCCAACTCTGTTGGAAATGGCCAGAAAATATGGAGGTCGTTTGGTTACGGTTCGTTTAAGGACAGATGCCGTGATGCCGACGCGTGGCCCTCACGTGGATTACCCAGGAGACCTCAGTCACCCCCTACGTGCGCTAGTATTTTTTCCTTAGCAATTCTTGCCGCACGTCATGCTCGCCGTGCGTCGGCTCGAGCTCATCATCGCTGACGACGAGCTCCACTACATAGTATATATGCCAAAATTCTTGCAAATATTTTCATTTCCACTACTACCATATACATCGCAAGAAGTATTTGTCTCCTGCTCCCCTCATCATCTGCTCGCGGTCGTACATGTTCATCCCGCGCTCCCCCACACCAAAGCCGTTCGGCTCCATGCGGTTTGCCCCCGCCAATATTGTGTCCTCGCGCGAGTCCGTGCCCTTGCCCGCGGTGTCTGCGCATACTCAAAGGGCTCGGACGTATTTGTGTTCGGTGCCCCCGTGCCCTTCCCGTTCACCAGCGGCGCACCAGTGTTCGGCGGCACCGGTGACGAACACCCTTACGCCATTGCGCGGTACCCACCCGGGCTCGGCGCCATCGCATATGGGTGCAGGCTAAGCCCCGCATCGCATTCTCCCTCGCGTTCCCGCTCCCTCTCGCGCTCCCGCACCTGCTGCTGGCTTGCCCGCCGGCTCGTGGACACCAGGGACGGCATGCTGATATGTTTGCGTGACCCGCCACACGAGTCCTGCCCCAGCTTCTGACTGCTGCTCTTCATGTGCGTGGGCGTCGGCGCGAGTACGAGTGGGGAAGAGGGTGACTGCAGCAAGACCCCCACAGGCCATCTTGTCGGGCTTCCCAAGTTGCCCGATGGGGGTCTTGCTCCGCATCTCAGGCATCAGGTTCGCCATCGTGGCGGTATCCTCGATGAGTGCGGGTGCAATTGCACTGGATTTGATTCCGTCCTTGGCGTACCACAGGGAGAGCCAGTGGACCAGGCCATGCAGGGCGGCTTTGAATGATGTGTAGTGGGGTTCGATGACTCCGCTGTTACCTGGTAGATGGTGGAAAGATCAGCGGTGTCGGACGAGTGCCCGATGCAGAGAATCACCTGCAGCGATACTGATTATGATAGACATGAATTACCATGGATTTCGGGCAAAGGGGCACGCAGAGCGCACCTCGACGTGAAAATGACGTGTTCGTATTTCTGCGCTTCCATGTGCAGCACACAGAGCTGCGCAAACATGTAGCTCGTGCCGGTGTTCGTCCACCACATCTCTTCGAACACCTCCATGGGCACGTCGTTGATATTGCCCAGCAGTGGGCCAATCTTATGCCCCGCGATGCCGTGGTTTGCGAAGAGGATGTCCGGATGCCCGATCTGCTGCACAACCTCAGCATGGAGGCGGCGCACCTCGTCGTAGTTCGACAGGTCTGTCTGGAAGATGGCGAACCGCGCGTCGGAGCTGGCAATGGCCTTGAGGTCGGAGATGAGCGTGTCTGCCTTGGCGTGCGAGGATGCCGCCTGGTAGTGCACTGCTACTGAGCAGCCGGAGCGGGCAAAGGTGCGTGCAGTCGCCTGGCCGATGCCTCCGCTGTGCCAGATGTGGTGAGTGGGCGAGATATGATGTGGTATGTGATGTACTTACGTGCAGCCGGTGATGAGGACGGCAGCTTGCCCTTCAGGTTGGAAAACAAAATAGGATGCTCCACCCTCGTGAGGCCGAGAGAGGCAACATCCTATGCAGCCTGTCCAACACGGGCCTGAGTACAGTCGCGAAACAGCCCGGAGTACTTGTCAAAGGGCCAGTGCCGAGCTCGTGCACTCAGGCTGAACGCGGGATCGGGCGCAGACGTGCGCCAGGACAGAGACTAGCAAATTGCAGAAAAGTTGTTGTAGTCATATGTCGGGGAGCAGCAAGAATTTTGGCATATATTATGTAGCGGAGCTCGTCGTCGGCGACGATAGCTTGAGCCGACGCACGGCGAGCACGACGTGCGGCACGAATTGCAGGTGCTAAGGAAAAATTACAAGCGCACATAGAGGGTGACTGAGGTCTCCTGGACAATCCACGTGAGAGCCACGCGTCGGCATCACGGCATCCGTCCTTAAACGAACCGTAACCAAACGGCCTCCATAAGAAAAAGAGGCAATCCGAGGGATGCGCCACAAGCGGAAATTAATTACATAATGTGGCCATTATACAAAAGAATATCTATATTTGGAACGAGAGAAAGCTCCGCCACCGCATCTTCTTACCGCGACTGATCCTTTACCTCGCATCCACTCCGATTCTCTCAGATTAAATTCCTCGCTTCCCAATAGGGCTAAGAGCACCCACATTTTCTAACAAACTCAACCGCTCGCATGCTCCTACTAATTTTGATGCATTGCCGCCCACGTTGCTCATGCCAGGCGGGTGCAGCCACCAGCACACAGTGCAATGGTCAGCGACGGCGACGGGCCATCCTGCTGCCAGAGTACCCGAATGTCGCACTCCTGCTTTAGAATATCTGTGGTTGAAGGGAGAGAAAAACTGACAGCAAATCTGGTAGCCTACCGGTTAGTGTTGAGATGTTTTGGACCTCTCTGTTACGCGTTATAGTAGGTCTCTCATTATAAAACATTACAAGCAGTACTGCTTACTTACAGGACTCAATGCATGCTGACGGAGGTATTTTGAAATTGGATGTGATGTGACCAAGCGAAACCAAGTGCCTGTAGGGGGCCAATTGAATCCGACCCAACAGTATACTCCATTACTGGCGATGTCCAGGACAACCTCATTGCAAAAGCTCGAATCACAACCGGTGACCGCCCCAGCATCTGACTGATGAGTACATAGGTGCAGGGAGCCATGACTCTAGCACTGAACTTCTCTCACCATGCCTTTGTCCCATCTCTTCAGAACATGCAGTCTCAAAAGCTTCATGGGCCATAAGAGGAAGAAGTCTGCGCTGCCGGCTCCGCTACCTTTAGCCGCAAGTGCAGTCACTTTCCCTTCATCTGAGCTGCCATCTTCGGAGATTGCTGCTGCGCACAGCACCTCGCCCGCGAGCGCTGCACTTTCCGACTCCACTGTGCCTACGATCCCTCCATGGACCCCTCCGGATTCTCCATCGCAATCTATGCCAGAGGCGGTCGTGTCTCCTTCTCCAGATACTTCTTCTCCCATTCCACAAGAGTGTCGAAATGGATTGCACGCCAACCGTCTCCATTTGAACACCACTTCCGACTCGTCGATGAGCGACGTTTCTGTCTCGACCACTGACGATGACCGCGTTATGAGAACACTTACCGTGGTTTCTGCCCAAATCAACAAGCATGGTAGCAGTTCGAAGGCCGAGCAAGCGTTGAACGCCCTGGGTACGTGGTTCGACTGACTTGCGATTTCTGGCTAACACGTCGATGACAGATGACAAAGTTACCACGATCCAGGATCAAGAAACCCTGGTGACTACTCTATATGCCCAAATCGAGCCGGCAGTGGCTCTTGAAGCTGTCAGTGGCGTCAAAAAATCTATCGAAGATGGGATAAATTTATTTCTTGACGGCATGCCTGTTTTGATGAAAGCTTTGGATGAAGTTGCGGAGATTCACCCATTCGTTCAAGGTGACTAGTATTTGTCATCCGGACAGATGAGAGACTAACGAGTTTTCTAGCGGCCGTCCTCGCATTCAAAGCTGTGCTCGAAACGAAACGGCAGGCAAATGACGCGAAAATTACTGCTCTGTACGTGGAGATGAAGGATATGATTGCGGTTTTGATTCAGTGAGATCTTCTCGGTTTGTTTCGGACTTCAGCTCACAGCAGCGACATACCAGATTGAAGAATGTAAAAGATGTGGAAGATGTTGGCCCGGGCGGCATCACTCTGAAAGGCCGTCTGCAGAATCTCGTGAAGACGACTGCGAACGACATGAAGAAATGTGCGAATGCATGTGATGCGTATTCGAAGCTACTTGTGAAGATCCTCACAGGACCACTGTGGGAAAACAAACTCGCGGATTTTGTCTCCACATTCACAGAGCGTAGGACCCAATTTGAATTCACTTTGTCAATTCACATTGGCCGTGGGGTTGACGAGGTGAAACGGAAACTGGATAATCTAGAGCATGGTAAAAGTGAGGTAAGTCCATCCCTTTCAGCTGGACTATGTAGGTTATGCATCACCGTCTTCAGGACAGACATGTTACTCAAGTTCATGCGAACCTATGTTCCGCCAGAGCAAAGAGAGCTTGTCGCATTGGTGCAAAAGAAGGGAGGGACTAAGGCCGTTATGGACAATGAGGAAGTGCTGAAGGAACTCCATTCCTACGGATCGAGGCGCCCTACGAAGGCTGGCGACACGCAAAATCAAGCAGGACATGCTCGCGGCGAAGACGATTTTATAGAGCTGAAGTCAGATCTTCAGCAAGATCCTGATGAAGCTGTCGAAAAAAATCTCCAAACATTTGAGCGCAAGTTTGAGATGCAGAAGAGGCAGCTCATCGAGGAAGTGGAGAGAGTGGTGAAACGCGAAAGTGACCGGATTATCGACTCCGTAACGTCTGGACCGCATGACAAGGTCGTTGATCGGGTGAGCATCTTCTGTTACAGCCTGGCCCAGTCTGTTCAATGTGCCTTCTGCAGGATCTTCACAATATATGGAAGGAAATGGGCAGTTCTGTAAAAGTTTACTGGTTGTTATGGTGCTGATATCGGATTAATTAGGGATGGCGCGGTACTGTGGAGGCTAGACACTTCGTCCTTGCTCTTCGGCATTACTACCACGAAAAGACAGATGGCAAGACCAGGAAGGAGTCTGCCACCAAGAGTGTTCTGACCCCTGACCCCGATGCGTGGGCTCTGGAGTATCTCAGTGTCAAGAGGCTACAGTCTATCATTGATGCGCTTGACGAGGATGCTGCAGGATTCATAACTGTGGCGGAAGCCAACAAATTGACAGAAGTTCGTCCTCTCAACTGGAGGTGAGTGCTTAAGTCGGTATTTTCGCTTTCCAGACACATTTGACTGTTCGGTGACAATAGCTTACTCCACTGGATCGCCTATTGGGCTGTCGGTGAGTCTGATCATCATTCAAATTTTCTCGCTGTTGAAATTGCCATGCAGGATGGCGGATCAATGCCACAATCTATATCCGCAGAATCAATGAACTAGTCGGAAAGATGTTTGCAATCAAGGAGGAAGTCTATGCTACGAATGGTCCCTATGTCGACGAATACCTTCACACTGTATGGGCGGGGATCACTAGCTTGACTTGTTCGATGCGGCCCATGACATCCAGCGATAATCTTCAAGCACGATTCAAAAGTCGCATGGATGCAGAAGAAGAGCGTATCCGCACAAATTTGGAGGCTGTACGATACAATATCAATGACATGGAGACACTGTCGCTCATCACAGGACCTGGAACGATCGAGAAGGTCAGAGCATTTTCATCTATTGGTGCGCCCGACGCTGATGTTGTCCGCTCCTTTTGCACCCCTAGCATATTTTTCCGTTGATTTACTTGCTCTTAAAGCGTGACTTTGAGATCGTGCGTCTCTATCGAACCAAATTGGTCCACAGGAATGAGCTACGGGATTGCGCGGATAGTCTGGAGTGGGTGTTTGAAGCTGTGCAAGCCCGTTACGACGACCTCAAAGATGCGATTAACTCATCATCGTTTGTGGACCAATCCCATTCACAAATATCTAGATATTTTCAAACAGCAAAAGCTCGACCTCGATCAACAATTCAAAACTATCTGGGGAGAGCTCGTACGTATCTTTTTCACAACTGTCACGCAGCACGGTCGATCTATTTTCTCGCGATACATTCAATTGTCGACTCGTAAATATGATTTTGGGCGTCCACTCGAAGGAGACGAAGAGGACGAGCTTACGCGGTGTCGGAAGAGCCTCACACCTACAGATGCTCGGTTTTACCTCACTTTGTACCTCTACCAGTTCAGAACCACTGCTGTTCATTTGTGAGTCCTCTTCAGACACAATCTCACTGCATATTGACGATTTTTGGCCAGTGGTGTCCTCTGTGACAACTGTATTGGCGTCATTGGCGGGACACGCACGATCTGCATAGATTGTCGTACAGACCGTGCAGTCCGCACCGTCGATATCTGCCAAGACGAACGCTGTCTGAGTGCAGAGGTCAGGCGGTCCGACTTGGCATCGCCTCACCTTCCATCACACGCGGTGTACAAAGTCAGGAGAACGGTGCATGATCGGGAGTTCGGCCAGTTGGACAAGGAGGCCCGAGTAGCATTGCAAAACGCCAGGGCGGCACTCAAGGATGCTGCGGAGGTCAAAAAAAAGCAGACCAAGGACGCAGCAAAGGAAGATGATCGCAGGGCCAAACTGGTGAACGATAAGCTGAAATGCATCGTGTGTAAGAAACGCGTCGTGCGACCTTGTTGGTTATGCATGACGTGTCGGGATGAGTTGTTCTGGCTCGTGCGCGATGCGTGGACTCATTTTGTGTCTTCAGATGTATACATCTGTCTCAACTGTGACCCGACGGACGGTATCACCATCGAAGGTCACGACAAGCGTCATCCTTTGGTCCGGTATCAGGAGGAAGTTGCCGCCAAGAGACCTTCGAGGATCGAAGCCCTGGAACGCAAGCTTGATGCCGTGGACGGCAAAATCGCCCGGGTCGACGAACGCATTCAACAGCTGCTGCAGATGATGTATGTGGCCATCATGGTGTTACTGTTTGTACGCTTATGTTTTTGCGGCGTAGGACCATGGGTGCTCGAACGCCTAGCACAGTGGTGTCAATCTCAGCGGAGGAAACAGAGTAGGCGTACCCGTATCGTATTCGTTGGCCCCTGGGACGATTGCGATGCGACTGCTCTCCGTCTATAATATACATTGGGACATATAGTTTGAACATCTTTGCTGCATCACAGCCCGAACTTCTCGAGGGTCACCGAGCATGTTTGAAGGCCGCGCCGATATAATCTGGTCGTGCATTTCCATCGACCCCTTCGTATCCGGTGCCACGTCTGATACGTCGAGTAGATCTCCTTCAGCAGCACCTTCCTCTCCAACAAGGCGGGGCTGAAAGACGCGGCAGCGTTAGCGCTAGCTATTTTGCAGAGAGAACACACACAGTTTGCCAACGCAGCCACGCCCACTCGCTGAACGGGGGTTCATTGCGCCTTAAGCTTCGGCGTCCAGCGTTGCATTCTCCGGCAGGCGGCGTCGACGTCGTGCCACCCCTCATGCCTCGATATCCAATGATACCCACCTGGGGCAGACTATAAGCGTCGGTATCGGCACGAAACAGCGCGACCCCTCCTCTCCTCCGTCACCGCATCCGAGGGCCCGGGCTGCACCCAGCTATACCTGCACTACGCTGTCTTCCGCACTCTCGATATCGCGCGTGTTCTGGCACCTGCACCGACCTGACTATTTACCTCCTGTATCCTCTATAATATTGACCCGGATCCTACTAACGGCAAGTGCTCGTTGTGCCTCGACGAGACCGAGGTACGTGCGTCGACACAGGTCACCAACCTGTACAACCGTCCACGCACAAGGCTTCGATCCTCCTCAGCATTAATACTAACAGTTCAGTGACCTCCATTGGACGCTTCCATGCCCGGCTCGACGTCCCGTCTTCGTCCAGCCGCCTCGACCGGATCGGAAGGGTGAGTGGATCTGTCCGCGCTATCTATTCGCAGAACAAAATAGACTCTTGACCTCGTCGCCGACCGTCGGAAACTAGCTACGCTCGGGTCTCCAAAAATTTCACAAACGCCCAGCGCACGACACTAGCATTTCATAGAACACAACACAACACAACACAACCATCGCGCGCGGCTTAGCGAACGGGCACAGGGAAGAACGCACACACCGATACGGATCTTACACACGATACGTCATACGATCAAAGGATCCATCGCGCGCACGATCATAATAGCAAGAAACGATCGGGACATGTACCACACGAGCGCTACGATGTCCCAGCTCTCCGCCCACCAACCTCCCACACACTGAGACACCTCCCCATCACCCCATCCCTCGTTCGGACCCGCCCTCGTCGCAGCCTACGCGACCCCCCTCCTAGTCACCACACTCTGGCCTGGCGGCACACAGGCGTATCCCGACGCACCCCGTGCGGACGCAGGGGTGCGCCGGAAGGCAAGCACATCATTCGGTACGTCACCTCGCTCGCAGCGGCGCACCGCGACACAGCCATCCCCCGCCCAGACGCGACTCCCGCAGTCCCAATCCCAGTCCCAATCCCAGTCCCAGTCCCAGCGCCCGCGCCCATCCAGCGCTCTCGCTCCGCCCGACAAACCGCCAGCGCGTAGCGCGCGTATCCACCGTACACGTCGATCCGAATCCGGGAGAACGCGCGCCCACGTCCAGCTGCATCGTCATATACCGTATATTGCAGCCTCCACGCAGCGAACGAGAGCGGTGCAGACGCGTTATACTTCCCGCCGGGCTCGGGTGCGCTTTCACGACTTACTAGTAGGGGGAAAGGGGCGGGAGGGACAGCGCGCGTCCTACTGTCGGTCGAGCACATATAGTACCAGTATATATATGTGTGTGCGTATGTAGAAGCGACGAACATACGAACACGCGCACGCACCGATATGCTGGCCATAGCCAGAGAAGGTATTCCGCGTTCGCTAGCCGCGATGATCGTGCGTCGGAAACTACGTACTGCACCCTCGAGTCTCCAAAATTACATAAAACGCCCAGCACTTCAGACAACACTAGCACTTCAAAGCTTCAAACACAACATAACATCACACAACACCCACACCCAAAAAAAATCCCAAACGTATCCCCCGGCGCGCCCACCTCACAGCCCCACATCAGGCACCTCCACCCCCGCCCTGCGCATCTCCCCCTCGCACCACTCCCACAGCCGCGCCCCCAGCACCGGATCGTGCGCCTACCCACCACAACCACCACCACCGCCACCACCAATGACAGCCCCCAGAATCCAATGAGCTCGCAGCACCCAAACAGAGCACACCACGCACCTCCTTGCGCAAAACCGGGCCGCGCCGCGCCCACGGCACGAAATACGCCCCCGAGTCCGCGCGCGTCACCTCCGGCGCGGTCGCCGCGTACAGCTGCGTCAGCATCCCGTACTCGATCGGGTACTTGTGGATCACCGTCTGCCGAGCGCGCGCGTGAGCACAAGTCGCACCGAGAGAGAGGGGGGCGCCGCACCTTGAGGTCGAAGAAGGAGCGCTGGTGCCGCCAGAGGTCCGTCTGGAGGTTGCCCGGGTTGAGCGAGACCGAGATGATGCCTGCGCGCGGGCCAAGTTAGAATCACCTCGTCCTCTCCTCAGTGCGAGATGTGAAGAAAGCAAAAGGGGAGGGAGGGGGTGCGCACCGGCGTCGGTGTACCGCCTCGCGAGCTCGTTCGCAAAGACGACGTTGCCCATCTTGGACTGGCCGTACACGCCAAAGCCCCAGTTCATCGCGCCCGCGAGGTTGTCAAAGTGGATCCCTCCCTGTGCGCGCGGGCGCGCGCGTTAGCACTCACACTGGAGGACGCATGCAAGGATAAAGGGGGGGGCGACGCACGGCGGGGGCCATCGCGGTCGCGAGGGACGCGACGTTGACGACGCGGACGGTGCCGTCCGGGGCGGCGGCGGCGGTGCGGAGGAGGACGGGGAGGAGGTAGCGCGTGAGCGCGTAGTGTCCGAGAACTGCCACCGCTGCCGTCAGTGCGCGCCGCGCATACACGGGGACAAAGGAGCTGACCATTAGTGGCGAACTGGAGCTCGATGCCGGACTCGGTCTGGCTGCCCTTGGGCGGGGTCATGATGCCGGCGGAGTTGAGGAGGACGTGGAGGCTGTCTTCCTTGCTGCAGCGCAGCGCGGCGGATATCAGTTCCTCTCAATGCGGGCGCGTCGGGAGACACACCTGAGGAACTCGTCCGCGGCGCGCTTGACGTTGTGCAGATCGACGAGGTCGAGCTGCAGGAAGACGACCTGGCCGGGCTTGAGGGGGCCAGCGGCCTGCGCGAGGTCGGCGTTCATCTTGTCGACGGCGGTGGAGCCCTTTTCTTTCGAGCGCGCAGCGGCGTAGACTTTTGCGCCATGTTTTGCGAGCTGGAAGGCGGAGGCGTAGCCGATGCCGGAATTGGCGCCTGCGGAGGGAGCGTCAGGGCGCGTGCGCAGGGAAAGAGCGGGACGGACCGGTGACGAGGACGACCTTGCCTGTGAGGTCGCCGATCTGGTCTGCGGACCACTAGGCGGAGATGAGTGGGAGTAGGAGAGGCTCGAGCGGGGAAGCGACGGACCTTGGGGGAGCTGGGGTAGACCTCGGCGATGTAGTGCGCAGCGTTGGGAGGATAGCAGGAGGCGAGGAACACGCTCATGTTACCGCCCATCGTGGTGCAGAGGAAGGGGAGAGAGACGGAGAGAGAATGGAACGCATCCTTTTGAGTTGCATGGCCCTCGCTGCCGGCCTGCCATCGACGCGCTTCTCCTTGAGCAGCTGTCAACGAGATCCGCGCCCGTGACGCGTCGACGCGCGCTTCTGTGTCCACGTATGGAATCTTTCGAACCGCTTTGAGCGAGGCGCGCAGCGCATCCGGAGCAGGGCAGCCAATCTCGCCGGTGGCCCTCCTCGCACGCCAGCAGGCGACGGTACCTCGGGCAGACCCAGGCTGACGTGCTCTGCTCTACGCTCACCACGTCGCCGCCAACAGACGCGTCTCCCCATAGTCGCGACGACTCGCTGCGTCTATTCAATCCTCAGCTTCTTGTCTAGCCAACTGCGACAACACTCACCGTCCACCGAGCGTCGGGACCGCAGCACAGCTACCGTCCGCGTCGCGAATCTTTCGCCTCCGTCCATTGCACCCGGATGCAGCGCTCTCCCGCGCTCGCGCCTTCCGAGACTGCGACGCCGTCAGACCAACCCATGGTCGCACTCCGCCAGAGGACCAAACCCGTGAAGAAAGCGTGTGGACACGGCCTGAATCCCAGCACGCGCAACAACGTCGACTGCAAATAACGCGCGCTGCGTGTTCAAGATACGACTCCACGAAGATCAGACATCGTCGCGTGCGGAACAGCGCCCTGCTGGGCGAACGCAATGTGTCGAACGGCAAGACGGCATTCATACTGCGCCATCGAACCTCAAGGCCTCGCCGTCAACGCCGAGCATCGAGCCTCTATGCGTGGACGGTGCGCACCCAGTCACCGACTCGTGTCGATACATATCTCTCAGTCTCGTCAACGCACAACCCACCGTACGACCCGCCCGAGGACATGCAGCCCAGGGAGGACGCGAATAGCCACGGTGCGTGTGCCAGACCGCGCGATATCGAGAGCGCAGAAGACAGAAGACCAGAGTAATGCACTCAACAGCAGGCAGAACACACACGCCGAACATTTAAAGATTAATACACACGATCGCCACGTAGACATCGCATCCGGATCTGATGAACGACAGACACGTCACGATCAAAAACGTACCAAACAAACAAGACCTCCGAGTCGGCGACTCACCTCCGCCGCGTGCTACAGTCCAACGCGAGCTGCCTTCCTAAAGAGACGGAACCGAAATCCAAACATTTTCACTCTACAGTATAAGACCCGTCGTAGTCCGAATCGAGTTACGCAAAGCACTGCGAAGTGCACTAGGAAGGACGACCACCAAGACACACGCTGGCAGCACGTGATCGCGCGAGGCATTTATTTCCGAGATGAGCTTTGGCAGACGGCCTTGGCGCGTCCCCCCCCCGGCCAACTACACAATTATACACCCAGACTCAGCAAACGCGCCGGCCTACGGTCCTCGACTACGTCCAGACCCTCGACATCCCACGCTCTCAGCTCCAACCAAAGATCATGAAGGATCTCGGACCGCGCTTCGAACAACTCACCTGCGAACAAGTACACGACCGCGCAACGCGATTCGCCACCGCACCAAACTCGCACTAGAACGCGAACCCACCCGCGAAAGAGGTACCGCGCGCGGCCGGTCATATGTCGATTCTCGATCTTGCGACGGGGTGCCCCAGCTGTGCATATCTCCAACCCGCTTTGCCATTGGGCGACGGCCCCGCACGCTCCCGTGAGAAGGACGACGTGCCCATGGTGCGCAGCGCCTCCGGAGCTCACCGGTGCCTCTAGTATGCTCGCACCGCACCGACGGGACAACCACCAAACAAAGCGCCCGAAAATCCCAGCACGCCCCGTAACCCGAACGTCGAGCAAACAGCGCGCACTTGCGTCTTCCTTGCACGGTCGAGCAGGACGGCGATCGGGGGCTATATCGCGCACACGGGTCGGAGACGTTGGCTGGGTGGACGCGGAACGCTGGCGTGCGGACACAGCGCGCACATCGCGTTGAGCCCTGAGTTCTGAGGGCCTAGTGATACTACGTAGATGGAATATTGCGGAGGCTGTGAGTGCAGTGCAAACACTCTTTTCCTGCGCGGGAGGCGTGGACGACCTGCGTTCAATTACCGATCAGTCTTTTTTGCCGTAGTTCTGCAAACGGGGCACAAGGTAAGTCGAGGGTCGTAACAGTAACAGCACCGCTAGATGAGGACGGAGCAGCACATACACAACATCCGAGTCAGCACCGAGCCCAGAGCCGACGCGCAGACGTCCAACAAATATCGCACAGAAAGACCACGCTATAACCGCGACGCGATCGTACACCCCAAGTGATCACCGAGGGCACCCGCCCACGAGACGGCCCGAAGGCGATCGCAGCCCTTCTCTTCAACGCGTTCGCAGAAATCGTCTCTCCTCCCGCGGCGAACCGTAAGCCTAAAAACGATTAGCCAGGCGTGCAAAGTCGAGTGCGCAACACACTGGATGAACACAGTGGGGCAGCGGTCCAGAGATGACAGGTGCGCGGCGGTACGCTCGGCGCGACGTCGCGCGGAAGCGTCGAACGGAGATCGGACGATGTCGGACTGGATAGAATGGACGTGGGCAACATATATCGACATTCAATGTCAACGCTGAGGATCACACTCTGATGCGTGGATGGTGCGCAGTCGACGCATACGCCTCGCTCTCGTCAACACACAACGATCATCGAAACTCACCGACCGATCTGGTCGAGGCGGCAGGACGAAGACGGAACGTCGAGTGGAGGCAGGGGAGCGTCGCACGGAGATCGAGCAACGTTGCACTAAATTGGTGTATCATCGAACCTAGACACTGAGCAGTGCACGAGATTCCGCCCATGAATCAAACACAGAATAGGATTGCAGCATGCACAAACAACATATTTGACAGAACAACTACACACTGAGCATGTCCCCAGGTCAGCGAACAACACAACTCGACGAACGAGCTTAATAAAAAATGCAAGACTTCCTGGTCAATGGCGTATCAGCGTCGACAACGTACGAGACAACCACAAATACTCACCGATGGACCCGATCCACCGACATGCAACCCAAGCCTCACGAAGAGACCCAGACAAAATCCAAAAATTCCACCGCACAGCAGACCCGGTGTAGTCTGAATCGAGTTACGCTTATAAAAAAAACCGCGCGCCGCGAAGTGCACCAAAGGACAACCGCCCACACACACACCCCATCAACCGCGCCCCGCCGCCTCGTACCCGCAATCCTCCCGAGCACCCGTCTAGCACTGCCGGCGTACCAGCCGCACACTCCCGCCAGCGTCACTGCTTGTCGGGCTCCCGCCGGACTCAGTAACGACCTACAGCGGGCGCAATCCCGCGACGTTTCTCGCGTCTTGGGCTGCGTGGCCCCTCCAGGGTGTGCCCATCTCGCCTGCATTGATATGCGGCTCGACCTCACAAAGCAACCGACGTAGCGTATCGCCCTCCCTAGGGTGCTGACGTCCCCGACGCCCCAGCGCCTCCTGCACGGAGGCGCCTCTCGCATCTAGGACGTCGCGACGGGCCTAGGACAGCATGCCCACGGAGCCCGTGGGCGGGCCGTGTCGCAGCGCGTCGGGCTCGGTATAGCCCAGCCAAGGCGGACCGACCCCCTCCAAGGCGCCACTGCACGCCTGTCCCTTCCCCGCTCGGTCGGATATCGTGCACGGCTGACCTTCCGTACGCAACCAGGGCGTCCGGAAGGCTTGGCCAGCGCCCGCGCTCGACGTCGGTTGCGCGGACTTACCTGTCAGCGCGGTGCGGGCCGATAGCGGCGGGGTGCTAGGGCGCGTGTTGTGTGAGCGTCGCCCGGTCCCTACGACGTGCCCCGAACCCCGCGGCTGCCCTCTACGTCTGTGACGGGTCGTTGGGCTGCCAGGCGCGGGGTGTTGTTGGTGGGTCGCTCGACGATGAGTGTCGGACCCTGTTAGAGTCGATTGAGAGGGACTGGAATGCTCAGACTTTAGCCCGCTCGCGAGAGGGGACGTCGATGAACGTCCTGTGCGGTGCGAGCGTCGCGGCTGCAGGTCTGCTGAGGTGGTGAAGAAGGAAATGAAGCGTGCGAGGTGAGAAAATATACGTTTGCTGGCAGCACGTGATCGCGTGTGAAAAGACGCGGGCGAGGGTACTGCGACTCCGACGGCGTGCTGTTTGTTCAACTCTGACGAGCCTAAGTCAACGGGGGCTCCCTTGAGTCTGCAAATGCAATGATGTACATGTACTGTATACTGACGCTCGACGTGGAAGTGACTACACTCAGAACCTCAACATCCCCCATGGCCAAAGCTCCTCAAATCCTGCTTGTGTCGCTCCAAACCCGCGAGGCCAATATCAATGGCACACCCGACAGGGAGGACTTCTTCGAAAGAATTATCTCCGAACGCGAGAGAGGCGATCGTCACTCACTTGAAATGGCAGCAGCCTCACGAAAAGGTGCGCGCCGCAAAATCGCTCACAATGGCACGCAGCAGAGCCAGGATCGTCGGACCTCACGCGTACACGACGCAAATCGACTGCATAGCATCACGTTCGGCACATAACCTCCGCGTCTTGCCAGCACGCCAGAAGATCCAGGATGCAGTGCGCACTGTTTCCTCAGCGCCGCGACCGTCATGAGCGGGTCGACCCGTCGGTGGGACTGTGCCCATCGTCTCAACGGTCGGCAAGTACCGGATATTCCAGCGAGCGTTTTGCGAGACACGAGTGCGTGGTCGATACATAGGCTCTCGTAACTCTTTTCGTGGCGAGTCGGTATCGGACCTACAGCGGGTGCGGTGTACGGCGTCGAAGCGAATTTGCAGCGCGGATGGCAAAGGAGGACCGGTGAGGTGGGCGTCGGTGGATCTATATTCACAAGTCAGGTCGTGGTCTACAGAGGCATCCTAAGAATTTGAGCCTGTGCAGTCAGAGAGCGCATTCGCTCACATCCTCTTGGCGGAGACGTGGATGATGGTGATGGTGCAGGCATGTCTGTTGTGAGGTGATAATCCCGTCTCTACAACGAGTAGAGGCCTGCTCAACTGTGACTATGATGATCGAACTCGCGAGAGTCAGCAGAGAGAGGCGGAGCATGCAGATGGCGCTCACTCATAGACTTCTAGATGCCAATGTTGGGGCACACGGCTTCATACGCGAAGGAAAATCGCCATGGCTGTACTGGCCTGATAATGATATCGGTGAGAAATTGGGGGTATCCACTGCAGACTCTGTGGTTCCTGGAATTGTTAGACGAAAAGGAGGAGTGTTAATAGCCAGACCGTGGCCGTACGTGAAAATAAACGCCGGACTGCGGACGTTGATAACAGAAACTATCCAGTCTTGAATGGGCCTGTAGTTTAATGTATCTGATAGGTTTCATCTGCGATAGGCTGGGCAGATTGCGAAGATTCAGGTCAGGATGCGAACGATACTAAGGCGAGGGGGCGGACGTCGTGAAGCGCTCATTCGACGCGTTTACCACGTGCTCGCGATTGTGAAAGTCCCACGCCATCGTTATCCTTCCAGACCTCCCAATGCAAATTTTGACTTTCATCTTGCTTTCGAGCAGCAGACTTGCGGCCGTGATGCTCGTTTCGCACAGGGGATCTTCTCGACGTCGTCCGCATTCACGAGCGCGCCAAGGTCTGATTATTACACCCGACTGACTCTAGCAGGGTCCAGCAGCAACAGTCGAACGACGCACCAGTAACCTTACCCGCCCCTCCCCATGCCCAGAGACGCGACGCTGAGGGGGGACCGGCGGGGCTTGGGATACGTAGTAGGAATGGACGGCACCAACTGCCCAAGTCCTCGTACTCCCCTTGCTATTGGCACCGTCCGTGTTCTGTGTGACACGGCCGGGGGCTGGCTGCCCCCGTTTTCTCGTCCGCGCGAGTCCTGACGAAGCAGACACCGAGCATGGCGGTGCGCCTTCGATGTGCTCGCTGAGTGCCGCTAGCCACGGCCGCGAACTGCGCGCCCCATGCACGTCGGTCGTTCACAGACATCCGTCGAGAAATCGATAGTGCACGCCAAGCAACCGGAATACTCCATTGTCGGGGCGCTGGATTCCCGTACTGTCTTCTGTGCAGTGTGCGCCTGCGCAGGACAGTAGCATCGCAGGCAGTTGGTTTGTAAGGGAGTCTCCCCATCCGTGTAGGATGGATTGTGGTTCATCATGACCGTAGCAGCAGTGTCACCTGGAATTTGCGACGTGTTAAGGCATGTGAATGCAAGGTGGGCGTGGGCATGAGTTGGATAGACGATATTTCGTCCTTTGGTGGTGTCGTCCTTCAGCGCCCTTCGCGGCGCCCGCACTGTGGGCGACTTGATTCAGACTGTTTCACCTTTTCGTGAGGTGTGCCTCTTTGTGGGGTAGTCTGTTATTTTACGGCCCTTTTTCTGCATACATTGTACGTCTGCATTTTTCTTGGGTAATACGCTGACCACTAATCAAGCTGATATATCGTATTTTGGATGTGTGGATTGGACGCACTCGGCGATCAGGTGCCGTAATGTGCAGCAACCGCCCAATCTCTGCTGGATGCACATGTGCTCGGTTTCGGTAGGCAGCGTTTCAAGTGATATTCCGGGTCTCTGGGGTTGGATGGGATGCTACTTCGTTATTTATTCGTCCGTTGTCCATCTTCTACTTTGTGAATCTATACGAATAACAGGTTCGAGGATAACAGCTACCAATCACGACGTTTGAACAGAACGAAGTTAATCTAGCAGAGCGAGTCACTCCAGCTCACGGTCCGCCTGTTCTCTACCATCACTTCTCTACTATGCATGCAAATCATTGATGGAGCAGTATCCCCTTTCTGTCTCCTTGTTTCTCAGCGCGTCGTTGGTTCATTTATCCTCTTCTACCTTGTAAATTATGAAGGATAACATTGACCAACCGCGAGGTCCGAAAGGAAAGGAAAGGATATAGCGGGAGGAGTGACTCACTTCAGCTCGCGTTCGTGGACGCTTTGGCAACTCATGTTTTGTGCCGTCGCTTCATTATTTCTCTAGTATACGACGCACGCCATTGGTGGAGCAGTATTCCGTTCGGTCTTCGTGTGTCTCAGTGCTCGGAATTTGCTTGTTTGTGCTACAGTGATTGCGCTGACGATATATAGGAACCTGGGCACCATTTTATGGCTTTGATCCGAAGAGTGCGTAGCATCATCCTATAACAATGTCTCTCTCAATTCCACCGAACTCGCGAGTCAACGCACTTACCAGTCGAGTTGAACCTGATTTGCCCTATGGGGTGTGTAGTCAAATGCGTATTCGCCGATTAGCGTTTTCAGTATACTCACACAGTGATTCGCGAGCGTGCGCCTTGTTTCGAGTTCACCTTGCACGTGTCGAATTCGACCGTAACTTTATGGTAGCACATATAAAAGGAGTTCACGGAACAGCTACTTTCTCCAGCTCTTCAGGTTTTTTCGGGATCAACTTCCAAGTTCAAGTACTTGATAGTGAGTTCTTGTCTTGGACTTGTTGTGGATCTTTGTCTTTTAACGAGATTTTCGTTCTCACTTGGTTTGCTCCTTTCGCTATCGACACAACAGTCGTTAATCAAGTTCCCCCGTCGATTTCGCAACCACAGTACTTTGCTCGAGTTCTGAATCAACATGCGTTCTTCCGCCGTTCTTGCGATAGCCGCTTATGTCGCTATTCCTGGGTTCGTCGTGTGAGTCTATCTTCATATTTTTTGTTCCACTGTACAGCCTTTGATGATTCTCGTTCAGTGCCACCCCTATGCCGGCCGACGGCTCTCCGCCTATCATCCCCGACGGCGCCCCCTTTTCGCGCAAGGATGCTCTCAACGTCTCCCACAGTAGCATCGAGAGCAACAGCAACAACCAGCCGCACTCCCGGTGAGAAATCGTCAGGAATGATTTGGTTGCATTAGGTCTCACTCATGGTTAGTGACGACGATGGGTTTCCGGCCCGTGTTGTCGACGACATTATCATACGCGCTGAGCCTATCGTTGACGCCGCCTTGGATGATATTCATGGTATAGTCTATCTACGCCAGTTTTTCGATTCCAAGTCTCCCCGTCCATCAGCCAACTCTGGCGGAAATAGCGGGTCTTCCCAGCCGCAAGCCACAACAACTGAGGTGCGCATGCCTCACTACTACGGCGATAAAGGCTGACAGCACGGACATGCGTGTGAAGTGCCCTGGCTGTGTGTTCACTAGGATGGGGCAGTAGACTACTGACAAACATGTATCGGGACAATATGGCCTGGATGCCCCCGAGCTCGAGGACGACGAGTTTTGCAGTGGCACCTTCGCTGGCAACATGGATTTTGATGCGCTGGACCGATGTGAACGAGATAGTATATATACCAAGCAAGTGGCAATGAGAGTTGCCTTGCGAAACATGCGGAGATCCTGATCTTCCATGCAGAGCAGAGATTTATGTGCGCATCGTGGACGATTCAACCTTGGTAAAATGGTAAATAACCCTGAAGACAATCCGCGACCTAAAGAGACGAATACAGCATAGAACTTCCAGGTAAAGTATCAAGAATCAACCCCAAGCGAGAAAATTTGTCCGATATCCAGAGTATTCGGCCAGTGTTCCGCACCAAAACTTCCTTCAATACACGTTGCATCTGAAATCTATCTAAAATCTGAGACTCCGGTCAATCGAAAGTCGTCACACACCGTCTCACACTCATAGCATGCGCGAAAGTGAAATCCTCGGCATATCCAATCACTCGCCACAGTTGTCCAGCCCAATATACGACCATGCAAAGCCCTATTCATATTTTCATAGACTTACATACACACGCGGCTGCACCGACCCACGACAATAAGGCGACTAACGCTGCTCGTCCTCATCTGAAGCGAATCCGACCTGCGTTGTCCGCACGTTCATCCCATCTGAGCGTGAATTGTCCGCCTTCCCCCTCTGTTGGTAATGACGATGGAGTCTGTCATCAACGAGGTGATATTCACTGTGGATGCCGGCGGCGATGGAAAGAAGGAACCTGTTGCAAGGGAGGAACCCGTTGCGTGAAATAAGGAACCCGTTTCAGGAAGGTTCTGCTCTGCGGTGCTGTGAGAGGAGGGTGGATGAGAAACCGGTTGGGAATGAGATACTAGACGTCAGAAATCTGCTGCTGCTACTGGAAATGGATGAGATTGGCAGGGCAGAGAGAATGGGGGTAGCAGACGTAGGGTTGATGTCGATTGCACTGGCTGTGAATGAGGACGGTGTGACTAGCGGAGAAGAACTAGGAGAAATAATAGTCAGGGGGTTGTAGGGCCCGGACACCCGATGGAATTTGAGTGTTGCCACTGCCGTGGAGGTGGACATACTCAGTCAGGAGACATCAAAATTACAGTTTTTGAGGGAAGAGCAGGGAGGTAAATGATACAGGCCAGAAACGCGCACCTAAGCTGGCTTCTCATATACTCGCAATAACATGCGCGCCAGGACTTTAAGGGCACTGCCTTCTGCTCAAGCTGGGTCCCATGGTAATGATTCTTCACGATCTTTGGACTTACTTGCAAGGATCCATCGAGCATCATCGAAGATAGATGTCCAAAAGGGCCCACCGCAGGGGGAGAAGTGATGGAGATGCTTCCATTCGTGGGACTCTGCGCGAAGTTGCGTGTTGGTGGGAGATGTGGAGGGTGGTCATGTTACCAGTCGCAGACTTGTTCGAGGAGTTGCGCGTTGTTTGTCATCGTTGAATATTCATACGCCGGTCGGTGAGGGATGAGATCCGTCAGGAGAGATTGATCCGCGATGCTGATCGATCGGGCCTCCCGCATGCCATACGGCCATCCTCGTTATCATCGTCCCACTACCACCAGGTGGCTCTCATGCGTCACACAGCCAGTACACGCCCGCAAGGTATCTCAGTACTAGGTTCCCAGCTCAGACACCCACGAGCACGTCCTAGGCTAGCGATGACCACGTCCCTCCGAGAGGCTCCCCTCGTTCAACTTCGCGTCCCTTAGCTTCACGGCTGCTGCGCTCTGAGGACGCCAGCGGGGTCAAGGACCGTGGCAGTCGATCGTGGTATGTGCTGCATCTTGCTATCTTGCCGTCAATAGCTCATGCATCATGCACGGAGACCTCCCCGGGACCCCGCTCTCGACCAGTGTCCGCTCTCCGATATTGCTGTCAATAGCTCAAGCGGTCATGGACGGAGATCCCTCGGCGCACACTCCGCCCGACGCCTTCGCGCTCGATCTCGCCCTAGGAGCATCCGCACGCGATACCTCGCCGTCTTGGACCAGCCAATCACGATCACGGTCCTTCGACACAGCAATCCTAGTCAGCTCCTCCAAGTCCAATGGCATCCCTGTTCCTGCGGCTGGCGAGGATGTGTGTGGGGGCTAGCGGATGCGTAATTGGGGTACGTCTCTCGACTTTCCCCTTACCCATCGTCGAGCAGCGGATTTTGGTAGTACATACCTGCTACCATCGATAATAAGGCTTACTGGCACATATATAGTCATGTTACAACGTTAAGTCCGTTCATTTCCAGTCCACCTCGCGTTGACATCGACTTATTTACGATCGCTGGTCGTGGCTAGGTCGACGCGCATTCTGCCACAGCAGTCCTCGTTTGACCATCTGCGCTTTCATCTTGGGCTCTTGGGACTTTGGCCGACTCTTCGAAATTCCGTTTGCATCTGGACGAGCTCTCGCCACGTCATGGGCACGCTCCGCCTATTCTCTAGTCATGGCCCTGCGCTCCGCTCTGCGGGCGATGGTTTATTCTTCCCGGGATGCCTCTACTACTTATCGTGGGACGCCTTGGTATATCATTGTTCAACGTCAACGCCGAGGATCAGACCGTTATGCGTAGGCGGTGCCCAGCTAGAATCAGAGACGTGCGTCGACGCACACACCTCGGTCTCGTCAAAGCACAGATCATCCACCGTCCGATCTGGTCGAGGCAGCAGGACGAAGACGGAACGTCGAGCCAGGCACCGAAGCGTCAAATGGAGATCGAGCAACGTTCCACTGAATTGGTGTATCAACGCTGAGGCCTGAGGATCGAAACTTTACGCATGAACGCTGCGCAGGCAATTAGCCACCTGTGTCGATGCATATACCTCAGTCTCATCAAAGCAAAAAAAAATATGCAGGAGGTAAATAGTCATGTCTGCAGCCGCCAGAACACGCGATATTAAGAGTGCAGGAGACAGAGAGCAGTGCAGATAACAGCGGGGGGAATATACGCTGATGAAAGGGTCGACGCGTCGTTGAGGATGCGTCCGTTGTCTCAGGGTCGGTAAGTGCCGGATATTCCAGCGAGCTTTTGGCGAGACATGGGTGCATAGTCGATTCATAGACTCGTAACTTGTTTCGCGGCGAGTAGGTATCGGACCCATAGACGGTGCGGTGTACAGCGTCGAGACAAATTTGCAGCGCGGATGGCAAAGGAGGACCGGTGAGGTGGGCGTCGGTGTATCCATATTCGCAAGTCAGGTCGTGGTCCATCCTAAGAAGCCGAGCCTATGCAGTCAGAGAGCGCGTTTGCTCAGATCCTCTTGGCGGAGACATGGATGATGGCAATGGCAGGGGCATGTCTGTTGTGAGGTGATAACGCTGTCTCTACAACGAGTAGAGGCCTCGCTCAACTGTGACTATGATGATCGAACTCGCAAGAGTCAGTAGAGACAGGCCATTCGGAGAGCGCTCAATTGTGAACGCCAATGCGGAGAGACACGGCTTCATACGCGGGGGAACATCCCCATGGTAGGTGAGGATCGCGGTGAGAAATAGGGGTGTATACATCTGCGTAGCTCCTCGAATTGTCAGATGAAATATTGAGCTAGAACTTGAAGGATGTTTATAGGCAGACCGCGGACGTACATGAAAGTGAATGTCTGAGCCTAACAACAGAAAGTAACCTCTCTGTAATGGGCCATAAGCTACTGTAGTCGGTACGTTTTGTTTGCGATGAGCAGTGGTAGATTGGAAAACCAATAAACGATGTCGAGGAGGTCGTCCGACTCGTAGTCAACTTGCGCGTGCTCAACGCGTTTACCACGTGCTCGCGATTGTTCCCACGCCATCGTTACCCTTACAGACCTCCCGATGCAAATTTTGACTTTCATTTTGCTTTCGAGCAGCAGACTTGCGGCCGCGATGCTCGTTCCGCACCGGGGATCGTCTCGTCGTCGTCCACATTCACGAGCGCGCCAAGGTCTGATTATTACACCCGACTGACTCTAGCAGGGTCCAGCAGCAACAGTCGAACGACGCACCAGTAACCTTCCCCGCCCCTCCCCATGCCCAGAGACGCGACGCTGAGGGCGGACCGGCGGGGCTTGGGATACGTCGTAGGAATGGGCGGCACCATAACCAACTCCCCATACTCGAATCGCTATCGGCATCGTCTGTGTTCTGTGTGACACGGCCGGGGGCTGGCTGTCCCCGTCTTCTCGTCCGTGCGAGTCCTGCCGAAACAGACACTGGTGCGCATTCAATGCGCTCACTGAGTGCTGCTGGCCACGGCCGCGAGCCGCGCCCCTTATGCACGTCGGTCGTTCACAGATATCCGTCGAGAAATCGATAGTGCGCGCCGAGCAACCGGAGTAATTGTCGGGGCTGGATTCCCGTACTGTCTCCTGTGCGCCTGCGCAGAACAGTGGCATCGCGGACAGTTGCTTTGTCAGCGAGTTTCTCCATGCGTGTAGGATGGATTGTCGACTGTAGCAGCGGTGTCACCTGGAATTTGCGACATGATAAGGCACGTGAATGCCCGTATCGATATTGGACGCCCATATTCGGCCGCAGTCATATCTTGGAAACCTCATCGCGTGTTACATGAGGTGGAACTGTTGGTGTTCGTCATGTCCCATGGAAGCCGAGGAAGACGAGACAGGGCGCGTGCGTGGACGCACGCGCAGTGATCGAAGGGAGTACGAGAGAGGAAACGGACCTACTGAATATATACATACACGTTCGCTGTCCCATTCACGTTCGAAACAATCCCGCTCTTTTAGTTTACCGAAACCGATGCCGTAGCTACCTTATAACCTAGAGTATGAGTACGCACTCCCCTCAGTGTCCGAACGCTAGACGACGGAGCACTGAGGTGAGCTTACCTACTTATCCGCATACCCGAGTAGCTTACTGATGCGACGAAGACTCTCATTTATTTACTTAGGTATGCAATACACTCAGTGTCCGAACGCTAGACGACGGAGCACTGAGACTCTCATTTATTTACTTAGCTCCGTCGCTCGTGACCTCTAACAGGTTATGAGCCCCGCCGCTATGTCGCTCACCTCGGAATCCCACCTGTCTCACCTCAACATCGTCCCGAAGTTGGCAGCCGACGGCTCCAACTGGATTACGTACAAGGAGCGCATGTTCACCGTCATGGGCTCCCGAGGGCTGTTGCGACATCTCCAGGGGACGGCTCGCAGGCCGCCAAACCCTCCTCCATTCCCGATGCCATCGCCCGCGCAGGCCGCGATGACGGCTTCCATGACGCCAGCCACTGCTGTGTCGACGACCGCAACCACGGGCACCGGCACGACAACGACCTCTGCCACCACGACACCAGCCGCCAGACAGGCCCAGTCTTCTATGACACCAGAGGAGTACTTGAAGACAGTGGAGGCTGCTGAGCAGAAGTTGGATGAGTACGTGCAGAAGGAATATGCGGCGCGACAGCAGATCTACGGCACGATCAGCGACCAGCTACTTCTTCGCGTGAAGAAGCTGGGTACCGCGGTGGATGTATGGCTCGCCGTGCAGAACGAGTACGAGAGTAAGTCCGATATGTACTCGGGCGCTCTGCGGACTCGTCTGCAGAACACGAAGTGCGAGGAAGGAGCCGATGTGCGAGCCCACCTCGACACGCTCGCGAAGATGCGCGAGGAATTGGCGTCCATGGGAGCGCCGATTTCCGATGCCGACTTCTCTGCTCATGTCTTCGCGTCACTTCCGGAGACGTTCAGTCCACTCCTGCAGGCCCTCTCCACTGCCGCGCGCGTAGCGAAGACAACACTTTCTGCTGATGACCTTCTGGCCAGCATCCTTGAAGAGCACGACCGGCGGAAGGCACACCTGAAGCCAGAGTCCGCGCTCTCGGTGAAGGCAGACATGCGCTCGCGCTCACGTTCCAAGAGTCGCGGACGTGGCGCGAAGTCCAAGGACATGGAGTGCTACAACTGTGGCCGAAAGGGCCACTTCTCGCGTGACTGCTGGCGCGAGGGCGGCGGAAAGGAGGGCCAGGGACCGAAGGACCAGTCACCAAAGAAGGACAGCAGCGGAAGCAAGAATGCGAAGGGAAAACCCGCAGCAAACGCAGCTGTTGGTGACAGCGCGACTGACCACGCATTCACTGCCACCTTCGACAGCACTGCGCTTGCTGCAAAGCCATCCGAGGTCAAGGTCGAAGTCTACGACAGCGGCGCAACCCGCCACATGTCCCCATATCGTGATGCATTTGTCACGTTCAAGGCCATCGGCTTGAAGCCCATCACCGCAGCTGATGGGCGCAAGTTCCATGCGACTGGCGAAGGCACCATGAGGATCGAAATCCCAAACGGTGATCAGTCAACGACCGTGATGCTCGAAGATGTTCTGTACGCACCCGAGATTGCATTCGCCCTCATCCCAATTGCACGAGCGGATACTGCGGGCTATTCCACCACCTTCGAGAATGGTGAGTGTCGTTTATACTCACGTCGACACTCCCGCACAATTGGGCGCATCCCCTCGACGAATGGGCTGTATAAAGTCGAGCACCCAAAGTCAAGGGAGGTAGCATCAGTCGCAGAGGAGAGCAAAGATGAGTGCGCTCTCGTCTCGCTCTCCGTCATGGACTTCCACCGCCGCATGGGACACATTGCACCTGCAATCGCTGAGCATCTTGTCTGTGAAGGCCGAGTCAAAGGCATACAGCTGACAGACAAGGCCAGCCCAGACAAGAACTGTGAGTCCTGCATACAGGCAAAAATCACACGCCAGCCAGTGCCGAAGGAACGAGAAGGAGGACGTGCGAAGGAGCTCGGTGACCGGATCCACTCAGATGTCTGGGGCCCGGCACGCACTGAAACCCTTGGAGGAAAACGGTACTTCACTTCATTCACGGATGATGCGACGCGATGGACCGACCTCTACCTGCTGCGAGTGAAGTCAGGCACCTTCTCCGCTTACAAATTATTTGAGGCACGACTGAAGACACAGGATGGCAAGGCCATCAAAGCCCTCCAGTCAGATCGAGGGGGCGAGTATCTCAGCCAAGCATTCAAGGATCACCTTGAAGTGCAAGGCACCATCTCCCGACTCACCGTCCATGACACGCCGCAGCACAATGGGCTCGCAGAGCGTATCAACAGAACCCTGCCAGAGCATGCCCGTGCGATGCTGATCACAGCAGAGCTGCCTAAGAGTCTCTGGGGTGAGGCACTTATGCACGCGATGTGGCTGAAGAACCGGACATCGACACGTGCGCTCGACGGGAAGACTCCATACGAGGCACGCTATGGCAAGCTTCCCGACCTCCACGACCTCCATGAGTTTGGCGCAAAAGTATGGGTACGCATTGAAGATGCGGACAAACTCGAGTCGAAGGCACGTGCAGGCCGCTTCGTCGGGTATAGTGACGAGAGCAAGGGCTACTGTGTGTACTGGCCCGAGAAGCGCAGCGTCTCGGTGGAGCGAAATGTCCGCTTCATCAATCAGCTCATCGTTGCTGATGAGGCTCAGCCCGAGGGGGCGAAGGAGACAGTCGTCCTGACCTCACCGGCAACACCTTCTGCACCCGCACAGGAGCCAGAATACGAGCCGCGCACCTCTGAAACTCAGGCAGCACCTCCCGCGACATCTCCCACTGCATCTCTGACACCATCCTCTGACGCCGCAGCAAAAGAACCTGCAAGTGCAAAGTCCGATTCCGAGAGTGGCACCGGACACTCGCAACGTGCACGCAAGGCCTCTGCATACGTGAAGCGTCTCAACGACGGCTCAGGCATTATGGATGGGCGCAAGAGACAGTTGAGGACAGCGAGAGTGAGGAAGATGAACCCATCTTTGCAATGCCAGCCGCATTTGCAGTGCACGAAGGTCAAGAGCCGCGATCCCTCGAGGAAGCCATGCAAAGCCCGGACTGGCCGCAGTGGCAGCAGGCGATTGAAAAAGAGATGCAAAACCTTCATGACCATCACACGTATGATCTCGTTGAACCGCCTGAGAATACTAACATTGTCGGTTCAAAATTCGTCTTCAGGATCAAGCACAATGCAAATGGCGAGATAGAGTCCTACAAGGCCCGTCTCGTCGCGCAAGGCTTCACGCAGGTGCCCGGCGTCGACTTTAACGACACGTTCGCACCCGTTGCCAAGCTCGCATCGATCCGGATCATCCTCGCACTCGCCGCATGCCACGACTGGGATGTGCACCAGATGGACGTCAAGGGTGCATACCTCAATGCTGAACTCGAAGAGGATATTTTCATGAAGCAGCCACCCGGGCAGGCCGAACGCGGGAGGGAGCACTGGGTGTGCCACCTGCGACACGCGATTTATGGACTCAAGCAGTCGGGCCGCCAGTGGTTCAAGAAGATTTCCGCCGCACTTGACGAGATGGGACTCTCGCGCAGCCTTGTTGATCACTGCGTATTTTACCTGGATGAAGACAATGACTCCATCACTCTGATCATTGCACTCTCCGTTGACGACACAACGATCGCGGGCACGAACAGTGCAGTACTCTGGTTCAAGACGGAAATCAGCAAGCACTTTGAGATGACTGACCTCGGTGAGATGCACTGGATCTTGGGCATCGAGGTATGCCGTGATCGAGCCGCTCGAACCCTGTCACTTTCGCAGCGCGCGTACATCGACGGTATTGTGGCACGGTTCAACCTCGAAGATGCCAAGCCGCTCTCCACTCCCCTTGAACCCGGCGCGATCCTCAGCATTCGACAATGCCCCTCGACGCCGCGCGAGTTCGAGGACATGCGGAACGTACCGTATCGTGAGGCGATTGGCTCGCTCATGTACGCGGCGCTCGGGACGCGGCCAGACATCGCGTTCGCGGTAACGGCGCTCTCGCAGTTCATGCAGAACCCGGGACGTGCGCACTGGGAGGCCGCGAAGCGCGTCTTGCGGTACCTGAAGGGTACGCGCGAGAGGTGGCTTACTTACGGGCGGACGCGCGATGGAGTCGAAGGATTCTCGGACGCGGATTGGGGCTCATCCGAGCACAGGCATTCTATCTCGGGGTATGTCTTCCTCATTGACGGCGGTGCAGTCTCGTGGTCCGCGAAAAAGCAGCCGGTCATCGCGCTATCAAGCACGGAGGCCGAGTACATCGCGCTCACGCATGCCGCGAAAGAAGCGATCTGGGTGCGCTACCTTCTTGCTGACATTCTCGACCCAGACATCAATAAATTCGCCCTATGACTCCACACGGACAACCGCTCGGCTATCGCGCTCGCGAAGGACAACGCGTGTCACGGAGGCCAGTTGTGCCACCGTACATCCGGTTCATCGTCGTCAGTGACTAGGCCTTCGCAAGAGCTCAAGTCAATCGTGAGGGGTCCGACCTTCAGTCATAGCGATGACCAGAGGTCGGCCAGTGGAGCAGTCTTATGAACGCTTGGTCGCTGTCTGCGGACCAAGGTCGATTGGTCGCACAGATGTAGATGGTAAAACTGGTTGATGTGTAACCAGGACAAGATGGGGACTCCAGCTTGTCCTGTCGGTCTTATATACAAGTACAGGCGTCTGTCTACCTGTAATACTAGAACTACGATTGGTCCATCGGTATCAATACAAGGGCACAGGGTTCGTATACCTGTCCCACGGTCGTGAGAATGCTGAGTCAGTCATGACTCTGCGTGAGAGACAATCTGTCCATATGGGGAATAGGTCGTGCTGCAAAGACAAGGCAGCAGCGAGGTCGTCGTGCGTCTAGCGCATGTATCAGGGTCTAGGGTCATGCCCATAAGGTTCGGTATCTGTATCATAAAGGTAAGGCAAAGGTGAGGCAAACATGCCTTTGTCGCATGTGTGATAGGAAGCACGTCCTAGGTTTGGATCTTGTACATGAGGTAAACATGCCTTGAGCACAAGGCGCATATCATCAGATAATCTGGTAGATCCGTGCCGGATAGATAAGGGCGATGACCATGATGACATCATGGTCATGTGGTCAGTGACGTCATTGTCACATGGTCAGTCTAGGCTCTGTGATGTCATTGTCACGTGATCGGTAAAGGTAGAGGCGGAAGTCGTCCGCGTGTTCCTCAGAGAGGAGCTTTGTAACAACGCGTACCACGCCCGCACGAAACACATCGACATCCGCTACCACTTCCTGCGTGAGGCCGTCGACTCCGCCATCATCATCCTGCTCTACCGTCGCACAGAAGACATGCCCGCCGACCTCTTCACGAAGAGCTTGGCGCGCGTGAAGGTGGAACATCTCGCGTCACTCATGGGCCTCCATGGCACTTGAGGGGGCGTGTTGGTGTTCGTCATGTCCCATGGAAGCCGAGGAAGACGAGACAGGGCACGTGCGTGGACGCACGCGCAGTGATCGAAGGGAGTACGAGAGAGGAAACGGACCTACTGAATATATACATACACGTTCGCTGTCCCATTCACGTTCGAAACAATCCCGCTCTTTTAGTTTACCGAAACCGATGCCGTAGCTACCTTATAACCTAGAGTATGAGTACGCACTCCCCTCAGTGTCCGAACGCTAGACGACGGAGCACTGAGGTGAGCTTACCTACTTATCCGCATACCCGAGTAGCTTACTGATGCGACGAAGACTCTCATTTATTTACTTAGGTATGCAATACACTCAGTGTCCGAACGCTAGACGACGAAGCACTGAGACTCTCATTTATTTACTTAGCTCCGTCGCTCGTGACCTCTAACAGGAACCGGCTACGCACGGCCACATCAGCAAAACCCAACTTTTTCTTACAGAGCTATTTTGACTTTTCGGTCTTACAACCCTTATTTAAGGCAATAAGTCTTCAAATAAGTGTCCATAAGTCTGATTTCAGACACTCATGTAATATGCATTAGGCCCCTTTTTGACCTTATACCCTTAAATAAGGATCATAAGTCCATTTAAGTCATTTAAGTACCCTTTTAAGTAAAAGTTGGGTTTTGCTGATGCAGCCGCCTTCTGCGTCACCGTGGAGGCGGGATTCGTAGGTGGACCAGATGTACGAGGCAAGGTGGGCGTGGGCGCAAGTTGGGTAGACGATATTTCGTCTTTTGGTCGTCCTTCACAGTGCTCGCATGGCGGGCAACTCAATTCAGACTACGTCTGGTCTGCTGCTCTCTGAAATTTTCGAATCTTCTTCGCCTCTTCGCGAGGTCGTCTGTTATTTTTCTGCCGTTCTCTGCCAGCATCGTACGTCTGCGATTTCCTCGCTCTCAGGTAACACGCTGACCACGAATCAAGCTGATATTTCGTATTCTGGATGTGTATGCTGGACGCACTCGGCGATCAGGCGTCATATGTCGGCACCCGCCCAATCTCTGTTGGACGAATGTATGCTCGGTTATAGAAGCAGTTTGCAGGCATTGTTCAAGGTGATATTTCGGGTCTCCGGGGTTGGATGGAGTGCTATTTTGTTGTTCGTTAGCTTGTTGCACTTCTACTTCGTGAATCTACACGAATAGCACGTCACGGGATAACGGCTACCAATCGCGACATCTGAACGGAACGAAATTAATCTAGCACAGTGAGTCACTCCAGCTCACGGTCCAGCTCACGGTCCGCCTCGTTCGATCCTCTAGGCTCATTTGGGTGGTCAGCGTCTTGTTCTCACCAATCCTGATACTTCTGGTGGATCATTTGTCGACTCCTGTTCTCTACCATCACTTCTCTACTATGCAAGCAAATCATTGATGGAGCAGTATCCCCTTTCGGTCTCCTTGTTTCTCAGCGCGTCGTTGGTTCGTTGACCTTCTTCTACCTTGTAAATGCAGGATAATATCGGGCAATTGTGACGTCCGAAAGGAAAGGAAAGGATCTAGCGGGAGGAGTGAGCCACTTCAGCTCGCGTTCGCCTGGTACGATCCCTTATCCCTATCTGCGTGCCCTGTGTCCCGTGCTGCTCTGATCCACACTGCTACTTCGTGGATGCTTTGACAACTCGCATTTTCTGCCGTCGCTCCATTATTTCTCTAGTTTATGACGCACAGCATTGATGGAGCAGTCTTCCGTTCGGTCTTCATGTTCCTCGGTGCTCGGAATTTGCTTGTTTGTGCTCCAGTGATTGCGCTGAGGATAAATAGGAACCTGGGCACCATATCATGGCTTTGATCCGATGAGCGCGTAGCGTCATCCTGTAACATGTCTCTCTCAACTCCACCGAACTCGCGAGTCAACGCACTTGCGAGGCGAGTTGCTGAACTCTGCGAACGGTCGAGTTGAAGCTGATTTGCCCTATGGGGTGTGTGGTCAAATGTATATTCGCCGATCGGCATTTGCAGTATATTCACACAGTGATTCGCGAGCATGCGCCTTCATCAGCAAAACCCAACTTTTTCTTACAGAGCTATTTTGACTTTTCGGTCTTACAACCCTTATTTAAGGCAATAAGTCTTCAAATAAGTGTCCATAAGTCTGATTTCAGACACTCATGTAATATGCATTAGGCCCCTTTTTGACCTTATACCCTTAAATAAGGATCATAAGTCCATTTAAGTCATTTAAGTACCCTTTTAAGTAAAAGTTGGGTTTTGCTGATGTTGTTTCGACTTCACCTTGCACGTTTCGAATTCAACAAGGCGTCTGTAGGGTAGCACATATAAAAGGAGCTCACGGAACAGCTACTTTCTCCAGCTCCTCAGGTTTTTTCGGGATCAACTTCCAAGTTCAAGTACTTGATAGTGAGTTCTTGTCTTGGATTTGTAATGGATCTTTGTATTTTTACGAGATTTCGGTTCTCGCTTGGCTTGCTCCTTTCGCTTTGGATGTAACAGTCGTTAATCAATTGTTTCTTCAGGATCACCCTCGATTTCGCGACCTAAGTACCTTGCTCGAGTTCTGAATCAACATGCGTTCTTTCGCCGTTCTTGCTATAGCCGCATCTGTCGCTATTCCTGTGTTCGTCGCGTGAGTCTATCTTCATATTTTTTGTTCCACTGTACAGCCTTTGATGATTCTCGTTCAGTGCTGCCCCTATGCTGGCCGACGGCTCTGAGGATGACTGCTGTGCTGGCATCATCAATCTTGGCAAGGAAGCTCTCCTGGTGTCACGGGGGCCAGTCCTGCCACCGTACATCCGGTTCGTCGTCGTCAGTGACTAGGCCTTCGCAAAGGCTCAAGTCAATCGTGAGGGGTCCGACCTCCAGTCATAGCGATGACCAGAGGTCGGCCCAGTGGAGTAGTCTTATGAACGCTTGGCCGCTGTCTGCGGACCAAGGTCGATCTGTCGCACAGATGTAGATGGTAAAACTGGTTGATGTGTAACCAGGACAAGATGGGGACTCCAGCTTGTCCTGTCGGTCTTATATACAAGTACAGGCGTCTGTCTACCTGTAATACTAGAACTACGATTGGTCCATCGGTATCAATACAAGGGCACAGGGTTCGTATACCTGTCCCACGATCGTGAGAATGCTGAGTCAGTCATGACTCTGCGTGAGAGACAATCTGTCCATATGGGGATAAGGTCGTGCTGCAAAGACAAGGCAGCAGCGAGGTCGTCGTGCGTCTAGCACATGTATCAGGGTCTAGGGCCATGCCCATGAGGTTCGGTATCTGTATCGTAAGAGTAAGGCAAAGGTGAGGCAAACATGCCTTTGTCGTGTGTGTGATAGGAAGTGCGTCCTAGGTCTGGATCTCACACATGAGGTAAACATGCCTTGAGCACAAGGCGCATATCGTCAGATGATCAGGTAGATCCGTGTCGGATAGATAAGGGCAATGACCATGATGACATCATGGTCATGTGGTCGGTGACGTCATTGTCACATGGTCAGTCTAGGCTCTGTGACATCATTGTCATGTGATCGGTAAAGGTAAAGGCGGAAGTCGTCCGCGCGTTCCTCAGAGAGGAGCTTTGTAACATCAGCTCCCATTCAGGTCTTCAATTCCCTGGATTGAAGTCGTCAAGAAAGTCGGTAGGGAAAATGGAATGGAGAAATTCCATGTGTCGTTGTTCATCGTGTCATGTCATCGCATGATTCTGGGTAAATCAGAGGCGGAAAATGAAAAAATTAACCTGGGTGTTAAATCAGCTTCGCAAACTTCGTTTTGCTTGTCGCTCGCATCCCTTTAGGACTGCTCGCTCCAACTGCAAGTCTTCTGTTCGTCTTCTTCTCATAAGCTATTCAGCTATGTTCATCGTTCATCTTCTTCTCATAAGCTGTTCAGCTATGTTCATCGTCTTCCATTAGTCTTGTTTCTTTGTGCTTTCGCACGGTGAATGGTCAACTCGCGTTGCCCATTCTTCCCTACTACTACCCCGGCCTAAAAATCAGGAGGGCTCATAGTGTAGCGATGTCTTCAAAAATTCGCAAGATGGAAAGAGAGTGTGGTGGAAGGGAGGAGGGGGGGAAAAAATTTGCCCTTGTGGGAGGGTTCCTCGTCCTCGATTACTCTTGTCGTTCCTCGATTCCACTCGTCACTCCTCGATTCCACTCGTTCCTCGTCACCCGGGCACTCGGGCTCATTCCTTTGGCTCGGATATGCATCCTCGCCTACTATCCCCTATCAGCTCCCATTCAAAAAAACCAGATACCCTGGATCTGAAACCGATCAAAACAGGTAACAAATCGTAAAGGGAAAAAGAGGGTGGGCAGCAAGGGTCTTCTAGTTTCGAGTCATTGCGGACAAATATCGTCTTCTAGTTTTAAGTCATTGCGGACAAGTATCGTCTTCTAGTTTTAAGTCATTGCGGACATGTATCGTGGTTGGCTGGTCATCGTCAATGCCAGCATGGTTAATCGTCTTCTGGTGAGCGATAGCTCTCATTCAGGTTTCATGTCTTCGATGTTTCTAATCATCGGGATAATCGTGGCCTTATCTTGGGTTGATACCGCACTTCGTCGGTTATCTCCCTTCACATTCCGTGAATGCCATAATCCTGCCTTTCGGCTTTCATCAAGGTCGTTCGTCCTTCTGATAACCTTTCTGCACCCCGGGTATCTCGCCCTACTAGGTGTTCTCAGCAAAGGTTCAGATCGAATATCCAATGGTAAGCGATAGCTCCCATTCACGTCTTATGTCCAGTTTCATGTCTTCATCATTAAAGTACCCTGGCCTAGGTTTGAACTACCCCGGCCTAGCGTGATACTTCATCGAATATTTCATGTCGGGTCTTATCGTGTGTTGGTGTCGAATAGAATCGACTACCTCCATCCATATTCCATGGATGCCCTATTCATCGCGGTGTCGTATGTCGTGTTCGTCTGTTTGTTAAGTTCGTTCGTCCAGATGATGAGACAACAGTCTACATCAAATCCAAGGATCGGCCATGATCCAGTATCCTTTCAATCCATGGGGAACTACCCCGCACATGTCATCGAAAGTGCCATATCAAAGGCTGTCGTTCGCAGTAAGTTCGTCCATTGAGATCTGTCTGATCGTCAAGGAATGCTAGACCTGTTTAGGCATCTAGCGTCGAGTGTTGTTATCATGGTGGTCAACAAAGGACCGTCTGGGACTTCCAGACATCTTCGAATGAGTCATGTCTGTCTGATCATGCTCGAGTCGTCATCGTGGTGGTCAACAAAGGACCATTAGGGGTTTCCTAATATCAGGTGTCGTTATCGGGGATTGGAGTGTCATATACTGTTAACTCCAAGTCGTTCTTCGGTGATGTGATTTTTTGTTAAGTTCCATCATCAGGCTAATCGTCGCCTCGTCGAACCTTCGGCCTAGGTTCGGTATGGATCATTGGTTTATACGGAGAGCCAGGATCCGTCTTCTGTCAGAACCTTTTACTATGTCATTCAAGGTTCATCCAGGTTCAGTTTCTTTATCGTCGAGAGCTGTGATCGACGGTCGTCGTTCAGATTCTTTTGTTACATCAGGATCTTCTTCGGATTGTCGGTTTCTTTAACGTCGAGAGCCTCTTCGACAGGGAATGGTTTTGAAGTGTCAACTCGCGGTATCTTCAAACATTCCATGGTCATCAACTCGTAATGGCATCGAGTTGTCAATCTTTCTGCACCCCAGGTAACTTGCCATGCAGGGTGTTCTCAGCCAAGATCTATCGTTTGTTTATAGTGGAGAGCGAGTGTCCACTTGCTCAGTCCGAGCTCCCATTCAGGGATCACAATCATCAAATGGTCATCAGATCGGACTCAATTAAGAGTCTACGGTTTATACGGGTTGCCATTCCCGGGATCAACAATCGTCAAGTGTCCTTCGGATCGGACTCAATTAAGAGTCTACGGTTTATACGGGTTGCCGTTCCCGGGATCAATCTGCACCGTGGGTATCTCGCCGCACTCGGTGTTGTCAGCCATGATCATCAAGTGTGCGACTTAAGTCCTTCGTCAAAGGCTGCGCACCATCCTCAGTTCATCACGGTCCATAGAATCGGTACTAATTCTACGGTGGCCAAACCTTTCCGATTCGCAGTCACATGCGGCTCGTACATGTCTTTGATTATTACACATGTCGTAGCTTTCCTCGCATGAGGGGATTCGACCCCTGAGAGTCACCCAATGAAGGGTAAACTCTTGAGAGTTCGTCTCGGACAAGGTGCCAATCAATTGTCTTATGAAAATCTGGTCTCACCTAGGAATGACCAGACAAGGGTCTTCTTTGTCGTTCCAATGTTGGATATCGAGAGAATGGAGTGTCAATCGCGGTATCTCCATCTCTGTCGTCACAGGTGTCCTAATGTCAATGGACAAGGTCGAAGTCAAGAGAATGGAGTGTCAAATCACGGTATCTCCATCTCTGTAGTCATGGGTGTCCTAATGTTACGCTGTCTGCGAACATGGACGAGTCGAGGTCGGGTAGTGTCGTCCTAATGTCAATTCGGACAAGATGAGGAATCAAGTGCAAGGTAACCGTCGCCTTGTTCAGTCGGATGAGCTGTCTGCTCAGGAGGTGCAAGGTATCCGTCGCCTTGTTCGGTCAAGAGGTCAAAGGACACAGTCGCTGTCTGCGAACTGGTCGAAGTCGGGGTCATCAGGCTCTAAAGCATAGGAGCTTGAGCCAAGGAAAGAGCATCTTGTCCCAATGTCATGGGACAAGATCAAGGTCAAAGGTCATCATCAAAGAGTGTGTCGGCTCTAAAGCATAGAAGCTTGAGCAAGGAAAAATTATCTTGTCCTAATGTCATGGGACAAGATCGAAGTTGTCAAAGGATGAGCTGTCTGCTCGTGACACAGTTGCTGTCTGCAAACTGGTCAAAGTCATCGTAAAGTCAGCTCTAAACCATAGGAGGTTGAGCAATGAATAACTATCTTGTCCTAATGTCATGGGACAAGATCAAGGTCAAAGGTCATCATCAAAGAGTGTGTCGGCTCTAAAGCATAGAAGCTTGAGCAAGGAAAAATTATCTTGTCCTAATGTCACGGGGGCCAGTCCTGCCACCGTACATCCGGTTCGTCGTCGTCAGTGACTAGGCCTTCGCAAAGGCTCAAGTCAATCGTGAGGGGTCCGACCTCCAGTCATAGCGATGACCAGAGGTCGGCCCAGTGGAGTAGTCTTATGAACGCTTGGCCGCTGTCTGCGGACCAAGGTCGATCTGTCGCACAGATGTAGATGGTAAAACTGGTTGATGTGTAACCAGGACAAGATGGGGACTCCAGCTTGTCCTGTCGGTCTTATATACAAGTACAGGCGTCTGTCTACCTGTAATACTAGAACTACGATTGGTCCATCGGTATCAATACAAGGGCACAGGGTTCGTATACCTGTCCCACGATCGTGAGAATGCTGAGTCAGTCATGACTCTGCGTGAGAGACAATCTGTCCATATGGGGATAAGGTCGTGCTGCAAAGACAAGGCAGCAGCGAGGTCGTCGTGCGTCTAGCACATGTATCAGGGTCTAGGGCCATGCCCATGAGGTTCGGTATCTGTATCGTAAGAGTAAGGCAAAGGTGAGGCAAACATGCCTTTGTCGTGTGTGTGATAGGAAGTGCGTCCTAGGTCTGGATCTCACACATGAGGTAAACATGCCTTGAGCACAAGGCGCATATCGTCAGATGATCAGGTAGATCCGTGTCGGATAGATAAGGGCAATGACCATGATGACATCATGGTCATGTGGTCGGTGACGTCATTGTCACATGGTCAGTCTAGGCTCTGTGACATCATTGTCATGTGATCGGTAAAGGTAAAGGCGGAAGTCGTCCGCGCGTTCCTCAGAGAGGAGCTTTGTAACACCTGGTCTTCAACAGTGGCAACAGCAACAACAACAACCCGCAGCACTCCCGGTGAGTGATCGTCAGGAATGATTTGGTTGCATTAGGTCTCATTCATGGTTAGTAGTGACTCTGGTTTTAGTGTGGGTTTTGGCAAGGAAGTTCGCGACGTCATTGGCGGCGAGGGCGGCAGCTATAACCCGCCCTACTCCCGGTGAGCAAGCGTCAGGAATGATTTCGTTGGGTTAGGTCTCAGTCATGGTTAGTGACGACGACGGGCTTCCGACCTTTGATGTCGATTCCAAGCTGGGACCCGGGGATATTAATGTGCGTGTGCCTCACTACTAGGGCGATAAAGGCTGATAGCACGGAATGGGACCGTATAAGATCCGCCAGTTCGAGCCCTGCGGGATATGCCCCTTCGACGGCGAGGAACCCAATACGCTGGACTGACGTGTAGGGTTTTGCATCGTCATATAATGGGCTGAACGTGTCCATCAGGAAAACCCCACTTTTCCTTAAAAGGACACTTAAATAACTTAAATGGACTTATGGTCCTTATTTAAGGATATAAGGACAAAAAGGGCCTAAGGCATATTCCCTGAGTGTCTGAAATTCGACTTATTTGAACACTTATGGCCTTAAATAAGGGTTCTCAGACCCAAAAGTCTAAATAAGTCCATAAGAGAAAGTTGGGTTTTCCTGATGTCATTGTGTAACACCTGTAACTAGTGATGTATATGATGAGGTGTTCTCTTTCGCGAATGCTATGAGTATGTGGAGTGGTGAGGAGTTGTGATTGACTGGAGTTTCAGATAGATTTCAAATCCAGCGCGCATTGAAGGACTTAAGTTTTGGTGCAGAACACTGGCCGAATACTCCGGATACCCGAGAAATTTCAAGTTTCTTCGGGTTGATTCTTTACCTGGAAGTTGTACACTGTATTTGATCTTCCTAGCTCGCGGCTTGTCTTCAGTGCTACTTGCCATTTTACCAAAGTTGAAGCGTCCACCATGCACAGATAAATCTCTCTGCGCGGAAAATCAGGATCTCCGCATGTTTCGCAAGGCAATTCTCATTGCCACTTGGTTGGTATGTACTACCTCGTTCTCCGTTCATGGTTCATATTTTTATAGATTTACATACGCATACAGCAGGACCAACCCAGGATAATAAGGCGATCAATGCCGCTCGTCCTCATCCGAATGCGAATCCTGCCTGCGTTGGTCGCACGTCCGTCCCGTCCGAGCGTGCATTGTCCCCGTTCACCCTCCGTTCTTCAACTGACCCATCCCTCTCCGTTAGGTATAAAAGCGGCTTGTCTTTCCGCTCTTCGTCCCGCAGCCCAAGCCAGGGAATAGCGCGCCCCGGCTCTCGCTCTCACCGCCAGCCGACACGTCCTCTGGACCCATTCTTCCAAGACACGCCCATTGCGAACTACGACTCGGACGTGCCCGCCCGGGAGGGTTTAAGTCCCACATAGAACTCTTTCACATCCGGGCATGCTTCCGCAGATGTTTAGCAATGGCCATGCACGCCATTCCTAGACTTCCCTGCAGTGGCCGACGCCGGAGGGACGAGCCACGCCATGTCTTGATCCTCGTCCTTGGGTGGAGAACTTGCTGGGATTCCGAAACGAGCCCACACCGTGCTCGCCGCTCTGCCCGCTCTCACCGTTCCCAACCACCCTAAAGGCTCGCTCGTAGCCGTCCCGGTCACCTGTGCAGAACTTGAATACGCAACAGGGAACTACGACGCCGGTGCCGCCGTGTCAGTCCGGCACTGATGCTGTCGGATACGGAACGAACGGGCATCACGCTCGCGCCGTGCATGCGCTCCCGGTGAAGCCTCCATCGGAGTATGGATCGGCAGTTTAATTGGGAGAGGCTACACGTTCCAGGTATTAGAGCAAGGCTGAGATATCTGTGGGCAGTGCGTATGGACTGAGGCAACGCGAGTGCAGTATGGAGAGGGAAGTCGCAGCTGAACACCCTTGCCTTCCGCTGCATCTCGCTCCTTTCGCCAGTAGACAAATCCTACATGCGGGGGATGGCCGGGTACATTGTCCCTCCCTCCCCCTCCTCCCCAGTATAAAAGCGGGGTAGTCGTCGTCCTGCACCCAAGCCCGGCGGGAATTATAGCACGCCAGTCCGCATCGTTCTCATTCGCCAGCTGGAACGTCCGCCGCGGAGGCCGCAATATACAATATACGATATACGATATACGCGTTCTCCCGGAGCGTGTACGAATACGCTCGCCGGGGACGCGGTCTGAGCTCCATGTCGGACATGCTGGACATGTCCGACGAGACTTGAGTGCGCGCTTCCGCCAAGGTGGGCCGGAGATCGGGAGGATGCTGGGATTCGGCGGTGCCAGCGCGTACCCCCAAGCGTGCGTTCCTGGAGGACGCGCTGGCAGTTTATCGGGCAGAGCAAGACCGAGATGGGCGTGGGCGCTGGGGACGGCGGATTGATGGCACTGGGGCTGGGACTGCGCTGGGACTGCGCGAATGCGGCGCGAAGGGGGAGTCGCGTCTGTGCGAGGGATGCCTGTGTCGCGGTACACCGCTGCCAGTGCGAGACGAGGGGAGGCGCCGCTCGCCAGTAGACGCCACGCTCCTGCTGGACAACATCCCGAGTCTTCTTCGACGCTCGTGCGTTGGCCGAAGCTCGGTGAGTATACAGTATATACTCCGCGTTGTGCCGTCTGTATCAGACCACCGCGCGCACCATGCGCGAGCCGATGCACCGAACGATGCGCTTGCCTTCCGACGCACCCAGATGCGACTCCTCCGTGCGGGGACACCGCCGCACGGGATGCGTCGGACACGCCTGTTTGCCCGCCTCTGTGCGACCAGACCTGACTGCGGTACATAACTAGGACGGGGGTGGTGAGGTCGGGCTCGTTACAGGGTCCGAACGAGGGATAGGGTAATGGGGAGGTGTACCAGCGCCGTTATTGGCTCAGGCCGCAATTGGCGCCGCGTCCACTTCCAGCTTGCAGGTGCTGGGAGGTTCCCGGGCCGTATACCGCCTAGCAGTATTTACGACTTCGAGAGGAGCACGGCTGTGCTACCCCAGTGTGAGACACGGGGGAGGCGCTGTGGAATCGTTTGCAGAGGGCGGGTTTTTGTGCAGGTGCCGTTCCGCTGTCTGAGGTGCAGTGGGAAGTGCCGGCGTGTGGCGGGCTTTGTCTTCGTGCGGACATCGTACTAGGGCTCGTGTGGTACATGTCCCGATTGTTTCTTGCTATATGCTTGTGTGCGTGATGGATCCTTTGATCGTATGACGCCTCGTGTGTAAGATCTATATCTGTGTTTGTGTTAGGTTGTCGGCGTCTGCCGAGTCGTTCTCATGCGTCTTCCTATCGATTCACCGTCTGGAGATCTCTATGACACTCGTACTGTGACTGGTATTCTAGGCTGCCGTCACGATCGACTCAACTCTGCATATAAAATCTTCCCTCAAGCCGCAATCGTTGTGTTGTGTTGTGTTCTATGAAATGCTAGTGTTGTGCGCTGAGTGTTTATGAAAAATTTGGAGACCCGAGGGTAAGAGTCTATTTTATTCTGTGAATAGATAGCGCGGACAGATCACTCACCGTCCGATCTGGTCGAGGCAGCAGAACGAAGACGGAACGTCGAGCCGGACACGGAAGCGTCCAATGGAGGTGGAGCAATCTTCCACTGAACTGTTATTATTCGCTGAGCGCTGAACGCTGAGGATCGAAGCCTTATGCGTGGACGGTGTGCAGGTTGGCGACCTGTGTCGACGCACGTACCTCGGTCTCGTCAAGGCACAACGATCACTCACCGTAGGATGCGGTCAATATTATAGAGGATACAGGAGGTAAATAGTCAGGTCGGTGCAGGGGCCAGAACACGCGGTATCGAGAGTGCAGAAGGCAGAGCGTACTGCAGATAACAGTAGGCGGAATACACGATGATATAACTGAACAAAAATACTACGCACGGGTCCCGCTACGTATACACGGCGACGGCGCATCCGTGTGGAGATCTGATGAACTACGTCACGATCAAAAACGTACCAAATAAACAACCGACTCACCACGGCAGGGCGACATCTGAAGAGCAAACAAATTGGTCGACATGCAACAAAGCAGTAGAGGAGATTCTGGCGAAGAGACAGAGAATATGAATGCAGTGAGCACGAACGACATTGTGCGCTGAGTGTTTGTAAATTGCCAGTGGGCATATCTTACACAGTGCTCGGGAAGTTGCAGGAACAGAAGGAGCTGTTGCAGAATATACATATCGCGTTCAAAATATATGTCCCAATGTATATTATATACGGAGAGCAGTCGCATCGCAATCGTCCCAGGTGTCAACGAATACGATACGGGTACGCCTACTTTGTTTCCTCCGCTGAGACTGACATCGCCGTGCTAGGCGTTGGAGCACCCATGGTCCTACGCCGCAAAAAAATAAGCGTACAAACAGTAACACCATGATGGCCACATACATCATCTGCAGCAGCTGTTGAATGCGTAGCAAGCGTTCGTCGACCTCGGCGATTTTGCCGTCCACGGCATCAAGCTTGCTTTCCAGGGCTTCGATTCTCCGTTCGATCGTTGAAGGTTCCTCTGCAGCAACTTCCTCCGGACACCGGACCAAAGGATGACGCTTGTCGTGACCACCGATGGTGATACCGTCCGTCGGGTCACAGTTGAGACAGATATATACATCTGAACACACAAACTGAGTCCACGCATCGCACGCGGGCCAGAACAGCTCACCCCGACACGTCATGCACAACCAACAAGGCCGCACGACGCGTTTCTCACACACGATGCATTTCAGCGTATCGTTCACCAGCTTGGCCGTGCGATCGTCGTCCTTTGCTGCGCCCTCGGTCTGCTCTTTTTCCACCTCCACGGCATGCTTGAATGTCGCCCTGGCGTTTTGCAATGCCACTCGGGCCTCCTTGTCCAACGGGCCGAACTCCCGATCATGCACCGTTCTCCTGACTTTGTACACCGCGTGTGATGGAAGGTGAGGGGATGCCAAGTCGGACCGCTTGACCTCTGCGCTCAGACAGCGTTCGTCTTGGCAGATATCGACAGTGCGGTCTGCACGGTCCGTCCGACAGTCTATGCAGATCGTGCGTGTCCCGCCAATGACGCCACCACAGTTGTCGCAGGCGGCACCACTGGCCAAAAATCGTCAATATACAGTGGGATTGTGTCTGAAGAGAACTCACAAATGAGCAGGAGTGGTTCTGAGCTGGCAGTGGTACAAAGTGAGGTAAAACCGAGCATCTGCAGGCGTGAGGTTCTTCCGACACCGCGTGAGCTCGTCCTCCTCGTCTCCTCCGAGCGGACGCCCAAAGTCCCATTTGCGAGTCAACAATTGAATGTATCGCTTCCGGATATCGCGGCGTTGCCTGAAATGGGACCAGGAGCAGATTTGCCTGCGGACTCGAGCTTCGACTTCTGAAAGCGCAAACTTCCAGAGAGCTTCGATCCTGTTCTCCGCAAATTGTCGAGGTGAGGGGCGGTAGATAAGAACCTCGGGTGCCAGTCGGGACATGACAAAATCGTCATTGGAGCCGTCTGTGGAATCATAGCCCCAGACGCCCTGAAGCATGGTGCCTTCTTCATCGAGGTGACCACGGAAGCACTTCGTTGAAACCCGAGTAGTATATCTCTGGATAAGATGATAGGATGTCTGACCCTCGGAATCCGTTTCGGTTGTTCCGCTTACGGCGTACGCCGTACCCTCGGGAGTTTTCCCCGAACCCTCTATGCTCCGACCGTCCGCGGAAACATGAACGTGGAAGATGAACATGCTTTGACTCGGGTATTCGTCGCCTTGAGCCACTACCACATACCACGTGCCTACACTATCAACAGCATGAGTATGGAGAGATAAAAAGACATGAAACATTAGAGCTCACAGCGCTTTGAGATGAGCCTCCGCCTTGCGATCTCCCTCTGTCTCAACTTCCGAGTCACTGATTTCGTACGCAGAACAATCATATAGGTAATTTTCGTCAAGGGGATAATTAAGGATGTCCTCATGCCGGATATCCTGAGCTTCTTCCTCGTCCTTGTACAAGTATGTAGGAAATTCAGATGTCTGTGGGTTCGATCTTGAGAAGAAAGTGGTGCGGTCATGCCAATAGTCAAACTAGGAGAGAAAATAGATCGACCACGCTGCGTGACAGTTGTAAAAAATATACGTACGACCTCTTCCTAGATAGTCTTAAATTGTTGATCGAGGTCGAGCTTTTGCTGTCTGAAAATATCTAGATATTTGTGAATGAGATTGGACCACAAACGACGATGACCCGATCACACCTTTCAGCTCGTCGTAACGGGCTTGGACAGTATCAAACACCCACTTCAGACTATCGGCGCAATCCCGTAGCTCATTCCTGTCGACCACTTTGGTTCGACACAGACGCACAACCTCAAAGTCATGCTTTAAGAGCAAATAAATCAACGGGAAAATATGCTAGGGATGCAAAAGGAGCGGACAACATCAGCGTCGGGCGCACCAGTAGATGAAGATGCTCTGACCTTCTCGATCGTTCCAGGTCCTGTGATTAGCGATAGTGTCTCCATGTCATTGATGTTGTATCGTACAGCCTCCAAATTTGTGCGGATACGCTCTTCTTCTGCATCCATGCGACTTTTGAATCGTGCTTGAAGATTATCACTGGATGTCATGGGCCGCATCGAGCAAGTCAAACTAGTGACCCCCGCCCATACAGTGTGAAGGTATTCGTCGACATAGGGACCATTCGTAGCATAGACTTCCTCCTTGATTGCAAACATCTTTCCGAGTAGCTCATTGATTCTGCGGATATAGAGTGTGGCATTGATCCGCCATCCTGCATGGCAATTTCAACAGCGAGAAAATTTGAATGATGATCAGACTCACCGACAGCCCAATAGGCGATCCAGTGGAGTAAGCTATCGTCACCAAACAGTCAAATGGTGTCTGGAATGCGGCAATACCGACTTAAGCACTCACCTCCAATCGAGAGGGCGAATTGCTGTCAATTTGTTGACTTCCGCCACAGTTATGAATCCTGAAGCGTCCTCGTCAAACGCATCAATGATAGAATGTAGCCTCTTGACACTGAGATACTCCAGGGCCCACGCATCGGGGTCAGGGGTCAGAACACTCTTGGTGGCAGACTCCTTCCTGATCCCACCATCTGTCTTTTCGTGGTAGTAATGCCGAAGAGCAAGGACGAAGTGTCTAGCCTTCACAGTGCCGCGCCATGCCTAATTATCCGATATCAGTCCGAAAAAGCCAAGTAGAACCTTACAGAACAGACCATTTCCTTCCATACGTTGTAAAGATCCTGCATGTAGATCGCACGTTGAAAAGATTGGGCCAGAGGTGCAATACAAGATGCTCACCCGATCAACGACCTTGTCGTGCGTTCCAGAGGTTACTGACTGGATAACCCGATCACTCTCGCGCGTTACCACTCTGTCCACTTCCTCGATGAGCTGCCTCTGTTGTATCGCAAACTTGGGCTCAAACGTTTGAAAATTGTTGATGGCAGCCGCGGCAGGATCGTGGCGGAGATCCGACTTCAATTCTTCGAAATCGTCTTTGCTCGTGCGAGCATGTCCCAAACTTGCTTGATTTTGCGTGTCACCAGTCTTCGTAGGACGCCTTGATTCGTACGAATTAAGCTCCTTCAGCACGTTCTCGTTATCCAAAACAGCCTTAGTCCCTCCTTTCTTTTGCACTAATGCAACGAGTTCCCTTTGCTCTAGCGGAACATAGGATTGCATGAACTGGAGCAACACGTCTGCCCTGAAAACGGTGATGCATAACCTACGTAGTCCAGCTGAAAGGGACGATCTTACCTCTCTTTGAGCTCCTGCGCTAGATTGTCCAGTTTCCGATTCGCCTTGTCAACCCCGCGGCCAATATGAATAGACAAAGCGAATTCGAATTCGGTCCTGCGCTTCGTGAATATGATGCCGAAATTCGTGAGAGTGCCTTCCCACAGTGGTCCTTTGAGGACCTTCGCAAGTAGCTTCATCTTCGAATACGCATCACATGTGTTCGCACAGTCCTTCATGTCATCCGCAGTATTCTTCACAAGACCCTGCAGACGCCCCTTTAGAGTGACACCGTCCGGGCCAACATCTTCTTCATCTTTTACAGTCTTCAATCTGGTGTGTCGCTGTTGTGGGTTGAAGTCCGAAACAAACCGAGAAGAACTCACTGGATCAAAACCGCAATCATATCCTTCATCTCCACGTACAGAGCAATAATCTTCTTGTCATTTGCCCGCCGTTTCGTTTCGAGCGTATACACAGCTTTGAATGCGAGGACGGCCACTAGAAAACTCGTTAGTCTCTCATCTGTCCGGATGACAAATACTAGTCACCTTGAACGAATGGGTGAATCTCCGCAACTTCATCCAAAGCTTTCATCAAAACAGGCATGCCGTCAAGAAATGAATTTATGCCGTCTTCAATAGATTTTTTGATGCCACTGACAGCTTCAAGAGCCACTGCCGACTTGATTGGGGCATATAGAGTAGTTGCCAGGGTTTCTTGACCCTGGATCGTGGTGACTTTGTCATCTGTCATCGACGTGTTAGCCAGAAATTGCAATTCAGTCGAACCACGTACCCAGGGCGTTCAATGCTTGCTCGGCTTTCGAACTGCTACCATGCTTGTTGATTTGGGCAGAAACCACGGTAAGTGTGCCGATAACACGGTCATCGTCAGTGGTCGAGACAGAAACGTCGCTCATCGACGAGTCGGAAGTGGTGTTCAAATGGAGACGGTTGGCGTGCGCTCCACTTCCACGCTCTTGTAGAATAGGAGAAGAAGTACCTGGAGAAAGAAACACAACCGCCTCTGGCATAGATTGCGGTGGGGAATCCAGAGGGGTCCATGGAAGGATTGTAGGTACAGTGGAGTCGGAAAGTGCAGCGCTCACGGGCGAGGTACTGTGCGCAGCGGCAATCTCCGAAGATGGCAGCGCAGATGAAGGGAAAGTGTCTGCACTTGCGGCTAAAGGTAACGGAGCCGGCAGCGCGGACTTCCTCCTCTCACGGCCCATGAAGCTTTTGAGGCCGCGTATTCTGAAGAGATTGGACAAAGCCATGGTGAGAGAAGTTCAGTGCTAGAGTCGTGGCTCCCGGCACCTATGTACTCATCAGTCAGATGCTGTGGTTCGAGGTTTTGCAATGAGGTTGTCCCGGACATCGCCAGTGATGGAGTATACTGTCGGGTCGGATTCAATTGGCCCCCTACATGCGCTTGGTTATGCTTGGTCACATCACACCCTGATTTCAAAATACCTACGTCGGCATGCATTGAGTCCTGTGAGTAGGCAGTACTGCTTGTAACGTTTTATAATGAGAGACCTACTATAACGCATAACAGAGAGGTCTAAAACACCTCGGCACTAAACGGCAGGCTACTAGATTTGCTGTCAGTCGTTCTCTCCCTTCGACCACAGATATTCTGAAGAAGAGGTGCGACATTCGGGTGCTCTGGCAGCAGGACTGCCTGTCGCCGTCGCCGACCGTTGCACTGTGCTGGTGGCTGCACCTGCCTAGCATGAGCAACGTGGGCGGCAATGCGTCAAAATTAGCAGGAGCATGTGAGCACTCACTGGTTGAATTGGAAGGTTCGCATGCGGTAGATGTGATGACCGAGACCACACGGCAAACTTGAGGCGCCTAGGCGCCTAAGAGCTGCCTTCTGTGCCAACGATGTAGCCATTGGACATTGTCCGCCGACAAAAATAGACTTTCCTCCGGAACTTAAGCCATTGGTTACCAAAGCGGTTGACCTCGCGAAAGGCATCTACTGAACCTTCCTTCAGTCCTGTGATGCTGGAACGATGGAAACCAGCGAGAGGTTGAGCAGCACAACTTGAAGAGGTCAGGAACACCATACTCACTGTAACCTTGTGTGTAGTACATGTTTCGTATAGTGCTCGTCGTTGATGCCTAAGTCCGAGTCGCTGACTCAACAGTTGCAACTGTTCAGAATGGGTAAGAAAACGAACCACACGGCAAACGCCGACAAGATCATGGAGATCTGAATCTTATGCATGACGGTGACGTGGACTTGTGCGGGGTTTGAGAGATCCCTGGATAATCCCCCCAAAGGTCGTCGCAAAATCCGGACATCCCATTATTCTGCGACGGACACACCTCTCGCCGGACCTGTTGACATCTTGCGTTTACGCTCTTCCCTCTCGCGGCGATACCGTTCCTTCTCCGCGAGGTAGCGCTCCTTCGCAGCCTGTAGAGACCGCTTGATCGCTTGTGGCGAATTCGGACTCGGTGCGGCACCGAACATAGTCACTTCAGCGTGCTCGGTGTTATCAAACGAGATATCGGGCTCGATAAACCCAGGACACACATATGTAAGCTGGTATAGATCAAGCGCTCTTCTCCCCCTAGACCTTCCCCGCGGTACAACTAGTTACACCACTTGCACTGTCGCTGCAATCTCCTTGTCTATTTCTTCCTCGGCCAGCCCCGGCGACGTCCCGCGTATGATGAACAGCTCATCCGTCAGCTCTGCGTGCATTGCCTTAACCTGCTCGTCCGTCAACGTTGCATGGAATCGCTCATCAAGGTATGCCGCACTGAACGGAACACCCAGTGCACGTCGACCGCGCAAGAATCTGATCAAGGAGTCCGGTTCCTGCCCCAGCACTAACAAGTACTGGAGGTCTGGGCACAAAACCGAGAGGGGCGCATTTGCCTGGGGCGATTCGTTCACGGGATCCTCTTCGCGGTAGTCGCGAGGGTCCTCCATGAAAGCATCCAGGAATTGCTGGGTCACATCACCAATCTTCAAGAATTGGAGATTGGACATCCTCTCAAGCAGCTTCACTGTCCTCCGCAAATTCTGCTGTGTTGGGTTGAAATTCACGTTTTGAATCGCTAAAACCTTCATCTCGCGGAACGTCGTGGCGACGTCCAGGAGTGGCCCGTAGTCTTCTGATTTCATGGTGTCGTACGTCAGTTTCATGAGACGCGGCGCATACATAAAGGCGAAGATGTATAGGGCGAATTGCAGGCTGGCATTACCCAGCGCGAAATCGCGCAGGTTGGGGAGATGTACTCGTCTGATAGCTGCGTAGTCCAATCTGGGACCTGTCTCCATTAAGACGAGCTTGTAGAGGTTCGGACATCCCTGTAACATGGCAATCCACCGCTCGGGAGATGGATTGAAATCCCACCCAATCCGACGAAGGTCGATTGACCGCAGGTTCCTCGCCGGAAAAATCTGCCAGTCTATACCGATCCCGTCAAGGTGAAGCTCCTCCAGCTTGGGTACGTTCCCGCCACACAGCGGGATCATACAACGCTGCTGGATGTCCTGCGAATCCTGCAGTTCCCACAAGAAGGGTGTCATGCCTCGGTACACCTTGAATCGTGTCATGATATGCGGAATGCCACCGTTGCAGAGCCAAAACATGATACGGATTGTGGGAAAATATCCCTGCACGAAAAGTTCGAGGCTACGAATCTGCCCAATGCGCGGGGAGATCTCGTCCATCAGATAGTCCACGTCCTGGGCCGTGAGGGGGGGCGGCGGCTCCTGATCGTCCGGAATCTTCGACCTATCCTCTACCACAATATCTAGGGGAGCGGTTCCTGCCCGTTCCAAGAACAGCTCGGCTAGGGGCCACGGCGCCCTCCCTCTGTACCACACGAAGCTCCAAAATATCTGATCAGCGATAGCGATGGTTCTCCAATGCCTACAAACCCACGTCAAGTACATCCGTTGTCGTATTCCGTCGTATGGGTTTGTTTGACTGTACACGACGAAGCGGAAAATCTGGATGAAGATCTCCACAGGTAAGTTGTTAATGGGGAGGGCGAGCCAAGTTGATAGGTTGCGCGCCAACAACATGGCTGTGATCTGCTTCCTAATCGCCGGGACTATTCGAGGGGCGGCCAATTCCTCCACCAAACGCAGCTCGCGAAGACGGATCTTTATCAGCACCACTTTCGCGGCCCAGATCTGGGCATTGTGAGGCACACTCGGTTCTGGTAGTCTCCTGAGGTACTGCTTGATTAGTCCCTCTTCCCGCAACGAGGCAGACTTGGCCTGTGTGAGATGAAGTGGAGTGTGAACGGGCATCTGTCGCGGGAGAACGAGTCAGATGGCGAAGATACGCGTTCGGAGATGTGCAGCTACATGTACCTTCCCACCTTCCTTGAATTACTCTTATCGAGCCAAGTGCCAAGTTCTGAAATGACCGGCACGGCGAAGGGAGTGTAAATTGGCAATGGTGGGTTTGGACGAACGCGAGGGCGGGAATTATACGTGAGGCTGCTATAACGTTAGCTAATGACCTTGTCTTTGTACTCGCGATATATATCGGCTACCACGACCAGTGGCTGGAGTGGCGGCACGAGGCGGCCAAACAGGATTATTTGCCTCTATGGGCGCCATGATTTGAGACAAACATCTCGGCCCGAGTACAATGCACTCTGCAACGACTCACATAGCATCCGTTCTGCCTTTTGTTTAAAACAACAATGTTTTCCATTAGAAGTCCACGCAAAATCAAAATATGCATGTATGCATTGTTTTCATGAATCCAGCGTTGTCATCCCCCGCCGGGGTTGGGTACCAGGTCATATCACTCGCTGCTTTCGTGCTATGCAGTTAAGAGCACAAAACCTTACTTCACTCTGTTAAGGAGGATGGAAAAACATTTTTTTCAGCTGGTTTCGGTCCGCAGGAATGTTCTGAAGACGTTCTGCACTGCTTGTCGCACAGCAACGTTTGATCTGCCGCCTCATTGCCACAGGTCACCTGTACTTTTTTCCCGGATACCTGGCGCAAGTATAAGGTGCAGGACAATTGGCCACTGGCGACTAGCACTGCCTGGGCCGGGGAACGGACTCCATCATGATAGGCACGCTGAACGAAGTACTAGTGTTTCCTTCTACGTGTCTTCTACTCCGGTTTCGTTGTCTAGCTCACCCACTAGTGGCAGTACTTGCCAGTGGCAGGTGAATGTTGTTTCTATGTGGGCCCTTTGTTCGCTCGACTTTGCGATTTGCAGAGGATCAGGGGCTGAGCAATTCTGTTAGGTTAAAATACTTCCGGTAAACTTGCTACGATTACCTTCCGCGATCGGTACAACAGATCTCATTGAATGAATCGGCACCCGCACTCTTCTCAGTCACTCCGCTGCGAATGCAGGGTTGTAAATTGTGGTCGAACTTCCGAGTCTCAAACTGATAGTGTCGTCGATCGCTGTTTAAACTTCAAGAGATCTACACTTTCCGTTTTTCCCCTTTTTGTTCACCGACCTAACGACGATGCATCGTGCATCATGCATCATGCACAGAGACCTCCCGGAGACCGCCATCGCACCGACGCCTCCGCGTTCAATCTTAGGTTAGGCACAACGATCACTCACCATAGGATCCGGTCAATATTATGGAGGATGCAGGAGGTAAATAGCCAGGTCGGTGCAGGTGCCAGAACGCGCGATATTGAGAGTGCAGAAGACAGCGTAGTGCAGAAGACAGCGTAGTGCAGAAGACAGCGTAGTGCAGATAACAGTAGGCGGAACACACACTGATAAAATTGAACCAAAAAACTACACATGGTTGCCACATATACAAGGCGATATCGCATCCGTCTCGAGATCTGATGAACTACGTCACGATCAAAAACGTACCAAACAAACAACCGACTCACCATGGCAGAGCGACACCTGAAGAAATGGTCGACACAGGATGGAGCAGCGGAGGGGGTTACGGCGAAAGATCAGACAACAGAATATGATCACAGCAAATGGAAACAACGTACTGGGACAGAGCAACTACAAACTGAGCGCGCCGCAAGATCAGCGAACAATACAACTCGACATCGCACCCATCGCCACCGACGAACACGCTTAACGAAAAACGCATAACAAAAAATGCAAGACTTCCTGATGAATGACGTGTCAGCGCCGACGACGTGCGAGACAACCTTACCATCGGGCCCGATCCACCGACATATAACCCAAGGCTTACGAAGAGACCAAACAAAATCGAAAGGTTTCCACAGCAGACCCGGTGTAGTCTGAATCGAGCTACGCTCGAAAAAAAACAAAGCGCCGCTAAGTGCACCGAAGGACAACCGCCCACACACCACCCCGTAAACCACACCCCGCCGCCTCATACTGACTGGTCCAAGGAGGCGCGGAGGACCTAATCCGCGCTCTAGGGCCCTGGAGCGCAAAAGTGGGACCACGTCCGAGTAGTGCGGCTCAAGGCCAAACGAAGACGCAGTGACGTCGCGTGTGGGGTGGAACGCATCCTTCATGCAGAGGTCTCGATGACCAGCCGATCATCTATTAGGCACTTGCTTTAATGCGTATCGTCCGAAGAGCAGGACCATGTGCTGCTTACCGACCGACCAGGCAATGCTGGACACAGAAAAACGTCCGCTCAGGGCGACATAAAAAAATGTTCGACACACAAAAAGGCAGTGGAAGAGATTAGAGAAGGATCAGACACGGAATGTGATTGCAGCAGGCAGAAATAACATATCGACAGAACAAGTGCACACTGAGCGTGCCCCCAGGTCACCGAACAACACAACTCGACGTTGCACTCATCGCCACCGACGAACAAGCTTAATGAAATATGCAAGACTTCCTGATCAATGACGTGTCAGCATCGCCAACACGCAACACACCAGGAGACTCACCAGCACACATTCTCCAACATCCAAAAACCAAGCCTCCCAAAGGAGACCCAAAAAATCCAAAAATTTCACAGCAGACCCAGTGTAGTCTGAATCGAGTTACGCTGGAAAAGAACTTCCCGTGCGCCGCGAAGTGCGCTAAAGGACACCACACACACACCGCCCCCTAACCATAAACCAAACTGCGCCCGTGCGCCTCGTACCCGTAAATCCCCCCAGCCTCCGTCTAGCACCAGGCGCGGCATTACACCACGCCGACCCCCGCCGCACACCGTGCTGGTAAGTAGCAGACTTCCGCCCCCGCTCAGCCACGGCTTTGTGCGGCGGGTGCAATTCTCCCTCACGCGCTCTCGCACTTCGGGTTGCGTGGCCCCCGGGGTGCGCAGCGTCACCTGTCAAGCAAGTGCGCCGCACGCGGACGCGCACGCGTTCGGCGCGTCCTCCCCTCTGGGTGCGGACCTTGTCCCGCGCCTGCGCCCCCAATACAGGTGGCGCCGACGCACGGATTGTCACGACGGGACAGCGTGCCCACGGAAACCGTGGGCGGGCCGCGCTGCAGCGCATCGGGCTCGGGTTACCCTGGCCAGGGCGCGCCGAGCCCCGTAAGGGCGCCGCTCCTACAACACGTCTGTCCCCTTTCGGCCGGGGTGATCGTCAGCTCCGGAATGTTACGCCTCCGGGTGACACAGCTGTACGATCCTAAGAGAATGCGTGCGCTGCCCGCGCTAGTTACTTACCTGCGAGGGTACGGGCCGATAGCGCTGGGACGCTGGGACGTGTGTGCGCGACGCCCGATCCCTGCGACGTGTTCCCAAAACCCGTGCCCGCTGAACCCTCTGCGTCCGCTATGCCCTCTGCGTCCGCTATGGGTGACGTGACGTGTCTTCGAGCATTGGCGGGCCCCGGGACGTGTTGCTGGTGCGTCGCTCGATGATGAGTTGTCGGACCCTGCTAGAGTCGATCGAGAGGGATTGAATGCTCAGACCTTGCCCGCTCGCGAGGATGGACGTCGAAGGTCGAATGTCCTGCGCGGGGCGAGCGTCGCGGCTATGGGTCTGCTGTGGTGGTGAAGAATTAGAGGAGGGAGAGCAGGGAGATAATAAAAGTTTTGCTGGATGCACGTGATGGCGTGTGAAAAGACGCCAGCACGGGTGACTCGGACGATGTGGTTTCCCTTTGGTTTCCTTTCTACGAAGGTTAGTGTCGAATTATTTATGTGTAGTGGTCTCGACGTGAAAATGACAACACCCAGAATCTTCGCATCCGAGACTTAAAGCTCCTCAACATCCATCCCACATGTATCGAAACTCGCTGCCCGACCAATACCAACTCGAGATCGTACAAATAATCTCAGCTGTAAGACAAGTAATTATCACTTACTTGAACGGCAGCAATGTCCCACTGACGAAAAGACACACCGGAGTTGCTCACAACTGCAAGCGGAATACCGCAGAGCCAGTGTCGTCAGAATCTTGTGCGTACACGACGACGTCGCGCGATGAAGCTTGAAGGGCATCGCCCTGCATAACATAACGTTAAGTACAAACCGCGTCTGGCCGCCATGTCCACGGAGCACGCCAGAAAATCCGGCAGCGCGCACTCTTCCTTTGAGCTCCACGGTCATGATAGGGTCGATGCGTCGTTGAGGATGCGTCCATCATGATCATCTCGGGGTCAGTATGTGCCAGATATTCCACGGACGTTCAGTGAGACACGGGTGCGTGGTCGATATATAGGCTCCCGTAACTCGTTTCGGTTTCGCGGTGAGTCGGTATCGGACCCATAGACGGTGTGTGTACAGCGTCGAGACAAATTTGCAGCCTGGATGGTGAACGAGGACCGATTTCGCTCAGATCATATTGATAGGGACATGCGATGGTGGAGGAGTGTCTGTTGCAAGGTGGTGCCCGGGCTCTAGAACGATTAGAGGCCTCGCTTGCCTGTGACTATGATGCTCGATCTCGCGAGGGTCAGTTGGGACAGGCGGAGCATGCAGATAGTGCTCACTCGTAGACGTCTGTACCACGATGTAGAGGTATACGGCTCCACACATGGGGGGAAATCGCCATGGCTGTGCTTCCCTGGTAATGATATCGGTGAGAAATCGGAGGTCTCTACTGCAGACGATGTACCTGCTGGAATTTTCAGACGAGAGATTGGGCCAAGGAGGGGTGCTAATAGCCAGACCGTAGCCGCATGTGAAAATAAACGTCGGACTGCGGATGCTGATAACAGAAAGTACCCAGTCTTGAAGCTTGAATGGTGAACTAAGTTAATGTAGTGGAAGGTTTTATCTGCGATGCGCAGGGCAGACTGTAGGGATGCAGGCCAGGATACGAATGATACGAAGTCGAGGGGACACCGCGACGTCGACGCGTTTACCACGTGGTCGCGATTGTGAAAGTCCCACGCCACAGTATTGTGATTTATCACCTGATGCTCGCGGCAGCAGACCTGCGACCGCGATGCTCGTCCCGCGGGGATCATCTCGACGTCGTCCACATTCACGAGCGGGCTCAGTCTGAGCATTCAAGTTCCTCTCGACTCACTCTAGCAGGGTCCGGGAGCAACAGTCGAACGACGCACCAGCAACCTCCCCCGCCTCTACCTATGCGCAGAGACGCGACGCTCAGGCGACTCTGAGCTACTCTGAGGGCGGACCGGCCGTGCTTGGGATACGTCGTAGGAATGGGCGGCACCACAACCAACTCCCCATAATCGAATCGCTACCGGCATCGTCCTGTGTCCTGTGTGACACGGCCGGGGGCTTTCTGTCCCGGTCTTCTCGTCCGCACGAGTCTTGCCGAAATGGACACCGAGCATGGTGGTGTGCCTTCGATGCGCTCACTGAGTGCCGCTGGCCACGGTCGCGAGCCGTGCGCCTCATGCACATCGGTCGTTCACAGATATCCGTCGAAAAATCGATAGTGCGCGCCGAGCAACTGGAATACTCCATTATCGGGCGCTGGATTCCTGTATTGTCTTCTGTGCGCCTGCGCAGAACAGTAGCATTGCAGACAGTTGGTTTGTAAGCGAGTTTCCCCATCCGTGTTGGATGGATTGTGTTCATTATGACCGTGGCAGCGGTCTCACCTAGAGATTACGACATGTTAGGGCGCGTGAATGCCGGTATCCATACTGGATGCGCATATTGAGGCGTGTTCAACCCTTTGAAACCTCATTGCGTGCTGCGTGGGGTGAAACCGGCGGCGCACGGCCAGCCGCCTTCTGCGTCGTCGTGGAGGCAGGATCCGTAGGTGGACAAGATGTACGAGGCAAGACAGGCATGGGCGCAAGTTGGGTAGACGATATTTCGTCTTTTGGTCGTCCTTCGGTGCACTTCACGGCGCTCGCATGGCGGGCAACTGAATTCAGACTACGTCGGGTCTGCTGCTCTGTGAATTTTTCGGATCTTCTTTGCCTCTTCGCGAGGTCGTCTGTTATTTTACTGCCGTTTTGTGCCAGCATCGTACGTCTGCGATTTCCTCGCTCTCCGGTAACACGGTGGTGTCGTCCTTCAGCGCACTTCGCGGCGTTCGCACCCGGGCGACTGGATTCAGACTACATCGGGTCTGCTGCTCTCTCAATTTTTGGGCCCTGTTTCACCCCTTCGCGAGGTGTGCCTCCTTCTGAGAGAGTCTGTTATTTTACGGCCCTTTACTGCTAATATCGTACGTCTGCGATTTCCTCGCTCTCAGGTAACGTGCTGACCACGAGTCAAGCTTATATATCGTATTCTGGATGTATTTACATACTGGACGCACTCGGCGATCAGGCGTCATAATGTCGGCACCCGCCCAACCTCTGTTGGACGCATGTATGGAAGCGGTGTGCATGCGGCATTGTTCAAGGTGATATTTCGGGTCTCTGGCGTCGGATGGGGCGCTAGTTTGTTCATGCGTTCGTTGCACTTCTACCTCATGAATCTACACGCATAACATGTCACAGGATAATAGCTACCAATCCCGACGTCCAGATGGAACGAAATCAATCTTGCAGAGGGAGTCACTCCAGCTCACGGTCCGCCTGCTTCGATCCTCCAGGCCCATTTGGGCGATCAGCGTCTTGTTCTCACCGATCCTGATACTTCTGGTGGATCCTTTGTCGACTCCTGACCTCTACCATCACTTCTCTACTATGCATGCAACTCATTGATGGAGCTGTATCCCCCTTCGGTCTCCTTGTTTCTCAGGGCTTCGTTGGTTCGTTGATCCTGTTTTACATTGTAAATCATGCAGATATCATCGACCAACCGCGACGTCCGACAGGAAAGGAAAGAATATAGCGGGAGGAGTCACTTCAGCTCGCGTTCGCCTGGTACGATCCGTTAGCCCTATCTGGGTGCCCTGTGTACCCGTGCTGCTCTCATCGACACTGCTAGTTCGTGGGTGGTTTGGCGACTCACGTTGTCTGCCGTCGGTTCATTATTTCTCTAGTATACGACGCACAGCATTGATGGAGCAGTATTCCGTTCGGTCTTCCTGTTTCTCAGTGCTCGGAATCTGCTTGTCTGTGCTTCAGTGATTGCGCTGACAATACGTGCCAACCTGTGCACCATATCATGGCTTTGGTCCGAAGAGCGCGTGGCATCATCCTGTAACATGTCTCTCTCAACTCCACCGAACTCGCGAGTCAACGCACTTACCAGGCGAGTTGCTGAACTCTGCGAACGGCCGAATTGAAGCTGATTTGCCGTATGAGGTGTGTGGTCAAATATGTTTTCGCCGATCGGCGTTTGCAGTATATTCACACAGTGATTCGCGAGCATGCGCCTTGTTTCGACCTCACCTTGCACGTTTCGAATTCAACAAGGCGTCTGTAGGGTAGCACATATAAAAGGAGCTCACGGAACAGCTACTTTCCAGTTCCTCAGTTTTTTTCGAGATCAACTTCCAAGTTCAAGTACTGGATAGTGAGTTCTTGTCTTGGATTTGTAATGGATCTTTGTATTTTAACGAGATTTCGGTTCTCGCTTGGCTTGCTCCCTTCGCTTTGGATACAACAGTCGTTAATTAATTGTTTCTTCAGGATCACCCGTCGATTTCGCGACCTAAGTACTTTGCTCGAGTTCTGAATCAACATGCGTTCTTCCGCCTTTCTTGCCATAGCCGCTTCTGTCGTTATTCCTGTGTTCGTCGCGTGAGTCTATCTTCATATTTGTTCCACTGTACAGCCTTTGATGATTCTCGTTCAGTGCTTCCCCTACGCCGGCCGACGCCTTTGAGCCTAGGCCCTCCGGCCCCGATTGGCGCAGGGATGCTCTGGACGTCAGTGGCATCGAGAGCAACAGCAACAACCGGCTGCACTCCCGGTGAGCAATCGTCAGGAATGATTTAGTTTCATTAGGTCTCATTCATGGTTAGTGTCAACGATGCTTATTCCGGCGGCGATTTTTTGGAGGAGGGAGTTCGCGACGTCATTGGCAGCACCAGCACCAGCAACAACCAGCCGCACTCCCGGTGAGCAATCGTCAGGAATGATTTGGTTGCATTAGGTCTCATTCATGGTTAGTGACGACGACGGGTCCTTGGGGTGCGGCTTCGATTGCGCCGCGGAAATCGATGAGCAGAACTGATGTGTAGGGTTTTGCATGGTCGTATATTGGGCTGAATGTATGATTAGTTAACAACTGTGGCGAATTGTTGGATATGCTGAGGAGTTCTCTTTCGCGCATGCTATGAGTCTGTGGAGTGGTGACGAGCTGTGATTGACTGGAGTCTGAGAACTCAGGTAGATTGCAGATGCCGCGCGCATTGAAGGACTTAAGTTTTGGTGTAGAACACTGGCCGAATACCCCGATTTTTCTGACTTGGGGTTGAAACGTTGATTCGTTACCTGGAAGTTATACCATGTATTTTGTCTTCCTAGCTCGCGGCTTGTCTTCAGTGCTACTCGCCATTTTACCAAGGTTGAATCATCCACGATGTGCAGATAAATCTCTCTCTGCGCGGAGAATTAGGATCTCCGTATGTTTCGCAAGGCAATTCTCATTGCCACTTGCTTGGTATATAGTAACTCGTTCTCCGTTCATGATTCATATTTCTATAGATTTACATACGCATATATATAGCAGGACTAACCCAGGACAATAAGGCGATCAACGCCGCTCGTCCTCATCCGAATGCGAATCCGGCCTGCGTTATCCGCACGTCCGTTCCATCCGAGCATGCATTCATCAGCAAAACCCAACTTTTACTTAAAAGGGTACTTAAATGACTTAAATGGACTTATGATCCTTATTTAAGGGTATAAGGTCAAAAAGGGGCCTAATGCATATTACACGAGTGTCTGAAATCAGACTTATGGACACTTATTTGAAGACTTATTGCCTTAAATAAGGGTTGTAAGACCGAAAAGTCAAAATAGCTCTGTAAGAAAAAGTTGGGTTTTGCTGATGTTGTTCCCGTTCTCCCTCCCTTCCACAGCCGGCTCTTCCACACCCGCTAGGTATAAAAGCGGCTTGTCTTTCCGCTCTTCATCTCACAGCCCAAGCCAGGAAATAGCGACCCCCGGCTCTCGCTCTCACCTCCAGCCGACACGTCGTCTGGACCCATTCTTCAAAAACACGCCCATTGCGAACTACGGCTCGGACGTGCCCGCCCGGGAGGGTTCAAGTCCCACACCGAACTGACATCCGGGCATGCTTCCCCGATGCTTAGCAATGGCCGTGCACGCCATTCCTAGACTTCTCTGCAGTGGCCGACGCGGAGGGACGAGCCACGCCGTGTCTTGATCCTCGTCCTTGGATGGAGAACTTGCTGGGATTCCGAAACGAGCCCACACCGTGCTCGCCGCTCTGCCCGCTCTCACCGTTCACACCTAAAGGCTCGCTCGTAACCGTACCCGGTCACCTGTGCAGAACTTTAATATGCAACAGGGAACTACGACGCCGGTGCCGCCGTGTCAGTCCGGCACCGATGCTGTGGAATAGGGAACAAACGCGCATCACGTTCGCACCGCGCGTGCACCGCCGGTGGAACCACCATCGGAGTATGGATTGGCAGTTTAATCGGGAGAGGCTACGCGTTCCAGGTAGTAGAGCAAGGCTGAGATGTCCGCGGGTAGTGTGTATGGACTGAGGTTGTGCGCGAGTGCAGTATGGAGAGGGAGCTGTCCGCCGCGCATCGAGGACCTGTGTCGAGGTACACCGCCCTCTAGAGCCAAACGCCCTTGCCTTCCGCTGCATCTCACTCCTGTCACCAGTAGACGAATCCTACGTGCGGAGGATGGCCGGGTGCACCGAAGACATGCAGCCTGGCTCTGGTGCATGCATGCAAGCTCCGGCTGGACAAACAGCCTTCTTCAGCACTGACGCAGACATCCTGGAAATGGTCGCAGGTTGGCTGAATCTCGGCGGGCGTGCTCCGCCCGGTCTGTCGGACACCGCGCGCTCGAATGGCTCAAGCCGTCCTCCTGGATGAACGAACGCGGATATGATTCCTACATGCGGGAACATCGCTGGAAGGGCTGGCGGGCCAGGATGACCGTTTCCCCACCTCCCGGATGATTGGATGTAGAAGGCGGTTGCGTAGTCTGTATCAAGGTCGGGCCCGTTATAGATTCCGGACGATGGATGGGATAATATGGGTTTTACGTTACCTGCGCTGGCATTGGGTCAGGTTGTGTGAAACCCGAAGCCCGTGCCACCTTCAGCTTGCCAGGTGCTGGGACTTCCATGTCGGCGCACCGTATAGCAGTAGTGCTTGAAGAGGAGAGTGGCTAGGCTGCATATGAGGGACCAGAGGAGGTGGTGAAGTGATCGTTCAGAGAGGGCTTTTGTGCAGGAGCCGTTCCTTTGTCCGAGACGTCCAGGCAAGCGCCGCTGGGTGGCGGACGGCGGGCTTCGTCTTTGAGAAGGAGACTGGTGAGCAGCGGGGAGGACAAAGTATGACTTGTATGGTACTTGTCCAATTGTTTCTTACTACGGTCATGCATCGTGTGCGTTATGGATCATTTGATCGTGCGACGTCATAGGACGTCATGCGTAAGATCTGGATCTGCACTGCAGCATCGGCGTCTGCCGAATCTCATCCTTCTGTCTTCCTATCGATTCGTCATCTGGAGATCTCTATGATACTCATACTATGACTGGTATTCTGGGTTTCCGCCATGATCGACTGAACTCTCCATATCATTTCTTGTCTCCACCTACCGTCAAGCTGCGAGCCAGATTACAACAAGTCTACAGTCCGCCATCGTGTCTACTTGCATCGATATTGACGTGCCTATACCGTCATTTAAATCTCACGTGGATTTATGGACTTCTGTGCTTTCTTCTGGGGCTCTTTACTAGACTGTAAGTGAACTCTTGGAAATTGCGTCTGCCCAATGTGCCAGCCTTCGCCTCTATTGCGCGCGGGCGAAGTCTTGCCACGTCACATTGGGCTCTCACTCGTGGGCGCGCGGCAGTATAATATTCTACAAGCAGGTGTGCGCTTTGTGTGTTTTCTTCTGCTGTTACAGCTCTCCACTCCGCCGTCGTTGGTTTATTCTTCCTGGGATGCTTTTACTGCTGCTTGTTGGACGTTCGATTGCTTGTCTACGTCTGTCATTGGGTGCTTTTGCTTATTCTGAAACATGTGCGTGGATCAGGTGCCAGATTGTTGGTCGTGCTTTGACTGCAGGGCTGGTGAAGGGCGGAGATACCCGGGGCAGAGTGGAGGCGCTGGCCGTGAGTCGTGCTGCGAGAGTCTGTGCTCTTGTATGTATTTTGTTCTGTTATGTACTCTGCAATGCGAGTAATAAGCACTGAGTGGTTTCAGATTTGCAGATCTGTAGTTTCGACTTCGGTTCAAGCTGTCGCGACAACAAGGCCATTGTGGGCTTGAGTTTATGGTCTCCAGTACTCTGCTACGCTTGGTTCATTGTCGAGTATCTGCCAGTGTGCTTGGGCTTTCTGGTAGCTGGAAGACGCCGTGCGTGTCATGCATGGCCTCCCGGTCCTCTTGTACAACATTCCCTCAAGGTTGATCTCGGACTTTACGATGCTTGCTCGGCGCTGGGGGTGTTATTCTACTTGGGACTTCGTAAACCCTGCTGTCGCCCGGCTGGATTTGGCGTTGCTCCAATGGCGCGGTCTTTCGTTTTGAATTCTCAGGCTACGGGGTCGAGCATGGTGTGCGGCTCTGGGTACACAGACTTGGATGGTAGACTCGGGGCTCAGGAATATCCTGGTGCAACATTCGCTCGTGGTTGGATCGGCGCCTGCTCGACGTTCGGCGTGTACTGCTGGCGACGACATCTTACTGAATGCCCGGCTAGATCTGTCCTTCTGCGGTCTTTCTTTTTAGGGTTCTCCGGGTATTCGGTCCTTGCACTCGGAGGTAGACTTGTGAATTTCTGGCATCGTACTCTGTTTTATTCTTAGTCTGGGAATGAGGGATAGATTGTATATTGCGATGGGCCATGAACAAGGGGCCTTCTCCGCCGGCGGCGATGATGCAGCCAGCCTTTTTCAATATACTCAATGTGTTCTCGTTCCATGGTGCGTACGTTCATATATTCATATATACATATGCTGCATGACACTAGGACAATGGCGCGCGATCAACACCGCTCAACCCTTCTACCCTTGTCCTTCCCGAGCCTGCATTGTCCTCATAAGCAGCATAAAAGAGGGAGCCCAGCACATCCTCGTCTCATCTCCCAGCACATCCCATCCAAAAAGCAGCTGCAGAATGCCCCAGCTCGAATCCCACCACTCATCCACCCCCGTAACCGGTCACCCGTACACAATACGTGTATACGCGACCGGGGAGCGTGCACGTTTGCTCCGGAGTTACCATCGCTGGTTGCACGCTGGCATTCGGACGTGGAGGCTCTCGCCTCCTTTCATCCGAATGACGGTCACAATCGCAGATCTTCCCGACTCGGTGGTCGTATTCAAACATGGCCCACTGTTTTCGACCACTCTTGCCTTCGTTCTGTGGATGAGAACTGGGCGAAGTTTGTCGAGCGCTATCCGTCTTAGTCCCGATACTGGATGCCGCTTCGATCGAGGGCACCATTACTGCCTATGCCCATTCTCACAGCTCTCGTTCACGCCCGTCACTGGTCACTCGGGCACAATACGCGACTGGGAAGCGCGCCCACCCATGCTAGTCCCGACACCACTTTGGGCGAGGGCACCGTTATTGCCCATGCCCAAAAGCGTGAGATGGCACGAACGTGGCGCATCACGTTCGAGGCGGCGTACCCCCCGGTAGAAAGTGGTCTCCCATGGTGGCTGCCCCTCGTCTGTCAACACGTCCGCTCTGATGAAATCGTCCAAGTCCATATAGCTACATAGGACGTCGAAGGCCTGGTCAGAACTGGGATGAAGAACTCCTCATGGGACCGCAATTAGGCGCGGACGGGATCTTCAGGTACCACTAGACGATTCGAATCCTCTGGCGGGGGAGTCGAGTTATCGCATTGGCATTCATCGCTGCACAAGTACCGCCAATTGGACGCGGAGCGTATCTGGGACTCCGCGTCGAGCTGTAGTGCACACCGCGCGCTGAGCCGGTTCGAGCGGATGCGCTTGCGTGCGTGCCTGGGATCGACGAAACCGGATAGGGTGTCATATTTCCGGGGATGTGGTTGGAAGGACGGTGAGGTGCCGACTGGGAGGTACACCGCGCGGTCGAGCCGATGCACCGAAGGGATGCACTTGCAATTGCTCTCGCCGCTCGCTGCTCGTCGGTCTCGTGGAATGGAACCCCGCTCGACGAACGTCCTGGATTTGGCTTTGTGAATACCTCGACTAGAGGTGTATGTTTGTGCATACTAGCCAATCCAGGGCCTACATCGTCAAAGCCGATTCCAAATTACGATACCCCAAGTGGTCCCCAGGACGTCGGCTTCGGGTTGCATGGACGTGCATCGAGGTCGGGCTGGTAGTCCGAGTGATGGAGGACAAGACAGGGAGAGGCGGCAAGTTGAGCAACTAGCCCGACCTTCGGCGTGTGGATGTTCCTTCCCTTTGTGTGATTAGCAGTAGGAGTGGAGTGCTGGCTGGGGAGTGTCTGTGGAAATTTGGACCGCTCGCAGGGCCGGCTTGTGTGGTGGAGCTGTTCTTTTGTCCTAAAGCGGTTCCTTTGTCCTAGCTAGAGCGCGGCGTGGGTTTGAGGTGAGAGTTTGATGGGCCGCGGGGAGGACATAGTATGACTTGTATGGTGCATATATGAGCGGTTCTTGTTATGCTATGCTATGTCGGTCGTGCTTTGTCAGTGGCATCATGCGCAAGATTTGGATCTGTGTCATGTCGTCGGCGTCTACGCAGCCGCCGTGTCATTTTGAAATCCTTCAAGTGCACCTTAGTATGTCGCTAGCTTTTCTTCAGCGATGATCAATGCATAATATTGTCAGCTATCGGCCCATCCACGGTGATCAGCTCTCTCTTGTGCTTGTAGTTCTATATCTCAGTGCGGCGAACTTTCCGAGTCGATATTTCCTCGCAACACGATCTTCTCACCCATCGTCGAACGTCGAGCCGTGGACGTTGGCTGGGACCTGCTATACCACTGATACTTAAGATTTACCGGCTTATCTATAGTCATGTTACAACTGCCAAGTTCGTTCATTTCCAGTTTGCCTTTCGTCGAGATCGACTTACTTATGATCGCTGATGATCGGTAGGTCGGCGCATATTCTGCTACAGTAGTCCTCGATTGACTATCTAGCATACGCTTTCATCTAGGGCTCTTCGGGCTATGACTTACTGTTGTAAACTTCGCTTTGCATCTTCACGTGCTCTCGCACATCACAGGCGTGCTCCACCTATTCTCTAGTGCACCGCGGGTAATGGTCTATTCTTCCTAGGATGCCTTTACTACTTCTTGTGGGATGTCCGACCGTTTTTCTAATGCCCGTGTGCTCGTGCTTACAGGATCCTGACACGTGGGCATGTATTAAGTACCTAACTACGTGTCGTGCTCCCACTGTTGGTCTGGCGCGAGGCGAATATAGGCGTGGTGAGCGTAGAGGTCCCGGATGCTCTCGTTGCGGGTGGTACGATGTCAGCCTCAGTGGGTGTGGTGGGATCGAACGTGGATGGTTGTTGGGATTGTATCGGCCGTGTGAGTGTTTTTTTTGCGGCTGCGGCTCTGCCTGATAGTCTCAGCGATGCAAGCTTGCCTTCGCGTGCGTTTAGTCCCGGGGGTCAGACACGGTGCACCATCCCTTCCATTGGAGCAGGAATACATGTATTTGCATCTGGTATTTCTGGTTGCTGATAAATACTTTGTCGTCAGTTTGCTAGTGAACGTCAAAGGTGCTCAGGCTCTCTACAGAATGCTCTCTGCAGAATTTTTGCTGCGCCATTTCGCTGAAAACTTGGCTCAGATTATATGGACGCGCGATGACTCCCGACGCGTCCAGCATTCATTTTTAAACTCAGATTCCTATGGGATCATGTACCTACGCAATGTCGGACTCCGGACTCGGAGGTGGCGCCGCTCTTATCCAGTCCATTTCTCTGAACTTACCGGAGAGTAAGTTAACGTGGAAGGCGGCTCTTGTCTCGTTGGATCTCTCCACTATGGAACAGCCAAACGCCTCTGCAGTGACAATTTAACTATAGCTAGTCATCTTTGGCGCTATTGTTGTCATGGCAGGTGCATATATTCATTCATCCCTACATTCCTACATTCATATGCGCATACTAGGCTTCGCTTGTTCGTCCGACACAAAGCACGAGGATCGTAGTGTACGATCAACGCCGCTCACCTCCTTGGGCCTGCATTGTTTCTCTCCATACCCCTAGTCCATGCATCATCCGCCGAGCTCCTACCACTCCCCATCCTTCTCTACATATAAATAGGCCCTGCCCGCACCACGATCTCCTCGCAGCACCTCCAGCCCAGGAATAGCTCCCCCGGGATTTCTATATTAGCAAGTGCCAGTACGACGGTTCATACCCACCTCACCTCCCCTTGAGGTTCACACCGACCCGACATTGGTGACGCTTGGGTGCGGCATTATTACCTCGACAACCTCTCCACCTTCTGTGCGGCCAGGTGCGTAGCGCTCCGGAGTCCACCCCGAGTCGCTAGCGCACCTCTGCCATGTCATGGATGGCTACGCTATACTGCGTACACTTGCAGCCCGAGCCTGTGTCCATCAACAACATATTCGGAGCATCTGGCTATCGCATCGCCCGCGTAATCCAGAGCCCGAGCGGAGTAGCGGCACCTGAGTGGGGCAAGAGACCTCACTTGGGAGAGCATAGGTGCCACCGTCGATTCCCACCTGAACGGCAGCGGTGCACGCCGATTTATTCATTGAGATCAATGACACTGGCTAGCTGGTAGATGGATGGGCGGTGCCTCGTGGAGAGCACCTCATCGACCGCCGTCGTGCCTCGCGTTTCGCACGGGCGTTGTCGCCTACACGCGGTGCATCTAATAGGGTAGATGCGCGCGGCGACAACGAAGACGATGACGAGGACCTAGCTGGGGCTGTTCGACTCGGGCACTCCGCGCCCTCTCACGACGCACGGAAGTGCGCACTTCCGGTTCTTCCTATCCACGGGGTAGCAGCGTGTGTGCAGCGCAGATGGGGAGAATGTCGTCGGCCGTCTCGGTGCTTCGTGCGGGTGTCATTGCCCACGATCGTGAGGTGCACCGCCCGCGCATCTAATGGCGTAGATGTGCGGCGCTGATGGTAACGAAGACCTAGCTTGGCTTGTTCGACTCGGTGCTCCATATCCTCTGACGATGCGCCGAGGGGCGCGAGCGTCTCCTCCTGCACATAGGGAAGATGCTGGTGGGATAGATGATGGGGTGGAAGGGCGGTGTAAATGGCTGTCCATCCCGACTCGACGTTGAGCGCACGGTTGCGAAGTCTGCGTCCAGGTCGGGCTGTGCGGGGAGAGTGACGACAGCAGTCATGCACGGGCGGAGGTAAGAAGAAGCTTCCTCGGTCAACGAGGTGCGCATCTTCGCGCGTGCAGAGGCAGCCGGAGGGGATAATCGGGTCTATGTAGTCTCCCAAAGGCAGACTGACACTCTGCTTCAACCTTCGTTCCTCAGGATATCCATGTCTGGCGTCTGTTATCAATAAGGTGGTCCTTATCGGTAGGTTGGATATTTTCATCTCCGCAAATCACGTGCATGCGACGCGTCAAAACGCGTTCTCATCTACCCATGCAAGTCTCGCATTTCTGCTGCATCCTCATAGCTCTCTGGTACACAGGGTGTTCTCCTGTTATGTACTGTCTGTAGACTGGATGTATTTTCTGAAAATCTATGCCTCAGGGCCCTCAGAATGGCTAAATCCACTAGTACTGTATTTAGGTGGGGGATATCAATACGCCACACTGTTTACAACCATGGTAGTGGTAGCCAGAGTGACTCCCAATTAGTCTTCTGGATTTCTTCAACAGTCTTATGCTAGAAGGCGGAACAAAATTATTGGGATGTGACATTGTCCAAGTTCAAGCCAGAACTTTCACAACCCATCCTCAGTAGTTACTTCTCTTGTTACCATTTAGATGTGCTTCTTTTGCTTGTCTCCTACAGCTTAAAAGGCATGCCATTTGACTGAGATATCTCGAATGAAACAACGACCGCTTCCCTGGAGTATGTAGTATCTGCGCACCGTGAGCTTGCGGCGAGCGCTTGTTCTCTTATTTCCAGCTCCGACTCATTCTCTTGCAGGCGAGTTGATCGGTCACGCAATTCCTTCCCTGCAAGTCCAAGCTCCGAACGAAATTGGGGACCTACCGATAAGCCCCCCGCGTTAAAAACTAGACTAGGTCTATGACGCTGTTGACACAGCATCCTCCTGTGTTATGAGTACTGCTGGCTCTCTGGAGGTGTGGGGGGGGGGATATTAAATTCGCAGACGACGGGTTTTTGTGCTGTTGCCATTCCTTTGTTGTAAAGAGTGCCGCTGGGCGGCGCGGGAGACTGATGGTGGCGGGAGGAGGAGGTCACAATGTAACTGGTATGAGATAATGTTAGTTCAAGTGGGTATGTTTGTCTTTGAAGGTGCTCTATGATAATATGCACGTTTCCGGTGTCCATTGTTCCCCGACAGCATAGCGCGTGACGTCATGTGTAAGATTTAGATCTGCGAACTCTGTCGGCATAGGCTCTGCTCATCCTGCTTGTCAATCTCATCTGGACCTTCAACGTCGCTACAGCATGATCCTGCTTATCCTCTCGATGTTCAAGAGTTTTTTTCTGACTAGCTCTAGCGGACGACCATCGTGCACCAATGACTTAGCTCTCTTTCTGACCGCGACCGCCACATTAATCATGTCACATCGATCTGTGAAATGGGTAGTCCTTGTCGTTCGTTGCAGACTCGGATCGCTGACGGACTTTATTAGTATCGTCGGATTGCAATCGATGCGATCTCCTTGACCGAGGCACCTTCCTGCAAAGAGTCTCGTGTGCAATTATCGAATGGTTATAGCTTAGGCCATGGCCAGGTTCTCACAAAGGAGCGCAGGTTATTTTGTGTATCGGAGACGATGGCTAGATCTCACGTTGGCGGCGCGATTTAGTTCGTCCGCATGGTGCATGCTCCCTTTGCGGCGATGCGTGGCGTGGAAACCCGTATGATGTAAGCTACTGTGCAATTTTCCACCTTGCACGGGGTGTAGGTGAATTCATACGTGCATAAACGTAGACTCTTTGGTCTCGCTGACACAAAGATGACAATGCGCGATCGACGCCACACTCTCCTTGTCCTGCAGTGTCCAAGCCGTGTTCGAACTGCCTTACTCCCCTCTTCCACGACATGCTACTGCGAGTACCAGTGCGTACGATCCGCTAATGGTAGAATACAATAAGGAGAAGTTTGCGGCTCGGAGTGCAGATGTCGATGAATCACCTCGAAAACCGAGCTAGCAGAGCACTTGCTTGGTACTTCTGAACCTTTTCGCTATCGTCTGCCGTGCGGTTCGTTTTCTCACCCTGAACAACTGCAACGCCGCCACTGTGCGTCGACACATCAGCGACTCGAACTTATGCGTGAACATAAGGAACATGTACACACAAGATTACAGTGAGTCTGGTGTTCCTGACCTGTTGTGCGGCTCAACCTCGCTAGTTTCCGTTGTTCCAGCGTCACAAGCCTGGAGGTAGATGCCTTCCGCGAGGTCATCCGCTTTTGTTCCAATCGAATAATCAGTGGCTGAATCGCTAGCAAGTTCTGACCGCAGAAGGCAGTGATTAGACATCTCAGACATGATAGAGATTGTGGTGTGGTTTCGTATTATTTCATCTGCTGGATGCAAACGTTCCAAAGTGAGTGCCCATATGCTACTACTACATTTCGATCCGGTATCTGAGGTTCGACGACTCTCGTTCATTGGACGAGATCCATCTAAGCAGTGGCAAGGCATAATAACAGCGTAGCTCAACATACAAATGTCGTTGAAATTGCTGCTTGTACGTCGTTATGGTATCGACCCCGCAGTTCTCCGTACTTCTCGCATCTTTCGAGCTTAAGAGCACAGAGTATATCAGCATACCATCTCCGTCGAACTGCCACTCTCCTTTTCCATGACAAATAAGACCACTGCATTGAGTATTCAAACGTGCTAGGTTTGAACCGAAGAAGAGTCCCACAAGGCGGTGCGTCACTCGATGCCTGTACCTTATATAAATCGGGGGCACTGAATCCGCTGCAGAACACCGTCTAGCCTTCCGTTTGGCTCGTCACACAATGGATGACATTCCCCTCATCTCTGCCAACCTCGCATCTGTGCCACTGGTATCGCTCTTCTACGGGATATTCCTTATCTTCTTCTGCACATCCTCATACCTCATGGTACGGCGTCAAGCTTGGCTGAATGTTGGATCATCGCGGCCCAAGCCTATCTACAAGACGCCTTTATTCATCGCCGGAATATTGCTCTTCATCACTGTTACTGGGGTCAGTCTTTCCATCCCAAACTCCTACTTACATGTGGAACTGAAAAAAAAACCCGGGAAAAGCACTGGATACTCCTCGTATACCGCTCGTTTAGGGCCTTCGTGTACTTTGACGGTGGTGCATCTCCGCTTGAGTTCTACATGGATGTGGGTGCAGTGACGGCAGTTATAGAGTTAGTGTTTTTCGTCTCGACGATGACGATCGAGGATGCTGTGATTGTAAGCAATCATCTGTTGTTGTTCTGATCCTGCTTCTGGAGTGATCTAGGTATACCGCCTTTGGGTCATCTGGAAGCACAACAACTATATCATGATTATCCCTGTTTGTTCATTTGTCGTCAATGTCGGTGAGTCCAACGCCGTTGCAAAATGTCATTCACACTAACGTATCGCCTCACAATTTCTGCCCTTCGTCAGCATGTTACGTGATCGTTGTTTACCAGTATGCACACTATCACATGGGTCAGAATGTATTTGGTGCCAGCATTGGACGGTGGGTCACAATAGATTACGTCTGCAGTCTATGGTATGTGTCGGTAAATATATAAATGATTCACTGGAAACTGATGTCCAACAATATAGCACCAACTTGTACTGTTGTGGTCAGGTTCCTGTCTCCAATATTTTCCGTCATCGTGTTGATAAGTCTGCCCGTTTCAAGTGCTGATTGTTTGGCGCCTATGGCGTGTCAGTCACAGGTCAAAGCCCGTTGTTGGCACCTGCATGTTGGTGCGCTCATTTCTTCGTTCAGCTATCGAGATTCTTCTGTCGCTGATGCGAATTCCTAGTGGACATTGTCTGTCTTCATCGAAAGTGCCGCCTTCGATGTGTATGGTTTGCTCCCTCGTTCGCAGATGCCTATCTGTTGACATCTCGCACAGGGCATTGATGATCGTCGCTATGGTACTCTACGAACTCAGGTTGAATGTGTACACTGTCGCCGACATGATGTCGCCGCTGTCTGGCATCACCTTTATGCTCATCAACATCCGCGTTGGTATGGGCTACGCGATGCATTCGCAGGAGCAGGCTCACCACGTGCCCTGCGTGCTTCTCCTGCGAGCATGTCCTGGAGGTATAATGTTTTGTTCTGCGTGTGCAGCGGGTCGCCAGAGTCCGTGTCCTCGGCAACGAGGGAGTAGGGATCGAGCGGCACGCCGGGGGGTGGATTCGGTTTGCGGAGAGTGCCCTTGCAGTGACGAACGAGGCAATGGGAAGGGGAATATGGTTGTCTGTAGCCTCTGTTGACATAAACTATGACTTGGCGTGTAGTCTCACCCGTCTTGGTGCTGGATGGTGCTTCGGCTTCGGGAACTTTGGAACAGCCCCTGGAGAGGCGTCAAGTCGAGCGTCGGGCCTGCGTTGGGCTGGCGTGCATCCACTAGCCCCACCTTCAGCGTGTCGCGCTGGCCGGGGTGTGTCTGTGGCAGCGGGAGAGGAGAGGGAACTGCTCGCGAGGGCGGGCTTTTATGCTAGAGCCGTTCCTTTGTCCGAGCACAGCGCGGCTTCGAATAGGTTTCTGTGTGGGCAGCGGAGAGGGGAAGACATAGTATGACTTGTATGGTGCAGTTCTGAACCCGGGGAGCGTTTAGCAAGTTTCCTCCCTCCTTCACGCGGAAAAACGACCATCATCCCCGAACGACTCGACGAAATGGTCGCAGAGCAGAGAGCTCTTCAATTTGATCTTTGTAGATACCTCGAGGGAATATCCTCAAATAGAGATTACTGTAGGCCTGGCGGAGTTGTCGGTCACTGCCCTTCGGATAGAGTACTAACTTGGCCGAAGGAATCGTTCCACTGGGACCGAAATCATGTAACACGTTTGCGCGGATAGGATGCAGGTGAGGGAGACCGAAACCGAGGTGACCGCGTTCGGGCAGAAACGTCCGGTCACCTAGAAGCACCCGAAGTTCAACCTCGAACGCAGATTTTACCTGAGGGAATGGCTGAGTAGTCGGCACAGCCGAGATGGCACTTGCGTTAGTGAAATACAGGTTATAGACCAAAGTAACACGATAGCCGGATTAGCTCGAGAGAACCTCGTGCTCGACATTGTGTCGACCCCATCCCAAAGGACCGAGAGAAGATTGAGAATTAAAAAGCTGTGCAAGCGGTATTATGCAAGCGCACTCACTAGAGACCTTGCCACTCCTCGAAAAAAAACATGGATATAAAACACTCAACTATATAAGCCAGTTGCAGTCACACCATTATGCCTTCTGCAGCGTTCGGGGGATTGATGGTCATGGAGACATTTCCTGCGTGATCTGGCCCACTAGATACCTCAGCTCTCAGACGAGCTTCCTAACTGTGTCACCAGCCTTCCGTGTATCGCTGTAACTCTCAATATGGGAGTCGTGGAGATGGAGGTCCGGTCCACATTCTCTACCAAACGGTCGCCTCGCCTTAACAGCCAATATGCCGACCCGGAGGAAGATGATCCAGAGTATGATCCCTGTCTATGCATATAGGATTATTTGTTTGGGGCATCCAGAGGCTGCCGAATTTCTTGAGACAGGTGTGGCCAGCCATCTACGCATATATGACGCAATAACCGAGGATCGGATGTGGAGATTCACCAGCTATCCATCTGAGCCGATCCTGTCACACGTTGCGGGATGGCTCTTGCATAACGAACCACTTAGCTAAGCACAGCAATGGAAGACGAGAAATGAATATGGCGCTCACTCTGGTTCTGCCAACATGGTCTCCCGGTCCCGATGTCAATAACTTACGTTCCTCCAGCCTCTGCGGGCCCGAAAATTGTCTAGCTAGGCTGGCGCGCAAAAGATTTGTGTAGTTGCACCAACATATGTGTGATGAAGTCGGGGAGGACACGGGATACAGCGACGAAGGCAGCGTGCACGCGCACTCAGCGCGTTTAGCGCATTTAGCGCAGCTAAAGTTCAGTATCCACCTCAGAGTGACTAGTGCATACTAATACCTGACCATGTTGTGACTGAAGTTTGCACTGCTGTCATCTCATTGACCGCATTTCGCATCACTACTGTTGAGACGGCCATCCTCGTTCCTGCTGGGCATGCCGTGCACTGCAGTCCTGCAATTCTGGGTACTCTCCGGTACAGAGAAATACAGGGCATGGACAGCAATTGGTTGAATGGAGAGCCGGAGGTGTAAAGTACGGTTGGTAAGTGTGGCAAGGCGGCGGATGGTGAATGTCGCCGTGGCGGCACAGAGTCATAGAGGACAGTACTAGGTAATGAATCAACTGGCAGCAGTGAGCTCAACTGACCCACGAAGCTCAGCCAGTGCCAGGAGGATGAACAATGACGATACTAACTTGGCAGGGACTGTGGTATCGACCACTGAGACGGACGAGTGAAATGAGCGACTCCGAGTCGGACACCGGGACCACGGGCTCTAAGGTAATGTCGTCCATACATAATGAACTCTGACACTATGGTAGGCAAATTTCCACTCCGTCGCGAAACCGCACTTATATTAATTTCATGGAGTGTTCCTGGGCTCATTCATGACCCTTGTAAGTTTCGTGGTGCTGTGGGATCGCTCTTAGTAACTGACATTCTTGCTTCTTAGATGCAATCGCACTCTGGCGCCCACAGCAAGTGCGAACCTTGCACGGACTCAACCCAAGGTAGGTCTCCTGCCCAATCTGTGGACACCACTGAGGTGCTGACCGTCAACACAAAGGTGCAGTGAAGGCTGCAACGAGACCGCTTTGAAGTACAAGCTCGACATCATCAATCCGGGCCAACTCTCCCTTGATGATCAGATTGTAAGTCAAATTTCTTTACTCCCTTGTTCCTGCTCTTACTGTGTCGCTCCAGAGCATATCCGCATCATGTGGGAGAGCGTCTGCAGCACCAGATGGAATACGGCAGCACTCCGAGGCCGAGACACATGGAATGGGAGAACGGTGCAAAGGGGCCAGCCGAACTGCCGAAGTCGTGAAGAAACGATGTGAAGACATGTACATATATAGGACGCTGATGACGAGAACATCTTCGTATAAAATGAAATGTATCTGCGGAAGCCAATAAACGTACAGCACAGGTACCTTGACGCGCAGAACAATGTGAAAAAGAAGATTTATCTGCACCGCTACGACCTTCATGAGATGCAGTGAGTTATCAGCCTCACACGCTGTAGCACGGAGAAACGTATATAATCCCATTCCACGAAGTCGTCGTAAGATGCGATGAATCAGAATAGGTTATCAGCCTCACAAGCTGCAGCACGGAGAAACGCCAGAGCTTCCGGATCCGCTGCCGGATACGATCCACATTCTACGAAACCGCCGAACACGAGCACAAGCGAATAGACCCAAATGCTGCGAGACAAGAGCATGTTATGCAAGCCTGCACTCCTCCACACAGGAACACGTCCCAAGGCACGTGCAGCCTGTATATTGGAGCGACCACTCCGGTGAAGTGCACCACGAAATACAGCATAGAGCGAGATACGAAGACCACGAGAGGCGAGCGGCAGATCCGAGACGGCGTGTGCCTGGAGAGGAGAGGGAGGCCCTTGCGCTCGCCTAGCCAACCGACCTTACTACAAGAGCGCTAGGACCCTGGGCTAAGAAGTCTCACAGCACCACCGCCTCCCACAAAAGGCATTCCTCTCGCGCGCTTGGCAAGCTCTGTCACCGCGCGCCAACCGGTTTCACATTGGCTCCACGGGCGTTCGTATAGAGACGCGACGGACCACAGCTACATAGTGAGCGCTGCGGTGGACTGTATAAGTGGCCCGACGGAGATGGGCGGAGCGCACTCCTAAGCTCCCTCCATTGCATCAACCATTAGTATGTTTCACCATAGTATGTGGCACCATCGACCCGGAGTCCGCACTTGACGCAACGCACGCAGCACGTCGACAACCCAGAGAACAGGGCAGAAATGGCATAAGACCACGGCACAGGGCAGCATCAGACAAGTCACCGAACAAGACACCGGAACGCACGCCCCCGGTACGCCAGCTAGCATCATTCGACGTCCAGCCGATACTGTAGACACACCTCGCAGGATCCATCCGACGCCACGGCCCACTCGCAAAGAACCCAGAATCCATATTCCTCCGTGTATGCACACGAGGAGGAAGCCAATACAGATCAAGATCGCGGACATACGGGCTCTCGAGCCTGAACGGGCCGCGCGGGCTCGAAAGCGGAGAGTGGCGCGCCGCGTATGGAAGGTGTCCACGAACGAACCCTCCCCTCGAAGTCGATCGCGCGATCGGGGTGCCCGTCCGATTTCGCATCGGCGGGACAAGGGGTGGGGAAGGGGGGGTTCGTACGGGGCGCACGACAGAAGCATAGATGCACACCGGCAACGGCAAGGGGCTAATGAATCACACGTGCAATGGCACTGAATAGACGGGGGCAGATCCGGGGAAGCGACAGCAGAGGGGGGCGGGGCGGCCAACGGGATCAGGGGACGTTGCAGGTCGCCGAGATGCAATGCAATACATCGCGCGGGGAGAGCGGAGGGACGTTGTACGTACGCGGGATCGCGGGGGGGGCTGTCATGGGGACGTTGTATTGAAAGAGCCCGGCAGATATCGTCGGCAGAGATCCGAATTCGAGTCTGCAATTCCTCGGCGTCCACCTGGTCGAATGGTTGAGCATCGGTGGCACAACTATAGCGCGAGCATCGCAATCGCTGCGCAATCCAACTCAAATTCGTCGGCAAAGCCGGGGTGCACCGATACACTCGCCAGCAGATCCGGGGAAGGGGACCGACCGACCGTGCGGGGCAGAAGAGCTGTCAACACACTGTATCGGAGCAGCAGGCACACGAGGAAGCAACACTTCAAAGTGCGGCGCACGCCGGGCAGAAACAAGAAAATAAGCAAATAAAACAGCCTCGAAATGAGATAGCGATCGCACGTCGCCGCGGTCGCTCCACCGCTGCTGCAGCGGAGATGAATCGCGAGCGAGCGGGCGCGTGGCAGGGTCCGAACGCTCTCCTCCGGATAGGCGCGTGATAGGGCGACAGCTGTACGAGCGCGACGTGTGATCTGCGTGTGCAGACGGTTGCCAGACCTGTGCGGTCCGCGCGGTTTTGCACTTGCTGGGGACTTGTTCGGGCGACCTCCGCTGCACTGGCGCGGCGAGGGATGAGCATGCGTGCGCGCGACCGCATCGTGTCTCGTTGCAGAGAGGCGTACCACAGGCAAGACGCATTTAGCCCGGCACAGCAATCACGCGGAGCGGACAAACAGGACAGCACACGGCCGACAGGCGCACGGGCGAAACATCGGTCTTCCACGCAACTCTCCATGGACCACAGTGGCAGGCTTCAAGATATGGAACCCAAGTGGAGCGAGAACGAAGCGAGATGCGAGATGAGGGAGCAGCTGAGCTGCGAGGAGCAAGTTCCGGGCAGACATGAGACGTGATCCTGCGGGATTGTGAGCTCTTCACACCGCTAAATATCTGAGGATGGGGAGATACCCCGAGGCCTCGGGGATGACTTGCCTTTGCGAGCGATCTGGCTGGAAAACCTGCGACTGATGGGGCTGGGAAGGCGATGTATAGATGAGCGCACAGACCACTTCTGGCTGGAAAGTCTCAGACCAACAGCAGACATATCAGGGAGACATGATTGGCATGTTAGCGGGCCTGAGTGTGGATGACGAGCCGCGTAAGGAGGCGAGACGGTGACCCACGTCTTTTGATTCCGGTTCACCACCATGAGTCCAAGAGATAAGATTTAGATTGGGATAAGATCAAGATGAGATCTTCGACTCATCTTAGACGGAAGAATCATTTAGGCGAGGCGGAAGAACACGGGACACGTCGGGTGCATCCGCGTCAAACAGACGCTCACAGCGCCAGGCATGGGAGGCGAATGGCGCAATGAGAGCAGAGCACGGAGATGACGGCGTTAGAACTCTTTCCAATTCAACGCTCTCGCGCACAGTTGCTAACGCACCCGGCGAATGTGGGAGGCCGTGCTTATCTAGAGTTTGTGGTCGTCCTGCGACTGAATTGCGGGACGCACGGGCGATGTAGTAACAGAACTGCAGGGAAGACGCGGGCAGGCGATAGGTGGCGAGCTGCGTGGCGGCGAGGACGGACTTGGCGATGCAATTGGGTGATGGTGGTGCCAAAGCCAGACGGGGAGTGAGACCCATACGAAGTCAGACAAATAGAACTCATAGAAGACGCTGTTACACGCATGAGAGCCTATGATAAGCAAGCCTGTCGAAGTGACCGGGGGAAACTGGAGTTACTGCTGTGGGCGAACGACGTGACCGCATCATGGATTGCGTTGCGCTTACGACTGGTTCGGACCCAGAATCGGAGAGACAGTGGACGAGAGGGTGAGCCAAGCCAGCGAAGAACTTGTGGCGAGCAGAGGTGGATCGGGAGAAGCAGTTAATGACCGATTGTGATGCAGGAAGGAGTCCGACGATGCACGGGGGCTAAGCTGCAACAGGAAGGGTTGTTGGGCGTGTGCGGGTCGGAGAGAACGAGGACTCGGAAGGAGGACGAGAAGGAGGAAGAGTTAGTCGGACGCTGTAGAGAGATCTGAATGGCAGGGCGAGGCTGGACGAGACGAAGCTCGGAAGACGGCACGGAGGCAAATGGGGCACGGGCGCTAACTGGAGCCGATCGGATGCCAGAAAAGGCGAAGAGCTTAGTCAGCAGGTGCCAAATTTCGGACGGGGGCACGGAGACAACTCTGTCACGAACCGCTACGAGGCCCTGAGGGGGCTCTGCTCTCAGAAAAAACGTCTCCAAGATGAATCTTCTCATCTGCTAACACGCGCTGTCCTGAAGGTTCCCGCTCTATCGCTGTTACATTAGCTGGACGGGGTACGACCGCTCGCGCCACTCGCCAATCGCTAGCTATATACCCTCTCGCTTATCCCATCTCTCCCCCTCGTGTCACTCCCAATCTTCCAGCGAGCTCTAACTCTACCTTATCCTCCCAGCAACATGCCCCCGAGCTACAGTCCCTGTCCCAGGCCCTGCCTCAAACGCCCCTCCCAAGATCGCTGCGCCTCACCCTTGTCTCCCCGCGACGAATCCACCCAGCTGCTCGCCATCGACCCCGGCATCCTCCACCCCCTCGTCCACTTCGCACCCTCCACAGAGCTCGCCAGCACGCACTCCGCGTACTCTGCAGCCGTCTACGACCGCTCTCCCATCGTCGTCCTTCCCAATCGCTGCGCCCTCCCCGAGCGCGGCTGCCCCGGCCGCACCTACAACGTCGGTGACGGCACAGCCCCCAGCACCTCGCGCCAGCGTCAGCGCAGCCCCGCCGCGCGCCATCGCCATCCCCGCGCCAAGGACCTCGACCTCCCCGAGGACGAGGACGACGATGATTTGACACCGCGCACCTCCCCGCTCGCCCACGCCTACGCGCTCCCGCCACTCGTGCCCGACCTCTCCTCCGAGTCCGACGAGTCCGACGCCGCCCCCGGCGAGCACGACCGTGCGCTCATGTTCGGTACGCACCGTGCTCTGCGCACTGTCGCTCCCCCGCTTACACCCCCGCAGCGCAGTACGCGATGACCCAGCGCTCGTTCGCCGGCGCGGGCGAGCTCGCGCAGGGCATGTCCGCGATGTACATCAACACCGCCAAGCCCTCCGCGCTCTCCTTCCTCCCGCACCCGCCCTCGCCGCGTCGCGCGCACTCGCCCACGCCGCCGTCGCGCGAGGACGAGCACGACCGCCGCCGCCATCCTCCGTCCGCGTCCGCGTCGTCAATGTCGAGACGCAAGTCGAAGAGCGGCGAGAATCGCAGTCCGGAGAGTCCCGCGCGGGCGCGGTATAAGGCGTTCTCGGAAAAGAGCGCGCTCGGCGGCGGGTTCGGCGTCGGGGACCTCGGCTGCTTGGGCGGCTTCTGACCCGCGACGCCCACGACCATTGACGAGGATGCGATCATAACCCAGTAAAGAACTAACCGGCACACGGACGCACTCACCGGCTGTACACACTACGATATATCCCCGCACGTATACCTCGCACACATCCGCAATCCCACTGCCCCATCCCTCCACGCACGTCCTTCTCCGCGCCAAGCGGCTCTTAATTATCCGATTCCACTATTCTTCTGCGTAATGTCTTCTCGCCCTTGGCTGCCTCTTTTAACTCTATTCATCCATCCAGCACCACCCCCCGAGCTTCTATTATATTCTTTATCGACTCGTGTGGGTCATTTATGTCCTTTTTTTCCTTTTTTAACCAGTTGTACATTTGGTCTTCCCCGTCGCGTCCGCGCTCGCGGGATTGCGCCGACGCTCGTTCGTGTGCATGCTTCGGTACGGTGCGATGGCAATATACTCTTTTTTTACCCTGCAGGTCAAGCTGGCGTGAGTCGCGACGTCGGCGCCGCAATCGACTGCCGTGATGCCCCGCACCGCGTGCTTAGCGTGCGCTGGCGCGGCGAAGGGCGCCGGTGGGCAGTGCAACCCGCATCATACACACCCAACCACCTCAGTGCCTCACACCCAAGGCCCGACACGACCCCGGCTAACCGCCGCCTACAATTTGTTGGACGGTACGGACAGACGCGTCCGCTCTCGCAGGCTCGCAGCTCGATGTCACTGAAGGGTTACGACTGTGACAGTAGTAGTGGCTTCGGGCACGGATCAGGCACCGAGCGCGTCCTCCCCCCATTAACGCATACGACGGACCCAGCGGCCCGGGGGCCTTCTCGCGCGGAGAAGTCGATGACGCTGAAATGGGCCGGACGGGGAGACACCGTGACCGCGCACACGTGCTTTCGCAGGCTACCTTGCAATTGCGCTCGGGGCGTCCATCGATTTCCTGCCGTTGGCGGATGCGGAAGGTGGAGTGAGGGGGTAGTGTGTTAGTCGTTCTCCGAGATGCGCGCGCGCTCTAGTCAGAATGTCTGACTGGCCAGCCTATCCCTGGGGCTGATCATGAGTCTGCTCCGCGCGGTCGCTCGCTGGGAACGCGTGAGCCTCCGGGCCAGCACTTGCATGGACGCCGACGTCTGTGTGGCGATCGGCGACCGTGATGGCCGTTCTCGATGTGCGGAATGAGTGGTTGGCCAAGGACGGATGAGCACGAATCCGGGCCCCCTCGGCGCAGCCAACTTCGTGCGGGCGACCCCATCTGTACGCAGGCCAGCTGCCATCGATTGCAGCCAGTCCGAGTATACCGACCGGGCGAGGAGGCTGTCCCAATTTTGTCTACGCGAAGCCAGTCCGGATGCACGATCGAAAGAAGTCCGGGAACCCACCCACAGGGGGGGTACGTCTTCCCTACTCGAGCTCGAGGGATCCCCAGGCGAATACGACGAAGTTACATGTGCGGGCGGTCCCAGTCCAAACGCAGCACGGTCGATCCTCGAGCAAAGTCCGAGAACCGACCGGGCGACCGTATCGTCTGACTGGTGGTTCCGACGACGGCCAAGTTCAGCACGATCGACGGAAGTCGACAAAGCTTCCCTCAGGAACGAACGATGCTTTAGTAGTTGCCAGAAGACTACAAAGGACGTTCGGCCAATCATAACGGCGGGCCTCGGCCCGCGTTCGCGTTCGCGTGGCGTGAGCCGCCCGCAAATAACAATTCTGAGTTCTGAGGAGAAATTCGCCAAGAAGCGTCTATCGCTCTGAATTCAGGTGGAATAATACAACGAAGCTTACTGTATGCGGAGGCTCTCCCAGGTTAAAGGAACGGCTGATCAAGCCAAGCCCGAGTACTGGCCGAGCATAGCCTATCCATACGAGTCGGACGGAATAAACCGATTACTGTGCCTGATTCACGGGAAGGGCCATCCCCCCACCAGGATCGCTATCGTATTGCGTCTCAAACACGTCCCTGCACCTCGTCACGACTCTCAAGCGACATCGCACGCTGCGCAGGAACGCCATGCAGCCGACAAGAACGTCCGCAGAGTCCTTGTTCCATGGGTCCGACCTCCACGTGGACGCGGAACGGCGCCCCTCGACGGTGAGCGTGACGGTAAGCGGCCGCCTCGCGTTGCTGCGAGGCGCGCAAGGCGCGCGAGCTCCGCGTCGACGTCCGCGTGGAAGTACGCGGGATCGAACACGGGCACGTGGATGTCGATGCGCTCCAGGTGGGTGTGCGCCTCCCCGAGGCGCAACAGCGCAACGGGCATGGCGTCTGACACGCCCCCGATCTGGAGTTCCGTGTACACACGCAAGCGCACAGAGGTGAGCAGCGTGCAGTGGGAGAGATCCAGGGTCGTGTGCCTGACGGGTTTGGAGTATATCTCCAGGCTGAGCTGCAGTGTGAGGTCTTCGAGGGTGTGGGCGGCTGCGTCTATCAGGCGTTGCTCGAGATCGAACGCGGCGGAGAGACGCCATGGCACCTTGAGCGAGCGTGCGCGCAGCACTATCGGGGTCTCCATGGGCCATGTCACGCCAGCTAACTGGACGATCTTCCATGCGAGGCGATTGATAAGTAGATTCACAGGGCTGGTTTCTTTCGCCGTGCCATGGTCGATTTTGCAGCAGCACAGATGAAGCGTGGTGAGATCGGTGCAAGCGGTGAGCAGCTGAGCGTATACTGGAAGAGAAAAGTCGCACAATCTCAGACGCAGAGTGTGCACCTTCGGGAGGAGAGTGAATGCGGACGGTTCGCCGTCCCGCCACCACGAGCGAGTCGTCCCATCCCGGATACTCAGCGTGGAGACCCGTCGAGCAACCGCAAGATCCGCAGAAGGATCCCGTCATGGCTTAGATCGTAGACCTCCAGATAGTGCACGTACTGAGGGGTGTGAGGGGAACCTCGAAGCAGTTCTTCCAGTGTGCCACAGCTCATCCATGTGAGGCGGACAGCGTGGAAGAGGTGTATGCGAGTCCGCGTACATCACGCGCTGCATGTTCGACCGCACGCGCAGAGAGCTCTGCGGTTGTCCCAGAGGTGGTCGACGATGTCGTCGCATATCTCAAGAGGCAGGTGTAGCCTTCGCGCTGTGACATCCATACCAATATTAATACGGCTCACGGCCAACAGGAAATCTGCCCTGACTGAATCTGAAAGACAGAACAATGAGCATCTCACTGATTTTTTGAACCCGGATCACACCTAGAGCAGAGAACGACGACTGTACGTCAAAGGGGATGAGGTAGGTATGCGATGAGGAAGGACAATTGCAATGGAGGAACCTACTGCGCCACCGGCATCACCGACCTCACGAATTTGGAAGGTGTAATAATCGTTCTCTCCTTCCGGCAATGGGGACATCTTAAAGAAACACATATGCATGATCCATGTTTCAAGGAGATAAGTAGGAATCTTTCTGAAATACGTGGTCAGCGGGGTTGCCCTGAACTGTAAAACTTCGATTCTGCGAAAGAGCCACGAAGAGTCCAAGGCTAGTCCAAAACGAACCCCAGTAGAATGATGCGGTGCACGCATGTTCTTTTCCCTACGCCTATCATTGGCGCCCCCAGCGACCGTACGTGCTCTGCAGGTACGTACAGGGACAAAGTAGACACTTATAAATCCGATCTTCCGCAACACCTCTTCTGCTGGCTGGCTGGCTAAATCAGATGACGTTCATGATAACGGATAACGTACATATATTGAGAGTGTCAGGAGGAAACCAGTGATAGCATGTAAGAGTAGACAATAAACAACCTCAAGTTGAACATCTCTAACGAGTGAAGGTATCTTGACATAACGCCTCCATCAAGTCGTTGGATTCCAAACAATCGCACCTCCCTCCTCTAGTACTACCTTTGTGTCCGCATTATACGGATGCAGTTCCGTCACTTCTTGTACAGTGTCGCGATATCCCACAGGTCCGCCGCTATCAACGTAGACAGAGTACGTGATCGCACTCAAATGACCTTCGCCCTGTTATGCATGAGGTCAAGAGTATCATAATATCCATCAAAATCTCGAACACGAGTAATGAGATTGAATACACACCAAGTAGTAACAAGGAAGATAAGTGCGCAAACCATAGACCACAAACGGGCCTGCAAAGACGCCCTTCTGTGGATCAAATGTGCCTCAGACCACTGGGGAGGAACATTCATATGATATGGCTGTACCAATAACGACCACCTCTCTATGTGGCCAAAGATATCCAGACTGGTTGGTTTATAACCGGGCACTTGAATTTCGCCAAGATATGGTATGTATTGATTGGTCACTGTACCTACACGAACGGTGTACCTCTGTACGTCAACGCCGACCTGCGAAATATGAAACTGCAAGGATAAGGAGTACACGCAATAGAAGCACATACTGGTAATCGCAAAACGACCTCGCGCTCTACTTCTCCTTCCACCCAGTCCGTCCACGCCGGTAGCCCATTTTGCATGGACATCGAGCGCACGAAACAACGTGAACCTGGCTAACAAAACATTGAACGCTGTATGGCAAGAACTCTCTGATGTGAAACATACCTTCATTCTCGGGTATTGATTTTGCGCTGGTGGGCCGGGCAGAGGAAGGGTAAGCGACGGGAATAGTGAGTTGGCATTAATCGCTGTGGCGGAATCACGTATCGAAAAGCTCGGGGTATCATCCAAGGTTCTCAAGCACGGGTCGTAAAACGAACTCGTAAGTAATAGCTCGGAGCCCTCAGACATTGGTGGAGACAAAGATGTCAAGCCAGGACAATCAACTTGCCCTATATATATGTGCCTTCTGTGAAAAAGGATCGAGATAATGAAAGCAACTCGACCCACGTGAAATGCATACGTCAAGCCAACCAAAGCACAGCTTTGTGGCAACGAACCGTCGACAACATCCCATCTTCACTTTGCCTAGCGATTCACAGGACCGTCGTTCCGATCAACCAAGATTATCTCATAAAGTAGAGGGAACGAGAAGTACTACTGCAAGGACCATGTAGAGATCCAACGCCTTTTCATTGACGAATTATTGCTCCAGTTTTGCGTCACCACCATATTTCTCCAGTGCCGATGTTGTTTCTGAATAGAAGCTGTAAATCACATCCCGAAGAATACTCGAGGTCAATTCCACTTACTAGGTCGACGATAGCTCACTTTCTTGCTCAACACTGACTTGTGGGACTGGGAAAGGCGGCCCCAAGGCGAACAAATCCCAAGGCAACTTGGGCGCTCTCGCGAGGCGTCACATATTCACGTGCTCACGTCACAAACACAGATAGTAACAGTACATTGCACAAAGTATGGTAATATCGCAACATACAGTGAACATAAAACGAGAGCAAAATATAGCATAAGATACGTAGATGCGTCAAAAAGTACACTGCGCTCATCAGATTATCCCACCAGACGGAAGCGCACCACAATCCTTTGCCCAGGAAAGAACTTGTGCGTCCGGTCCCATGAGACAGCGATCTCCGCCTCGCCAACCATCCGCTTCACCAACAGTCCCGACATCTCCGTAGGTCCTGCTCCTCCTGATGAGGGTGCCTCGGCTTGCGTCACTGGGACCTGGACTTCATGCAAGCACCCAAAGCGGGTGACTACGCTGTAGTCGGGTCCTCTGAAGATACCAGCCCGCCTGGAAAAGGGTTGCGCAACCGATATTAGCCAAACGAGGTGGTCGCAATATTTTTACACCTACTGAAAATCCATGCCAACAGCCGCTTGAATCTCACCGACGACGCCCTGCACGAGAGCGTCCACAATGCCCCCAGCAGGATCCGCGACGACAGAGTACTCGCCATCAAAACCAAAAAAAGTAGGATTCTCTTGAGCGTGACTGTGAAATTTGAACCGGAGATACTGTATTTGCCCCAGCATAAAAGTATGGAAGCGTAGTCGAAGCGCGTCAAGAAGTGCGGTAAGATGCTGATACTGTGTCTGAAAAAACTTTAGCACCTGACTCCAAGGAGGTAAGAGACAGGCGTACCGCTCGCTCTGTAACGTGATGTGGCGTGTCAATGGAAGTTCTATGTCGCTTTCTCTTGCACTCACCGGCAAGACCATCAGATGACTATTATCAGTAATAGTGGACAACAAAAGTAGCTTGTCAGCAATGAAACCGACACGGCATTGTTAACATACTTGGTCATTCTTGGTGTCGTTCCCCGTATACACCCGCTTGTGGTAGTGTGATCGGCGAGCCCGTTCTTGTTCGCGTTCACCAACGCCCGAACCCGACAGCGATGCAACGTTACTGTTGTCGATGTCCAGCAGTCGCAACTTGCGCCGTCGCTCTCGCTCGCGCGCCCGAGTCCTGCACGGCTCGCACATCTTCCACCGATACTCCCATATGGGTGGGATAATATTGTAGCACCATCGGAGCGCACAGAGACGATGACCTGGCGGAAGCTCTGAGGGGAAAATGTGAGCAAAAGTAAGATGTCAGGATGGACAAATATTACCTGGGTTCGCAGGCGACTCTGCCTTACGCGACTTGTGGGTGCGCTCGCGACAAAGTTCACACATGTTTCGAGGTATGCCCGGCACGATAAGGTTCTGACAGGCTAAGACATGACAACGAGTATAGTAGACACGAGGTTCTGCTTTGAGTCGACGAGGTGGACGTCGATGCCGTGACTTCGTATAAGCCAGGAGCTGCAATGTATCGACGAAGTGAGACAGTCAATTAGACAATACTGTGCCGAGCTGAAGACACGAACCAGAGGTTCTTCGTCGCTTTCGTCGCTTTTGTCAGTCTCTAGTCGATCAACTTCAGACTCGTTCTCGTCCATAGAGTCTTCAAGTGGTGTGAGATCCGAGTCGTCGCTATCCCATGCGAGTACCGCGGAGGACAGCAGATCCATCGGCGAGCTCGAACTAGCTGGTGTCATGGGGCGAGGCGAAGACGTAACCGGAGGCGGAGACGACGAAATTGGTGAGGCGGCAGAAAATGGTCTCTTCTCTGGCAGAAGAGGCCCAACACTTTCGGTGAGTCCTGAACGGAGAGACTCAAGTGTTGGCTCGGAAGTGGGATCACTGACGGCGGGAAAATATTCGCGGGTATTTATACCGTCAGCGAGACCCTCTCCACGGACTGGTGTGTTTGAGGCAGGAGTTGCCTCATCGACTACCATAGCATTATCGTCCACGAGGGCGTCGGGTGTGTGATCAGGTGTGGCAGAAGATTCTGCAACTACTGCGCTAGACTGATATACCTCCGTCGATACAGGTGTTGGCTCCGTGCTCAGCGCAGGCACTGTCTCCGTCGATTGGTCCGCGGTCGTGGCGGCATCGACAATGATAGGTTTCCTAGGGGAATTGGGCTTCGATGTCGATACTGAGGATTCCTTTGGAGTCTCTATGGTTTTTATCGCAGGCCTAGGACGCGCTGGTATCCGCAGGATCAGCCGCTCGCGGACAGGAGCCGTGGGCATGCGGTCCTCAACCTTACTAGGTCTTCGTCGGTCTTTGCGCGGCTTCTCGTGAACAGGACTGGCAACTTGCTTATTCGCCAGAACCAACCTCGCCTTGACAGGACTCGCTACATGCTCCTCCGCCAGTATTGGTTTTGCCTTCACAGGACTCGTGGGCAGCTTGATCGTAAGTACCGACTTTCCTCGAGCGGGACTCGTTATTTGCATTCCCCCTGGATCTGACTTGTCTTGAATAACGGTCATCGGGCCCTTGCTCGACTTTAGGAGCAAAGAACTGGAGGGTGACTCAGGATGCTTCTTTGCAGTCGCGGTTCCCACGTCCTCCGCCCTTCGAAGCGCGTCGTCCTTCGTCGGGGTGTCGGGTTCCATCTTCTTGGCAAGACTCTCACTCTGTTTTCCCCCTTCCGACTTACTATCATCCCTATTCGACGATAAATGCACCTTCGTCGATTCGTCGTGCGCCTTCTGCGGCTGTTCTTGGGCAGTGGCGCTTGACTCGTCCCGAGCTTTCCGTGACTTAGTCGTAGAAGCATCTAAGCGAGCCTTGAGCCGCTGGAGCCCACATAATACGCATCGGCCCCACGGAGAGTCGGGCGGGACGGCGCCGGTACAGCCTGGAGTACAGCATGCGCGTTCTGCGAGCTATTGCAGAGGAGCATCAGAGTAGGTTATAAGTCGTGTCGAAGCGGCGACTGTGCAAAGGGGGCTTCGGCTTACCTTTGTGTATGTGGGAACAGGTGAGGAACGTACCAAGGGGTGACTGGCATCAGAGACATTAGTCTTCCGAGGAGCGCCTGAGCTTGTGGACATCGGCACATCTACGCGTGCCGAGGGTGCCGAGTGTACTGAAATCGTGCTCTGCTGTCCCGACAGCTTGGATCTAGCATCTGGATGAGCGAATAAAAATTTGTTGACGTCCATACGACGCTGCCAACCACAGAAGAAGGGGAATTTTAACAGCAAATAAGCGAACATTGCATACTAACGCAGGAAATGAAACGACGTACGTCTGTTGCTAATAGTTGGTGAGGATCAATTGAATCAGGGACAGCACCATGCGCAGACGAAACCTCTGAGAGTGCTTGAGAAGGGAAAGTACGCAAAGCAGGCATGCTAGGCAAGAAGGACCCGTTCGTCTGCGTCGATAAGTTAGGACTCTACCTCGGAGAAACATTGAGCGACGCGCACCGCATCGGCCAAAGTCGGGGTGAGGGTAGCACATTGCGTCTGCAAAATAATCAAAAAAGGAGCCAGGTAGAGGACGAGGAGTAAAGATATACCTTCTCCACGGGAGACTGTGCTGCTACATTCGAAAAGCCCTGCTTAGAGTTCGATGACCGTTCTCGTCTGAGCATGCACTCCGCGCATAGTGTGGATGGGTGGTTGACCGTGAGTGTCTTGCCGCACCCGAAGGTCATGCACATCCGCGGTACGGTTGGATGCAGCCTGGTATGCTTTTTCCTGACAAGTCTTTCGTGAGGGTGGCGAGGTACAGCAGGTATCGATATTGGATCGTGAGAGAGCGACGGGGTTGTGATAGGCGAGATCGCTGAGGGTGTTATAGCCGAAGTCGTTGCGGTCTGCACATTTAAAAAATGAATAATCGTGAATGAATCAGGTCGAAAACATACCGGTGAGGAAGACAGCACATCGGGCGCGACGAATTCTCCGCGAGAGTTGAGACAGAGAAATAAGGGGACACGAGGAATAACATGGCGCTGCTGGTACTGCGCCAACACGGGCCCGGCACGACGCAAAGCCTCAAGCCGGCTCACGATTGGATATGATTCCGTGTCGAGGGGATTCAGCTGCTGCCTGTAATTGCTGTTAATCAACACGTCCAGGTGCGCGGGATGCACCAGCGGAGCAGCGGCGAGAGTGAACGCGTCCGCCTCCCTGATCGCGTCAATCTCCGCTGTGGTATACGACCGCTGAGGAGCCGCGTTCTGGCTAGAGGGGCATGCCGTAGGCGCGTCGCGGGTTTTCGCGGCGGTCCTTCGCTCGTAGCATTTCTTGCACATGACGACCTGCCCTGCGTGGAAGTCGGACGGAATTTCAACTGTAATGAAGCACGACATGCACGTCGTGATCTGTACACGCATTACCATCGGTGCTGGCAGTAGCAGGAGCACATTATTCACTCACCGTCTGCGTCATTTCCCGCTGTGTCAGTCTCTGCTTCGTGGGCTCGCGACATTCCCGGCAGATCTTATATGGAGACCCCAGCTCGAGCACATTCGTGCAATACGTGCGACAACATTTCCGCCTGACACTACCAGGATTCGCGCTAGAAGCGCTAGCCTGCGCCGAATCAAACACTTGAACCGTCGCGATGTCAAACGCGTTCATGGCACGTGGGTTGGGATGGTTTGGACTGGCAGATGCTAGACGCGTCGGAAGTGGAGTGCTCATTCATGCACGCACAGAACTGCACTTGTGCAATCTCACTATCAGAACGAGTGATCACGGACAGTAAAGACCGCGAACTAATGTAACGTACTTCTGTCCCGAACTTTAACCAGCACCCTCCAGGGTTCCTCGCTTCGGAATTCTGCTTGGTAACTGACCTGAGCCGATAGGCTGGCCGAATACGGCTTATCGCTATTGCTGACGGCGGCTGGCGGTAGTGTTTCTTGAAGAGATAAAGTTCTCACAATGTTCCACGGCTATATTAGAGCGCGTTCACACTTACTGTCGACCACCTGCCATTAGCTGCAAACCGACGGAACGTCAAGCAAAGCTTACTCACAATACTGGACTGAGTGCAATGCAGTGCATCGATTCCGTGACTCCAGCAAGGACGACTCAGGTGGGCTCCCAGCACATGCGGTCAGCACGCTGTACACACTGGCAACGAGCAGCTAGCGTCGACGTGACGGTCACGAAACCGACTAAAAAAATTTGGGCAAACTCAAATTGTGAATTTGACTCCCGGCGTCTCTCTCTTTTACGCATAGCGTAATTGGTATAGATGTTCCATAGCCGCAAGTACTGCAGACTGAGATGCCGTGAGTGATCCCTACTGGCGATTTTCACCCAATCTGGCATCCACAGTAGGATCTTGCAGAGGCGGCCGAGTCAGCCTCGTCGGATGAGTCAGACCAACAGATCTATTAGGCTTCAAGTTTAGTGCTTGGCGGAAAATGGTATTCGTGTCGCGCGGTCAATCTACTCCTCCTATGACACATGCCAGTGGCATATCACTGTAGACCCACTCTACCTGCATCAACTCCCCCACCAACCAGTTACACGCCGTACTCCTCTCAAAGCAACATCTGCGATACCTGCTATTGCTCGGAGCCCATGGCGATTTGCTGATTCCTCCGGAGCCGTTGGACTGGAGCCGGGCTGAATGTGCAGCTCAGCGTCCGACGAGCCTACCACATCAGAACTCGAGTAGGTGCCAGTCTGTGCGTCATCGTCGTCTTCCGAAGAACTTGAGTCCGCGACCGATAATTGAGATACCGTTGTTCTTATTGGAGCTGGACCAAGGTACGCGAGCCTGACAAGCGGGGAATGACGCGGCGCTGGGACCTCAGTGTCTCCAGGCTGTGTGCGCTTCCCCAGGCGGATGCCACCTGCCACCCTCATTCCACGAGAGCGCCTCCAAGGGCTGTCTACGGTTGCCATGGGGATAGGTGCTGTTCTCCGAAGACTAGACTTGTCGAAGCCAGGTGACAAACGCCATGCCGGAGGCAATGGAGGGGAGAAGGGCACTCTTCCTTGATCTTCAGGTCCGGGTTCACACCTTCTGACTTCACCGTTACTTCGCTGCCGATGCAGTTCTTCTGTGGGCGGCATAGATGCTTTTGCGTTGTAATTTGTGGGAGTTGTCGTCGGAAGCACGGTTGGAAATTCGCTCCTAACATGCATGTCCACTGGCGGCGTTACGGTCGGCACGGCAGGAGACTCTCTAGTACATCTCGTCTCGGCAGCAGCGGAGGATGTTGGTAATCTGGAGACGTTGTCAGATCGTCATGACGCGTGACTTAAGACCGAAAAAACTGACAATGAAAGGGATTTTTCCATCGGTGGAAGAGGAGGGACACTTGGTAGGTGAGCGGAGTCAGGGACACTTGGCTCAGTGGCTGGTACACCGTTTTCTGGTGTAGATCTAAGCATTTCGAGAAGCATATCCACGATTTCTGGCTCGGTTGTGGCAGGGAGCATCGCTACAAGTCTGGCTCGGTCATTCTCCGCTGGCAGCTCCGTGGTCGGCGCAGCTGGGGATGTCTCCGATGGTGTGCTATCGTCGTTCTGGTGGGCAGGCGATGCGTCGGGAAACTGTCCGTGCACGGCCATCCCAGCCCCAACCTGTGAATAGTGAGACCGAGATCTACATGGTAGGTGATCAGCTTTACATAACAAGAACAAAAATCCGACGGCAAGCTCACGATGAAGACGAATCGTTGCTTGCGGACTTGTCATTGAAGCGTGTCGATGATTCCACCATATTGCCTCTATCGACGGCTTTCCCTTTGTCGATCTTGGTCGGTGGATCGCCGTGGCCTCCTTCGTTGTTAGGTTTTCCTTCCTTGACCCATTCTCCAGCACGGAACTCGTGCACATCGTACACATCCTCATGACGCCAGCAACCCGTTCCGTCTTCGTCTTCCATCGCGGCCTTGACCTGTCCCGGATACTTCTTATTCTCTGACGTGCTGGCTATATAAGAGCCATCGTACATTCCCCGTGCGGCGGTGGCAGGCGTCTTGGTGAGTATCTCCGTCGACGCATCATTCCGCGCGCTCAATAAATTTGCCACTACTGTCGAAAAGTCCTGGGCCATTGGTTCGGTCCGCCTATTACTTTCCGGCAGCCCATCGTCATTTCCCTTGCGGCGATTAACGTCTTTCTGTGCCTCGGCCATATCCATATGTTCATCGCCACCAGCTTGGTCTTGCTGATCGCTTTCTTCCTCCTCAACAGTCTCTTCGTCGGGTGGGTTTCCCACCTGGCTCCACTCAATGGCCTCTATCTTCTCAACGTATAGTGCCTGATCTTCGTCTTCCTGGAAATGAGCCCTCCAGAATGCGCCGTCCTGGTCAGCATAATCCATGATGTAGGTATCATAATAGCAAACTTCGGCCCCGTGGAATTGGCCAGAGCCCTGCACCATGATTCTAATTGCATTGCCAAGACTGGCAGAGCTGACTGGATGTCCTTGTTGTGCAGTAGTAGATACTGGCTCCGTCGCCTTCACATCCTGCTGCGATTTGGATGAATGCATCACTACATTGGGAAAATCTTTGACTGCATCCGTGACTTTGTCTCGCAAGGCTCGCGGTATCGCCAAAGTCTCTGTGTCCTGCTCTTTCATAGTAATGTCCTGAGTTTCCTTAGCAATGTTCTGGGTATACTTATCCTGGGTATTTCTAGCGATATCCTGGGTATTCTTAGCAGCGTCTTGGGTATTCTTCGCAGCTACAATGTTCAGTGGAGGTCGCAAAGTAGCTGCTGAGGGGATGGACGCTGCCTCACGTGAATCCATAATGACATCCTCATCCGCGTTATTCAGCCCACGAACTGGCATTGCGGGAGAGACTTCAGCGGAAGACATTTCGACATCCTGCGAAATCCTACGCGCTCGCATAGGCAGCCTTCCGCCATGGTCAAGCTCTGTCCATCCTAGAGCCCTCTGCACAGCAAGGGGCATCCCGTGCAGCACGACCGCGCGGCCGTTGCGCCACCATCCTTCTGAAACGACGGCACTTAAGCGCTCGATGCGGCGCTCGCTATATCGTGGTATGCTGCGTGCTGCCTCCCTACGTACTTCCCGTCGCACATGTTGGGTGACCACCATGAGGCGCCTGGCTTCAGGTGCACTCTGCTCTGTGGGACCTGAAGTGCGACGGTGGCTGTGGAGGGACAATGGTAGCCTGCGTCGAGAACGGAGAATGCTGGAGAGAACAAGTGGTCTATAGGGCCCGCGCGAATTGTGGTTCGTCCTCCCCACAGTGTGCGGAGGGCTGGGCGCGGGGACTGCGCCATAGGCCCAACTGTGCGGCGTAAATGGGTTAGGTCCCATGTTGAATGTGAATGCCGTGGATAGTAGTGGAATGGGTATCTGGGTATTCGTCCACGGAAGGGTATCGACTGATGGTGAATAATTTACCTGGTTCCGTACAGGTGGAACCTGGGAGGAATATATGAGTTATGCTCTGAATAATATCACGACTATGCACACCAGCAATGGTGGTGGTTGGATGCTGATCTCCGGACGTAGACCGAACGATGTCGGATGATCTGCCTGCATTGGTACATAAGAAACCTAGAGCAATATGTTATATATAATCATCGTGATGTCTCCCACTGTACACACCGGCGGCGCCTCAGACTGTGATACCTGTAGTTGGGTGTTGAGCCGCGGTGGTCCGTCGACCGATGCTGTATAGTTCCTCAGCTTGATTACACTTAGAACCTGCCGACGATGTATCAGATACACCCATAATGATTTCTCCAAATGCACACACCGGCGCCTTGCATGGATCTGCCTCCATAAGGGCGTCGAACCGTGGATGTACATCTACTGGTGCGGAAGGAATACCTGGCTGAACCTGTACACTCGGAACCTACGGGAAAACATGTGACCATTGTCATAAATTATACCGCTACCGCACACACCTGGCGCACTGCAAGCATCTGGGCACTGGGTGGTGAAGTTATGCCTACTGACGCTGGCTTTGCCCCCTCATCCGTGACCTGTAAGACATATGTCAGTGCTCTTTAGAATAATACTTTGGTCAAACATACCTGAGATCTTCCGGTCACAGGTGACCTATCCTGTAAGAACCGTCTCTGAGAATTGAGGAGTATTAAATTTTGGAAACAATTTAGCAATCCACACATACAGTCAGGGGCGAAGATGGCGATTGGCTGCGCGACGCTCCATTATCCGTCGCAGCCTTAGAGGCAGCCAACCGCAAGGATAAGTCTTCTAGCCTTTCTGCTGGTGGCCCATTCTCTGCCGCAAGGCCCGAGACACTCGTCGCCATCTTTCTTTCCTCTTTACCTTCGGAACGCGAAGGTCTCTCATCCGGGAGACCCACAGTTGGCAACAAGCGCCCAGCAGGAGGTACATTGCCCTTAGGGAGCGATGCCGAACGTAACACGGGTGTACTAAGAACTGTGTCGGTATGTGGGTGAAGGTCTGGGCTGGTTAAACGCCCAAAGACTGGAGGACTTTCAGGCGGCGGCGGCGTCGCCAGCAGTGGTGGCATGGGGGTCCTCACCGCCTGGTTCAATATTTCCCGCCGACAGGATGGGGACGGCCCAGTCTCGTGGCGTAACTCTGCCAGCCTCGTTTCTGAAGTGCCCGGCAATAGTGGCGAGCTCTTGTGAGCATCGCGTGAACTGCTGGGTTGTGGTACAGAAGTTCGGGGTTTGCGCAGCGGCCCAACTGACCGCAAGAAGCGCCCTCTTAGTGTCAGAGGTTCAGAACTGGCGCGACGAGATTCGAGGGAGCTCTTTTGAGGCTCGCCGATGATTGTTGGTCCATCACCGAGTCTGACCGTGCGAGTCTTCTTCTTGCCGGACTTCAGAACTCCGTTACGTAGCACAGAACGCAGGTCACGAGCTCTACTGTTTACATGAGCATGAATTAAAAGCAGAGATGTGCAGCTCCACATACACTTTCGCCGATCGCGACGGTCCAACACCTGACGTTTCCACAGCGGACGCAATGCGCTTTGCCAGCTTAGACTTAGTGGGCTTCAATATTTCCCTGTCATTCATGTAAATGCCTATAGATAAGATGATGGCGTAGAGCTAACCGAAGAGAGGAACCGTATTGCTTGCGCGATATATCGGCGGTGGCGTTCTTTGTGTCCATGATTGCCGAAAAATCAGCTTTGCAGATGAGAGAGAACATATCAACGCCTGAGCATAAGTAAATATGAAGATACATACAAGGGTAAGTTATAGGGTGGAAGTAGTCGTATCAAAGGAAGACGCAAGCCTCTTCGTGCAAGTGGCGCAGAACAGGTTTCAGTCGAAGTCGCCATTTATTTGGTGGATCCAGTGCGACAAATGCGGCGAACAATGGGATGAATAAACAGCCATGACATATCGATGCCATGCAACGAGGCTGTGTAGTAACAGATATAACGTAGCGGCGCTCAGGCGTCGAGTAGGAAAGAACCCCCGATTCCCTAATTAAGATCTGCCTCACACTTGCCGCGCCGCGTCGCGGCCACGTGATCAACGCGCGAAATCAACCACCACGTGGGATTATGTAAGGTGGCTAACACGTCTCAGCCACGACCTTCACTTCACATTTATTCTTTCTTTCCACGACATCGACGGCGTTAGGCCTGACAAAAGATGTCTGCTCCGTTATACATGGCCATGGCTCCCCCTCGTCGACACCCCCTCTCCAACCACCAAGCGGTCAACCATGCCGTCGTCAACCATCGTCAAACCCCTCCCGGATCTCCACCAAAACTGCAGCCAAAGCAGCCGCCTTCTCCTCCTTTACCCAGGCAGAATGCGAAGGTGACACCACCTTCTCCGCCGAAGATTATCGCCGACAAGACCGGTACGCTGCAATTCCTTCGGGTCGGAATGTTGGGAGAAGTGAGTGGCTCTTTGATTCGACTCGCGTTCGGTCTTTCCTTTTCCCGGTCGCACGCTCGTTTTCACTCAGACTCGTCGTTCTTGAAGCGTCACTGGCCAGTCGGCCAAAGTCTGCCATTTGTACATTGGCGCAGGTCAGACATTTCGCCGAGATTTGACTCAGTGTCAATGCGCGACCGGCGAGTTGTCCTCATCTTTGAAATATCAAGCACCGTTCGAGCACATATTGCAAGTGACCCTCGTAACCCTCGGCCAGTCGCGCATTGCCGGTGGTCAAGTTAAACGACGTCTGACCAGTCTTGGCCAAGTATGTACATTGGTAGCGGGTCTTTCCATGTGATCGACCAAGCGATGAAGTGGCATTCGTCCGCCAACTTCTTCGTAGTGCGAAACGGTTGTGCCACTAAGCCTGCGGTGTTGGCTGCCTCGCGGGTCTATCTCGTGTTGCAGCTGGGGAGACGCGAGTTGACTGTACCTTTCGAGTCGCGACGCACAAGCGGAATGTGCGTGTCTGGCGTGTGAGCACACATAATTTTGGCGTCGGAGTAGATGTTCACGTCGGCGGGGCCTCCTGTTCGTTTTGCGCCCCTCGATTTGAGGCGCTCGGCGAACAGGCGTTCACCACGAGGCGGAACACGGTGGGCGGCTTGATCTCACTAGCACGCCTTGTCTCTCCATCAGAGCGGAGAACTCCGTCGCGAGGGGAACACATTGTGGGGTATTGTCGTGTGCCTTGCATTTCTGCTAGCAGATTCTGCATTTTGTTCTCGACATTCACGCAGTCATCTCCAAATAGATGTATTAACCTGTGCATTCTCCTCGCAGGGAGGCTTCGCTCGCGTCTACGAAGTACAAGACTCTCGCGGAAGTCGCGTCGCCTGCAAAGTCGTAACAAAGTCCTCTCTGAAGACCAAGAAAGCCAAGACGAAAGTAAGCCTATCGTTCGCTTCCGCCTTTCTCTTCTGATCGGCTTGCAGTTATACGCGGAGATCAAGATCCACCGGGCGCTGGACCACCCGAACATCGTGCGGTTCCAGGAATGCTTCGAGGACGAGGAGAACGTGTACATGACGCTGGAGCTCTGCCACAACGGGTCGCTGATGGACATGCTGCGGAGTCGGCGCCGATTCACGGAGCCGGAAGCGCGTTTTTTCATGGTGCAACTGATTGGGGCATGCCACTACATGCACACGCACCAGGTGATCCACCGGGACTTGAAGCTGGGGAACATCTTTCTGGACCGGGCGATGAACGTCAAGGTGGGGGACTTTGGGCTGGCGGCGCTGATCGAGAACCCCGGGGAGAGGAAGAAGACGATCTGCGGGACGCCGAACTACATCGCGCCCGAGGTGCTGTTCGACACGGCGAACGGGCACAGCTTCGAGGTGGACACGTGGTCGATCGGAGTGATACTGTACACGCTCGTCGTGGGACGTCCGCCGTTCCAGACGAAGGACGTCAAGGCGATCTACAAGTGAGTCGGTGCGTGTATCGCGTCAGTGGCTACTGACGTTACGGTCAAACAGGAGGATCCGGGACAACGAGTACGAGTTCCCAGCGGATCGCGCAGTGTCGCGGCAGGTGCAGGAGCTGGTGCAGCTGATCCTGACGCCAGATCCGCAACAACGGCCGACGCTGCACGAGATCGTGGACCACACGTTCTTCACGACGGGCGTCGTCCCGAGCTTTATCCCCGCCACGGCACACGACGCACCGCCCGACTTCAAGCACGTCACGCGTGGGATGTCCCAGGCGAATCTCGCGCGTCTGCGGCGTCAGGCGCTTCTGGATGATGACCAGATAACGAGCATCTCCGTTCCTGCTGCACCGCAGGCGAGCGCGAGCGTCAACAACGTCGGTGCGCCTAGCAAGCTCAAGGGCGTTACGTCGAGCCTCGCGCAGCAGGAGAAGGAGTTCCAGAAGGCGGTACAGCCCGGTAGCCCGATCTCTGCGCTGCTCAGCTCGGCGCGCCAGCCTCTCCTTGTCGCAGGGCGGGGAGAGCAGCCGTTCAGGAAGTTACAGTCGACGAAAGAGACGAGGTCTCCCGCACGGCCGCGTCTCGGGCCAGGGGGCCTGCACAACATTGTGGAGGAACGGGAAGAAGGCGTGGCAGGCGCGAGGCAGGAGGAGATGCGGAGGAAGGAGCTGGAGTCGCAGAAGGCTCGGATCGTGGCGCAGATGGTGCCAGGTACGACGGGTTCGGCCCTGGGCGTGGAGGATCAGGAGAACATGCCACCGCCTGCGGCGCGTGGTGAACACAAGGTTAGAGAGCGGTTGAAAGAGAGGGACATCATAATGCGGGAAGAGCCCGTGGTGGGTGCAGCTCTTCCAATGTCGAGCAGTCTTCCTCCTCTCAAGCAGAACGGCTTCGACGCTGCGGCACAGACGCTCACAGCCGCATTTGATGCGAAGAACGCCGGAAGACTATTCAGAGATCCGCGAGAGGACGCAAATCTACCAGACCCGAAGGTGTTCATCGTATCTTGGGTGGATTATTGCAACAAGTACGGGATGGGCTACGCCCTAACCGATGGCTCAGTGGGTGTGCACTTCAACGACAGCACTACTGTTGTTCTTTCTCCCGATAAACAGTGCGTTCATCTCGGATGCTATGACCGGACGGTGCTGACCTTTGATCGCATAGTCATTTTGATTACATCTCGTCCAGGCGGCAGGGATCGGTATATGTGCGGAAGAATTACACGGTATCCGAATACCCGGAAGACCTCAAGAGCAAGGTGTACCTGCTGAAGCACTTCGAACGTTACATCATGGACAGGCTCTACGGCGAGTATGATTACACATTCGAAGATCTACAGCGAGCGAAGGGCATGGACTTCGTACAGAAGTACCTCCGCATGAAGCACGTTATCGTGTTCAAGATGAGTCACGATGTCTTACAGGTCGATATCTCCTTTTGCGGTATCGTCGTTGTACTCACGGACTCTTGGCAGTTCAATTTCTACGATCACTCAAAAGTCATCTTGTCCTCGCAGGGCCTTCTCGTGACGCACATTGACAAGAATTACCAGATGACGCGGTGGTCGTTGAGCGAGATTATGGTCATGGCACTGCGTCCGCCTGTGTCAGATCCAGACCAATCGAAGTTCAACCAGCGGCTTATCGATAAACTCAAGTACTGCAAGGAGGTGTTAGTTTCCATCCGAAACGTCAGCGTTGGGCAGGGCGCAGGCACGAGCGCAGAAAGTGATGGTCTAGGGACCATACCAATCATGAGCACGAAGTCGTCGAAGGCCTCGTTGCGATGACATCGACCGCGCCGTGCGCGACGAAGATGCGGCAGTAGTGTCTTGTTTTCGTCTAGATATGGAGCAAGAATCATTTGATGGAGGCTGCGACGGCAGGTCGTGGCCTGAATTCTTGCGTAGCTCGGGCTTATACCCCTTTTATTTCGACACGTTAGGCGTCTGGAATGTGTCTTCTCCGTACATTGCGTGGACCGTCGATTTCATACCTATATATTTGAGATATGTACAGTTTTCACGACTCTTGTCATGTATTCACGATTGCTAATGCAGTTAAGTTACGCACCCGATTTGCATTACAATCTCGCAAGATCTGATAATGGCATCCCACACGCCCTTTTACTCACGGCGAGCCCCAAGCGAGCCCGCCGACACTCCGTCAAGTGAGTGCAGATGCCATCACATTGTGATGATCGAACGGAGAGTGGCCATGGCCATAATAGTGACGCAGCTCGGGGTATATAGCGTCAAGTTCGCGCGCGATCAGTGCAGGCTCTTGCTCAGAAGAAATCTCCTGAACACACACACATCACATGCTACGCGAGACTAAACATGTTTCCTGGTCGGCGACTTTGCGCACGTCCACGAACGAGAGGCCAAGCGATACCAAACGAGGACACTTTCGCGCGAAAGCACGCAATGTCTCCATGGTTGGCGCCGTAATGCCCGCCCTGTGAATGTAAGACAACGAGAGCCTCTCAAGCCTCGGCCAAGCAGACACCATTTCCAACGCGTCTTCATCCGCCGGCGCAGATGGCTGCGAGCATTCCAGGCATACACCGGTAAGATCGTGCACAGGGAGTAAGGTGCGGATGATGGAAACCACGTACGGGACAGATAGTGTCAGTGGCACCCTCGGGCTGGACATCAATATTGAGAGGAAAGTATCGAGTGGTGAGCCCAGCCGTGCGGTAGCCAGGAATACGTATTCACTCGTTTCGACTACCATGCCCTCTGACAAGGCCCACGAATGTCGGAATGAGATCATCTGCTGGGTGGATGCGGATATAGCGCTGGCAAAAAATGTAAATACTTCTCTACCCACTTCAAGCGGTTGACAGACCGTTAGTCCGCGCAGATTGTGGAATTCCAAGGGAGTAACATGCTCTTCTCCTTGCACTTCTAGTTGAGCGGCCACCAAACAGGATGAGGAATTATACTCTTGGCAGTGCAGTGAGAACTTGCAAAGTAATGTAGTCAAAGGCCCCACGGACATAAAGTTCGCGTAAATGAGTGCAACGAGTCGACAGAGGGAGCGCGAGATCGGTCGTCCTAAATCAGCCAGCAGGAACACCTCCAAAGCCGGTGTTTTGATAGGTAGAAGGCGGACCAATAATTCGAGCACAACGTCAGCATTCGTTTGTATCGGAATCCCGAGGAAGCGAATGTCGACACTCCGACGTCGGATAGCTAGGGTGACATCAGTGATAGCAAGGATGAGTCCACGGGTATCTCCACCTGCGACCAGCGAAAGTCCTGAAGCAATGGAAATAACAGTTTTCCGCCATTCCGGGGGTCGAGATCATATATCACCTCATGTATTCCGCTGTACTGCTCGCAGACCTCAGCGATTTTGCGTACTCGAAGAGTGTAGTGGTTGAACCGCACCCGTTCCTCGGGTAAAACGCTTCCACGCAGCCGCTGGAGAATGTCAACTCACGCCCGTGAATGGATGTGACCCAGCGATCAGCACTTACATAGACTCCGGCATCGGCTTTGAATTCAGAAAACAGCTTCGACAACGGAAGGACATCAGGCAATGTCCCCCCCTCCTCCCCCACAACGTCCAAAGCAGGTTCGAAAGCTTTGCATACCCCCGCAGAAATCGCCAAACAGGTCAAATATTTGGCAGAGAATGTCATGACTGCCCAAAGCGATGTGTATATCGAATGGTGGGGACGCTCCGTGATATTTTGGCCGCGCCACTTAGGTGTTACAGTCACGGTGTTATGTAGAGACAAGTCCGGGCCGGCAATTCCCGCTGCTCGCGACGTTCAGCCGCAGCTCTGGTCAGGCTCTGGTTGAGCTCTGGCGTTCGTCCTTGCTCTTTTTATCATCTTTGCTGATCACCCAGAACAAGCTTCAACAAACGAGGGTGAGTTGTACAGATCGGGGAGCTCTCACACCACTGCATCCGCATGTTCGACGGGGCCATCCAATCGTTGCCTGCATACTGCGCATTACGGACGCCTCGAAATCGTCTCTAGGGCTAAGTCTGGGAAGCCGAGGGAAGTGGTCTGAGCATCTCTGTAAGGCAGTGCGCTCCGCATCTCGGCAACAAGTGTTTCTTTCTTCGGAGCTTGGTGGGCTGCATGATGCGCAGCCAGCGCGCAGCTCATCACACATATGGCTTGTCTTTGGCCAATCGTTTATTCTCGTCTGAATCGGCGTCTTATGCTCCTCCAACCAACTGATCAAGGAACCTGGTCGACTCGGAAACTCTCGAGCACTGACTCCACGTCATACTGGGCCAGACTGTTGGCGTCATCCAGCGCCGTCTAGCGTCTCCCACACGCAGATGGCTCTCGACTTTTTAAAACGCAGGATAGCTGTGACGGTCCGTTTCGCGGATATGATCCAGATGTCTATCCCCTATGCTGAATTGTAGGATTGACTCCGCGTGTGAGTGAAGCCTGTCCATATGATTGGCATACGTGGAGTCGTGGTTGGCGCTGATTGATACATCGCCGTGTGAGAAGTCTTCATTTCATACACCGTTCGACCTTATGGTCGTGAATCGGCACGCCCCTGCGCTCGCAGTGCACTAGATCCACATAGGCATACTTACATGGCTTCTGTTCTCTCGCGAGTTTGAGACGCCGTCGTCCGATGAACGTCCGATCCGTCTTCACTCGGTGGGTCCGTGCGACCTAGTCGGCACTTCGGCATTCACTGAGGCTATTTTCCTGTTGGTCGCTCTGACTAGACGCATTCCCAGCGTCCTGCAAGAAGGTATGTGGGATGAAAACTGGCTGCGGATTCGTCCGGAGGACGAAAATGCGGAAATTCAGTTTCCCTCTGTACCAGAGAACAAATTAATGTCCGTGTTCCTCGTGGTAGTGTTGCTGCTGAGTTGAGTTCAACTCGGTAACTCAACTCACCTCGCCTGTCGAGTTGGCCAACTCGCACCTACTCGACATCACCGAGTTGGACCAGTCCTGGCTTCTGATTGGCCCTGCAGAGCCTTACCTCACTCCAACTCATTCCACCGAATTATGGTGAGTTCGCGGCAACACCTCGTGGAAGTTACGTTACCACTAAATGGACTGTCTCGATCAAGTTTCCCCAATTTGGACCTGTCATACTTCGGCGCGGGTACCAATTAGTCGCTGGTGCTAATTACGGCAACTAGACTCGGGCTGGTAGCGACGTTGTGGCGTACTTTTCTTGGCCTTTAATTTTGTGCCCGCTCCGGTCGGAAGCTTTGGCTTGGTGACTTCATATGTCTTACGTTGTCAATCCGGTCCTCCTTCGCATTAGACGGCCGGAGTTGGAAAGGTGAAAAACAGCCAACAACTGCTTTTTTTGCAGCGTTCAGGTCCAACCTGTGTCTCTAAGACATGGCCACCCAACAACGAGAGTAATTGTCGCTCAGATTGAAGGTTTTCTATAACGATGGTCAGGTGCCGCAGAATTTAACGACGATCGTCCCGAGGGGGAGCTGTTCGCTGCGCCAAGAAAACTGATACTCGGTCCCGAGCAATCGGACTGCAATCGTTCGCCCTTTTTCTGATCTGCTTGCCCTCCACATGCGAATTTGATCCTCAAACTGTTGGGGTATTGTCCTAGTATTGTCCTGTGGTATTGTCTTTTCAATTTTTGAGATACGCATATCGAAATTCATCCATGGGGCTACTCAATGGCCGCTTTGTACGGGTGGGCACTGATATTTCGCTCAATTGCGGGTATTGGTTTCCCCGTCGGAAGGCAGGTTAGGTGCGCATCGACGGTCAAAATTTGCAGTACGTACTTCTGCTTGCTACCGCATATCAATTTCTCCCGCAATTGAGCAGGCATACGACGTACCTCAGCCGCCGTTCTGTGGCAATTCAAGGCATGAGGCTTGTGAGTTCGAATTCCAGTCTGATACACCGTGGTGAAATGTACGCCCTGTTATCAGATATCAGCATCCGCTCCCGCAAGCTACAAGGGCTGCGTATACGAGTGTCAATATCTGCACCTTGAAGCCGCGGTTCGTCCACCGTGGAAGTGTCAGGGAGTCATATCGACACCTATCGTGGACGCCGGCAGTGTAATATACAGAAATTGAACGGAAGTAATTCATGGTGCTCCCTGATGGCTCCTTGTAGGTGGTATCTAGTGCCGGGAGAAGAGCTGGATTGCAGGGGCATGCCGGTATGTCCGCACAATGAGGTCCGCACGTATATGCTGATCTACTCACCTCTCGCGGAAGCGCGATCAGATCAAGGTAAAGGTCAATTGTTCATTTTATTGTTTGCGTTTTCATCCGAATTGCGTCGATGCCATGGCCAAAGAACAGTCTTGCAGTAACTGCCGCTACGTGTGCGATTTTGCAAAGTTGGGAGTAGCAACTCGAGTAGTAGCAAGACGACCGATAATACACTGGATCGTCTGTCGTCCCGCCACCCGAGGACGCGCTGAAAGAGGGTCGACTAGCGCTCACGGATAAACGGTGATCGTGAGGCACGTTGTGCCAGATCGTGAAATGTATTGAGATCGATCAGAATGTCAAGGTGCTTGCCACATGCGCCTTCCGTCGTCGTCTGAACTCTGTAAAAAAATCTACGCAGTTCGTGCACTGGGTTCAGTGTGACGATCCTGAAGAGGTCAAGCTGCCAATGTGCGAGCAAGCAGTCAACACCGTCCCCCTCAACGTCCACGCGACCGAGAGTTCACGCGACTAAGCCCGGCTAACAAACCGGGAATTCGGAGCAGAAAGTCCACAATTATAACTACACGATGGCTTCGTTTTTACGGGGCTTCAGCCGGATGTGAATATTATGACGGAGATATCTCTCATTCGCGTACGGCAAAATGGGGATGACAATTTGTGTCGTGTGACGCACGTACGAAATTTTAGGGAACGAGCTGCGGCGGCGAGCACTCTGCACGAGGAGTCGTCGTGTTATCTGACTTCTCGCTGACGCTGTCCGTGCTGATATCGAATTGTGAGTTCAACAACAGAAAACACTGCCGGTGCCCACCGGGTACCATCGCGTTTGGAACCGGGCACTTGAGGACTGAGAGTGTGGCCGAACGATACCGACGCGCGACGCTGGGCGCAAATATTGATAAGCGGAGTCTGCATTGCCGTCTGGAGCGGATCCTCGTCGCCCGCTCGACGTAAACTGGGCGCATGCCGGAGGCTCGATGCTATCGCCCCTCTGAAGTTTGCGCCCAAGATGACTAAGCAGAAGTACTTCACCGGAACGCATTGGTCCGAGAGCCGAACCAATGGCAATATGGTTATCTAGGCTTGGGTTATACACCAAAACTTAAATTTTTAGTGCCATCAGCAGCCACAGCATACAACAAAAATTCTGAGTGGACAGAAATCTCGAAATACATACTGCGCACTTGATTCTCGAGATTTGAAGAGATTGGAGAAGGATTGACAGAATCATTGTCAGAACAAGGGTGTAGAGTTGCATGATTTCGTGCTCGAACCCTAACTCTGGGTTACACCCCTCAAAAGATGTTAATTTCCTGCAACATCTGGAACAATTGATGCAGATTTTATACATTTAGACTGAAAAATATGAGACTAAAATGAAGAAACAAGCCCGATATCCGCAACAAAAGCGTATAAACTAAAGCAGTACTATCGTTGACCCGGATATGCCAAAAGTTTGGCACTTCTGGTCCCGCCGCGCAACACCTGGCGCGATAGTCTCCGGCACCCCATATGATGTTGATATGGCACGTAGAATACAACAGGTGGGTTTTCTGTATTTTTTAGAGCAATGTTGACCATCGTAGAGAGATGCCGCTGTGTGGCACCAGCCAAGTACAGTCCTGTGATTGCGAATTTTTTGGGATCCGAGCGGGCCACACATACTTACCAAAAATTTAGAGCATCAAGAGTAGGCACACAGGCTTCTACCTCTGCAATTTTGAAGTGATCAGGTAAGAGAATAGAGCCGCAGGAAAATTTTTGGCACTTCTGGGACATTTGGCATATCCGGGTCCACGATAATAGTGTACAACTTAGATAACTGTATCTAGAAATGGCCGAAATTCGGGCGAAAACACGAAATCGACATCGGAGTCGGACATACCAGTGAGAATACACGCCCGTGTCGTCATCAACTCATGCGAGCGGACGAAGGTGAATAAGGACGTCGGACTTGGCCTTACCGCGTGCATTTACGCAGGGTAGGACTTAGGTTAGAGACGATATCAGCCCGCGGGGTGCTCGGGTTGCGAGCGATGAGCTCGCGAGTATAATGGGCTCCCCCTATTCGCGACTCCATTGATCGACGGAATGCTTGGAGCTAATGTCTGTTGTTATTTGAATCTCGACGGATGGCATCATGATGAACAAACAGCAGGTTGAGAAGTCGACGGTGCACAGAGGTTGCAGCCGCTGGTTGGCGACCGTCGAAAAGGATGGACGTCGTCGAACGGAGAGAGTATTTGGCAGATTTGTGCACGACTGTCGTCGCGGACGGGAAGGATACCTCCGTACAAACCCGAGTCGGGGAGGCGAAAGGGTTGGAGGACTTTGACGGCGCTGCAGGCTTGCGGCGGGCAGAAATAGCTCTATGGTATCGGGGACCCGCGGCTTGAGATTTTGACGGAAGTGGGAGGTGAGGTGAAATTCAGGGGACTGGGAAGCGGCAGGAGAGCGGCCGAAGGACGTGCCGAACGTTTGGTCCGGAAGGCTGACTTGTTGACGCATATTTGTTGTTTTTGATCTGACGCGGTGGTTGACACAATATAAGGCGCCGGTGCGAACTCAGTGCTTTCTATCCTTTCTTCCGTCCCTTCCACCACAGCGTAGTCGTCTCGTCCCTTCGCTCTAGCGCGCCCGGTTAGATTCCCCTAGGGTTTTCCCTAACTCTCCGTCCCTTTACCCCCCTCCATCCTCAGTTGCTCATGTCGGACCCCAATGTCGAAAAGGAGGCTGGCTCGACCAACGAGAAGGTCGAGGACCACGTCCCTATTGATCTCCCGGAGCCCGAAAAGAAAAAGAGAGTGTATAAGGAATTCGGTCAAGAAAAGGTGGATGCTACTCGTGAGTTTTCCATTTTTCCGTCGACTTGCTCCGTCGTATTGACGTTTTCGCAGATGCTAAGGTGGACATGTCCACGGTACATATTCCTAGTTGGGTTCTCTCCATTCGTATCTTCCTGACCATCGTCTTCAGATCCAATTACGGGCCGAGGACTTGTACGACAAGGAGAAAGTCGATCTTGAGACAATCATCGTGGAGGATGTATTCAAGCTCCTCCAGTGCGACGACAATGGGTTGACGACGGAGGAGGCTCAGCGCCGTCTCGAGCTGTTCGGTCCCAACAGGCTCGAGTCGGAGGAGCAGAATGCGTTCCTCCAGGTGCGCACGTTACGCTTTGATTTTCGGGCGAGCACTCATTTCCGTCATTAGTTTCTGAGTTTCATGTGGAACCCGTTGTCCTGGGTCATGGAGGCTGCCGCCTTGGTTGCCATCGCTCTTTCGAACGGTGAGCACCAGCCTCCCGACTGGCAAGATTTCGTCGGTATCGTCCTGTTGCTTTTGGTCAACTCAGCCATCGGTTTCTACGAGGAGCGTAACGCCGGTAACGCCGTGAAGGCTCTCATGGATTCTCTCGCCCCCAAGGCGAAGGTCAAGCGGGATGGTACCTGGCAGGAGATCGAGTCCGCTGGACTCGTTCCGGGTGATATGGTTTCGTTTAAGCTTGGTGACATTGTACCCGCGGATAGTCGTCTGACGGAGGCCATCAATGTCTCCATCGATCAAGCCGCTCTCACCGGCGAGTCGCTGCCTCAGAGTAAGAAGACCGGCGACCAGTGCTTTTCGTGAGTGATTGTAGTTTTGTCGTGTCGTGTGCTGCGTTGTAACCACACTTCCATTAGGGGTTCCACGTGTAAGCAGGGCGAGGCCGAAGGTGTGGTCATCTCGACCGGTCCCAACACCTTCTTCGGTCGCGCGGCGTCGCTCGTTGGCCAGGACGACGACACTACCGGACACCTGCAGAAGATTCTTGCCCAGATCGGATCATTCTGTCTTGTCGTCATTGGCATCTTCGTACTCGCCGAGATTTTCTGCTTGTACGCCGGCTTCCGTTTCCAGTACCGTCGTGGTCTCAACAACATCTTGGTGCTCTTGATCGGTGGAATCCCGATTGCGATGCCTACGGTGTTGTCGGTCACCCTCGCTGTCGGTGCTCAGCAGCTTGCGAAGTACAAGGCCATCGTTACCCGTATCACCGCGATCGAAGAACTGGCCGCCGTCACCATCTTGTGCTCCGACAAGACGGGTACCCTCACTACCAATAAGCTGACCATTGATCGAGAGACCATTCGTACCTACGGTCCTTTCTCCGCCGAGGACGTCATTCTACTGTCGTCGTACGCGTCACGCACGGAGAACCAGGACGCCATCGACACTTGCGTCGTCTTCGCTATTGGCGATCCAGCTCGCGCTCGCGCTGGTATCAAGCTCCTCGACTTCAAGCCATTCAATCCCGTCGACAAACGTACCGAGATCACGTACCGCGAGGAGTCGTCGGGCAAGCTCAAGCGTGTCACCAAGGGTATGACTGGCATCATCATCGAACTTTGCACGCGTAACAAGACGGATGATCTTGAGGCCAGGCTGGAGGCCGACGTTGAGGAGCTGGCTGGCCGTGGTCTTCGTACCCTGGCGGTCGCGTATGAGGAGGTGGATGGCGATGACCCCGAGGGTGAGGGTAACGGCTTCGAGCTCATTGGTCTACTCCCCATTTTCGACCCTCCTCGCGAGGACACAAAGCAAACCATTGACGACGCCATTGCACTCGGTGTCCGTGTCAAGATGGTTACCGGTGACCAGCTCGCCATCGCGAAGGAGACTGGCCGTCGTCTCGGTCTCGGTGACCATATGTATCCCGCTCAGGTTCTTAAGGACGGCCCCGCACCTGGTAGCAAGCATGCCTCTCTGGACCAAATGATCTTGGATGCTGACGGTTTCGCTGGGGTCTTCCCCGAGCACAAGTACGAAATCGTCAAGCGCCTCCAAGGCCTTGGCCACCTGTGCGCCATGACCGGTGACGGTGCCAATGACGCTCCCGCTTTGTCTCGCGCTAACGTCGGTATTGCTGTCGAGGGTGCCACCGACGCAGCTCGCGGTGCGGCTGACATTGTCTTGACGGAGCCCGGTTTGTCCACCATCGTCCACGCCATCCGCGGTTCGCGTGTCATTTTCCAACGTATGCGGAATTATTCGATCTATGCGTGCGCTGTCACCATTCGTATCGTGGTATGTTTCGCGATTCTCGCCTTCGCGTTCAAGTTCGACTTCCCACCGTTCATGATTCTGATCATCGCCCTTCTCAATGACGGTACCATCATGACGTTGTCTGTCGACCGTGTCCTCCCTTCGAACACTCCGGACAGTTGGAACTTGATCGAAATTTTCGCGTACGCCATCGCCTACGGTCTGTACCTCACGCTCTCGACGTAAGTGTTCATTATCCAGTCTAGTGAAATGTTAATAACCGCCTTCTGTCTTAGCATCGCTCTCGTTGCTATTTGTCTTCGCACAACATGGTTCTTCGATAAGTTCGGTGTTCACTTCATGAACAACTCCATCACGCCAGTGACCCACAACGACCCAGTCCTCCACGCGATCGTGTACCTGCAAGTCGCCATTATCTCGCAGGCTCTGATCTTCGTTACGCGGTCACATAGCTTCTTTTTCATGGAGCGCCCATCGTTTGCCCTTATGGGAGCGTTCTGTGTTGCTCAACTCGTATCCACCATCATTGCCGTGTATGGGGACTGGGGCTTCACTCAGATTCACGGTATTTCAGCCGGCTGGGTTGGTATTGTCTGGGTTTGGGTAAGTACCATCCTTTTTCGTTGCGTTCTCAGCCTAACATGTTTGCGTTAGGACATTCTCTGGTTCCTTCCCCTAGACTGGATCAAGTTCGCGATGAAGGCGACGGTTATCAAGCGCATCCGCGCTCGTCATGAACGTAAGCTTGCCGAGGAGACTCAAGCCGCTGCGTTGGCCGGTGTCCCCATCACTCGCACCCAATCTCGCGCTGCCTCTGTCCACGAATCTCTGTACTCGAACCGTGTATCGTTCATCCGTCGCGCTGCCCGCAAGGTCGGCTTCGGCCAGAAGGTTTCCATGAAGCCGGACGAGCTCCAGCGCTTTAGCTCCATCCAGGCTCAGCGCGCTGGTGCCACTCTCGCACGCAACCCATCCCGTACTGCTGCATAGATGACTTGAGTTTACTCCCCATGACGCTGATAACTGGCCTTGAGCAACGACGACGACTTCTTGCGGTGTTCTAATATGCTCTTCGTTTCCCCCATCGTTTATACCCCGCCTATCATTACGTCTTTTACCTGCATAGACACCATCGAGTCTGTTTTTGTCAATGGCTCCAATCGTTGCGCTTGGATGTCTGTTCACGTTCATTTCTCGTTCATCATGACTCGTCCGGCCTTTCATGTAGTTTGATCATGACGCTGCGGTATTACCCGTAATTCTCCTGTAGGGCATAAGACGATTTATACTTTACCATAACACTAGGCAATAATAGAGGCTGAGGCCATAGAATATTTATGCTAGTGGACGTGCGAGGTGAAATGCACTTGACGGTGAAGTTAAGAGTTGATTGACGCTCATTCCAACTCTTGCTCATCGACTCCAGTACGGCGACGTCCCGTTCTCGGGAGAAATGCACGTTCTGACTCGCAAGTGGCTGTTACGGTGCGCGGACGCTATTTTCTAGTTGTTGAACGTCATCTCTTGCGCCACACTCCAGCACGACCGTAGAGCCTCTTAATCTGGCGTGCAGACAGTTCACTCCCAGATCCTCCGCAAATGCCCCCACCAGCACGATGTTCTTCTGATCTACCGGATGGCGCCGACGAGGACCTTGTCGCCGACGTCCTTCTTGACTGCCTCTGCAAACCACACTTGATCCTCATCCCCAGTCATGATTCGCTGAGCGGATGATTTCCGCTGCTTACTAAGGTCAAAGCCGCGTTCAGCGAGAATCGATGACAAGTGGACGCTGTCTCCAACGCAGCATGAGGGCTCGTTGCTTCCTCTGTCGAGTCCGTGGTAGACACACTCAAGAAATCGGTGAGTTTCCGGGAGATGTGCGCGGCGATAACGTCTCACCGAATGACCAGGAACATTGACTCTGGGATGACCCGGCAATACGTCGACGACCTCAACCAGGAGAGTGAGAGAAGTGCTGGGTCTGTGTGGGGACCCCTGGCGCACGACAATGGTCACCATTACGGTAATCATTTCGTTTTGGAGTATAGCGAATACATTGCAGAAGCACTGCTAGCGGTTGCGGATCACAAACGCACGAACAAGGATATCACTTGCTACAACCGTGCGCCGGAGGGATCAGTCAGTGGAGGCGTGTATGGCGTGCAAAGATGCATTTGACTCTTATGCTGGATCGACAAAAGGTGGTTTATCCCGAGAAGAAAATGATCAGCAGCCTCACCAAGATTAGTCCCAGAGTCGACTACGAAGGTTACGATTTTCTTTTCGGGCTGAAGTCTACAGCTCGGGGCGAGCGCTGAGTTCGACCAATGCATGCCTCTGATGGCAGGGATGGGTTGCCGATACGTGAATGATGGGGGCGCATGAGATTTTCATACTGGAGAAGGACACCGCATGGTACCCATAGCGCCAAGTCTGCAGACGGTCGCTAAGTCTTGCGTATGAAAAGCATGCTAACTCCTGGCAGTGGGCTTTAGTTTCACGTCCACAGTAGCGCAATGTAAATTGCTAGAAGTCACTCACGAAAGCAAACCGACCAAGGCTTCATAGAAAGAAGATACAGGAGTTACGGAGGAGGAAATCAATGATGTATTAGTGGACAGAATACAGGTAGTATCACACAATATAGGAAGAAACAATGAACGAGGATCAGGTGAAGTTTGGCTTGTCTCTTGACCTCTCGTACGCTGTCGGTAACAGTCAGATTAGTCCAATGGCATAACAGGTAGAAAACATGACGACGAACGGTTATAATGCAGCAGTTTTTCGATGAGATCTACGTGCGTGAGCACCATGCGCCGACAGCAGTAACGTTTGAGTTGAAGCTGGTCTAAAGCATCACTACAGGGGCAGAAAAACTTAAGTGTTACAGAGGGTAAGACATATTGTGAAAACTCACCCTTCACTGACGTCCTTAGACAAAAGCTCGAGGTAGGCATTCCACTTGTCTCCGATGACCTTCCCGCACGAAAAACAGCGGACAGGAATAATCTACACAAGTCAATCAAAGCACAGAAAAAGTTCAGGGAAACGGGCGTACCATTCTGATGCTTTTGAGACTGTCCGTTCCGTGTGTAAAATGGCGTGGTCGTGGACTCGAAGAAAGATCGAACCTTCAGGATGGTCGGGTCACTGACAGTGGTCGCGTTTTGGCACGTGATCTTGATACATAGTAGACGCGACGTGGCTGTTGCGGAGTACCATCTTGCTGCTGCATGTTAAAGGACTGCTAGAATCTCTTTGCTGTTATCTTCTGAAAACTCCCAGAAAAATCCTGCCCAATTATTGAGGTACAAACCTCGTCTTCGTGACTTCAGACCTATTACTTAGACTGGAGTATTGAACTCGCAGAGGTTCACCAACGGAAATCGTGCGAGATCCTACTATATCTGCCGGATTTGTCTTGGAGGACGCATGAAAGCACCTCTGTCATTTGCTTCTCTTATTACATTATTATTCGTCTACAAAAGTTATGCACTGAATCCTCCAGTCAAGGTGGAACTGCGGTCGTCGTGGCCGGCGCCTCCGGTTCTCCTTGAATGCATGTACGTGGATCCATCTTTCCACGTAAACGAATATAAACGGAATGCTATCTGGCAGAGAAGCTATTGCTACGGAAAATGATGAAGCATTCTTTCCCTTGCTTGATACGCTTACGAACCCCGAAGTGCCCATCCCCTCACCACATACTCCAGAAGTAGTGCACCGTTCTGCCTTTGAAGCCGCTATATCTGAGGGTTTCCTGTCTCGACCAGGGGAGTATGCCTCTGTGCAGATGGACCTGGCCCTGCATACTGCTACGCCCAAAATCGAAGCTGTCTACCAGTACTACACCGATCGTCATGCCGCGCGGACGGCCAGTGTGCACAATGATGATTGCGGGTCGTGGGTCGATTGGTATGGACAGGTTGCTTGTGATGTACAGACGTTGGTGCATCTTGCAGGGGTCGAGACAATTGATCCTGCAGTACCAAGCACTGTTAACGCGTAAGTTCGCTCCTCCATGCCTTTTTTGCTTCAACTAACCAGTTCATACGAAGATCTTTCCCTCGCCCTAAACTCCTCCCCTTCGATCACGTCCAGCCATCTCCGGCCCGCGTGCTCGCACGGCCTCCACGTACTGCAATATTCTACGCCTCGCTCTCCTCCAGCAATTTCCGCGAACTCCATTCATACCTTTATGCAACCTCGAGTGCTCCGAACCCCCACATAGAATATGTGTTCCGGGCTATTCCTCCAGAGAACCGTGATCTCTCCCTTCGAACATACCTGTCTGGTTATGGTGTAGCTCTTGACTTGAAGAAGATGGACTATCTGGCATTAGATGACCGGAGACAAGGTTCGTATAATGTTTGCAGTATGAATTGCAGTTTGATTAACTTGGTATTATATGACCAGGCTCAAGTGGGCAGACGGCGGAATCTGACGGTGCTGTTGAGTCGATCTCAGATGTAGATTCCGTCATGGTGCTGGTGCAACAATACCCGGCGAACACAGACGTAAATGCGAGCACACCTCTGACAGACGATGAGCTGCTAAGTAAGTCCTAGTCCTGTACACTCTCACAACTTGTCTGAAGTTCGTTCTCTCAGACATTGGGTTGCAAGCTACCCAACTCATATACGATGCAGATGAACCTCTACCCGCGCTCAAGCAGCTCTCGCAGAATTTCCCCAAGTATGCAGCCCCTCTTGCGCGGCGTATCACAGTGGACCCGGCCTTGCTGGATGAAGTAGAAGAGAACCAGGTCAAGGTACCGGGAGGGGCTAACATTGCTTGGTTGAACGGAGTCAATATCGGGGAAAAGGATATGAATCCCTTTGCGTATGTTGCACTTCGCCTGCTGGAAACATGGGAACATGGCTGATCGGATTTCCAGCTTGCTACGGTTGCTGCGCAAGGAGCGTGGCACAATGCTCTCCTTGACCTCGTTGGGCCTATCACCAGAGCAGGCGATCAGATTACTCACACACCCCTCAATCAGTGCAGCGCAGAGCGAACCGGATGCCGTCAGTGAGCTGTTCGACGCGAGTGATCGTCCCGAGGAAGGGGGTGTCATTGTATGGTGGAATGACTTGGAGAAGGACAGTCGGTGTGTCCTCCCCTGACGTTTATTTCCACTGTTTGCACCAATTAACGCACTGCAACAGTTACGCCAGATGGAGTAGATCATTGAGAATAGTGGGTTGCGCTACTCTTTGTCTCGTGAATCGATGTTGATAAGCACGATAACCCAGCTCCTGCGACCAATGTACCCGGGTCAATTCCCGAACGTCAAGGCTAACCTCTTCAACGTGGTGCTCGCTGTCGACCTCTCACAGTCCAGCAGTCTTCACTTCATCTCCACTTCAGTCTCGAATATCATCAGTCGCAGCTTCCCAGCCCGTTTCGGTATTGTTCCCATAGTCGAGACAGAAGAAGGTGAGTACGCTGAGAATACCGAGTCCTTTCACAGTTCAATTTGACCTGCCCAGGTGCTCGGATGGCGAGATTATTCTATTACTTGATTGAAAACTTCGGACGGGCAAAGACAATGAGCTTCTTGAAGAGTGTGAGTCGACTCCATGTCCTCCTGGTGGTATGCTTTATCGAATACCGCATCAGCTATCCCAAATAGACATACCCATCCAGCGTTTGACTCCCACAGTGAACTGGGGTTTGGTACGTTCAGAGTTCGGTAACCTCCTCACAGAGAGCAAACAGCCAGGCGAGGGGGTAATAACTAATCTGGATACTATCCTCCATGGTGGCACAGAGAGCCCGGGCTTTGGTCTGGACAAAGCCCGTGCCTACGCGGCCAGATTGGGAGTAACGTTGACTTCTGCGTCACAAGGACACGCATTCGTGAATGGGAAGCACTTGGTTTTGAACGATGTGCGTCCATGTCTGATTGCGGATTCTAGTACTGATATGTCTAGCCGCGGCGTACAGGATTTTCTGCGTCAATTGCAACTGGAGCTAGGTCAGCAATTGCAGTACCTTCAAGAGCAGGTTAGGGATACATCGAGTTTTCATTTTGTCGTACCTCCAGAGTTGACATCCTTCGCTGTCTGATTTGTCAAGATTGCCACCGGCCATTTAAGGGATAACGACATCGAGACCATCTCGACATATTTCTATGATCTTCCCACTACTGCGAAGAGAAGGAATACCTATATTCACACCGGGAAAAGCGGGATGAACATGATTAATCTACCGGACTTACTTTCAAGAGTGAAGTATCCAAGTGGCTCGTTTGTGTACCCATGTGAGTTTCGGCTGCTGTTCACGCGAGTTCGGCTTACCTGGACATGCGCATAGCGGACTTGGAGCAGATTCCTTTGTCAGCGTATATTGTAGCAGATTTTGATACAGATGGTGGTCGTACCCTGATGAAGGAGGCGTTAATATCCACGGTACGAGAATATGTCAATTTACCCAAGTAACGTCTAACGGTAAACGTCTCCGCAGAAGGTGGGGTCTGCATCTCGCGTGTCATTCATCCATAATCCCGCCACTCCATGGAGCGCATCAACTCGTCGCCCACCCACGTCGTCACTCCTGGCTCACCTGATCACCAAGGACACTCTTCATCGAGTTTCTCCTTCCCGTCTCTTGAAGGTCTTGGGTCTCAGCGAACCTTCAGTGCCTATCCACAGCCCGCAAGTTGTCATATCGCCAGAAGGCAGCCTCGACGACATCCTAGGTGGAACTCTTCTTGAAGACGCTGGACAGGAAACCTACGAGGATTTCGTCCAAGCGAGTCGTCTCCTTGTTAGGGAGCTGGGCCTTGCTGCAGGAGAACAAGCTGTCATCGTCAACGGACGAGTGAGTACATCCTTGTAAACAATTCCTGTCTGTGCGCACAAGGCGCTTACGGGCTGTAGGTTGTTGGCCCCTTGTTGCCTGGCGGATTTGTTGCGGAAGACTTCGAGACTCTGATGACATATGAACTGCGCAAACGTGTTGAGCCAGTCGTAGAAGCGCTTGAAAATATCTTTGGGTCCTTGGAGAGTTTTGATCGGTATGTCCAGTTGTGTGAGGCTTAGCAGATGTCTCATAATGTCTGTAGGGGATCATATGCGGAGATGGTCGCTCTGACTTCCTCTGTTGTCTCTGCCATTCAGGTACCGGATCCGAGCGAAGTCGGTTTGTTCAATGCACCATACAAGCCCCGAAAACTGAGTTATCAACTTTTGAGCGGCAAATATACGTGAGTTCTATTGTACTGCGGTGAGAGTGTACCCTGAATTCTGTTCTAGGTCCTTCATGTTCGGAGAGAATTCTACCGCGTTATTCCACTTCGGCATTGTGGTAGATCCTCTGAGCGAGTCTGCGCAGAAATGGTCAAGCCTGATAGAAGTCAGTTCGATGTACATTCTGCTGGACTAATCTTTGACTAAAGGGTGCTTCCAGTGGCTGTTGAATATCCCTGAAGTCTTTGTCGAGTTGCACATTAACCCGGCTAGGTATCGTGAGGTCGGTCTTGTCCACGCTCTGTACGCCAGTCGTCCTGATGGGAAGGCTAGCTTCCTCTCAGACGATTCTATCGGTACAACCTGCAACCTCGGCTACTCTACGACGACAACGGGTATGCATCACCTCGTCATCAATTTCCTACCCACTAATGTTCTCGCAGGGAAGAAATCCGTGCCGAGACGGAGTTCAGTGGTTTAGCTGTTGAACCTATCTACACTCTCGCGATGGACGTGCCGCAATCGTGGCTCGTTCGGCCACGCGAAGCTCTCCATGATCTGGATAATATTCAGCTGAGTACCCTATCCGCGAGAGACCGTGCACACGGCGTGCATGCCATCTTCGAACTCGACTACCTCGTCATTGAAGGCCATGCCCGCGATGTATTGACCAGCGCACCTCCGCGTGGAGTGCAGCTTCAGCTTGCCACGAGTCAAGGGGTCCCGATCGCTGATACCCTGGTCGTCGCGAATCTGGGGTATCTGCAGTTCCGCACTAAACCTGGTGTGTTCAAGCTTGAGATACGCCCCGGGCGTGGACGCGAGATCTTCAAGATGGAGAGCGTGGGAAACGAAGGTTGGGACAGCCCCCATGTAGATGTGGACGGAGACGAGATCACGTTGACCAACTTTGAGGGACTTACGCTTTACCCAAGGCTTGCCAGATTACCAGGTATGGATCGCGCAGACGTCCTTGCAGAAGCTCCACCCAAAGCGCCGACTGCCAAAGAAGTTCTCGAAGACATTGTATCTTGGTAGGTGCTATTTTATTGGATTGTCGTGTCGTGTCACTTTACAATATTGCAGGGTGTCTTCTCTATTCTCCTCCTCAAAGGGGTCCGAAAATAACACATTGTCCTCGCCAAGTGACCAGGCTGATATTAACATATTCACTGTTGCCTCGGGCCTATTGTATGAAGTGAGTAATCGTAAACAAGCCCTCAACGTTGTCCACTGATCACACCACTCGTAGCGTTTTGTCTCCATTATGGTACTCAGTGTTCTCCGCAACACAAACAGCACTGTCAAATTCTGGTTCATCGAGAATTTCCTCTCGCCTTCCTTCCTGGTACTATTCTACTCCGTCGAAAATGCTCTGTGCTTGATGTCCGTCTATTCTAGGAATTTATTCCCCATCTGGCTGAAGCGTACGGCTTCAAGTACGAATTGGTGACTTACAAATGGCCTTCCTGGCTGCGCGCCCAGAAGGAAAAGCAGCGCATCATTTGGGCATACAAGATTTTATTCCTGGACGTCCTCTTCCCCATGGATCTCAAGAAGGTCATCTTCGTCGACGCAGACCAAATTGTGCGCGCTGACCTCAAGGAACTCGTTGACCTTGATTTGCATGGCGCGCCGTATGGCTACACTCCCATGGGTGATGACAACGAGGAGATGGAAGGCTTCCGGTTTTGGAAGACAGGATACTGGAAGGAGTTCTTGCGTGGTCTGCCGTATCATATCAGGTGAAGTCACCTATCCATACGCGGATGCGATGAGTACTAATATGAGTACGAAGTGCACTATATGTCGTGGACCTGGTCCGGTTCAGACAGGTGAGTGTCTTCCCGATGTCAGCTTTATTGATGCTGAAGAACTACGCAGATTGCTGCAGGAGTGTGTGATAATTCCCCTATTCTGGTGTCATTTCTCATACGTTTCGCGACTAGGATATACTGCGAGGTCACTACCAACAATTGTCTGCGGATCCAAATTCCCTTGCAAATCTTGACCAAGGTATGCGGCTCCTTAACTTTTATAAGGACGTTTCGGAGGTCTCGTCCCGACACCACGGTCAACGCGCATGGTTCCCTCACATACTTTGAAGATATCGAGGCAATTCGATTTTGAGTAGGATACGGTGGACGAGACGTCCTGTGTTAGCTCAGAATGCCTTTTTTTTCTGCGTACTCCTACAGTTGGTCCTGATTCTGCCTTCGACCGAACTAAAAAATTTCTTTCTCAGATCTACCCAATAATCTTCAGCGGGAGGTGCCCATCGTAAGTCGCCAATACTTATTTGATCGCGATGTCGCGTCGACGATTATTACAGTTTTCACTACCCGAAGACTGGTTATGGGTACGTGGGCGCGAAATCAATGTCGAGATATCTGAATTACTGATTGAACCGGGCGGGTGCAGTGCGAAACCTGGTGTAAGTTGAGCAACGCCTCTGTAGCTTTTCTTTTCTATAATCTTTCTCTGTTATACAGGCAGCAAGGACAGACTTAACCGTGCCAAGACCATCGACCTGTGCCAGAACCCACTTACGGTGCGTTCGCCTTCTCGCTGAGTGGCTGCCGCGAATTGAAACACTTTGCAGAAAGAACCTAAATTGGCAAGAGCGCGGCACATTCCCGAGTGGGAGGAATACGATAGTGAGATCGCTCGGTTCGCGCGGAGGTTGGCGGAGGAGGGTTGCATTCGCTCGGAGATCGTTGCAGCGGACTCAAACGTCCTGGCCGATGCAGGTGCTGAGCACCGCACCCATGGTACTGCAGTGGATAAGCAGAGTGAGGGCGTGGAGGGTAAGGCGGAGTATGTCAGAGACGAACTGTGAATTCTTTTCTGTTGATGTACAAACAGAGGCTGAACGCAATGGTTCCCTCTCGAATTGGTGGGGAAATCCTGTCAGACTAATAATACTAAGTGCAAGTTCTGCGTTTCATGGTGTCCGGATATCAGTGATGGATCAAGGGTTAGAGCAAAAACTTCACGTGATGATGCTTGAGGACGGCTGCCACTGAAGAGCACCCTTCAGCTCTTGCTCAGGCCAGAACGACGACCTGATTCGTGGGCGAATCGACAGCTGTCGGTTAGGTCCCCTCGTTTGTCCTCCTTCCGCAGGTACGTCGTACATTCTGCACTGATTACCCCGCCTAATTGGCCCGCAGAATTTGCGTCGCTGGGTAATTCATTCATTTGGACAGGTGCGTGTGCAGGCTATGCATGACGTTGACTACGCCAACAATCTCGATGACGGGCATACGGCAGAAACGCCCACAATCACCTATCATTATTTCCCACTTAACCTGACGAAATTTGCTGAGCTGTTGGTTGTGGCAATCCGTTCATTTGATTGGTGCGTGGTTCTAAACCACGGAGTAGACTACTCGAGATTCAGGCAGAGAGTCGAAGGACAGCCTCTACAGAATACAGAATAAGCTTCAGTGGTGGTTACGGGTAGCCGCTCGTTTCGACAGGTACGTCTGTGTCGAATGTATTGACGGCGAGGACAGAATATGACGGGCGTGTGGCAGAGGTCGACGTCATCCATCATTCTTTCTATCTGTCATTCGTTCGCGGTCCCCCTCTCCTGTCCCCATGCAGTGGCATGGCCACGCATCCTCAACCCTCAGGCCCGTCGTCTCTGTCTCGGCTTTCTCGTCTTGGTATCGCATTTGGGTTGAAGCCTGGTCCTTCGACGGCAGTCCCTCACATTAACCCTTCTCCGACTGAAGACTGGTATATTCCTTACAACGGGCCATACGAAAAACCACATAGCTTGAGCGCTCCACACGACAGAGATAGTTGGGGAAACCTTGTTAGTGGGTGGTTGGTTGACGAGGACGACGACAAGCGTGGTGATCGAATTAGCCGTCCCATTCGTGCTCGTGCCGTGTCCAGCGCTTCCCGTCTGTCTGTCGCTTCTGGAGATCTTGAAACAACCCGTAGGAGCTTGTCTACTCGCCGTGCGGCGGGTGCCTCTCAGGTTGGTGGTGTAGGCGAGGCGCCGATGCCCATGCGGCCGTCGCAAGACCATCCCAGGCCACCAGAGGTTAACCGGAACAGTTTCGCGAACATTCTCGGGTTTAGACACACCTCGAAGAGGGGGTTGTCGCTTCATCAACCGGCGTCTGCTGAGGATCTCAGGTATTTAATGTCAGCCTCTGCTGTATCACATGAGTAACTCATATCCAACAGGAATGCATCTTCGTCTCGCGTTCATAGGTACGGAGAGGCAGAAGGAAATGGTCCCCTACCTCGCCCACACCCGTATTCGTATGCCTCAGGCTTGCCCACAGATGCCTCTTCGTCTGCCTCTGCCGCAAAAGCTCGGCCCTCGCCAACGTCCAAGTTCTCAATCACACTACTCGAGCCAATGATACGGAAGTCCTCTGGCCCAGCGATGCCCAACTACCTGAAACCCGCCCACAGACCACCAGGACGCAGTCTTAAGGTGTCGACGTCGACGCCGAACCTTCGTCGACAGCGTGGAAGTCCATCTCCGTTCTCTGTCGCCCTACCGAAAGGGAAGCAACGCTGGTTGTCCGCCGAGACGTGGTGTGACGCGATTCTCTTGCCACGTCCGCGCTTTACAATGCGCGTGACAGACACTGGGGCGAATGTCGCGAGCAGTGGTCGAATCGTAAGTCCCCCAGGAAGTCCTATATGGCCGCCCGGGACAGGCCCCGGTGAGCAAGTAGAATCACCGACAGAGGCTGTTAGTGTGTATGAACGAGGAGTGCAGGAATCCACTCAACGCCAGCGTCGTGATGTTAGAAAGTCTCAATCTGCGTCTCAGTTGGTGTTTGTACGTCCCCCTTCTCCAGAGATTGTGGAGGCCCCTCGACCAGTGGTACCTCTCCCGCCTGGGCCACTCGTTGCATCAAGTTCACGACCACCGAGGCCCAAAAGCTTCGCGTGGGACGATCTTGCGATTCCAAGTCCTGTCCCATCTTTGACCAAGTAGGCATTCATTCATTTAGTATAATTCTGTTGAATCGCACGCTAATTCCTACCCAATATTGTCATCTCATCTTGGTGTCTATTATATAGGGTTCTGGAAGATGGCAGACAGTTAGAAGTGGAGCGCAAGGAATGGCAGTCGTTGGCAACGCGTTCATTCCAGAACAAGCGCGCGAGGTCGGTATCGCGGGCGCGCGCGAAATCGCTCACGAGCAGCCGCGTCCGTCTGCGCGATACACCCACGACGCTCGACCTTCTGGCGGAACGGACCCTGTTGGGAGGCCAGACGCGCCCGCCCACCGTCCACATCCGCGTCCAGCAGTCACTCCCATCGGACGAAAATGCTACAGGATTTGGCATCAGCACCTTCTCTTCCGCTACTCATACGCAAACACAGTCGCATTCGCACTCACATTCGCACTCGAATTTGCATTCGCACTCGCGTGCAGCGCGATCTCATGCGCATTCAAATTCTATGGGGACGTCCGCGTCACATCCCGCTTCCGATGACTCCTTCATGTGGGTAGCCCCGGGTGCCCCCAGCGGCGGACATAAACGGACACAATCGCTCGGCAAGTCTGCTCTGCGGATCGTGCGTAACACTGCGAACAGCGCGGCGAATTTTTGCGGATTCAGTCCGGGAGACCCGAGAGAGCCTGGTATCGCTTCACCTGTGTACGAGAATGGTTGCTTGGAAGGTGCACTTCGGAGCGAAGGAACGCGCGTCATTCGATTGCGAGATCAGATACGCATGGAGGAGAGGAACGGAGAGGGTGAGGGCGTCGTATTGATTACTCCTGCCCCAGCATCAAATGTTGGGCTGCGCACAGACGCAGCAGGGCCAAGCAGAATGAACGGGATATCACCCACTCCTTCTGGTTCTGGGGAGGGTGTAGGTATCGCAATTTCCACGCCCCCGCATTCGGACGATCATCATGAGCGTCTTAGGATCCCTGCGCATCCGTATGCACAGGTCGGCAACTATGTCTACCGTCAGCCCATAGTCGTTGATAAGACTGCAGCGAGTGTACCTTCTGTCTCGCAGGCAGACACAGCAGCGGTTGAGGACGGCTTAAATAGGCATCGGCAACCGGTCCATCCATATTCACCATATGCTAAAGGTCTTCATCCATACGCCGTTTCCGGTGCGAGCAATGCCAGGCAGCATCCACCCGCAGCCTCAAACACCTCAATGTTTGCGGAGATTAGCACTGGTCACATCCGCGAGATACTGCCCGACGAGATCAAATATTCGCCGTTGACTCCGACGGGTCCTTCCCCTCCGCCTATGCCATCGCCTCAGGACAACCAGGAAGCGAATGCCTCTGAGCGATCCGAGCATTCGCATCCATATGGCCCGCAATCCAGACGGACAAGTGAATGGGGCTTCGCTGATGCGTTGACACATACCCTTGGACGGGCGAAGAGCGGCGATAATGATGAGATGGATGGACTGACCCCACCCAGCATGTCTGTCGCGCAGATACTTGTCAGTGGTCCACAGCAGGAGGAGCCCCCGCCTGTTCCATCCGTCCCGATTCCAAAGCAGACTTCGTCTTCCTCGCGAAGCCGCATTGATATCTCACGCGAACCGACGCACCTGTCGAATCACACCGTGTCATCGTCCATGGGGAGCATCAACCCAGCCATGTTCCGTCGTACACATTCCGCCCATTCTTCAGCTTTCTTGCACGGAAACTCATCCAGGTCGTCGCCAGGCATGATCTCCCACGACTCATCTCCTCCCCTTTCACCGCGGCCTTTGAACGCACCCGATGATCTGGAGCGATTTCGCGATCTCTTCTACCACCCTCCCGACAGGAGCAGAACACCATCAGACGATGGTATCGCCCGTCCTGTTCCCTCGCGTCAGGCGAGCGGGACTATACCTATTGATTTTGGCTCTGAGCGGACTGTGAGTGGGCTCACTACACTAGCGCGCCAGCTAAGTGAAGATCTGGAGGAGCTGCGAGACCTCGCGAGGGACTCGTATGAAAGCGGAGAGGCTACATCGCCTATGTGGGGCAGGCGCTTTGGTGGGCTCCACGGTGAGCGTCCTGACGATTTACGTGAAAATCCCAATGTGGTACTGTCACAGAGTCCTAGCGGTTCGAACTCGTCACCCGAGACTAGTTCTCGTCTAGGTCTTCCCCTCGATCGAAGTTTGTCTTTAATGGGTCCCACAATCAACGTACCCGAGGACGTTGCATCCTCACGAGCGTCTTCTGTGCTAGAGTCGCCCTTGCAAGAGGAAGAGGAAGCTGAAGGTGGGTTACTATTGTGATGTCCGTCAATCAGGAAAGTGCCCATTTTTTTGTTATATAGAGTCGCTGCGTCTTGGGACTGTCGAAGTACTGTCGACCCCACCTCCTTTCGAGACTACTCATCGATTTTCAACGCGTCTGTCACTCATCGGCTACGCACGAGGCGGGCGTGATGAACCGCAGACTGTGTCCCTGCGACCTTCCCGGATTAGCTCACAACCATCCAGCCTGGGTGCCCCACCATCTTCTGATGCTGCGCGTTCCAGCTTCATGACTGCCGACACGAATGTGTCGCGCATGTCTGGGCTTTCCGACTTCCCTGCGCCGCCTACCGACGTCACTCCTGAAAATATGTCGGTGCTCAACACTTATTTCGAGGAACGCCCCCAGAGCCAGTCCGACAAACCGTTCAATACCTCCCTCCTCTCTCGGCCTCCTCCTACACTTGTTCGGGAATCTAGTCGGGGCACGTTTGGCCGACAAAACGACGCAGGCGAGGCGTTGTAAGCTTATACGTTCAGATGTATCATCTTTTTGCCGGATTTTCGCCGTAATATGCTGTAGAGCTCTGAGACGTCCGCATTGATCCGTATACTTGCATGTCTTTATAGTTCAACTTATTTGAAGATATCGTCGTATTACCGCTACAGATGCTTTGGGTTAAAATACATTGACACAACACAAAATATAGGGATTAAAAGTATAAGATAGCGGACAAGAAGACGGTAAGAGTTCATTTCGTTCAGTCATCGTATTGCGTCAGCTGGGAATCAATGGTTTAGGTTTGTCTGGGGATGTGAGAAGAGAGGCACTCACGTCAAGTGTTAATGTGCGCGAGCTATTGACATCCTGGTCACGGTAGATGCCCACAAGTGAATTGCTACGCTCATATAGGGATCCCTTCAGACTGATGACAATGAACTGGAAGGTCTCTGAGGCATGAGATCGAATGTAATTGGCGATCTTCGCCACGTTTGTGTTGTCTAGAGCTGCATCAACTTCGTCGAGGACGAAGAATGGTGATGGTTGATAACTGCGAGGACAAATGAGCACGATCAGAAGTGTAAATAAGCTTAAGCAAAGTACCTGTGGATGGCAAAGAGGAGTGCAAGAGCAGCAATAGTCTTTTCGCCACCGGACAACTGTTCCATATCTCGAAAACGCTTCATGGGAGGCATTGCGTGATACTTGATACCGGCAACATATGGCTCCTGCGAACAGGAGATTGAGACTTCGACGGTACTGATGAAAAATGATACATACCTCGCTGTCCTCCAGACTGAGATAAGCGACACCACCCATTGGCGCCGCTTTACCCTTAGTGAGATCTTTGTACACCTGATCAATCCTTTCCGAGATATGGTTGTACGCCTTGTTGAATAGTTCACAGCTTAGGAGATTCACATGAGCCATAGCTGGCGGCGCACTAAGAATGACTTACCGGCGACGTTTGACGTCGTTGAACTGATCCCGGGCGGTCTTCGAGTCCTTGCGTGCTTTGTCCGCTTCCTTCTCGGTTTCCAACAATTTCGTTTCAACATCGTCCAACCTGGACTCCAACTTCAGTCTGCCGTAATGACACACAAATACATAGTTCACCTGTCCATGGCTTTCATGTTAGGTGCCATTCGCTCAATCTCGGAGTTCAACTTGGCTATCTTCCGGTCAAATCCAGCAACGGCATCGGCAGATACGTCCTGATATCGACATCAGGAAGGTTGTGAAAGAAGAGTATTTTGAAGACTGACCCCACGTTCATCGTCATCCAACGCCTCGAAGTCCACCTCAATGCCGTAATCCGGAATCCTCTTAACAGGTTGCGTGCCATCTTCGTCCTCATCTACGTCCATAGCTACCTCATCACGGAGGTTCTGCGATTACTTGTGAGCCATTAAACCAGAATGCAGGTGATATGTAGTTCTCGCACCTCTTCCATGGGGACATTCTTCAGGTTTCCCTCTACGAGTGGTAGTTTGACTTCATCCAATCTGCACTTTCGATAGATAGCGGACCGCTCCAGACCTAACTTTTCAATCTCATCATTCTATCACCAGAACAGGTGAGTGTATGCAAAACACTGCTAGTGAACGTAAGAAACTGACTCCGTTTGCAATCTCCTTCAATGCTTGATCCAGTACCTTCGCAGACTTGGTAGTGGTTCGCTTAACCTGCTCTACTTGCTTCGTCTTTTCCTCCAACACTTCGGTGAGATTCTGGAGCTCTTCTCGAAGAGCGCCGATTGCACCTTCCACTTCATCGATCTCCTCTTTGATGTTGGTTTGGTTCTCTTGAAGCCGCACAATATTCGCCTCTTCAGCTTCGATCAAAGTGTCAATGATATTCAGACGCTCCTCAGAGACTTGCAATTGCTCTTCAGAGAAATTGGACCTGTAACACACAAGTCATATTACGGTTAAAAAACCCCTCTTTGGCATGCAAATTCGAACGTACTGATGAGTCAGACGAGCTATCTGCGTCTGGAATTGCAATCGTGCTTCACCCTCCGCACGGGCGACCTTCAGTTGGCGCTCCTCGTATTCCCGGATGTTTGCCACGCCAATTCTGCGGCAGAAGTCAGAGAAAACCTCATCCTCGGCGGCGTTGACCACTGTTGTGAGCTCGTCGACCTTCTCTTTGAGCGTGTCATAGGCTGACTGGGCCTGGCGCGAGGTTCAGTACATATTGAGAGGAGGATAGTGATCTCAACGCACCTTCCTCAACTCCGGCTGAATCTGCTTAAGCTCTCTGTCAACATGCTTTATTTCGTCCTTGATGCCGTTCAACCGAAGTTTGCACGCGCTCTAGATCATAGTCAGATTAAGCTCAGTTCGTGGTTTCCATGCTTCTTACCAGATCATCCTTCGCAATCGTATGTGCGGACTCAAGGCGGGTGATCTCAGCAATGAGGTTTTCATCGGCCTTACCGCGGGGCTTGTTCTTGTTGAGGTCCCGCAGCTGACTCAACAGGTTGTCACGAACACGCTGGAGACCTGGGGCACGTATTAAAAACTATCGCCGGAAGAACATCAGAGAGCGTATCACCTTGCACGTCCTTCTCCTCCCACTGGCGCCCACCACCATGTGAACTGCGGCCTCCGGTAATCAACCCGCTCTTATGGATGATGGTTCCCTCCAAAGTAACCGCTGCGCAAATAGATTCAATGTCTCAATTTCAAAATTATTGAATGAACGAACCCTTGACCTCCTGCCCTTTCTCATAGCACACGTACCGCGCAATCTCCATCGTGTCGCACACCAGCGCATTCCCGCACGCGTGATGCATCGCGCGTTCCACCGCGGCCTCGTACTGGATAACATCGACCGCCAGCCGTGCACCCTTGGCGAACGAACGAAACTTATCGTTGATGGGCTTCACCTGGATCGTGTCAAGCGGTATAAATGTCGCTTGGCCCGCACGCTGGTTGCGCATGTACTAGAACAGAAGTCAGTAAAATATCTGGGGTGGGAAGCAGGGGGCATTGCTACCTCGATGCAGTCGATTGCGGTCTTCTCTTCGTCTACCACTACAGCATCAATGTTCCGGCCAAGAACGACGGAGACAGCTGTCTCGTACTTCCTCTGTGCCGGTTTGCATAGGTCAACCACTCGGCCACGGACGCCTAATGCACGTTGAGCCCAAGCACATGGAAACCCAAAGAAGAAGCTCACCAGGGAAGATTCGCTGCAGACTGGCCAGCGTTTCCTTGAGCTTCGCTTCTCGTTCTGACTCCTTCTGATCAACACCCGCTTGCAAGAGCTTGTTGTGAACGTCAACTAGCTTCTCATTGATTTCCGCCTCAAGTTGGCTGCGAATTGTCAGTGCAATGAATTAATAAACGCAAACTACGAAACTCACGCAATCCGTGTTCGCTCAGACTGCTGATTATCTAGCTCTTGCCTCGCCTTTGTAAGCTCTCCGTGGAGACTGGCAACTTTGGCCTCCAGCTGACCCGCCAGGTCACGAATTCAGCATCACATCGGGCGTACAGTGATGATCGCAGCACCCACCTCGGATCTCTTCTCGCTCTGCACTCTCTTGTCCTCGCCAAGCTTCTCGGCCTTTTGCATCTGCTGCTCGTGTTTATCCTTTAGCTGCGCTAGTGCCCGAGAAGACGTCTTTTCATCTCTAGAAAGCGTATCGAGTGCCTGTCGCTCTTCTACCGCAAGAATGCTTGCATCATTTTTCCTGTCTCTTGCATTAGTACAAATATGCCAGGGGAAAAATGTATAGATAGCGAACAATCGACGGTACTCCTCCAAGCTCTCTGCGCTCAGAGACATGCTGGCCTGGGCAGCTCTTCTTTGCGCCTCTGAATGGGTAATGAGCTTTGCAGCATTATACATTGGCAGCAGGGCGCACCTTGAGCTGCATCGGCAGCTCTCTGCACCTTCTCTAGGTCGGCCCTCAGCACTCGCAACTCGTCTCTCTGTTTCTGTCCAGCTACGCCCGCCTTCTCGCGTTCCTTGAGCGCATTGTCGCGCTTGCGCTCTGAGTGCTTGATCTGCGTGTCGACCTGGACAAGGTCCGGTCTCTGTGGTGCTTCGTCAGTGAGATTGCAAGCAACGACACGCAGCACGCACCTTGGCGTCAAGCGTCTTCTCCGCTTTTTTGATCCGCTTCTCCTTCTGCATGACTGCGGTGCGCGCCTTCGCCTGGTCCGCACGGGCGTCTTGGAGTGCCTTGTCGTGCACACGCTGCTCCTCGCGCAGTCCAACCAGCTCCTCATTCTTCGTCCTAATCTCCTGCGCATGTTCCTCGAGCTCCTCCTGAATGTGGTACAGCTTGAATAGAATCCTGTGTAGAATCAGGTCATCCTTAACAACTATTAGTTACGCAAAGGCCTCAGAAAACACAACACGATGTACACACCTTTTCGTCACACAGCGACTCGAAACGCTCCGCTTCGGTCTTCTGTTCTTTGTATTGCTTGATCTCTCCCGCGATGCCACGCCGCTTGGTGAAGTTGAACGTCGCATTCTCCGTCGCGCGCTCCTGGTCCTCCTTCGCGCGCTCGTACTCCCCCGCGAGTTCCAGCGAACCGCTGATTTGGTCAATCAGCCGTGACAGCTCCTTCGGCGACTGCGATGCCACAGCCTCGACGTCGCCCTGGAAGACGAGGAAGTTCTTCGCTTTCACGAGGATGTTGTGCGATACCAGAGCAGCATTGTACACAGAGTATGTGCCGACTTTTCCATTCAGCTTGTATTCGGACGTGCCACTTGTGTTAATGCTACAGGACAGGGCGTGAGCTGAATGGCATACGAAAGGCAGAACCGGCGAAAGACGCACGTCCGCTGAAACTGCCACTCCTTCTTTTCGCTGTCCTCAAATACGGCAAGCACCCACGCCTTCTTAGCTGTTCCTTCTCCCTCCCCCTGCTCATCCTCTTCGTCACCATCCTCGTCGCGACCAGCATCAGACCCGTCGGCGTCTGGGTCGCGAGCAAGCCGCCTGCCGCGGTATACAAGATCTTTCAATTGGCTACTGCGCAACTGCGCGCTCTTCACACCGAGAACAAACGAGATTGCGTCCATCAGGTTGGACTTGCCGGCACCATTGGGTCCTATCACAGAGGTAAAGTTATGGAATGGGCCAATAATTTGGTGGCCCCTTGACAATTGTTAGGATAAATATATAGAGAGAGCAAAGAGAGAAATGCACCTATAAGACTTGAAGTCGCACACCTCAATACGAATGAGAGGCATTTTACGGATAAACGAATGGTGCAAGCGCGAGGGGGTTCGTGGCTGGTGTCAGTGGTGACCTGGTACGCGTCTGTGGCTTATTGCGTACGTAATCACCCGAAAAGGAAGGTATGAAAGTTCGATCGTCTGTACTATCGTTACCCCAGTATTGCAATCTGGTCTAGTTATGCAATTTCGCCGTTTTGCCGCATTTTGCTGCACTAAAAATCACAAAGAAATATGTAATAGATGTGCACAGTCCCAAATACCTTGGCTGTGCAACTTGGGAGTCAAACTCGGAGGGAAAGAGTGCGAAGTCTCTGAATTGCAAGTTTGGAGGACTGTGTTCGGTCTTGGAGTCGCACAACATCAGGAAAAAAATTGGCAGTCACACAGAAGGTAGCTTATATGTTGTATATTTGATCCAAAGAAGTTCGAAGGAAAACGGGCCCGATTTGAAGGAACGGTGACAGAGATGCAATCGCAATTGCATTACTGGGGTAACAATAGTACTATGGGTAACAAAGAATACGGTCACAGAGATGAAAAGATGCATCAAGCGGATGGGCGCGCTCAACTGTAAGGTGTAGTTTGATAACGACTACGGGAAATGGTATGACCCTCCTATTTATTCATCCCTTCCAGACTTCTCTTGCTGTTGTGCGAAATAGATTGCAGTCGTCATCCGAACGTCCTTGAGACAGCCCAATTAAACTTCGCGCTGCGCCCTCACAGAGATCTCTCTGGATATGTGGCATGGCATTGTATTCCGCCACTGTCTAGCCGTCGTTAACATGTGTATAAATTCTAATGGTGATAAAGAGGCCAGCAGACCATTTTGCAGAAGTGACGTTTTCGACATCAGACAGACGATGGGTGGTTAACTTCCTAACCAGGTCGTCCTGCGCGATTCACTTACCACAACGACCTTTTGAGACCGACCGATGTGTGGACCAGCAGATACGTGTAAGACAGCACCTACTACTTACAACCGTCTGACGCATTACGCGACATGCTCTTCCAAATATGCAGTACTTATCTTGATCGTCTCCACAGGACCGTCCACCGTGCAATCAACCGTGGATCCCTTCAGCAGCATCGATACCAATAAATCCTCCTTCCACGAGTGCTCCCAACGGCATCTACTCCCAATTGAATGTCACGAATTACCACACGATGATTTCGCCGTCGTGCCGGAAAAACTTTCCTGAGTCCTTAGGCGACACGCTGGTCACGAGCCGCAGGACCGCGGACACGCTGTCATGGGTTTCTGTCGCTGCGTTGGGGCCGCCCATGTCTGTGCCAGAGCGAAAGGAGGGGGGTATCACAAGTAGCGCAAAGCGTGAGCTGTGAGTGATGATTATAAGGCACGAGGAACATGATAACTTACCGGTCTTGACCCAGCCGGGATCAATGCAAATTGAGGTGATGTCGGGGCGTGCGCGGGCTTGTTTGTAGGTCTACGAGAGGGGTAGGTAACTATTAACCTGAAATATCTATGCAACAGGAGAATAAGGAAGAACAGTGGTGCAATGCGTGGTATTGCGATGACATATTCTGCACTCGGCCGAGAAGGGCTCAAGGTTTGGCAAAGGGGAGATAAAACCGAAAAAGACCAAGGATGACTGAGGTAGACAGTGACAAGAACAAGGCCACACACCAGCATATTCAGCGCTGTCTTGCTGACGCTGTATGTCGCATTCTTGGCGCCGAAGTCAAGGCCGATACTCGCGAGACCGCTCGTGATGTTGACGATAACTTTGCGAGAGCTCTTCTCGATAAAGGGAAGATACAACTGCCCAAGAAGGGCAGGAGCAACGACATTCACTTGGAGCGATTGCGAAAAACCGTCCACGGAGAAATCGAACGCCGAGTCGTCGCCTTCGGTCTGCCCGTCCCGGCAGTCAGCACCATACGAGCGTCGTAGATGGAAAATTAACGAATACATACCACAGCAGCGTTGTTGTACAGATAGTCCAATCCGCGGTCACCCAAGATGGCAGCTACCGGGGAGACGGACGCGCGGATGGAGGCCTCGCTAGCGACATCGAGCGGGAGGATGTACAGGACACCTTTGGCAGTGTCCTGGAGCGAGGAGAGCGCGGTCGCGCCCGCAGGGTTGCGACAGGTGGCGATAACGATATTGGCGGGATCAGCGACGAGCTGGCTGACGATCTCGAGGCCAATGCCGCGCGAGGTTCTGGGAGTAAAGACGACGAGCTCAGCCGCACGTTCGGACTCGGTGAGCTGGCAGCGAGAGACTCACCCTGTTACAAGCCAGGTTGTCAGTGTCATTGCGGAAATCGAACGAGGATGAGAGAGCCATGTCGATGGCCCTTTATACCAGAAGGACGCTGTGGGCAACGACGAGCTTAACTGGAGGCCTCCGGCGAATTGTCGGTGCTAGATCGGGGGCATGTCATCATCTGGTCGTCGACAACAACCACCGTGGCCGACTCAATATTAAATAATTACCCTCAGCGAAGACATCGAGGCTACTCACCTGCACTTGCAATTGGAGTTTGACTTGCTGCTACATATTCTAGTACTCTAACACCAATCGATTTACTGTGCACAAATTCAAGCGTCGCATCGTGCTGTCTTGAACCACACCTCTGAGTAACTGAGTTGTCGATTTACACGCGATCAGGTTCGTTCTTGTTTATTTGATCGTTGGCATAAAGAAGTCATATGAATATTTCTGCTACTGACCTGCACGGATGCGTACGGACGCGTGATGGAATTGAAGAGTGTGTCGCATGGCAGTCGACAGGAGATTCGCAGCTAGTTTCTCGCCTCACTGACTCGAAATCTCTTGTGACGCACCGCACAAGTGACGACGATCCAGGATTGCTGTTTTTCGTATAAATAATAGGTATTCTCCCAAGCTTGCATATGCAAAATCACGCTCTGTTTCGTTGAGGAAATCTAGCACGCTTCCTGTTAGCTGCAATCCACGACTCCGTCCCAGAACCCAAATGCCTCAAGTACAGGAACTAAACTGGCCAACTGAATGTCCCTATTGGTACGCTCTATCTTTTGCTTCCTTGCTTCTATGTCCGCACTTATCTAGATGTCAGTGCGCACGTTCAAGTTCATGCAAATTCCACCGCTTTTACGAGCCCATATGAAGCCCAGCGCTGACACACAATGACGCGAATTTCGAAGATTACTTCATTGGAAGCGTATGACAGGGTGCCGCTGTACCCGTGTGCCAGCCTCACCGTATGTGATGTAGCGGCAACCGTGAATTTCGTGTTAGATGCGGTCGCTTTCGTGAACTGCGTGCGATGTCTTGTCCCGGATTCCAATCAGGTTTTATTACTTCTCAGAGCAAAAATACCACGCCGAGATCTTCAATGATGCCTCTTCTGTGTGGTAACAAACTAATGTCCGAGTTTCTTCTCGCGAGTGAAGGGCCTTATGTCATGTTTCTGCCTCTTACAAGAAAGTCTCTGTCCGCTCCAGGGCCACCAAGCAAGCCAAGGCATTCCGAAAGCTGTAGGTAAGTACCCATCACCCTGTCCTCCAACACTCTCCCTCTCGCACAACGTTCACTGATGAGTAACCCGGCCGCACCTGACCTTCATATTCGTCTAGTATATGCATCAAGGCTCTATCTGCAGGCGGTATCTTGATCAATCCGAAAGTTTTGGAGCGGTCGTCTAGCAACTATAACGGACGACTCTGCATGACAATGATGCATTGAAATGAATTCGCCTTGTCCAAGAATCGCCGGAAACATCCAAATACCGCCGCTCACACAGATCCGTCGGAATGTTGGCGTGAAGACCATGACTTCCACCATCCACTCATATCTCGAGTCATTAGTGTGTTCCTCTTGGCAACAATTTGCATCAGGCATGTCGGACGTTTGAGCCATGTGCTGCGGGACGAATCTTCCGTTCACCTGCACTCAAGAGGTGCGTACGTTGCACACGTATAAATACCTGTTAGTATGAGACGAGTGTCGTCCTCACTCTCTTCCGTATGATCCTATCGTCGTGGCGCTCGCATTCATTCTCTGTTGAGAATGCACTTCGTTTTTCCCCGCGTAATACGCTTGCTGAGTACCGCATTACGAAGGCTCTCAAGATTGGGCCTTTTACTTCGAGCCTAAAACAACGAAGTCCTGTTCGCGTCCTGTGGCGAGTAGTCCTAACGTCAACAGGTTCGTGCTAGATCAAAAATGAGATGTTACCCCCCATATTGATCAATTGTAGATTGTAGATACGGCAGTTGTCCCTATTGTGCACGATTGCATGGAAAGGTCGTATGTACGTCGTCGACTTCATTCCATGTTCCGCCATCTGGTAAGCCCGTGTATATCCTATTGTGCACGGTGGAAACTCCTTAGGAGCAGGTCGGAGGTCTTAGATGTGACTAGTGATCAACAGTGATTCCTGATGTCAAGCGGGAAATGATCTCCATGCTTCATATGCCATCTCTCCTAAAGCTGTGCACATCCCCGGATCGGTGGAAATCATCGTCACGAAGTCTCGGCTAGTTCGTTCCGAATGGTTTAAGGCCTGCACCATCCGACTCGTCCATCATGTTTTGTCTACCATTTTTCTTAGCCAACGCCATAGGCTTCGCTGCCGCGCAGACCTCGTCTGCATCGGCGATCGCGTCTCAGTATTCCCTCTCGACCAGCACGAAGCTCCCCATGCCGACCAAGACGATGGCCTCCTCCTCGGCGACGTCGTTTGTCAAGGCCTCTTGGGCTGCTACGGGCGTTGACGGCGCCCCCAACATGGCATTCGTGCCTGATCCATTCCCCACGGCCACTGCGTCTCCCGTGCTGCGAGTGACGTATCCGAGCGGCAGCTACTCGCACCCTAACACCGCGGGCGCACAATTCTATTCGCACTGGGAGGCGCCATCTGGGACGAAATGGCATTCGATGCTGCTATCGTACGAGGTTGCGTTCGACAGCGGCTTCACGTGGGTGAAGGGCGGCAAGCTGCCTGGCCTCCGCGGTGGTACGGACACCGCGGACTGTTCGGGCGGACACATTGCGAACGGGTCGAACTGCTTCTCGTCGCGTCTGATGTGGCGGACGAATGGCGCCGGAGAAGGTATGTGCTGTGGTTTGTAGTTGCAAAGCGATGCTAACCTTCATCTAGTCTACGCGTACTTTCTCCTTCCCGAAGGTCTTTGTAATGACCCCGACTTCATCTGTAATGCGGATAACTACGGTACGAGCATCGATCGCGGATCATTCTCCTGGAACTCTGGAGAGTGTGTTTTCCACGTTTTCTTCCGGTGTGGAGAACGGGATATTAAAAGAGCACAATTTTTCTAATAGGTGGAGCAAAGTAACATTGCTCGTACGGCTCAACAATCCCGTGGATAATGCTAATGGCCAGGTCACACTATAGTATGTCGCCCTCGTTGAGGCTATACAAGATCTGTGTATTGATTCGCACTCCACAGCCATGACGATGTGGAGGCACTTCACGAGTCGAACCTACAGTACCGCAATAGCTCGGTCGTTGATATCGGCGGATTGTTCTTCTCGTGCGTTCCATCGTTGTGTTCCATTGTGGAGGCACTGATGCTGTCTGGCTCTTCGTCTTTGCAGCACATTCTTCGGAAGTATGTGATCGCCGCGTGGCTCTTCCACTTCGTTAACTTACCAATGGCACGCGTTTAGGAAGCACATCTGATTGGGCGCCGCCGAGCGACATGCATGCGTACTTTCGCAATTTCGAGATGTGGGCCGCGAGCGTGGCGGTGTGATCTGCGCCACACGGTGATGACTTCGATTTTTGCTTACTACGGTCTTCTTTACTTTTATTGTTCCGCTTATGACATTGCTCGTGTTCATATGTATGTGCTGACGTTGGTATCCAATGTCGACCACATACTGCTATTCTTGCAAAGCGCTAATCCATCCTGTTCTTGATCGCGCGGTGTTCACAAACAACGCTTGCTAGAATCTCGAGAAAAAATCATACTGCGAGAACAAGCTTCAGTGTCGGCATTACAAAGTGAAGTGAATCAGTTCTCGGTCTCAGCTGCAGGAGTAGGCACAGAGCACTGAATATCCGGCAAGTGTATATGGGACCACCGGTATAAAGTTCTCGTACAGGCATGGCCCTGGTTTAATATTGTGATGGATGGGCTCGGTCATGAAACTCACGGCACAGTGCAAGAAAGAGAACGGGAAAGTGAATACATACGGTATTGTACTGAAGCCAAAGGATTCGCCTTCCACGGTTTAATAGCTTATACCTCTCCCAGGTCAGACTTCAATCTGTCTGGCATAACCAAGACACTTCATGACGCTTCAGCGTTTTCAGCCACCGTCAGACGGCAAATGCCGTCGCGATTCTCCGAGAGTATCTGGCATAAATTTTCGTCTTCTCTCTTCTTTTCACCAGCAGCAGACCCGTAGCCGCGATGCTCGTTCCGCACAGGTCTCCTTCGTCGTCGACCATTACCTTCGGGTCTCTTGGGAGCGACGAGGTGTTCCTTACTCACGAGCGGGCTAAGATCTGAGTATTTTGTCCCTCGTTCGGCCCTAGCTGGGTCCGACCATAGCTCGGTCGAGCGGCGCACCAGAAATCCTCCCTACTGTTTCGTATTCCCAGAGACGTTCCGCTTTGGTGGGACTGAGGGGCGGGCAGTGGAGACTGGGACACGTCGTAGGGACGGGTGGCGCTTACTGACCTACACCCCAGCATGCACTCGCTATCGACATCAACCCGGATCGCCTCAACGAGGACGACACGGCCGGGGGGTGGCTCCTCCTGTTTTGTAGTCCGCAAGTCCTGCATGGATCTTCGAGCATGGTGGTGCGCACCCGACGGGCTCACCCAGGTCGCTGGCCCCGGCCGTGAGCCTACTGCGAGCCCCATGCACTGATCCCGCGATCACACCAGATCGTCGTATAGCCCGCCGACCATACCAGTCGGTGCTTTCGCCGACCCCCCAGACGGCGACGTGGTCGTCGTACACCACGACGACGCGCAGTCAAGATATTTGGCGACACCCATCGCCGTACTGCATCCCACAGTACCCGTCAGGACATCCGAGCATCCCAGGACATCAGAGCATCCCAGGACATCCGAGTACTACCTCAGTGGATCCCGCCTCGACCGCCATCCCAGCGGTCGCGCCTGAAGGCCATCCATGGACATCCGAGGACGTTAGAATCAGAGGGACCTCCTTACCAATGATGCTTATTAGCGTGACACGCTCAGCCTCACAGGCTGTTGTATGAGCGCGGCATGGCGCATGACTAGCCGTTCAAGTTGCGCACCGCGTTGGCTGCGGGACTTATCGGACGGACGCGATGTACGAGGCGAGTGCGGTGCGGGCGTGTCTTGGTACGTGAGATTTCTTTGTTGTCTTACTTCGGTGGCGTCGTCCTTGAGTGCACTTCGCGGCGCTCGCACGTTGCGGGTAACTCGATTCAGACTACACCGGGTCTGCTGCTCCCAATTTTTGTAACAATTTTTCGCCTCGTCGCGAGGTTAACCTCTTCGTGAGGATCTTTGGATGCCGGCCTCTTCGAAGGTGATGTGTTGGTTTTTCATGTGGAATCCTTGGTAGGTTATGTTGTGCACTTATCTGCGCGAGATTCTGACCTCCTTCATTAGGTGTTGTCTGTGCGTGGTCGTCGTGTGGTCTCTGGCGTATCAGTCTGGAATCATGTATGTTCTGGATGGCCGGTGAGTGTTATCCGCTTGTCCGCGTACCATGTTATCCGCGTTACCGTATCCCTAGACACGATTGTTTATATGCTTGTCCTTATCACGTACTACTGTCCGTAGATTGAATGATACCTTTTCATTTTGTGCTTTGATGACAAAATCTGTTCGACATAAGGTGCTTCCTTGCAAGAATACAGTTCCTTATGATCTTTTCTATCGACCCGTGCAAACACCGTGCTTCGAACGTTACGACGCAGAGCCGGTGGCTTCTTCCGCGACTCCGAGTCGCTGTCGCCACTTCATTGGATCCGTATGCGTAGTACCAGTGCACGGACAGTACCTCACCAAGGTAAGTTTCTGATAGCATTGTCCCTGAAAGGATCTGAAATTTCTGGCTGCTAGTACTCAGCGCCCTCCATACAAATCATACTTAGTCCTCCCCGCCGCCCATCAAACTCTCACTTCAAACCCACGCCGCTCTCTAGCTAGGACAAAGGAACCGCTCTAGGACAAAAGAACGGCTCCAGTACAAAAGCCCGCCCTGCGAGCGGTCCAAGTTTCCACAGACACTCCCCAGCCAGCACTCCACTCCTACTGTTAATCGCACAAAGGCGAGGAGCATCCACACGCCGAAGGTCGGCTTAGTTGCTCGACTCGCCGCCTCTCCCTGTCTTGTCCTCCATCAGTCGGACTACCAGCCCGACCTCGATGCATGTCCATGCAACCCGAATCCAACGTCCCCGGGACCGCTTGGGGTATTGTAGTTTGGAATCGGCTTTGACGATATAGGCCCTGGATTGGCTATGCACAAACATACACCTCTAGTTGAGGTATTCACAAAGCTAAATCAGGACGTTCGTCGACCGACGTTCCATTCCACGAGACCGACGAGCAGCGAGCGGCGAGAGCAATTGCAAGTGCATCCCTTCAGTGCATCAGCTCGAGCGTGCGGTGTACCTCCCAGTCGACACTCCATCCCTCCCAACCACGTCTCCGGAAACATGACTCCTTATCCGGTTTCGTCGATCCCAGGTGCGCACGCAAGCGCATCGGCTCGAACCGTCACAGCGCGCGGTGTGTGCTGCAGCTCGACACGGAGCCCCAGACACGCTCCGCGTCCAATTGGGCTGTACTTGTGCAGCGATGAAAGTCAATGCGATAACTCGACTCCCCCACCAGAGGATTCGAATCATTCAGTGGTACCCGAAGAGCCCGTCCGCACCTAGCTGCGGTCCCATGAGGAGTTCTTCATCGGTCCCAGTAAATCTGACCAGGCCTTCGAAGTCCTATGTAGCTATATGGACTCGGACGATTTTATCAGAGCCGACGAACTCACAGATGAGGGGCAGCCACCATGGGAGACCGCTTTCCATCGGGGGATACGCCGCCTCGAACGTGATGCGCCACGTTCGTGCCATCTCACGCTTTTGGGCATCGGCAATAACGGTGCCCTCGCCCAAAGTGGTGTCGGGACTAGCATGGGTGGGCGCGCTTCCCAGTCGCGTATTGTGCCCGAGTGACCGGTGACGGGCGTGAACGAGAGCGGTGCGATTGGGCATAGGCAGTAATGGTGCCCTCGATCGAAGCGGCATCCAGTATCGGGACTAAGACGGGCAGCGCTCGACAAACTTCACCCGGTTCTCGTCCACAGAACGAAGGCAAGGGTGGTCGAAAACAGTGGGCCACGTTTGAACACGGCCACACCGCGCACGACGAATCACAGCCTGTGCCAACTCTACGAAGCTGGGCGCACCGCGGACCGAGTCGGGAATATCTGCGATTGTGACCGTCGTTCGGATGAAAGGAGGCAAGAGCCTCCACGTCCGAATGCCAGCGTGCAACCAGCGATGGTAACTCCGGAGCAAACGTGCACGCTCCCCGGTCGCGTATACACGTATTGTGTACGGGTGACCCGTTACGGGGGTGGATGAGTGGTGGGATTCGAGCTGGGGCGTTCTGCAGCTGCTTTTTGGATGAGATGTGCTGGGAGATGAGACGAGGATGTGCTGGGCTCCCTCTTTTATGCTGCTTAGGAGGACAATGCAGGCTCGGGAAGGACAAGGGTAGAAGGGTGGAGCGGCGTTGATCGCGCGCCATTGTCCAAGTGTCGAGCAATATGTATATGTATATGAACTTATGAACTTACGCACCATGCAACAAGAACATATTGGAGATATTGAAAAAAGCTGGTTGAACCATCAGCGACGACGGAGAAGGTCCCGTATTGATGGCCTATCTCAATTGTGTACGATCTATCCCTCCTTCCCCGAATCTAAAACAGACGACGATGCCAGAAACGTCCGGGGACGCGTCTATCTCCGAATGCGAGGACCGAGTACCCAGAGCCGCCATATTAACCAAAAGCAAGAACCGCGGAAGGACAGATCGAGCCGGGCGTTGAGTTAGAAATCGTCCCCGCCAGAACACGCCGGACGTCAAACAGGCGCCGATCCGACCACGAGCGAACGTTGCACCAGCGTCCAACGGGACTATACCAGAAAGCTGGAGAGCAACTCGATAATGAGACCAGACCGCGGAGACCGATACCATTAGACTGAAGCTCATCCTGCAGCTGGTCATCGCCAATACTAGTAGCTAGCGCTTGACGCCGCGTCAAATTTTTTCCAATCGCTTTCTCGCGCAAAGAACAGAACGAATCAAGACGGGAAATGTCGGCGTCCTCAAGGCATATATCCGCTTCGCGCCAGACTCGCAGTCGAAGCACAACGCGCAGGCAGGTACTTGATACACACACTCAAGTCAGGAAAAGAATAAAGAACAGCCGATGACACAGGCATAGGAAAATAGTCAGACATCTCGCGAACAGAAGTAAATACTAGAAGCATCCCAGGAAGAATAAACGACCGCCTGCTACTGCAGAGTAGAGAGCTAAGCACGTCTAGAAAAGACACGGCACGCCTTGACAATGTGGGACTCCTGCGCCCTGGATTGAATCGCCAAAATGAGCACGACGAAGCATTGAAGACTTGCGCCAGAGTCGCACCAGATCTAAAGCTAGCAGAGAGCTCGTCGGCCTTCAAGATCGCCTGCGACGCGCAAGATGATGTACCACTTGGTGGGAGGAAAAAATGACGTGGAGATATTCCACTCGGCTTGTCGTGAACTCACCTACATTTCGTAGGTGGATTCGCCTGTCTGCTCTCATGTCCTGAGCAACCTTGGCGGCTTTCCTATTATCATACCAAACCGAAGACTTTCCTTCCATCAAGCCGTTGCCAAGCCAGCTTCAGAGTGAGGCTGCGCAGAATAAGAGAGTGGATGAGAAACCGACTGAGAAGTGGTAAGATCATTTCAACCTCCGCTGAAGGTGGCTACTCCAATTGTAATAGCCACTTCAAACCGTTATAGTAGAACGGTCCTACTCCCTCTACGATGTCAGACGGCCCATGCCTACGTTATCCAGAAAATCTGGGCCTACATCCTACTACCGCCCGGCCCGCATGAGTTGGCGGTGTCCATGCTGCTGCGTGCCACGCAGCTCGCCCAAATGACTCCATTTACGTCGGGATACGACAAGCCAGCCAAGTGTGACCGCGATTGTATGTCAGTCCGCCTTCGGCTGCGTTTCGTCGCGCTGATAATATTCTCTACTTACACCAGAGGGCCAGCTGTTCCTTGTCTCCATTACTCAGCAACACCAATTTTGCAGGATAGACTCCGGTACCAAGAGCAGGAGCAGCACCATGTTCTCCCTGCAATGGTGGTGAGCCGGAATCAAAAGGCGTCGGTTACCGTCTCGCCTCGTTACGCGGCTCGTCATCCACACTCAGGTCCGCTAACATGCCAATCATGTCTTCCTGATATGTCTGCTGTTGGTCTGAGACTTTCCAGCCAGAAGTGGTCCGTGCGCTCATCTATAAATCGCCTTCCCAGCCCCATCAGTCGCAGGTTTTCCAGCCAGGTCACTCGCAAAGGCAAGTCATCCCCGAGGCCTCGGGGTATCTCCCCATCTTCAGATATTTAGCGGTGTGAAGAGCTCACAATCCCGCAGGATCACGTCTCATATCTGCCCGGAGCTTACTCCTCGCAGCTCAGCTGCTCTCCCGTCTCGCATCTCGCTCGTTCTCGCTCCACTTGGGTTCCATATCTTGAAGCCTGCCACTGTGGTCCATGGAGAGTTGCGTGGAAGACCGATGTTTCGCCCGTGCGCCTGTCCGCCGTGTCCCTGTCCTGTTTGTCCGCTCCGCGTGATTGCTGTGCCGGGGCTAAATGCGTCTTGCCTGTGGTACGCCTCTCTGCAACGAGGCACGATGCGGTCGTGCGCACGCATGCTCATCCCTCGCCGCGCCAGTGCAGCGGAGGTCACCCGAACAAGTCCCCAGTAAGTGCAAGACCGCGCGGACCGCACAGGTCTGGCAACCGTCTGCACACGCAGATCACGCGTCGCGCTCGTACAGCTGTCGCCCTATCAAGCGCCTATCCGGAGGAGAGCGTTCGGACCCTGCCACGCGCCCGCTCGCTCGCGATTATCTCCGCTGCAGCAGCGGTGGAGCGACCGCGGCGACGTGCGATCGCTATCTCATTTCAAGGCTGTTTTTATGTGTGCTTATTTTCTTGTTTCTGCCCGGCGTGCGCCGCACTTTGAAGTGTTGCTTCCTCGTGTGCCTGCTGCTCCGATACAGTGTGTTGACAGCTCTTCTGCCCCGCACGGTCGGTCCCCTTCCCCGGATCTGCTGGCGCATGTGTCCTGCGAGGCGGCGCACCCCGGCTTTGACGACGAATTTGAGTGGATGGCGATGCTCGCGCTATTGCTGTGCTACCGATGCTCAACCTTTCGACCAGGTGGACGCCGAGGAATTGCAGACTCGAATTCGGATCTCTGGCGATGATATCTGCTGGCCTCTTTCAATACAACGTCCCCATGACAGCCCCCCCTGCGATCCCGCGTACGTACAACGTCCCTCCGCTCTCCCCGCGCGATGTATTGCATTGCATCTCGGCGACCTGCAACGTCCCTTGATCTCGTTGGCCGCCCCGCCCCCCTCTGCTGTCGCTTCCCCGGATCTGCCCCCGTCTATTCAGTGCCATTATACGTATGATTCATTAGCCCCTCGCCGTTGCCGGTGTGCATCTACGCTTCTGTCGTGCGCCCCGCACGAACCCCCTTCCCCACCCCTGCCCCACCGATTCGAAATCGAACGGGCACCCCGATCGCGCGATCGACTTTGAGGGGAGGGTTCGTTCGTGGACACCTTCCGTACGCGGCGCGCCACCCTCCGCTTTCGAGCCCGCGCGGCCCGTTCAGGCTCGAGAGTTCGTATGTCCGCGATCTTGATCTGTATTGTGAGTTCTTTGCGGGGGCCCTGCGCGGTGTGGTGTGCGCTCGCTTTGGGCCTTCGGTGCTTCCACCTGCGTTTTCCGGTGACTTGCGTTTCTGCTGGTTCGAGGGGAGGGTTTGTTCGTGGATACTTTTCATACGTGGCGCGCCCTCCTCGGCTTTTCGAGCCGCGCGCTCGTTCAGGCTCAAGAATCCGTATGTCCGCGATCTTGATCTGTATTGTGTTCTGGGTGGTGGTGTTCTTTGCGAGGGGCCCTGCGCGGTGTGGTATGCGCTCGCTTTGGGCCTTCGTCGCTTGCACCTGCATTTTCCTGTGGCTTGCTCGGTGTCTTGTCTTGTCTGGTGCTGCAGCGCTATGATGTGGTCTTGTGCGAGTTGTGGCCTGTTACTCCGTCGCGCCAAGTGCGGACTCGGAGTCGATGGTGAAACACGTTCATGATTGACGCGAGGGACGGAGCTTATTAGCTCCACGGTGGCTCGTCTCGTTGCGGGCCACTCATACACTCCATCGCAGCCTATTAGCTGTGGTCCGTCGTGTCTCTATGCGAACGCCCGCGGAGCCAATGTGGAACTGGTTGGCGCGCAGTGATAGAGTTTGCTAGGCGTCCTGGCGCTCCTGTAGTGACCTAAGTCGGCTGGTGAGCGAAATTGGGGCCTCTCCACCTGGGGAGCACGATGTCTCGGATCTGCCATCCGCCTCTCGTGGTCTTCGTATGTTGCTGTAGTACGCGCCGCGCTTCGCCGAATTGTTCGCTCTAATCGACCTGCTGGAGCAGGCTGCGCGTGCCTTGGACGTGTTCCTGTGTGGAGGAATGCGGAGTTGTATGTGGTGTCGCTTGGTTCATTCGCTTGTGCTCATGTTCAACAACTTCGTAGAATGGAATTATATGCGTTTCTCCGTGCTACAGCGTGTGAGGCTGATAACTCATTCTGATCCACTGCATCTCATGAAGGTCGTAGCGGTGCAGATAAATATTCTTTTTCACATTGTTCTGCGCGTCAAAGTACCTGTGCTGTACGTTTATTGGCTTCCGTAGATACATTTCATTTTATACGAAGATGTCCTCGTCATCAACTTCCTACATAATATGTTCTCACATTGTGCCTTCACGACTTCAGCAGTTCGGCTGGCCCCTTTGCACCGTTCTCCCATTCCGTGTGTCTCGGCCTCGAAGTGCTGCCGTATTCCATCTGGTCCTGCAGACGCTCTCCCACATGATGCGGATATGCCGACTCTGTCGCACGTTGAACAACGCTCCGCAGATGGGTCTCCAGGCCAACTTGCTCTTCAAGAAATGGGAAGGTCTTGGCGTTCATGCCGGACGCATAAATGCGTATAATATAGGCCCGGGTATTGGTGAACAGCAACAGTTTCGTCGGTGAAAATCGACGTTCACTAGGTTTCCCAGGGATTAATTCGGGAATCTAGTGAAATGCACAGTATAAATTTCACTATCCCGTAGATCGCCTAGCAAGGCAGTGAGATTGAGTGCGTATAAAGTTACTTTTCCACATAACTTTTCGGGCTTTCCCCCTAATTACGTTATATGACGATGCTTCACTTTACTTCACTCCCACTTGCGACATTTTAGCTTTCACTTCTTCTGCCAGACTTCCTGTCCGTAGCTTTCTCTCATCGTCCATCGCCTCAGTTACTGGTCTTCACTGTAGGCATTGCTTTTAAGTTCAACTATCAGCAGCAAGGACAACGAGATGTCCAACCTCTCGTCGCTCGATTCCGAGCCGACCCCACAGGCCGCGCCTCCCGAGCCGATGAGGCTCTTTCTCGTGAACCCGATGGAGACCATTAACAAGTTGTCAAAGTCTCATGGCAATGGCGCCATCTTCGCCCTCCCCAATTTTAGACCAGATGTGCTACCCGAACTGCGGGAAGATCCTTGACACAGAAGGTCCCCTCTCTCACCGGCGAGCGCATCAGTTCCCCGCCTATCATCCTCCTCGTCCGCTGGCCGTGGCGGTGATTGAGAGCGATATGAGGGCCGTTGAGAAGCTTCAGTTCTTTAACGCCATGGATCTCACGCGGATCTGTAGCGCTGTCGCGTGCTGTGACTTGTCCTAGAAGATTACTGTCCTGGCTAACGAGCATCCTCAACAAGCTTGCAGCGAACTTGGCGAACCAGGTGCAGTCCATCATCAAGGTCAGGAAGGCGGTCATGTTGGGTTGCACCCAGGGCATACTGAGCGGCCGGGCACTCATCGAGGGCAACTCAGGCAGATCTGACGAGAAATGTCAATGTATGTTCTTTCTCTGTTCGACTCACTACCTGGCTGATCAGTCATGTCCGTGAATGATAGTGGCGCGCTCGTCAATGCTGGCGAGCGAGGTCGCTCGTATGTCGCTCATGGCCAGGCATCCGTGCTGGATGTGCACGGCATGTGGAAGGTGCGTCTCCGTTATTGGCATTTGCAGTGAACTTGAGCAACCAGGTGCACTCAATCCAAGCACATCACAGTCAATGCGTGCGATGGACTGCCTGGAACCTATCTGTGCAAGGCTTGTATTACGAGAGAGCTAGACCACCATATATATATATATATATATAATTCGTGTGGACTCTGTTCACTATATGAAAGCTTCTACGAAAGCGATGGACTAGTAGACGGAAGTCATACAAAGTAATCTAAAGTTTGAGGAGGTGAAAGGGAGTACTTATCTGAAAGTCAACGCAAGCTAACAGAAGTGAAGGAAAGCTAACGAAGTGAAGGAAAGCTAACAAAAGTAAAGGAAAGCAAACAAAAGTGAAGGAAAGCAAACAAAAGTTCACAAAAGCCATCAAAAGTGAAAGAAAGTGCAGTAAAGCTAAGCCGAGCCAATGAAAGTTAGCATGAAGTAAAGCAAAGTTATGACAGCGATACCTTTGTGTACAAGCTCTCCAACACACAACTGAGAGACCAGAGAATTTCTGACTGTGCAGTCTTGTTGTGAGCCTGCCGATGAAACATGCTGCAGATCTGATGCGTATGTCTCACCTGTTGGCGGGGAGTTGGAAAAGGGAATATGAGAGTTGACAGAGCATCGATGAAGGTAAGTTGATGGCGGTGCACAGTTGGGTGTCAGTGTTTCAACCCTATGCGAGGCTGGTCTCAATGATCCCTATGCAAAGCTAGTGATGTCAAGTGAAGAGGGCAATATGGCTTGCGAGCTAAGGGTATGTCGCGGAGTGTCTCCGTACAATAAATGAAGATTACCTCTTTTGGGTTGCCCTCCTCAAATGGATTGCAGCACTAGCACCAGCAACAAAGTTGAGTTGTGAAGTCCTAGCGGGGCATAGCACTACAAGACAGACTCTAGAATATGATTATTGACATGGTAATATATTGTACAAAATCTGTTATTAGTGGCGGAAGGGGCTACAACTGCCGCGCGGTGTAATTTATCCCTCACTCAACACGGCAAGTACTGGCTACAAGTTCTTTCACCGCCGCTTTGTCGGTCTTGGCTAATTCTCATTCTCATTGTCCTCATGATTCACCTGCACTAGTCTGTCAGAACAGTCTTGGTCACAGATGCCTTGTCAATTCCACTTGCCTTGGCTTGAGCCCGTGTCCTTGGGCGAGGTCTCGGGCGAGGAGTGGGTTGTGTACCCGAATGCTCCATCTCGTAAGGAGGTCCCCCTGTGAGCCCTGGATCCTGTGACATTGGCCAAGGGTACGGCTGGTTTTCCATTACAATGGCCACAGCGAGAGGTTTCTCGTACTCCAAGGATAAGTGTTCACTGATTTTGAGCATATCAGGATGTACTATGGGGGCCCAGTGAAAGTGCCGGTCTGTTGTATCCTCCGCACCTTCGCATGTGGCCAGAATCTGCTCAGGAATCGTCAAATGGCGAAGAACTTGGGCCTTCAGTGTCTTGTCAAACAGAAGATGATAGATCTCGAGGTCATTGGCAGGAAGTCGGTCTAGATAAGTGCGCAGGATGACCAGCTCAAACAGGTTGAGATCCAGATTTTGTAACTCATGATTCTCGAAGGTTTTCGGATTTTGCAGCTGCACGTGCAAGTGTTGCAAGAAAGGTTCGATGAGCGATGCATCACCAAGAAGGATGGGAATTGGGTGAGCTAAACGAAAGTTTGCAGTTTTTGACACTTTATCCCTGCCTTGCCCTAGCAAATCGTGGAGCTCTTTAATGATCGGATGGGGGCGAGCATCAGTGAGTATTTGAAAGACTGAGAAAAAGGCATCTTGAAGTGCAGTAGTGACCCGTGTGTTCGTGTAATTGTATAAACTGGCAGCATCCTCCATCAGCAAACTCGCAAGACTCTGGTGCATCTGGTGCCAGACTTGCCATGCACTGCCACACGCCACCACATTGCCAGAAAAGTCTATGGTATTATAAATGACCTACGAATTTCTACGATATGTATTTATGGCACCATGCAACCACCATGCTTACTACGAATCAACTTACAAGCCATAGATTTGACAGATTGCCACAATTCCATATTTATTTTGTATACGATACTGTGCTATTATTACTTGCTAATCAGCACCTCGCGCGGTCCGGATGACAAGCTCGCGATGCTCAGCTTGACCCTGCTACACAACTACGTTAGCACACAGTAATTCAACATGGCTCAGAGAATGCTCACCGTCAGTCATCATCCTCCGACATGCGGATGTTGTCGTCAACATTGTCAGCACCTTCGGAGGAGTCCGCAGTCAGATCGATCATGAAGTCATTGTTCTTGTGCTGCAGATGTGCATGGGCATCTTGACAGATTGCATGCCACTTAGGCTCCTTCAGGCCCTTCGTGCGATTGTAGTATATCTTTGCCTCGTTCCCCCACGGCTCATCTTTAAAACTTTCCTTGGAGTTCCTTGCACCACCATGACGAGCGCTGTCATCTGGTTCCTTGATTGAGTTCATCTCGTCTTTCCATACAGCGAGTGCCCGTTGCACCTGGGATGAAAAAAAGTTGAGCTGCCAGGCGGGCAATGATAATGTGATGGACTGACAGCAGCGCTACACAATGCAAGTGCTCCCGCGGGCTCACCATATTCCACCTCACTCTTCATGGTGAGTTGAAGATGGTAGGCAAAGGTCTCCATAATCAGAGGGCCACGAAATGCGCCCGGATGGGTCTGGTAGAGACTCTCAGTGGTGAAAGCGGGCATGAATAGAAGAGAACTAACTGTCACCTGCAGGTCAAGATACAAGAAGTTCTTGCTTTTCAGCTGCGCTTCGATCCAGGCCTTCCTACGCTTGATGGTGGTGTAGTTGCCCTCCATATCTGCTGAGTTCCAAATCATGTCGAGGATCCGTAGCGCGGTTTTACCAATGTCCCTGCGATATGTACGAAGTGCCACCTGCGCCTGAGAAAACCCAATCACGAGAACAGTGAGAATATGAAAGAAATAATACAACATGACGCACCACAGCATAGATGGCGGGGTGCTCGGATCGTGGTTTTCCGTTGTCGTCGAGTTCCGGCAGGCCAATGAAGATCTTCGTCCAAATAGACTTCACCATGCTCTTGAAGTCTGAGTGGCTGTTGGAACCAAAAGGGTCAGGGAGAGTAGCGGCCCAGCTAATGAGCGCCGGGATGAATTTTCGCTGCCAAAGAAGAAGGTGCTTCCCGCGCGCTGGAAAAGGTAGGTCTTTGTTACACCAGTATGGGGTAGGTTGTTTGTTCACACACCCAGCTCCACGTTCCTTCTTATCGATCTCCGCGATGGCTGCAGGCTTCAAGACGATGCCCACCTGCAGAACAATAGGTCATGTATGTCTGGTGATACGTACAGAGGAAACACCTACCTGTTTTTTCTTGACCAGGTTCGTGGTGATGGAACCTTCATGTTGGGTAATATTGTTGGTCCGATGAGCGGCACGCGCAGCGCACAGGACTTCAGCACCCTCATCCTTCTCGAATTCACCTTCGATCGGTGCATCTGAGTCCTCACCATTTGTCAGTGAGGTTTTGGAGGAGTTCTCAGAACGAGTTAAATATCTTTTCCACCCAGACTTCAAACCACCAATCTCCGCCACCGCCTTCACACGCTTGCTCTCGTACACACTACCAAAAGGCCGTGAGTGATTACTATGCTAGACAACGTCAGACATGAGAGCTGACAATTTTTCACTGGCAGGTGCCTTGCATTTCGTTGCCATTGATGTCACGCTACGCATTGGCGCAGTCACCGCTTCCTTCCATTTCTCGATAATTTGACTTCTAAGTGCTGTCTTCTTCTATGTATGTGGTTCAGCACTGGGTTTCTGTGGCAGTAGAGTGATGGTACAGCTAACCTTCTTGTTTCCCTCCTTAGCTTTCTCAGAAGCCAAGAATTTCTTCCACAGTCCTTTGGTGGAGTTGCTCAAGCCCACAGGTTCCATACCCAGATCGTCCATGTCCTTATCATCAGCATCAATGTCACCAAGTTCCTCCGCCATCACTGCAATGTCAAAATTGGAGTCATTGGCGCGATCCTCGTCCTCATCCAAGGCATCACCGCTGCATGTGAGGTAGTCAAGATCCCCTCCGCTATCTCCCGCAGAGTCAGCAAAGTCATTTTTTTGGTCTCCAGCATCGTCAACCTGGCCTTCCGACGCCGAGTCAACAGCAGATACTGGAGGTATTGAAGGCTCTGGGCTAGCTTCAGCAAAGGCATGTGTCTCAGGCTCGCCTCGCTCGATGCTGCTGATAGCCGAGTCATGGATCACCTTCAAAGCTGTGGAGGTATGTACAGGAGGTACGTGGATCAGATGGAGATCAGGTCGCAATGACTGACGTTTTCCGTCATCTCGTTGCATAGAATCCTCCCTTTCAGCAATCCGATGAACTGACGCAGTGCGTCGCTCAGCCTTCTGGACCTTTTTGAGCTCTTTTCTTGCTTTGTCTGCTTGTATCTTGGCTTGCGTGCCTCTCTTCTGCTTGGCATTGATGACAGGAGCAGTGGGATTTTTGTTCGCAGTTGAGCGACTGGGCCGCACAGGCACACGCGTCAGGCATTCAGCATCGACAATTGCAGAAGGATGTAGTAAGTTGGATGTTGCTTTCTTAGGTGCCATCACCCCACCAGATTGACGATAGATGGAGGAGTAGAATGACGGCCATGCAAAGCGAAGATTGTAGTGTGAAGAAATGGGATGGAGGGAGAAATTTTGACCCCGAATACTTTCCGATTCCACACGCCGGTGATCAACTGACTCAGTTGAACCACCCTGAAGTGGTATGTCTGCATATCTCACCACCACCAGCACAGCTCTCATCACCGCTACATAGCTCAGTTTTTTGACCACCTTTCTGGTTATGTCTGTTCATCGCAAGTCTGTCAAGCATCTTCCATGCACCTTTGTTGATTGTCCACGTCGTTTCAAAAGTCAAAAAGGACGCACACAGCATGTACAGGCTTGTCATAGGGGTCCTCCAGGGAGGAACAACACCACCTCTCAGCCGCAGGGTTCAAGTCCTCCTTGCTTTATACATCCTGACCATAGAGCCTCTCCTCCTTCCGAGCAAAGTACCCCCCCTCCACTTCCTCGAGCTCGAAAGATCATTCATCCATATCTCACCGGTAAGACAATACTTTGCTGATATGAGCTACAGATGTTAATGAATTACTTGCCCAGGGGCTCCATGCGATGTTAACGGTGCACCTTGGCCACCAGGAGCACCACCACCACCTCGCGTGATGGCCGCTGCCAACAGCTGGTCTCCCTTTAATGATGAGGTGCAGTTCAAGACGGCTGATTTTCTTTTCCGCAAAGTGGAGATGTCCCAGCCGGATATCGACTACTTGATGGAACTCTGGGGTTTATCCTTGATGAAGCACGGTGATCTTGGGCCATTTGATAGCTATGACCATATGTATGCTGTCATTGACGATGTCGCGGAGGGCAGCGCACCGTGGAAATGCTTTGTCAGTCAGGGGGAGGCAGATCTCCCTCCTAATGCTCCTAACTGGCAGAGCGAGGAATATCATATCTAGTACCGCGATCCTCGGACTGTGATAGCCAACATGCTCGACAACCCTGACTTTGCTGGAGAATTTGATCCAGCCCCTTATATTCATGTGGATGCAAGCGACAAGCGGCGATGGTCGGACTTCATGTCTGGTAACTACTCATGGCGCCACTCCATAAGTCATGAATGACTTGCGAGAAATTCGTAACTGACCCTCCGTTCTGTCAGACGCAAATCTTCGAGGAAGACCCTTCGACAAAAGGTGCCATGTATGTGCCGATTATCCTTGGCAGTGACAAGACCACGGTTTCTGTTGCAACAGGCAATGTGGAGTACCATCCACTGTATATGTCCATCGGAAACATCCATAGTTCAGTCCGCTGAGTGCATCGTAATGGCATTGTTCCTATCGGTTTCCTGGCAATTCCGAAATGTATGTACCAGCAGGTGTTTAACTACCACAAGCTAATGATGTGTATAATTCACAGCTGATTGCAAGTATGATAAAGACCCTGCCTTTCGCTCATTCAAGCGCAAATTGTATCATCAGTCAATTACTGCGATACTTTCAACTCTAAAGCCTGGCATGCAAATGCCGGAGGTGCGTCGGTGCCCTGATGGACATTTTCGCTGTGTCATATACGATCTCGCGGCGTTTATTGCGGATTATCCCGAGCAAGTTCTGCTTACTGGGATTGTCCAAGGCTGGTGTGTGAGGTGAGTTTTCAAATCACTATTATGTGTTACCATTCCCTTTCTGATGATATTTACTAGATGTACGGTGTTAGCCTCTGACCTGGATGGTTCCGAAGCTGCCGGGCGACGATCAAAGGATCTAATGAGCATTCTTCTTCAAGAATTTCAAGGACAAGGTAGTCTACTGTGGGACAACTATGGAATTGACGACGAGATCAATGTAAATTGCAGTATTCTCATGAGAAATCAGTGCAACTCACGAGTCCCTTTAGCTGTTTATGAACAACTTTCCACGAGCAGACATCCATGAAATGATATCGTCAGATCTGCTTCACCAGATCATCAAAGGCTCCTTCAAGGATCACTTGGTTACCTGAGTGGGAGAGTATCTCGTGACGGAGCACGGTGAGAAGCGTGCAAATGAGATAATGGATGACATAGATCGACAGTGAGTCACGCAGTTCATCTGACATTATCTGACACTCACGGAACTGTAGAATTGCTGCTGCACCACCATTTCCAGGCCTCCGGCGATTTCCCCATGGGCAACGTTTTAAGCAGTGGACGGGTGATGACTCTAAAGCACTGATGAAGGTATAACCATCTTGTTTGCTGGAATTCGTACACTTACCTGCTATAAGGTTTACCTCCCCGCAATTGCTGAATATGTACCTGCGGAGATGGTTCAGGCCCTTAGCGCATTTCTTGACTTCTGCTACCTCGTGAAAAGAACAGATTTTGATGAAGACATGCTCATGATGGTGCAGAACTGTATCCAAAGATCCCATTGCCATCGGGAGATCTTTCGGTCATGTGGCATGCGTCAAGACTTCTCCCTCCCTCGGCAACACTCAATCATTCACTACCCGGAACATATACGAGAGTTTGGAGCACCAAACGGTCTCTGCTCATCCATTACAGAGTTACGACACATCACTGCTGTCAAGAAGCCCTGGTGTCGCTCGAGTTGATACAATATGCTTGGCCAGATGCTGTTGACCAATCAACGCTTAGATAAGTTAGCTGCTCTGCGCACACATTTTGTCGAATGAGGTATGATTGCACTGATGCTTCTACCGCCTCCTGCACCATTTGACAATGATGAAGAGGAGGCTGTGCCCATTGATGATGATCATGTTTTGGCCGAGGTTGTATTGGCTCGTACAAGAGGTATGCCCTGCGATATTCCACTGTTTCTTGCTACTACTAACATTACATCAAGAGCGGTCATACCCCGGTTATCTAGACGAGCTTGCTGCACATCTCAATCAACCCCAGCTACCTATGCTCACACGTCGATTTCTGTATGACCAGATTCACCGACATGACCCGGATGCAGTATCCAGTAACGTCGTTGATCTGGATGACTGCCCTATTGTGGTCAGCAAAATATCTGTCTTCCACTCCGCCGTCGCCATTTTCTATGCACCCAGTGACATTTCTGGTATCCATGGAATGCGACGCGAGCGAATACGGTCAACACCGTCATGGCATGGTCACCCTCGGAGAGACTGTGCTTTTGCAGTCGAAGACAACTCACAACCTGATTTCAAGGGTATGAGTGTCGTGCGAATACTCCTGTTCTTTTCATTTCAGCATGAGAAGGTTGACTATTCCTGTGCCCTGGTGGAGTGGTTCAGGCGGTGCAGAAGAGTAGTTGATGCAAAGACGGGAATGTGGATTGTCGAGCCGGAGTACAAATATGGTCAGCACGTCATTTCCGTTCTGCATGTTGATTGTCTTCTGCGCAATGCGCATCTCCTGCCTGTTTTTGGTTCGCGGCCACTGCCTCCAAAATTTCCCTTTTATCACTCACTCGATTGCTTTGAAGCCTTCTATGTCAATAAATATGCTGACCATCATGCGAATGAGATTGTATTCTAAACTGTAGGTAGCACAATTTTATGTCTGACTCCGTCGGAGAATATAGCTTGCGTGGCTTCATATGGTACTAACACGAGTTTCTATGGTGACATCTGGCAAAGAAAGGCCAAGCATGGCACCATACCTGCCAGACATGCCATGTGTACCAGAGCCTGCCAGACTCGTGCGAGATTGCTGATGTCGCACAATCTCGTTGGCCATAGTAATGTTCCAGTCTACAAGTAGGCGATGTTACATCGTATATGCCAGGAGGTGAGAGACAAATTAACATGCCTTGCCTGCTTGGAGGTTGCACTGATTATGATATGCTTGGGCGCAGCGATGGACAGACACCATCTGTGTTAGTGGAGTCTCCAATTTGGGCTTATACACATTGCCTGCATACCACTCCACAGTGACATGTTCTGGGCTCGTGCGAGCTATGAGCTTTGCCGGGTAGACATGTTTACCATTCGGAACAGTTTGAAGCAAGACCATCTGCCCGATCCTGCAGACATCATAAATTAAACAATCAATCCCGAGAACCTGGAGCAAGCATGAATAGAATGAAACGATGCACAACGTATCCTTGTTATTCCACAGATACACTCCATCTTGACAGAACGGGCAAACCTACCCCTTGTCAGGATCACGCCAGTTGTTTGGTATACCAAAATGATATATAATGTATGACGTATGTGACCATTGTGCACAGAGATCACAGCATATGAGCTCATCCTCATTGGATGCATCCGCATCCTCACTGTGTTCTCCGCACCCTGCACAAGCAAGAATATTAGTGTCAGCATCATCTTGTTTGGTTGATGAAGCATGCGCGCGCTGATTGCTCTTCTTAATGTCCTCCAGGAATTCATCGAAGCTATCCTGATGCTTCTTGAGAGAGGGTTCAGTGCTCTGAGTGACGTTCTGAGGGGACGGATCTTTCCGAGTCCCTGCAGATTTCTCGAAAGGGTCCCCATCTTGGGCAGTAGCATCTACTAGTATGGTTTTCATGTGGTGTTGTAACTGAAGCTCCTGAGCAAACAACTGGAGATCACCTACAGAGCACTCTGTAATCTACGCAGAGTGTGAGAAGTGAAATTACTGTTTCATAAAGGGTCACACCTGAGTGGTTGAGCTCCGGTGATATAAGACCATTGACACCTTGCGGCTGGGGTTAAATATTAGAGTGTTTGCCCCAATGTCAGTTAAAAGGCCATGATTACGCAATGAATCATAGGCGAACGTGCGATCGCCAACAAGCACTTCTGCGGTGTAGTGGCTATGATCACTGTGAAAAAGAATGCGCCCGACAAGTTTGTATTCAATGGCAGTAGCTGGATTGTGTGATCTTCCAGGTGAATCATTCAAGCACCACCTTTTAGGAAGCATCACTGGAGTGCGTGATGTAAATCCCTCTGGTGTGTCACCACAAGTCTCAGGGATAACCTGCAAGACCTCGGGCCATGCAGTGCACACCGCACTTAGTGTCATTGAGAGCGAACAGTCGATATGCTCACATGGAGCGGAAGGCAAGGTGTGCAATAATGTAGCCCCATGGTAGTCGTTTCCAACGGGTCGCCTGGGTAAGAAATAACTGAAATAATCAGCTAATGTGATGGCATCAGATTTGCACTTCGCCCGAGCAATTGAGATATCGCCTGCAACAAGTGAGAATTCGGTGATGGGACCCGAGCCTGCTTTTGTCGAGACATGCCCTCCTGGACATGTATAGACAGTAAAATGTTGCATGCCAAAGTACGCTCGTACATCCTCATTATCCACGGTCTACTCTTCAGTCAGCACATGCTAGATCAGTAGTGTAGCTGAGCAAATTGACTCACCTGTACTGCACGGTTCATCCAAGTGATCACGCACCTGTAAGATTTTGGTGGAGTTAGTTGGCACACACTGTAAATTGTGTGGTGCACAATCGTTTGACATAGGCCCAGTTTGAATGACAGCCCACTGTTCTCTTTGTGACCCATTGCTAAGATCCACTGTAAACGGCCACGGTAGTGATAGAATATAGAGGCTAGGGTTGAATCCTTAGGTACCAAAGCCAAAAAATCCCGGCGGGTATCCGGGGACCAGAGAACATATACTCAGAATCACAGCTCTAAGCCCACATCAAAGAAGCACAAGTTTTCATACCATTGATAGGACTGGAATGCCCGCAGAGCCATATAGAGTGGGAATTCACCATCCAGGCCTAAGGAATCAGATACCTTCTCAGTCTTTCCATCTATGTGGACCAGTAGGGACAAAGTGGCCATCTTCGCCATATATCACTGATTAGTAACCAGTGCCATCGGTATACCGCAAAAAAATTCTACCTTGAATAGCTTTGTACTGTCGCTCCAGTTCTGCCATGTGAAGAAAAAGCTCCTCGATACCACCCATCAAGTCATTGTCCATCCCAGTTGCATGATGAAGGAGTGAGTGCTGAGTTTCTATGGGATTGGACGTGTGAGGGACTTCTTCTGCATGCACAGGATCGATAGCACTCTTAGCAGGAAAAATCATGGAAGCAATCTTTGGGCACATCCACCACTCGATCCAGCCATTGATCTGAGGAAACAACATCTTCAGGCTATGAATAGTCTCGTCAAACTCCTCCCGTGTTGTTTGCGATGAGATCATTCGGCGAAGGTGATCGTTGAATGTGCCTTCCATATCGGCCGGTATCAATGTGCCGCTACCTCGGGTTGTAAGTCTAGTCCCAGAGTGCCAAAAGTGGGTCTCACAGCCTTGCTCATACTTAGAGACTTCGTTGTGAAGGTGCTTGCACTCTGCGGATTGTGCTTCGATTGACAGCATATGCCAACTACCGCCCTTGAGGGTAATCTTCGTCTCGACGAACTCGGATTCATGTGCAGAGCATTGGGCACCCGAGTAATCCATAATCTTCAATTCATTGATGAATCATATGTACACATGATCGGAATAGATACAACACCCACTGCAAGCAAAAACTTGTCTTGAAAGTTCGGACCAGCTGCGACGACAATGCACTGATTGAGATGATGGAAATGGGGTTGATGATGTTCTGCACTGAGACCGTCAGCCCAGGTATACATCACCGGGACCCACTAGCAGAGCACAGTGCTAAATGTGCAAGTGACAATGAGATGTCCATCCCGAAAAAAAGACTGGTCTGCATCCGTCACAAATCCATGATGACCAGCATCTGGACCACCTGCTGCAAGAAGAATCCAGTCTTCCACTGAGTCCGTGATGATCTGCTTCATAAACTCGGTTTGCATGATGAAGAAGGTTGGGCCAGTGAAGCTTGAGTTGATAATGAACTCCTGCTTCAATTTCTCGTTCAGAGAACCAAGGGAGTGAAGGACTCCGAACGCGCCCTTGCCAGCAGCAGGCAAGAGACCGAGATGGGCATGACTCTTTGACATTTCATAGCGTGCAGCTCTCGGGTTTGCCAGCACTGGGGTGATCTCTGCGAGGGGTACAGAGTCAGGTGCAGTATCTCTGGTGCGCAGTTCATGCGCACTGGCTCCAGGACGTCGCAGTACCTGAGCATCAAAAGCCACTTCTTCGGCTTTCGAAAGTGGCACACCGGGAGGACGAGGATGAGCATGTTCTCCCTCGTGCTCCCAGACTAGAAACTCTTGCCCATCGCGCGTAACTCTGTAGTGAAACACCTTTGCCTGACATGCATGCAGGACAAGCTTTGAGTCACGACAGCGAGGATTGCGGCATCCTTGCTGGAGTTGAATTTGACGTTGAGCTGGGTCCATTTTCGGCCAGATGAGATACAGGCAAGTGATGCATTGAAATACACCCAAGCAAACACGGACTTCGGCACCACCTTTGCTAGGCCTGTTTCCTTGTGATCGCCACTGCCATTTTGTCTGCTTCCATTTCTTGTCATCCATATTAATGGGCTCCTCACGTCGCACAGAACTGCTGGGCCAGTCCAATGCATCAACTACAAGGTGAACGAGTGAGACGTCAATTTGGGTAAATGTATGTAGTATGCACCTATTTTGTCTGCCTCACTCACATGGCACTTCTCGCTAGTCGTTCTCTCGCCCACAAGGTCTCGCGAGGCCTCGCCTGAATGAGGCTGAGTGCCGCCAGGTCTTTGACGCTCGCCGTGGACATCATTCCGAGGAAGACTAGGCGGCCAGTAGGAAATATGAGGGGTATACGAGGGGTAAGGCATGAAAGGAGGGGGAAACACTGCATAAGGAGGAAAAGACGGGGGATATGGAGTCTGCATACTGAATGGAAAGGGGGTGCTGCTATGTGCATGCAGGGTACCCAGATCGCGTGGCGATGCATTATGATCAGGCTCGGTTCCATCGGCTGCGGGATAGATTGCCCCAGACTGATGTCCTCCAAAGTGCGCTTCTTGTATGACTGGGGTATGGTTCAGAATATTAGTGGGATGTGCATCGGGTGCAAATGGAATGTCGGAATAAGGTAGAGAAGACTGGTGTGCGTTGAAGCCTGGCATGAGGGCTTCAGTGGCACACCTTTCAGTCATGTTACCTGAACTGAACTCCCATTTACCCTGACATTGTCATGAACTGGACAGCCAGCGGACGTCAGCCCATTGTCACCATGTTGACCTCTACCAGCAGTGGGCCCATATCTTTCATGTGTGGGATACTAGCAGTGGGCCCACCGCTAGTGTTCTTATCCCAGTGCTCGGCCCACTAGCAGGGCATATTACAGTGTTGTAACTGTTAAGCAATGGGCCCACCGCCACAGGTCAGAGGGTGGGCCAACGCCAGAGCATGTTATCGCCATCAATGGGCCCACTGCCAAAGTATGATCAATGAGCAGTGGGCCCATCACCACGAGTGTAAGATGACGGATGGGCCCACCGCCAAAGGTCAGAGTGTTGGCCATGGCCAGAGCATGTTTGTCTGAGCAATCGGCCCACCGCCAGAGTATGACGAATGAGATGACGGATGGGCCCACCGCCAAAGGTCAGAGTGTTGGCCATGGCCAGAGCATGTTTGTCTGAGCAATCGGCCCACCGCCAGAGTATGACGAATGAGATGACGGATGGGCCCACCGCCAAAGGTCAGAGTGTTGGCCATGGCCAGAGCATGTTTGTCTGAGCAATCGGCCCATCACCAGAGTATGACGAATGAGATGACGGATGGGCCCACCGCCAAAGGTCAGAGTGTTGGCCATGGCCAGAGCATGTTTGTCTGAGCAATCGGCCCACTGCCAAAGTATGACGAATGAGCAGTGGGCCGATCGCCCAGAGTGTAACCTGAAGGATGGGCCCACCGCCAAAGGTTAGAGGGTTGACGATTGCCAGAGCATGTTATCGCCAGCAATCGGCCCATCGCCAAAGCACCCTCAGTGAGGGCCTTACTGCAAGCACCCATGGGATAGGTCATCGCCAGGACATGTTTCCACCAGCAATTGGCCCACCGCCAAAGATCAGAGGGTTGGCCATGGCCAGAGCATGTTTGTCTGAGCAATCGGCCCACCGCCAGAGTATGACGAATGAGCAGTGGGCCGATCGCCCAGAGTGTAACCTGAAGGATGGGCCCACCGCCAAAGGTTAGAGGGTTGACGATTTCCAGAGCATGTTATTGCCAGCAGTCGGCCCATCGCCAAAGCACCCTCAGTGAGGGCCTTACTGCAAGCACCCATGGGATAGGTCATCGCCAGGACATGTTTCCACCAGCAATCGGCCCACCACCAAAAGCCAGTGGGTTGGCCAATGCCAGAGCATGTTATCGCCAGCAATCGGCCCACCGCCAAAGGCCAGTGGGTTGACGATCACCAGGATATGTCATTGCCACCAATGGGCCCATTGTCACATACAGCCCTGCAGTTTCCGGGCGCATTGGTGGTGATGACGTGCTCTGGTGATCGCCAATCCTCTGACCTTTGCCGGTGGGCCCATCACTCACCAGCACTCATGGCGGAGGGCCAATTGGTGGCAAAAACACGGCTTGGCGATGGCCAACCCTCTGACCCTTGGCAGTGGGCCCTTTGCTGGCGGAGCGATATTCCCATGCAGTGAAGCTTTCACTCAGGTCCTTTGGCGATGGGCCAATTGCTGGCAACAACATGCCTTGGTGATGGTGAGCGCAGTCCGCCCATCTCAAGAGTACACTGGAGGAGCGATGGGCTTTAGAGCTTAGTGATGCAGAAGTGAATGTATCCATTTTGTACTGGTATACAAGCTGTTACATAGCGGTCATATATTGCTAACACCAGAATGCTCAAAGACACTAGTTCAGTTGCTGCGATACGCCTCACCACGAATGTCCCTCAGAATGTACCCCATTTGGAACACGGTCGAGCTGGCATTGAGGTTCGCAATGTGCATATCCTCAGTGAGGTTGAGCTCATGCTGAAGACGTACAATGCGCTCCCGCAACATGGCGCGACGACGACTAACCGCAAAGCTATCACCTTCGTCATCGTCCACTATGAATAAGGTCAACATCAGACTGAAGGTTGCCAGGGATGTACTCACTGGAACTGTCTGCCTCTGCTGCGATCTGCACAAACGATCTACCGAGGTGGGCCACTTGTGAGCCAGAAGCGGCATTCGTCTCTCCAGGGACTGCCATTGGCAGCAGCTGTGTGGTATCTGGGAATAAGCCTGGAACCTGTTCCCAATGGGTGGGACGATGGATCGGCAGCTCATCTGGAAGTGCTGCCAGACTTGGCATCCTGGAAGTAACAGTGACTGGCTCAATGCTGCCTTTCATATAGTGAATGACAGGTGCATCGTGGCGGAAATTGCTGTCATCGAAAGTGCGAGCTGGCGAGTGAGAGGGCGCCGATGGCGGAGGCGGTGGACTTAAAACATCGTCCAACAAAGGCCGCCTCTTTGGAGGCGAAGTGCTGGGACTATTTAGCCACCGGACCTGGCTACGCACAGGCGTCGCGCCAGGGCTGTCTATCACCAGAGCTCGCCGTCGTCCTGGCGTGGCAGGAGGACTATTGTCAAAGTCCAGCAGTTTCGGCACTGGTTCCGCGTCAAGTGTCTCGTCCACCAGCATGCCCCTCGCCATCGGCGTACTTGCTTGACTATCGAAGTGGATGGATGTACGTGGTGTAGTGTCAAGGGGCTCAGCGATGAGCGATCGTCGAGGGAGTTGGGAGGTGTCAGGAGTGCGAAAGTCGAAAGTGTGAGCTGGTGGAGGAAGGGGAGTAGCTTCCAACAGGGCGCGTCGAGGGATTGGCGAGATGCCAGGAGTGTCGAAGTCGAACATTCCACCGGGCGCAGTGGGGGTGGAATCTGAGATGAGTGCATGCCTATGGATTGGCGAACTGCCACGACTTTCATCCCAAGCTGGCACCAGAGGGTCAGGAATAAGTGCGCGACTTCCCTCCACAGGCGCCACAGATCCAGATGACGCCTGTACCTTTGGCGAGGCGTGGCGGTGAAGATGCTCATGTGGCGAGTTGGATGGCGCAAATGGAGCTGCCAGGGACGGGGTAGTGTGGCGGGGCGTGAGGGGTGTCTGAGAAGCAGAGTGGAGAGGCAAGGAGATCTGGGCAGATCCAGGAGAGTCAAGGAGATCCGAAATGAGTGGACGACGGGGCTCAGCGATACTATCCTCCTCATCCGACTCGCCCATCGTAATGTCCAGCGTGTCAGGAGGTTCCGCGTCACTGGCCATGGCAGGTAGATTGTGGCGAGCAGACAAGTCTTCGATCAGTCCTGGATCGCGGGAGATCAGTTGTAGAAAGGGGATTGATATGACATAGAAAGGTCAGATAACATCACAAAGGAGTCAGATTGCACAAGGAGAGCAATAGAACTTACTGTTGGGAGCCATGAGAACTTGCGGCAGGTCACACTGACCTTGAGAGACTTGAGAAATTGTGCAAGTCCAGCGATCACGTGCAAAGCATGTGGTCACGTGGCGTGTGAAGTTGAACTTGGTGCAGATCGCGTCTGCCAGCTCATAGCGTCGTCTGCTCCGCCTCCGCTGTACTGCAACCTCTGCTTTTGAAACACCCTCACGCTTTCTTCTGCCAAGCTCGCCATGACTCTGGATATCGACCCCAACTATGTTCTGCAGGCCGCGCGACTGACGGCCATTGTTGCAGCGGCACCTCGCCAGGACGACCCTCGCTATTCGGACTGGGAGGCGAGGATTTACCTCGAAGTGGTAAGTCATCGGTCGCAGGTCTGGCATACCCTCACCGAATATGCCACACAGAGTCGGCTTGAAAAGAGTTTCCCGCAGCCCTTGAAGTCGTTGAGGATGCCTGGCATCATTATCAGTGCATTGCTGGAATTCACCCGGGCGTACCAGCAGAAGGCCCTGGCGCGGCTGGACCACATATCGAACGATGATGAGAGGATATACAAGAGGTACCCTCTGGCTGTGCGCGAGTATGGGGAGTGTAAGGACCTGGGAAGGCAGTGGTGGACTGAAGGTGAGTCGCAAGCGTTGTGAGGCATCGAGCGACACACTGACTGCACCAGATCCATATTGCAAGCTGCCACCGGTGAAGAGTACGCCAGCGGAGGGCTGGGGCAATGTGCCAGCCGATGACGACACCCAGAGATGTGGCGAGGAGGACCTGGCTATCGGGGACCTCGTCACCAAGGGGAAAGGCAAGGAGAGAGCTGACAACGACGTCGGGACAGGCATGGTGGGTGAGCGTATCGTCCATGTGGAGGCGGGAGAGGACAAGGGAAAGGGCAAGAGCAAGGAGAAGGTGCAGGGAAAGGCGGCGCATGCGATGAGCGAGGAAGAGGATGGGGGAGAGGGAGAGGGAGAGGGAGAGGGAGAGGGAGAGGGAGAGGGAGAGGGAGAGGGAGAGGGAGAGGGAGAGGGAGAGGGAGAGGGAGAGGGAGAGGGAGAGGGAGAGGGAGAGGGAGAGGGAGAGGGAGAGGGAGAGGGAGAGGGAGAGGGAGAGGAGCAGGAGGGCGAGGATGATGACGATGCTGACAGTGATGAGGACAACGATGCCGACAAAGATGACAATGATGAGATGGCGGAAGACGTGCCGGGTGCAGGCCAGCCTGAATTCATCAAGGTCGATGCGGTGTCGCCCCCTCCGCCAACTGCCAGACCAATATCGATCTCGCCAGCTGCCCCATCACTCTGAAAGCGCAAGGCGGTCATCACAGAGTCGAGTGAGGAGAGTGAGAATGAGGAGGCAGCTCCGAAGGCGAAGCGGATGAAGCCGATCGAGGTCGCAGAGGAGAAAGGCGAGGCCCTGACCACCTCTGGCCGAGCGCAGCGTGCGCAGAAGAGGATGGCGCAGACCGAGGTGGAGGGCTCGAAGGTGAGCACAAAGAAGAGCGGGAAGAGGAAGGCGAAGGAGTCAAGCGATGAAGAGGAAGTACCGACCATCAAGCCACCAAAGAAGAAGCGTGCGATGAAGGAATACAAGAGCAAGGAGTTCATCGAAAGCGAAGATGAGACTCCGGCACCGCCTTCCAATCTACCCGCCAAGACCGCAGGGGACTCTAACGACGGTGTTGCGAAGACGAACACCCCTGCCAAACCTGTCAAACAGACAACGAGGATGACGGCGACGCCTCATGTCGCACCGAAGGTGAAGGCAAAGGGGAAGGCAAAGGCGACGGCAAAGGGGAAGGCAACGGCGAAGGGGAAGGTGACGGCGAAGGCGAAGGCGAAGGTGACGGTGTCACAGAAGGACATGTGGAAAAAGACATCCACCCGCGTGTCTGACTTCATGTGGGCACACGCAACAGATTCGGTGAGTAACGATCTTGTGAGACATTGACCTGTGCTAATGTTCCTGCAGCTCGTCCCTTGCATTGGCTGCCAGGAGAAAGAGTGGCCATGCAAGCTCAACACCGCCAACTTCGGTCGCTGCCTCGAATGTGCAGCACGAGGCGTCAGTTGCAGCATCGCGCTGAGGAACACGGATGGCGTGCCCCTGCGAGGAAACTCACACACCGCACAGCGTGAGTTCCAAGAGATGTGCGCAGCACTGGTGGTAGAGGGCAAGCCAATGCCCACGTCGCCATCTCCATACGATGTCAAGGTCGACTCCGATGAGCCCGACAGTGCAGAACCCATGGTCATGGGAGCGTTGAAGTGCAAGCCGCCGAAGAAGACCAAGACGCGCAATGCTGCGGCATCCAGCTCCAAGGTCAAGGGTGGCGAGGAGGTCGAGGCGACGAAGCAGAAGGCGACCGTCACGCGCTATGAAGCCAACGCTGAAGGCGAGGCCTCGGTGGAGAAATCGTCGAAGTCCAAGCGCACCACCAAGTCCGCCACCGCCACTGAAGCTGTGGCTCTGTCCAACTCTGGCGAGGTCGCCAACTCTGGCGAGGTCTCCAAGTCTGGCACGCCTGCCAAGTCTGGTGCGGTTGCCAAACCTGGCGAAGGTAAGAAATCAGGACCCAAGCCAAAGCCGGTGAGGAGCCAAAACTCAGGTGCGCAAGATGGTGGCGAGGTCACCAGGACCTCAGTACGTGAGGCGGATGAGGTCCCACCTGCCAAGTCTGTTGCGAAGGAGGGCGGGTAGACGACAAGGGTGGCGATGGGAGGTCGCTCGGGCCCAATGGTGCCCGTGATCACCAGGAAGGCGAAGGCGAGTGCTCCCAAGGCAGCAGCCAAGATGCCTCTGGCGGAAGGCGATGGCATGGAGGAAGCCGCCAGGCTGGCAATGGAGGTGGTGCGGGCTATGGCCTTCCAAACAGGGCCAGCTGCTCCGCCGCAAGCTAGCAGCAGCAAGCGCATGCTGACACCAGTCGCCGACGAACCAGAGGATGCGCCAGAGTATCAGGCAGAGGTGGCGGAGGATGAGGTAAGCAGGACATCTTGTCGCAGCTGGAGTCGATGTAACCATGAAACAGAGCGCGTCCTTGGAGCGGCCACACGACGATCGGCGGCGTTCGCTGCTGATGCCCCACGAGACGAGCGCAGGAGCTGCCAAGGTGGCACAGGAGGTGACGCCCTCCCTGGAGATATCCAAGGCGTCGAAGGGAGTGAAGTCCTCCACATTGGTGAAGGCAGGACATCTCGATGAAGGGCGAAGGCCAGCTAAGAGGGGCGCCCCACTGGACTGCAAGGCAGCGAAGAAGGAGGCGGAGGCGAAAAGGGATGCGAAGGCGAACCGCCTCAGAGCAGTGCCTCCGACCAGCAAGGGTAAGTGCGCCCGCCACAGCTTCGAATCCATGCAGCGCTGACCAGGGATACAGCACCCCACTTGCGCGACGTCCAGCAAGTGTCTACAGGAAGTCCCGCTCCGGTGAACGAAGGCGACACCCCCAGTGGCGAAGAAACCTCGCAGTCATCCAACGATGACTGCGCGAATTGTGCCGAGTTGCGACAGGAGTTCCTGGCGCACAAGGACGGGATGGAAGTCCAATTCCAGGAGAGGATGGCGGACCTCAACACCGTCAAGGCAGAGATCACAGCGGCACTCCAGCGAATCAACCCGCCATCCGCATTTCAAGAAAATGCCCGGAGCATTCACGAAGAGGTCAAGTTGGCGATGGAGGAGTTTCGCAGGCCGGTCACCATTGAGCTTCAGGAGAGCATGAAGTTGGCAGTGGCGGACCTCGTCGCCAAGCGACATTGCCTGCCAGAGCTCAAGGAGAAGGTCAACAGGTTGGAGCAAGGCGCGAACCAGACGGTGAGCCAAGCGGACGTCGACAAGCTGCAGGGCGAATTGGCCGACCTCCATCATTCGATGGAGCTCCAGGCAGCGCGGTCAGACAGCATGGAGAAGGAGCTCAGGTCTTCGGCGGCAGAGGCGATCGCTCAAGCGAGCAAGCTGGAGATGGAATTGGCGCTCGCCAAAGAGGATTCGATGGCGGTGGCGACGTCCGCTTTGGATGAAGCGAAGAAGGTGGGGAAGGAGGTGGCGACGGCGAGAGAGGAAACCTCGCTGGTGGTGAAGTCTCTGGACGCATTCCGAGAGAAGGTCGACTCCGCCATGGTCTTCACCGCCTTTCGCCCAGATAGCCACAATGTGTAGTCATTAGAGTATTGATATACATGCTTTTTAACCTAGCATGGAATCTCCATGCACTCGATTCGCCACCGCCACTCCAAGTCAACTGAATGCCTGCTGAAGTTCTCGCCAACTCCCCTCGCCATTGCCACCATCTCCATGGCTTTACCTAAGTAGATCTATGGGTCACATTAAACAATGTGGAAGCCTACGAGTCTACTTTGAACTGGAGTTATATTGTCAAGGTCTGGTGCCGCCACTGCGGGTCTTGCGACCTGCGCCAACTTGGCCACTCTCTTTCACTTTGGTGGCTGCTTTCCCCAGACGGACCGGCTTCAGCTTGGTTTCTCCCTTGTCCTTGACCTCCGGGGTCTGAGGCAGAGCTCGTCTTCGCTTTGCGGGAGGCTTGTCACCATCATCTGAGTCCTCGGCCCTCGCATTCTTCTTCCTCGGCGAGGCCACTACCAACTCGTCCCGAGTACCACGTCCACGCTTCCGAGGTGGCGGATTGTCTTCGCCAGAGCTGTCTTCGCCATCGGGCTCGGGACGTGCTGGTTGACGTTTCCGCTTTGGATCAGGAAGCTTCTTCAAATCTTTCACAGCTCCTAGTGGATGCTGACTGCGGGTATTCTTGGCGGGCGACTCATCCATCGCTTGACGCTGACTGCGAGTGATCCTGCCGGGGATATTACTCTGAAGGGCATCGGTGATCGACCTTCCCTGGAGCGCTTTGGCTTGACCTGACGGACGGTCTTCCGTGGCTGCGGCCTTCCTCATCTTAGGTATAAACGGAGGCGGTGGCGGTCGTTCAGCACCACTGCTAGGTACGGACAAGTGTGCATCATCCTCTTCGCCATCGTCAGAGGCCCCACCACTGGTCTCCTGGCTCGGCCCTTCGTCTCCTCCACTTGGAATGATTGGTTTGTCAGCCATGGGGGCAGGCTGGTGAGCCTTGTGAACTTTGGCAGCAGTAGCAGCGCCATCGTGAGTTCTTGCAGAGGCATCACCTTCCTGCTCCTCCTGGCCCCCAAGGCCATCGCCACCTTGTGGGGCACCGCGTATGGCAGGCTTGCTCACTGGCTTCACCATGGCATGGATGACGTTCCCTTCCACCATGTCCAAGGTAATGATCTCGCAACAGTGAAGCAGCTGCTCTACTGCGTCAAATGAGATCGCCGAGTTCACCACATAGTCGGGAAGGTTGGTCGGTTCACCCTCCTCAATGAACTGAGATCGTGTGAGGTCCCTCAGTGCCATACCAATCACGAGTGCAGATTGTTGTACGCCCTGTGGATGTAAGAACCGATATTTTGTCAGCCATGGTTTGTCGCCCAACCAGTTCTCGACGATGTCAAAGTTGTCCACCACATGAAATGACGGTGGGAGGTAGCGCTGGCCATACGACCATTCGCTCCAGGGAATCGGATCATACCTGGCGAAACGATACACCTGGGGCTATATGACGGATGATCAATAGTGGCTATGAATCCCCACGAAAGGAGCTCACCACAGTCGCAATCTTGACTTCCTTCAGCATATCCTGGTATCGCGGTTCGACGGAAAGGGTGGCGAGAAACACGTCTCTCCTTTTCACGAGGTGGGGCACAGTACTCCCCACAGTACTCCCGCCAGTGAGACGTGGGGCTCGGCCTTGAAGCTCAAGCATGAGCTCCTTTGTACTGGGCTCCAGTTCACTCCATGCTTCATCGGTCTCCTCTGTGTCAAATCTGTGCAGTTCGCCCAGAGGAAGGTCTTGGAGACCTCGCTTTGCCTTCGTCTTGGCACTGCCGCTACCACTCGCTTGAGGTGCACCACCATTGTTAGCCTTATGTCCATTGGTGGTGGCGACTGCCTTGCCCTTCGCTTTATTCGCAATCACGCTCTCGCCATCCCCTGAATCTTCATCGCTGGCCATATCTTCTTCGGAAGCCATGCTGGGTATATCTGGCAAACTCCGATCAGAGTCTTGGCTGCTTCTGGCATCATCTTCCGAGTCGTATGCATCTTTCGTCTTGCGTTTACGCCCACCGCCTTTGGCTCCACCAGGGGCCGCTTTGCCCTTTGTCGCCTTCGATGCCGCCTTTCCCGTGACCTTGCGCACAGGTTTACCCTTCTTCTTCGCCTTCCCCGCCTTCTTCGGTGTGAGTGCTTCTTGGACCTCATGTTCAGAT